GGGCGCGTCCCTAGGTAGCACGTGAGTAGGCGTCGCGAGCGTGCCAGCTTACATGGAAAAAAGGAGTGCGAGAGTCGGATTAGTCATGAGGCTGCGAAAGTGGTCTGCTCGAAAAGCCTCAACAGAGAGGAAGGCTTGTGCGATGTTGGAATGAAAGACGTGGAGTCATAATTGGGCGGTTGGATTTCGACCGCCTCGACGAAGTCTTTTGTGAAGCGCTCGTACACCAACCTCTCCCAGAGCATTACCAGGCTAAGTGCATATGGAGAAATGGAGGATGTACATGTGCATGCTGTACCTGTGCATGCTGTTGGTGTTGGCACGAGACCAGCCATCGTCGAGTCCATGCGATGCCAAGCCCCGCCTGTTGCTACGCAGCGGAGAGACAATGTGTTGGTCCTGCGATGGAAAACATGGCGCACATGAGCCCCGTCTTGACACCCGCGCGATCCGGATACTGACAGTTTCAGCCTTCCTAATTGACGACGACTGCATGGCACTTGCCTGCCATCTCGAGAGAATCGGTGCGAAAGAGGAAGCGTTGGAAGGTTGGGTGTTGTTGTGTTGTGGCAGGAAGTCGCAGTAGTTGCTCGCCCGGCGCTAGTTTAGCCGAAGCCGACAGCCATCAACAAACTGCAGCTCAGACCAACCACCGCCCAACTTCACCCACTGCACGCACGCATAAACACCTGCGAAGGCCGTTCGCTGGTCCAACGTTCTCCTCATCTGCTTTGTCCACCAGTTCACCTGCTGTCAAGGTCCGATCCTTACCATGGCACTCTCCTGCTGAGCAAGGTTCCCAGCCTACACCTCGCCTGACGCGTGCCTGTCGCGCCTTGCCCCGCCAACCAGCCCAAGCAAAGCACTGCAAGCGCTGCACCGCACCTCCACCACCTCACCACATCACACGCGACGCATTGGCCGACCTGCACGGCGCCGGTATCCATTATACACTAGGACAACCACACAATGGCCTCCCGACGGGCTCCCCTCGCCAACGTCCCAGGTGCCATCAATTCACCATTCCGCAATGTCCCTTCCATCAGCGGAAAGCGCACGCGAGCGCAGGCTGGAGAGCAGAAAGACAACGTCTACGGACAGCCACCAAGCAAGAAGCAGGCCGTTGAAGCTGTCAATGATGATGAGGAGAACATAGACCCCAGACGCAAGAATGGAGTGACCGTCACTGTCCTCGACAAGCTCGACGAGCCCTTCTCCAAGCAGCGTCCCAGTCACCCTCCTACCGCATTCGAGAAGAAGCTTGCCTCCGTACGCGAGAAGAAACCCACACCTTCTCGCGCAGGCCACCCTCACAAGCAACATGCCGACAATCTCGAGTCTGTTCGTCAGTGGCAGAAGCATTACCGTCGCCAGTTCCCTCAATTCGTCTTCTACTTTGACAATGTACAGGAGGATGTTCGGACGAAGCATGTCCGGCAGATTCAATCTCTGGGTGCACGTGAGGAGAGGTTCTTCTCCAAAGCAGTAACTCATGTCATTACCACTCGCCAAATTCCACCCGAGCTGGTCAATACCAGCCCGGAGGAGGAAGTCGTGTATGAGGACGGCCCCGCGAAGACGATGCAGCCAGTGGCTCACGATCAGAAGCGTACTACGAGTCTTCTCGATGCCCATCTTCAACGTCGTACTCAGCAAGCATCTGCTCCAACTCAGTTCGCCGTTGAGAGCCGCAGAGGTCAGACGCAAAATGTTGATATCCTCACGCGTGCTCGTGCACTTGGGATCAAAATCTGGGCCCAGGAAAAGCTTGGTCGTGTTCTCAGCACGATTCTCGAGACCGATACAGGCGACCACTCTCAGACCACCCGAAGCCATGTCACCACACGTGGGACTACGCGGCAGACTCAAGATGTAGATCTGGAACAGCTTCTTCGACACGAGAAAGTCAAGGGACCCGCAGACCGCGACATGACTGTCGCCGCTCATAACATGACCACTCTACGCGGATGTTACCTCTACGTTCACGATATGGATGAGAGGACGAAGCCGGTCTTGGTTCGTGACTATGAGAAACCCGCCTCCAAACAGGACGGCAAGTGGCCACAATTTCGACTTTCAGGACCTGGTCGTTGTCCTTTCGTGGAGGATGTTGCCCATACCAAGAAGCTTCAGCAGCAAGAGCGTGATGCCCAAGCTCGACTGCAGCAGGACATCTTCTTTTACCGCAGGACCAGAGCAGGAAGCGCCCTTCCTTCTGCACCGTCGCAAGCCCTAGCTGAACGTGAGATGAATCTCAGACGCTCACCACGTAAGCTGGCTCAAGTGACCAAACCCAACCAGGCCAAGCCACTGGATCCTCCTCCTGTCGCTGCAAGCCGTAGACAATCTTCAGCAGAGATGCCGCCTCTCTTTGGAAGCACCCAGGCCAATTTCCGTACTCTTCCACGCATGGTAGGAGGCGAGCCAGTTGCTTCTGGGATCCAGCCATCCAATGTCACTTCGGCCATTCGATCGCAAGCAATATCTTCTGCCGCAATCTCTTCGACGGCGCCAGGTCTCAACCGACGTATGGGAGACACCAAGGAGGTGTCGCTGCTCAAGCGTAAAGTCTTGTCGAACAACAGCATGCCCTCGTCCCATGTCAACGATATTAGAGCGGCCATCAACGACCCGCAAGATCCCCCACCACGCGCAGCGAAGAGGAAGGCGCAGGAGACGCTCGGTGTTCTTCACGAAGACGTTGAAGCCGTCGCTCTGGGTCAACGCCCAAGAGCGAAGGCTTCGGGCCCAAAGAGAGCCAAGGTTGTCCAGAAAGAGGCCAAGCCTGGCTACTGCGAGAATTGCCGCGACAAATTCGACGACTTCGATGAGGTAAGTGGACATGAACTCCAGATTCTCAACTCTGCTAATACGATCCAGCACATTGCCTCCCGCAAGCACCGCAAGTTCGCCGTGTCACCTGAGAATTGGAAGGAGCTCGACAACCTTCTTGCCGTGCTTAAGCGGCCTCACAAGAAAGCGCCGTAATCACCTTTACATATTACCCTCACTGCATCCGAGCATCCGTGCCCGCTTGGAACGAACACCGACGACAGCATATGCAAATGAATGAGTCTTGTACGGCACGAGGAGCTGTATTCTTGTTCGGCTGTGTTTTTGCTCTGTACTACTATTGCCTTGGCGGCATGGGCGGCGAATAGACTGCATTCATAGCGAAGGCGCATCCGGGAACGGAGGAGTCTTGACATGCGGATTCATGGTGCGCCGCTTTTGAGCTTGGGCGTATGAGAAATGGTCGAGTAGCATCGGATCTGTACGCATTATAGTGTTAGCATTACCAGCGGGTAGTTATACCAACCCAAGCTTTAGTTTAGCTGGCCCTTCGCAGCAGCAGCAGCCATTCGAGTGATGTTCATTGTGGTTGCTCCCATATCGGACAATCTTGTCATATCATTGGGCAAAGTGGTCACGTTGATGGTCAAACGACTGATCGTCTTTGTCACATCAGCCGACTGCGGGCCGGTCGAATCCGATAAGCCGAGAGGTGCTGCGTGACTACCACCTCCAGCCCACCTCGCGCCGTCTACGCTCTCCGCCTCTTCACCTTTCACACAACATATTGTCGACCACTGCCACCTAGGAGCACCTTCTAAATCTCAAGCAGGACGATACTAATCCGGAGTCACACTCGAAGCTGATAGTTCCGCACCCGACGCCCACGATTCGTGCCCTCCCACGACCAAAATACGGAGACAAAGGCGAAGCAACCTTATCAAGTTGTGAAGCTTCGACGCATACCAACAAGGCCTCGGAGACACTAAAAAGCGATCGATAACTCTCAACATTCCAGTCAACTAAACCAGCCAACGATCGAGGGCAGTCAGCGCCCACTCAGAGGAAGAGCACACTTTACGCGAGCCGCAGTTCGGCGGAAGAGAGAGGGCAGAGTTGAATATTCCGGAGCTCCGGAAGGAGTGAAAAGGTGTCAAGATGAGCAGTCCAAAGCGGAGAATTGAGACCGATGTATGCGTCTCCCTGATGGAGACTGGGGCAAGACGTTGGAGCTAACAACGGGACAGGTCATGAAGATGCTCATGAGTGATTATGAGGTGACCCTGGTCAACGACAACAGTTCGTCTCCCACGGCTTCTATTCTGGCCATGTGTTCACAGTATGCTGACTGACATGTCTTGACAGTGTTCGTCAACACCGCCGGCCTGGTCTCATCCGATGGAGGGATTGAACTGCACTGACATCATTCTAGGCAGGAGTTTTACGTGAGGTTCAAGGGACCTGAGGAGAGTACGTACTCTCCCACCCTGAATTCAGTTGCACATTGCTGACATGAGTCTCAGCTCCCTTCCAAGGCGGTCTCTGGAAGATCCACGTCGAACTACCCGATCAATACCCATACAAGAGTCCCAGCATCGGCTTCGTGAACCGCATCTTCCATCCGAACATCGATGAATTATCGGGCAGCGTCTGTCTCGACGTCATCAACCAAACCTGGTCTCCCATGTACGATATGATCAACATCTTCGAGGTCTTCCTCCCACAGCTGCTCCGCTATCCCAACCCCACGGATCCGCTGAATGGTGAGGCTGCTGCGCTCATGATGAGGGATGAGAAGGGCTACAATGCCAAGGTCAAGGGTGAGTGGCGTCAAAGAGCGTAGAGCGTCGTGGATGAAAGCTGACTTGAATGTCAGAGTACGTGCAGAAATACGCATCCAAGGAGAGCGTAGATGACGCCGGCGACAACTCGAACGACAGTGACGAGATGAGCAGCGTGGGCAGCTTCGATGAAGACGAAGAGGACGAGGAACCGGCGGGCACCATGGACGAGGTATAACGACGGCCGTCTGGGGGATCTTCACTCGACCGAACTCCGCCGCTATGGCGCTTCTTTTTGATACTTGGCGTTTTTGAGAATGCTCCGACGGGCTTTATGGGGACAGGGTTTGCGGACTGGATCAGGGCGGGGATCATGGCGTCGGGCGAGGGACACGGGCAGGGATAAGGGATGCGGCGTACAGTGACCCCTTGAATCGTCTTTCCTGTGACACTTGGCAATGGCGCAAGTTGAGGCGCGAGTAGTGTATGTAACGGGCCAGGGCCTCTACACAGTTTCTATGACGATGATATTTGATGAAATGGCGCGACTCACGCTTGTGTAGGATGGGGATGCCGTGAGACAGTGTGGCCACATGATTTCCATTTTGCACATGGATGAAGAAGCCTATCATTATTTGACAGCTCTCGCGCAATGTGAGTCGAGAGCGGTGGTAGGAAGGGGTGCGATGAAGGCGAAAGGCGAGAGGCTCGAGTCGGTGGTGATACGGAATCGGGACCTTGGAGCTCAAGTGGCATGTGCCGGGAACATCACTGCATTGTTGCCCTCTCCCAGGAGCTCTCTCGTACTGCCGAGACACTGATAGAGCCTTCATCCTACGCTCTAGCGTGGCCCCGGCGTGGCCTACCGTGCAACAACCCAGTAGTACTAGTAGCGACGAGCAGCAGCACCGTAATAGTAAGTGATAAGTGGCATTCACCCATGGGCCTTGGGGAAGCTTGGGCGCATGGTGATGCCAAGACGCGGGTGTTTTTTTGGATCATCAGCACAGTCAGCTCTGGTTTCGCCTGAGATGGTGTGTCCGAATCAGGCCATGCAAGGCGACCTATTCTTGAGGCTGAGGAGAGGAGCGGCGAGCGCTTGCTTTACGTGGAAGGATGGAAGGAAGGAACATTTTGACTTTTCTGTATATAAGCGACGCGGCAAATCCGGCTTACCTCCTTGGCGCGGGCGGGCACGTTGTGGACAGGAATGCTTCAACACACCTGCAGTGCAGCTGGGTTTCGCGACATGTCCGTCGGCGGTACCGCATCGCATCGCATCGCATCGCATCGTAGCGCATCGCATCGCATCGCAGCGTGTCTCGGCCTCCTCCTCCTCCTCCTCATCTCTTGTCGGACAGCGGGAAGCGGGAAGCGGGAAGCGGGCGAGGAGGTTTCATCGTGCAGCGACGGCAGGAAGTATGCATGCACAAATACTCCGTACATACCACCAACAATGGAATTGGGATGCTCAAGGTAATCAGAGGAAGAAGCTTCGCAGCAGGAGAGCTCAACAGCCTCGGAGGCAGGCGTGTGGGAGAGGGTTGCGCTGATTGTGCAGTGAGTGGTGATGTACCTTTTTAGTGAGGAGGAGGAGGATGATGTGCAAGCGAGCGAGCGAGCGATTCATGTCTTTCGGAAATAGAAACCACGTGTGGATGTAGGGCCGGTGGGTACATGTACAGTATAGTATGTACATAGCTTACAAGCTCCGCGGCTGCTCGTGTGGCCCGGACTTGGATACCGTTATCAGTGAGCCCAGGCAGCATCCGAACCGAATTCTTCCAAGCTCGTCGGCGTCGTCGTCGTCGTCGTCGGACGGGGATAGAGGTGGACATGTAGTCTCTCATCAGGACACACGCGAGGAGCGACAAGAGATACGGGAAGGAGACCTGACACAGACACACTGCATTGTTTCGCCCCAAGTGATGTGATGATGATTTAGCGCGTGGATCGACGGTGCGCGTGTTTGTGTTCTGTTGGTCAAGCAAGCACGAGATTTGACTTGGCGGGAGAGTGGGAGCCCACGTTTTGCGCATGCGCGCACACACCACACACACGTGTGCTCGCCCGGTCCTGAAGCATCCAAGCATCCCTGCCGCTGCCGCTGCTCTGCGCTGGTACATACAGTAAAGTACTGCGCTGCTCTGGATCTAGACAACTCTTAAACAACTCTCCCTCCTATGTCTATCTACACCTATCCCTCCCTCATCATCATCATCATCACCGCTCATCCTGCCATTCACTGCCAGCCGACGCGGACCTGGCCTGCACTACCACTACCGCTACCACTACCGCTACCGCTAGCCTGCACCCGGCAACCCTGCACCCTGCTGGCCTGCTGCTGCTGTGCTCCTCTCCGCCGCTACACCTCACCCGGGCGAGAGGTACAGTAGTAGTAGATACGAACGAGACTTCATCATCTCACCTCTTCCCTCTCCACCCTCCTTCCACCTTTCGCGGACCCGCTACTGCACCTGCATTCCCGCTGCTCGGTTTGTCTCCCCGCAGGCGTCATTCACACTCGCGCTACTCTCTCTCCGCTGGCCTGAGCTTGGCCAGCAATCCGAATTTGCTCAACCCACCGAAGAAGCCTGAGCTCACACAACTCGCCTTCCCAATCCCACCTCACCACTCATCTCCCACCCTCCACCCTCCATCCTCCATCCTCCACCCTTGCTGCCACTATCACTCTCACTCTCACTCTCATCTCCCACATTGCTCACCTGCCACTCAGCCACCGCCCGTGACCTGCCGAAGCGACCGACCTCCTGGAACGCCCTGTGCCGCTGTGCAACCCCCCTTGTACTGCCCGCAGCTCGCTTCTTACAGCTCGCGTGAAACCACCCACGTTATCCACCTCGTGAGTGGCGCCAAGGGTGTGCATGAACGCCTCGCCCGCTCCAGTCCACCCACCAGAAGCGGCCACCACCACCGCCGCCGCCGCCTCCGAACGACGGCCTGCTCGCCATCGGCAGGAGGATGACGCTGCGGTAGCCCGCTACCCATTGCAACCACCGCGCTGCATTCCACCGCGCCCTCGGACCACCACCACCACCTCGCTCCACCACACCGAGCCGCTTCCCCCGTCCGCCATTGGCCTCGCCAGTCCTTACCCCGTAGCCCTCCTCGCTGGAGGCCAGCGAACCGCAGATGGGCAATTCAAACACCAAGCCCATCATCTACACCGATGAGGTCAATCTCAATCACTTCCGCCTCTTGCGGGTCGTAGGAAAGGGTGCATTTGGCAAAGTCAGGATCGTGGAGCGAAAGGATACCGGTCTGACGTTTGCGCTGAAATACATTCGCAAAGATGAAGTGGTCCGATCGGAAAGTGTGCGGAATATCATTCGGGAGCGTAGGATGTTGGAACATCTGAATCACCCATTCCTGTGTAATTTGCGGTACAGTTTTCAGGACATGGAATACCTGTAGGTCATCGGCGGATGCTGATGGATCGGAGAAGTGCAGCTGACGGGGGAATGCAGCTACATCGTCGTTGACTTGATGAATGGAGGTGACCTGAGATTCCACATTTCGAGAAAGACTTTCACCGAAGAAGCCGTGAGATTTTGGATAGCCGAGCTTGGGTGTGCACTACGATATATCCATAAACAGGGCATTGTGCACAGGGACGTCAAACCGGACAACGTACTGCTGGACTCGGAAGGCCACGTGCATCTGGCCGACTTCAATGTTGCTTCAGACATCACTCCTGGCAAGCCACTGACAAGCAAGTCGGGCACTCTGGCTTACCTTGCCCCAGAAGTATACGGTGGAAAGGGCTACTATTCTGAAGTGGACTGGTGGTCACTTGGCGTACTCTTCTACGAATGCATCTACAACAAACGGCCTTTCGAGGCCAATCATCATGACCAACTCGCACAGGCTATCATCAGAGCCGATCCGCCGTTCCCGGTCACCTCACCACCCGTGTCTATGCCGTGCCTGCACGCAATTTCATCTCTCCTGGAGAAGAACAAGACCCTGCGAATTGGCGCGGCTGGATTTGAAACCTTTACTGACAATCCCTTCTTCCGCGAATATGACTTTGGGGCTTTGGAGCGGAAGGAAATTGACCCGGTGTTTTGTCCACCGAGTGAGAAGACCAATTTTGACGCCACGTATGACCTGGAGGAGTTGCTCTTGGAAGAGGCGCCTCTGGAGGCCCGAGCACGGAAGCAGAAGCCTAGACCGGAACTGAGAGAAGACGCAACTCCGAGTGAAATTAGAACGGAAGAGCTTCATCGCATGATTGAGTCGATGTTCGAGCCCTTCAACTACACCGTCGTGCCGCAAGACCGGGAACCTGTTCCCGCTGTACAGGACATGCCGCGAGGTGGGCCGTCTGCATCATCCAGTCGACCACACACGCAGCACGACAAGGCTTCACCAATCGACCGCTCGACGCCCAAAGCATACTCAGACAAGTCACGGTCAATACCGACATCACGCTCGCAGACGCCGGGCAGCGCTACGAGGACGACGCGGTCGTCTACACACTCGCCAGATGGCTCTCCTCCACTCCCTGCTGCTGCATTAGACTACACGTTAGCGCCGACTTCCGAGCCTCGGGAATACTTTCCGCCGCCAACTTCAGACCCGCATGTTGCATCTGCGCTGCACCAGATCGCACACGATCCCAATCAAATGACGAGGGTGAAGACTGTCCGGTATGACGAGACAGTACCAGCGCCGCCTCACTCACCCGGTGGACATCTAAAGAGTAATAGCATGCACCGACCTCGTGGTGCGATGAGGAGCACTTCGCAGGGCGGAGGCGTACAAGTCGTGCTTGATGAGCATGGCAGTTGGAGTGACATGGCAAATTCAAGCCAAGGGATGGTCCAGCCCACTGATGACCAGCGACAACAGAAACCGTCGGGCATGCTGGGTTTCTTGAGTCGAAAGAAGGGTCGAGACAGGAGTCCGAAGGCGAAGGAGAAGGAGAGAGGAGTTCTGGGTAAAGAAGGTGCCCGAGTCGTCATTTCACATGGATGAAGGAGCCCGACATGCTTTACAGAAAGCGATACAACCGCAACTTCGGACTAGCACAACTGTCTCTCGGCTTGCCTGCGTGACGAACGGTTTCCGGCCGAAGGATTCGAAAGCCCGGAGAACCTCATGAGGCACCTCCACCAGGAAGAATGGACAAGCGGAGAGCGATGATACTACACAGCCCTACCACGACCAGCTGGGTCTTGGACGGGTCCCGCCAGGGTTGATGAGGGTAGAAGTTGCAAGGGCAGGAGTGCAACTCCCGGGATATACTCTGAGTTTGGCCACTCGAAGCTGGCAGGATGGGAGACTCTAATGATGGCTGTTTCAGCATTGAGCGCCTTCGTTGCAATCTCACGATTCGCTGTCCGGAAGGAATAGATTGTATCGTAGCGCACTACGGAAAGACACATGTTGTCCGCATACAAGCATCGGATGGGGTGATTGTTTTTCCTTCTGATTGATACGGCAACCACTCCTGGATCTGGTCTGCTCTAATACCGTCGAGACTTGGGAAGTCCAATCACAACGATTGTTTACTCCCTTCGTACATGTTCCTTTCCTTTCCATGGCTCTGTGCCGAAGGTTCCAGCAATGTCGGATGTTGTACCATGTTTTCTCACTCGATGGCCGAGGGCGGGCCCGGGATCGGGTTCCTGGCACGGCTAGTCCCAAAACGCACTACCCGAGGAGTGACACAGCGCCATCGTGAACTTGCTATGCTCACAGATACAACGAAGAAATGTGTACAGCTCTTTGAACGGGTCCTTTGCTCCTCCCGCCCACGCTTTCACGATGATTCTCCCACTCATCATCTGCTTGTCATCCGCACAGCGCCCAGCACTCGCCGCATTCAGATATACGAAACCGGATTGAATGCACCCTCATAGGTACCTGTCCTTGTCGTTGCGAAGATGTCGCGTGTCTTGATGAAGAGGAAGACTATGCCTTCCACCGCGGCGTGTGCAATGTGGGCGTCTCCCGTCGCTGTCAGAGCGAGCATTCCGGCCACTACTACTACACACCAGCAACATGGCCTCTCAGCAATCCGCCACTCCTCGCACTCGCCCATCGGAACCAGCACCACACGCAAGAAAATCACCCTCCAAACCCTCGAGACCCTCTACCGGAAAAACGAACCCATCACGATGCTCACAGCACACGATTTCCCCTCCGCGCACGTCGCCGAGCACTCCGGCATGGAAATGGTGCTTGTGGGAGACAGTCTCGCCATGGTAGCTTTGGGCATGGAAGACACGTCCGAGGTCCTACTGGAAGAGATGATATTACACTGCAGGAGCGTGGCTCGAGGGGCCAAAGCGCCCTTTCTGGTGGGTGATCTCCCCATGGGGTCCTATGAAGTGAGCCCGGAACGGGCTGTCCAGAGTGCCATCAGACTGGTCAAAGAGGGAAGGGTACATGCCGTGAAACTGGAGGGAGGAAGAGACATGGCCCCTCAGATTGCAAAGATTGTAAATGCGGGAATTCCCGTCCTCGGTCATATAGGCCTCACACCCCAACGCCAGAATGCCCTAGGAGGGTTCCGCGTTCAGGGCAAAAGCGTCACGGGAGCGCTCAAACTGCTCCAAGATGCGCGGGCCGTGCAATCTGCAGGCGCTTTTGGTGTCGTGCTGGAAGCAGTCCCGTCCGAAGTCGCCACGCTCATCACGCGGAAACTTTCCATCCCGACGATCGGAATCGGGGCAGGGAATGGATGTTCGGGACAAGTGTTGGTGCAAGTGGACATGGCCGGGTTCTTTCCACCCGGGCGTAAGATTCCGAAATTCGTCAAGAAGTATGGGGATCTCTGGGGCGAGGCCAAGGGTGCTATTGAGGCTTACAGGGAGGAAGTGAAGAGTAGGACTTATCCGGCGGTGGAGCATACATATCCCATGCCCCGGGAGCAATTCGAGGAGTTCGAGAGGGCGGTGGAAGAGAGCCTTCCTACTCCCTCTCCTGTATAGCATAGCAAAGCATAGCATAGCACAATACAAAGTAGCAGCAGAGAAACCTCCCCCCATCCCCAACACTTCCCTTCCCTCCCTTCCCCTCTACTCTGCTCCGGAAAACATCTACCCAAAAGCCATCCCCAAACAATAACTCACAACCAACTCCTGCCCCGTGCGAAAACACCGCCACAGATTCCCCACCCCTTCATCCAACCCGGGCGCAAAGACGGAATTCACATAGCAAAAAACCCCCTGCTCCTCGCGCAATTCCAGCTTCCGCCGCACGAACCGCACCACGTACCCGAAATTCTGATTTGATGAGCATTTGAAGCGCGGCTGCGCGAGCGCGGGCGTGTTGGGCAGGGGCGAGAGGCGGATCGTTACTGTTATATGAGCGAGGTGTGTGAGTTGTGAGTTTTTTTCAGCTCTTCTGAACCAAACAAAGAAAAAGAAAACGGGGGAGGGGGAGGGGGAAGAATGGATGAGGATTGATAATGCCATGCGTTGCTTGCCTTTGGGTAGATCCAACTCGCCGGCCGTTTCCAGCAGCGCGCGATGGGCGTCTCGTGGTAATTGCTCCAGAATGACGGATGCGGCCATGGTGAGTGGGAGGTCATTCGTCGCATTCTCTTCTTCTTCTTCTTCCGCCGCTGCTGCCGCCGGCGCTGCTTCTTCTTGTGGCGAGGGTGGTGAAGGGAGAGGAGGAGGAGGAGGAGGAGGAGGAGAGGAAGACATGATTTATTTCTTTGCGTGGAATTTGTTGTTCCGTCAGAATGGTATCATATCGCGCGGGTTTCCTCCGATTCGGCGGAAAGAGGTTTGATTGAGGGGGAATTTTTCAAAGTTTTTGGTTTTTGGTTTTGGGAGAGCGATTCGAAGGGTATGATAGATACGGATCTAGTGGCCGATTCGTTCGTGGTGTTTAATGTTCGGTTGGCCGATCTGGAGAGAACGTGGAAGAGAGGTGAAGTTAGTTGGCTGGAGACGTTGAGATGCAGCTTCACGAAGCAAGCACAAGCGCAAAACGTCGATGGAAAGAGCTGTTGGTCACATTTCATCTCTTCAAACTGGACATCTCGAGCGAAGGAAATTAAGTAGCTGAGATCGTCTTTTGGATTCACGACTTCCTATACAATGCCCTGATACAGCCTCTACCGTCTACTAGTAGCACACAGCATTTGCTATCTCGCTCAAGCTACCACAAGCACAGCCCCAATTAAACACTCTCCCTACCAAACAACCCCTGACCAAGAGAGGTCAGATATCCATATCTTGTCAACATAGTAGGATCGAAATTGGCATCGTCACCACCAACCGCAGCATCAGCCAGATTATGCAGCCCATCACGATACTGCTGCATCTTTTCTCGCTTCTTCACCACCAACTCGCGCACGGCACCGTCCCATCCTTCACTCTCGAGTTTTCCGGCAAGCCCGCGACCTTCACCCAGACACTCGGCCATCTGATCAAGGCCCTTGATAGCTTCGGTTCGAGTCTTCGGGACGTCGCTGAGCTCGCAGAGTGTCATAGCAGCTAAAGCACCAAAGTGATGGTTCAACGGAGTAACGGGAGTCAGGCGACTGTTAAGCACCGTCGCCACCTTTACAGCGTGTCCGACCAGCTCTGATGGCTCCGTAGTCGGGTTGAGTCGCTTGATGAGCAGATGGCAATGGTGATAGCTCAGGTGGACCAGATTCAGAGAGCCCCAGACCGACTCGACCGACTCTCGAAAGCGATCAATCTCTCCAGCCAACGTGAGGCCAAGCAAAGATGAGGCTGGATTGGAAGGAGCCATGACATCCGTGGACGGGGTCTTGGTCGTAGTCAAAATGGCAGCCAGATGTCCGATAATGAATGAAAGCCGCGCGAGATGGTAAGTCGACTCGCCCAGCAGGACTTGATCTTCTGGAAGCAGTACGACACTGTTCTCGGGCAGCTTGAGCAAGTCCGCCGTCGACGAAGCATGCCATCTGTCAAGAATGAACAGCACCCACCACACTCGGCGGGCAAGACGCTCTTCCGAGTCTCTGTCACCTTCCATCACCGAGGTGCTTCTATTCCGAATAACGTTGATTTCCAGCTGACCAGCCACGCCTGCAGCTCGGCCTAGCCACTCAGCACGGCTAGGACCTGCTTGCCCTCGGATTGTTGCCGGTCCGTGGTTGTCGCTTTCAAGTGCCATGAGTATAAGTGTTTGGAGATACACCAGGTTGGTAGCGTTGGTATGGCTGCTCGGGTTGTCGAAGGGATACTGCGCCAGCAACTCAGCAGTCCGCTTCAGAGCCTGAGCGTATCCAGTATTCGGTGGCAGTGATGTTGTCGGAAACGTACGCATCAAGCAATCAAGAGCAGCAAGACATGCTTCTCGGAGTGATGCAGGGCATTCTCCCAAGCGTTGTCGTAGGCGATGCTTGTTGTGTGGCAGAAGAGGAAACGTCTGGTGGATGATGCGATAGTACTCGTCAATGACAGCCTCGTCCCAATCGAAATTAGTGATGGTGGTGGCATTCTCGGATTCGTACGTTAGCCCCGCGGGCTCCTGACGATTCTCGAGCCCTCCTCCGTAGCGCCAGAAAGGTTGAGTTGCGCCCGGAGCTGATTGCTGTGGTGGTGGGTGTCCGTACGCGTGCATTCCCGAATGCTGAGCGATAGCCGAACCCGGAGGTAGCATCTGTGTCTGTCCATTCTGCATTGCCTCTGCCATGTCATGCGTTCGCTTTTCGCCAGTGCGCGCATCAACCACCACCCGTGGGTCGTGCCCATACGCCTGCAGTCCTTCCGCCATTGCTCTCTGTACCTGTTGTATTTCATACTGATGCTGCTCCTGCATGTGGGGAGGATGAACCTGCCGCTCCAGGGTGTGTAGTCGATCAGCCAGTTCCTTGATATATCCTTTGCTAGGACCGCGCTTCATGGGCTGGCGGCTGAAGGCGCACTTGGCCCCAGTACGAGCGCAATTGGTACAAGGCGTACTACCAGTCTCGTCCACCGCATCACATCTAATCTTCTTCCTTCTGCACTCGTCACAAGCGCGACTGACCTTCTGCCGCTTGTCCTTCTTGTCGCCAGCTAAAGGAACGCTCGGAGGCGCTGCGCCTGGAGAGCCAGTGTACTGGGCGTACGCGACCGAGCCCTGCGGAGCTCCCTCAGGTGAAGTAGGTTCGGAAGCTGCGGTACGACTGCCCATGTTCGCCGTCGGCGCTCCAAAGTTGCCAAAGGTGCTGCCGATCAGTGATGAGCGCATTTGCGATTCGCCCGACGCTTCGCCACGTAGCTGAGAGCTGGGAGAAGCAGAAGTCCTCTCGCGCTGTTCAGTCTCTTGCGCGCCTTGTGGGCTGGGCGCCGTTCGCCGTTCCGGGTGGTGCTGCGGCTGCGATTGGGTGCTCTGGTAGAATGGAAGGCCTTGAATAGGTCCGCCCGCTGGTGAGGGATATCTATCCGTCTGGCCGTTGGATTCAGCCATGATAGTATCGTGGTGTTGAGAACGAGGGCTCGAGAGGTATCCAAGTCGCGGCGTTGCAATTATCCCGCGCAATCGGGGTCGGGTTGCAATGGTGGAGGGCCGTGGACGGTGAAGGTTGTCGACGGCGACATCGCGAGAGAGTCGTATGACAGAGTTCTTGGCCAAGCGAAGTCGCTAGCGCCCTGCTCATGAGCGTCGATGCTCGCGGGCATCGTCCGGTCGATCAGGAGGAGCATGTTGCAGCACAACGTCGGAGTCGTTTGCAGAAGAAGTCGAATAATGGACGAGGTGACTTTGCGTCAGGTCCTCTTGCTGATTAGCTCGTCGAGCACGGATTGGAAAAACTTGGTGCCGATAGCAACGACGCGCTTTGCTCTTCCAACGCCCACGCCCACGCCCACGCCCAACCTCACGATGGAAAGACTGCATAGACGAGACTCTAGGCGTGAGCTTTTCAGCAAGCTCCGATAGCATCAGAAATGGATCAGATCAGCTGCCTTGTGAAGCGTCGACATCTCGCATTGCCCCTGGAATCCATACAGCCTTGACAACAGCTTGGGATGATGTGCTATCTCGATTCCATTGTGGGCAAACATCTCCATCGCCGGCAGTTCTATAGTCAGACATCCAAAACGAAGGAACACGCAACAATCTCATCTTGCTACGAAAGTCAGAGCATCTTCATTCGGGGTACCGAAGCGCTCTAGCGTGCTGCTCCCTTTTGCAGCACGATGTTGGCAGATCGACAGCGACATGCTGCCCTCAGCGACTAGACGGCGTCCGCATCTCACTCGGTTCCACCTGCATCTCGCTCTCTGCTCCCTGTGTACCAGGCACAGTCTTCGCTGCGCCGTTCTGCTCCACCCCGTCATGGCCGTCCACCTCGTCCTCCTGGTTGGACTTCTCCATGGAGAGCGCTAGCATGCCTCCTGCTTTCACCCACGGCAGCATCTTCTTCTCCTCCAACAAGCCCAACTCTTTCCATCCCGTCACGAGCCTCTTCGCCCGTCTCTGCTTCCACCCATAAACTTTCTCCATCCATTGACAATGCTTAGTGTCCGTCCTCACGCTGTCCCCATGCTCGATCTTGATATCGGTTATCATCACATCTTCGTAGAAGTCTTTGAAGAAGTTCCGTTTGATAAGAAGATACTCGGCGCAAGTCGCTTCGCAGAGACTTGCGAGTGCACGTTCCGCTGGGTGCAGTTCGAGGAGGTATCTGTCATCAGAGAGATCTTTTTCATTCTCTTTTGGAGGCGGGTTGTGGTACAGCCACTCGTTGCAGTAGATGCGTTGAAGAGCTGTGTACTCTGAAATGGTGATGTCGGGTGCCCAGTCGGTCATACTGCACGCGTTGATGTAATCCGGAGAGTCGGGCGGTTGGAGAGCTTTGAGGAAAGCATCCCGCAGCCAAGTGAAGACGCGTTTGTGGTGGTCTTTGCCACGCAGAGTCTCAGGTATGAGAGGATCACGCGGCTCGATAGTCATCAGCGGGCTGATGTAGCCGCGCTCTTGCAGATTCGGAAGGAGGGAGTCATACTGTAGTGTGCTGTAGAACCAGCGCACGTTGGTGTCGTTCGGGGTCAAGATTGCGAGAATGCGGACTGGAAGTCGACTGGAAAAGGCTTTGTCCAGATCCAATGCAATGTATGCAGCATGTTCGAGAAGAAGCATGTGGCCCTCTGTGCTGTCATCGACTGTGTGCAATTCTTGTCCTTCTATGCGCAGGATAGCAGGATCACCACTGGGACTGATTGAGTGGATATGCCAGAATTTGCATGCCTGCCTCGTGCGTCAGCGCGGATCGAAAACGTGTGGGAGGATACTTACCGCAGCGCAGGTGGCCGGTTTGGTCACTCGGAAGACAATGATGGGGAAACCATGCTCTTCTGGCTCCACAAACTGGATGTCTGGCGTACTGGTTGCAGATTTCGAGTTCAGGTCGACATCCCTCATGGAGCAGTCAGGAGCTCTGGTAGCGGCTACCGAAGGCGTGCCTGTCTGAGGAGAGGCAGCCTGATGCTCAGCGGCGCTCGGAGTGCTATCCTTTGACGTCGCGCGTCTTCGAGGCCTCTGCGCACCGCCCATCGGAGAACCGGCCATACCGTCAGGAATAGTGCTTCGGCGAGTGGGCTTTCGGCGAGCGGACACCTGTGAGGTCAGTGATTCAGCGGGTGCAATCGCGCTGCATCAGATAGAAGCGGGAGAGTGCAAGGTGTACTCGCGGTGCGTGCTTGTTCGCCTACAGCTCATCGTCGAATACTTGTGCTCTTGAAACTGGGTTGCGTTTACTCTTGTTGCGTTCACTTACAAATCTGCCCATTCGATTCGTGGCGGCTTCTTCACGTGCGGCTTCGCTTGCGCACGGTCCAGCGCCAAAGCCAAACCTCTACCATGTTGTACATGCATCATCTCCCGCTCGCTTTTGACACTCACGGTCCAGTTCGTACTGTTCCCTCACTCAGTCCGTGCTCTTGTTCCGCCTCATCGTCTACCTTCGCCAAGCCGTGTTCCTTCAAGAGGGTATCGATCTCATCTGCTGCCCACAAGTGGTGGTAGATGGTGCCCTTCTCCGTCCGACCAACCGTTGCGAACTCGATCTTCTCGCTAGATAGCTTCGTGCTATCCATCGTCTTCGACAACACCTTGACCGCCAATTCGCACGCCTGCTTGAGATTGCACTCCTCGTTGTAGTCCTGCTTGAGTAATGACTGAGCACTCGCGTTGTTCGCGCCCACGCTCGTCGCCTTCCAGCCGGTGTAGTTGCCACTCGGATTTGATTGGTAGAGCTGGAACTGTCGCTGGTTGTCCCAGCCTGCGTAGATGAAGGAGACACCGAATGGCCGAAGACCACCGTGCTGTGTGTAGCCCTGCTTGAGATCGCACAGCCGCCGTACGAGCTGCTCGCAGGGGATGTCCGCGTTGTATGTGAGGAGATAGCGCTGAGCGGCTGTCCGGGCGTAGTTGATGAGGATGTTGGCGTCTGCTGTCATTCCGGCGACAGCTGTGATCATGTTGCTAGATTGTCCATTAGTATACAGCCTCTTGAGCTTTCAGGTATTCTCCCAGAGAGATGATGCACTCACTCGTTCAGGACATAAAGCTTCTCTGCACTCGTGTCTTGCTCCAACAACTTGCTCGTGACCTTGCGTTCGGCTGCGAGGACGATTCCATCGGTCGCGAGGATGCCTAGTGCGGTACCAGCGTGTGAGATGGCTTCGAGCGCATATTCGACCTGGTAGAGGCGGCCTTCGGGCGAGAAGATGGTCGTGCGGCTGGACACTGGGTTAGGAGATGGGAGAGCTTCATATGTTTGGTAGCCAGCCGTACCTATCGTAGCGTCTCGACATCGTGACACTTCTTCTTGCTGCAGCGTGTTTTTATCTCGTGAATCTCGAGTTTGGTCCGAAGGTGGTTGGTACGCCTTCGATCGAGTTCTTGTAGGAGTGGAAGTGTTGTTTGTTGGGGTTGATGTTTGATGGCAGCTCGCATGTGCTCCAGTCGAGTGAGCTCTCGCACAGGCAGGCGCTCTGCGCGTCACCGGCCACTCCCGAGCCGGAGCTTCATGCCCGCCAACACCTACGACTTTTTAGCTTCCGATCAACACCTGCACAGTGTAGCTATAGGCTGACTATGGAGTCGCCTGCGAAGAAGCTCAAGATGTCGTCGCCGGCCCTAGGCACACAGCAGGATTTCGTTTCATTTGGCGACGAGGAAGGCACTTTTGGATCTACCGAGAAGGATTCCACCGATCAATACACGCCGTTTCGTGCGCCTAAAGAGCCTCGATTGGACAGAGCCCACGGAAGGAATGGATACGATCCGAGAAGGGATCCTCGAAACGCCAGAGACAAGCCAAAGTCGAGACACATCCTACCAGGCTACGAACCTTGGGTTCTGGTCAGGACAAAATTCCGCAGAAGATTTGTTCACAACACGCAGACCAAGGAGAGTTTCTGGCGCATACCCAAGGATGTCATGCCTGGCGTCATCGAGTTCGAACGATGGGAGAAGGATGGACAGGAGAAGGCTGAGAATGCCAAGTGGGCTGAGCAGCAGTTGCAGGAAATGCGCGACAAGAGCAAAGCGGAAGAAGTGAACAGAGATGCAGATGAGGAGGGCAGAAGCCGCAGGCGAAGGAGCGAGAGTTTACAAAGGGACGACGAGGAGGCTCTCATGGCAGAGTTGGCCGCACAAGCAGAGCATGCCGAGGAGCAGGACGCGAAAAAGGCCTTCACAGCGACACAGCCATTGCAGTCGCAAATACCAGAAACAGGCCTTGACAGCGATAGTGAGTATGAAGTCGTGGAGGTAACAGATTCAGAGGGCGAGGGCGAGGGCGAAGAAGAAGAGGAAACAGGCGAAGCCCCAGGGGAGCCCGCGGCAGGACAACCACCCGAAGACGGCCAACCCGAGGAGGATGGCCCAGTTGAATTCGGAGAGGATGACATTGCATGGCAACTGGCGGCTATGGGAGAAGACTACGGGCTGGATCCTGGGGAGTACGGAGACGCATACGAGAAAGAATGGGAAGAAGGAGCCGAAGGTCTCCCTCTGAGCCGCGAAGACGCAACCCACTTGTTCCGCGATCTGCTAGAAGACCATGGCATTAGTCCGTTCACGCCTTGGGATAAAGTTATCGAGGACGAGTCGGAGACCAGCATATTGAACGACCAGCGATATACAGTCCTTCCAAATATGCGCGCAAGAAAGGAGGCGTTCGACTCGTGGGCCAAGGATAAGGCAACGCGACTGAAAGAAGAGCGAGCGGCCACGGCGAAGCGCGATCCCAAGATTCCGTACCTGGCTCTGCTCCAGGACAAGGCAACACCAAAGTTATACTGGCCAGAATTCAAACGCAAGTACAAAAAGGAACCGGAGCTTAACGATCGCAAGTTGAGTGACAAGGACCGAGAAAAGCTCTATCGCGATCATATCGGTCGACTCAAGTTGCCGGAAAGCACGCGCAAAGCGGATCTGCAGATTTTGTTGAAGGGCGTGCCGCTGAAATCGCTCAATCGAGACACTCAGCTGGACTCTTTGCCGCAGCAGCTGCTCTCTCATTTGCATTTTGTGAGCTTGTCTCCTAATGCCCGAGATCCGATTATCAAAGCACACATCCAGAAGCTACCTCCTGCTCCTGACGATGACGACTTGACGGACGAACAACGGGCGGAAGAAGACAAGAAGCGGGAAGAAAGGAGGCGACGAGAACAAGCAATGGCGGAACGCGTACGCAAGGTTGAAGAAGAGCGACGTCGCGCGGATAAAGATGAGGACAGAGCTCGTAGAGATCTTCGCGAAGAGGAGCGCGAGCTTCAGCGTGCGATGGCGGTTTCTAGCCGGGGACTATCATCTCATTTTCGTGAGGATCGAGCAAATTCAAAGCCATGAGAAGCCCAGCCTGTAGATGCAACCCAGGCAAGCTTTGAAGTCGTCTTCTCGCCTTAGTCTCAACCGATTCCCCTCCCAAGGCTCATGCAGCCTTCAGTACCAAGAGTACTTTCTCAGTACAATATCGCATTCTAATCTGAAAGTCTTTACAAAGCAAACCACAATGAGCATCGCCAAGTTACCCATCAGACCTAAGACTGCCAATCGTTCTCCGTTCCCTTGGCCCGATCTACCCGCTCATTCCGCGACGCTTAAATAATCAACCGTCCTCGCGTCGGCTTTTGCACGCGGAGATATCAAGGCCAATGATTGATTGACGTAGCCGCGAATCGATGTCGACGTATCTCTCGCGGCCGTCGGCCAGAATGCGGAGGTACTGTAGCGTGTAGCGCGAATTGGGAATCCACTTCGCCTAGACTTCTTGCACTCGTGTCGCTCGCCATGGATTCCTGATGAACGTCAGCGGCGGCAATTGAGTCAGTCATTTCGCGTGAAGAGAGTGAGACCGGGCCATATCCCAGCAAGCCGGCAAGGAGGAGGAAGATGGCGTCGGACGGAACCACGCCAAACGCGTCTTCGGCAGAAACCTCGCCCATCGGCGACGAGAAGCGCGAAGCAGGATTGGAATTGGAAGAAGCAGAGGAAGAGCGCGGGCGAGAAGAAAATCTCGATTCAAAAGATCTACGAACCGCAAACGAAGCTCGTCCTCTAGCCGTTCCAATCCAACAAATACGAAGTCGCAGTTCCGCACGTTCGACGAGGAGTTATGCTGCCGAGGGGGAATACGCACGGGCAGACGAAGATGCTGCGAAACCAGATGGAGAAGAAGATCAGGAATTCGAAGTGACTTTCGATGGAGATGCGGATCCCTACAATCCCAAGAACAGACCCTACCTCAGGAAATGGCTCATCGTGCTCATCGTATCTTCGAGCAGTCTATGCGTAACTTGCGCATCGGCTCTCTACTCCAGCACCTACGCGCAGTTGGAAGCCGAATTTCATGTCTCGAGGGAAGTGGCGACAGTCGGATTGACAACATTCGTCTGTGGCCTTGGTCTGGGTCCCATGTTTCTCAGCCCTCTGTCCGAGTTCTATGGGCGGAGAATCGTTTACCTCTTCGCCTTTGGGATGTTCTTCATCTGGCTTATCCCATGCGCTGTGGCGAATAACATCGTCACGATGTTGATTGCACGATTCTTTGATGGCCTTGCTGGAAGCGCGTTCTTGAGTGTGGCTGGCGGGACTGTTGGAGACATGTTCTACAAGAATCAGCTCTCGGCGCCGATGATGGTGTACACTGCTTCTCCCATGGTTGGTCCGGAAATTGGACCATTGATGGGAGGGTTCATCAATCAGTTCACTGACTGGAGATGGTACGGAGCATGCTCAACCGTCGTAAGAGCTCGATCTCGAGAAGCTGACCCTCCCCAGGTCGTTCTACGTCCTCCTAATCTGGGCAGGTGTTCAATTCGCTATGATCTTTTTCTTCGTTCCTGAGGTACGAATCCGAGATGAAGGGGACAAGCTGGACCATTCACTAACGTTTCCAATTCGCTTCTTCAGACATACGCCCCGGTTCTCCTTCGCAGAAAGGCGGTCAAGCTCCGGAAAGATACTGGCGACGAACGTGTATGCAATGCGGGCGCTGTCCTTGCAACCATGTCGAGTGGAACCGCTGACCTTCTGGAAACAGTGGAAGGCGCCTATTGAAATCATGGACCGATCGGTGGCGAGAACGGTTCTCTGGAGCTGCATCCGCCCATTCCAGCTTCTGGTGCTCGAGCCAATGTGCTTGTGAGGAGTACCTACGGCAATGCTGTTGTGGGCGTCATGCTAACCGAGACCTCTAGGAACCTCTGCCTCCTCTCCGCAATCCTGCTCGGCATACTCTATCTATTTTTCGGGGTGAGAATGCACCGCGCTGTGTTCGGTGCCGATTTGGCGAAGATCGCACGTGCTGATTCGACCAGGCTTTCCCGCTCGTGTTTCAAAACAATCACGGTAGGCACAGATGACTATTTATGGTAGTGAGAAGTCGCAGCTAATGCGACTCAGACTTCAACGAGTGGCAAACGGGTCTGTCATTCCTGGGCATCTTCGTAAGTCATTTAGAGTGATACGACCACGTGCGAGACACGTGGAAGCAAATTAATTTGATTGACGCCTCCACGACAGGTCGGGATGGTGATAGCTGTCTCGTGCGATGGCATCTGGAAAAAGATCTGTGAGTATGCTAGGATATGTATCAGAACTCGCCTGACATTCTGCAAGACGCCAGACTCGTCGAAAAGAACAATGGGGTCTCAGAGCCTGAGTTCCGACTTCCATCTACCATGCTGTATGATCATATCGAACACGGGGTCTTGTCCCGCAAATGTAGCATGCTGACAGCTTGACTCTCTAGCGGAGCATGCCTCGTCCCGGTAGGCCTGATCGGTGAGTTCACAACATGACTTCAGGGTTCTCGCTAGGGCGGCTAATGTAGCCATTACAGGCTTTGGATGGACGTAAGTCGTTTCCCCGTACCGCGTTCCTTTAGACGCGCGGCAGCAGCTTACCATTGAACCAGTACGTTCCGCTTTGTGCCCTGGATTTGTATGTTCAATCGGCGTCCACGATCGATTAGGTCGTCGATGCAGGATACATATGCGAATGCTGAGCGACTGCGCAGTCCCGATTATCTTTTCTGGAATCTTTGGCACGGGCATGATTTGGTGCTATTCTGGAATCTTGTAAGTGGATATCATGTCCCGTGATATAGAGCACTTGCTGACGTCTTGAGGCAGCACATTTCTTGTCGAGTGCTGTGGGTCTATCATATATGGCGTCTACAACATAATCGTTGCGGTGAGGCCGAGCATGGAGTATGCTGATCGCGCACTAGACCCGCTGTACGCAGCATCCGCCCTTGCCGCGAATTCATTTTCGCGATCGTGTTTTGGTGCGGCGGTAAGCATCGCAGAGTCGCATTCAGTCCTTGTGTGGGTATGATGAGACATTGACTGACGCCACGGGACTTTGTAGTTTCCTCTCTTGTTAGTACTGCGCAATATCGTCTCCCCTTACGTCAACGCAAAAGCGCTAACTTGAAATCACCCTTCAGTGGAGTGCAGATGTTCGATAGTGAGTAGTGAGATACCAAGGTCCAGCGAAAGAGCGGTAAACTGATTCGGAATGATTGTCCAGAGCTGGGGTATCAGTGGGCAAGCAGTCTGCTAGGTTTGTCGCAATACTTCCTAATGGAGAAGGCCCTCCATTCGATGAGCGGTGCTGATTGTCATGCAGGATTCTTAGCGCTCGCGATGACGCCCTTCCGTAAGTCTTTATAATGTAGGACATCCCAGTACGATGGAACAGCCTGCTAATGGTGACTTCCCAGCTATTGTTTTCTTCAGAATCGGGAAAACATTAAGGGGCAAGTCACGTTTTGCGGCGGCGCGGTAGGGCGTGAAGACGAAATTGGATCAGGGTAATGTCTCTCGAAAAAGTGGGAAGAATTTGGTGACACAACACATCAGCGGTCCAGCATTCCAGACGGCTCCACTGGAACACACACTGCTTCCCAGCGGAGTGGCCGTACCTGAGATAGCACGCGCTGCGTCGTGCTCGTATCGTGCGGCAGCAGAATAGCAGCACCGCGGGAAGCCTTACGGCGAGGTGGATCGGTGGATGTGAGGAGAGTGTGTGCATGTGTGTCGCAGGCCCAAAGTCCGGCCAGGGCGGTCCTCGAGAAGGCGTCGTAGGTGACGTTTGGCGAGCGCCAGAAATTGAAGCACGTCAGGGCGGCGCGACGCTGTACCTCCCCAGGAGTTCTTTCCTTTGCTCTCGCTCGTACCCTAGGGCCTCCACGTGATACTGCATCGTAAGTGTACAGAGGCATGGCGACATGCATGAGATCTCTGGGCGGGAGCCAAACAGATCGACGGGTCGTGCTGCCCTTGCCTCGGCGCGCGGTGGTGGCTTCGTATCGCGCTCGGCGCCCCGGAGTAGCGGTGACAGGCGTGCTGTGTGCTCGGCGAGAACGTGGAAAACGTGGCAGGCCGGCAGCGCTCTGCAGACGGCTGGAAGTGGATGTCGGTGCAGCGAGCAAGGAATGTAGATTGTAAGCGAAAGAGGTGTGGAGTGGGTAGTGATAAATAGACGGACGGGAGGAGCCTTCGCTAGACGAGGGAGCTAGCATCGGACCGCCCTACGCACGGCCTTGCGGGCACGGGAGCTCCACGCTGGCAGTGATCAATGCGGCGCGGAGAAGAAGGACGATCGGACTCGGCTCACAGAGACTGACGGCAAACAGCACTGTACTGGATATTGCTCTGCATTCTGCATTCCTCTGCACGGTACGGACCTGCACGCTGTCCTGCACGGCTCGGCCTGCTTGGGAAGGAGGGCGACGGCGAGGACTCAGGCTGCGACAGGACGGGAGAGGAGCCACATCACGATACGAAGGAGGGTGCTACCGCAGCGTTGTGTTGCCGGAGCCATTCCAGTGCCTCTTGGAGGAGGAGGAGGAGTACGTCAGGTGCCTGCTACTCGGGAGCGCAGCATACGGCGGCCGCAGGAGCAGGAGCAGGAGGAGCAGCAGGAGCAGCAGGAGCAACAGCAGGGAGCAGGAGTTCGTTCATGCTTGCGGGCGCACACATACACACACACACACACACACACACACCCGCACACACAGTGCGCACACACACCGAGGCTGTGCCAAGGGCTCCAAGAGACACCCTGCTTGCGTACGCGCGCGCGCTTGCACACACGAGCCCGTCATAGTATCGTCGTCCAGTCCAGCGGATCCGCAGACATGGGGCTCTGATTCTTAGCGAGCGTAGCACACATTACCACGCACACACGAATCCGCAGCGTCGGGTCCTCTAATGCTCGCCCTCACCCTTCCCATCTCCATCTCCCAAACGCCGCTGCGACTGGTACAACTCCAGCGTCCCATCCCCTCGTGCCGGACTGATCCGTGTCGCGTGCTGCACCGCGCACAGCTTCATTGGAACGCGCGGTAGCACATCCACAGCTGCTTCTGGGCGCCTTTAGCGAAGGGAGATACAGCGCGGCGCTGCAAGAGCCGACTCGGGCTCGACGGCGGACTCAGCGTTGTGTTCTATACCACTCCCTAGGCCGTCTGCTGCTGCTGCTGCTGCCAGGCCTCGCCCGTGACACAGCGTAATCTCTGCGCGCCGCCCACCACGCGTGATCCATCCGCTCCCCAGCGTGCAGTTGCGCAGACTGCAGGGTGCCTGCGGTGCGGGCTCGTGGTTCTATTCCAGCCCACCGGTATCGCTCTTTCGAGCCACCCCCCGGCGGCATCGTCTGGTCACACAGCGGAACGTGGGTCGAGCGTGCGCCAAGGGCCTGTGCGCTGGGTGTTGAGTGCTAGGGCCACGAGCCTCCTCTGCGAAACGGCGGAACAGTTAATATGTCGCTCGACGCCGAAGATGCGTCCCCTTCTCCAGAACCTGGCGCTGAGCAGGACGAGTCAGGCATCATGGCAGAAGAGAAAGTAGAGCGCGCCTCCACCGAAGAGAAATCCCCAGCCCAACAGACCAACAACGGCAACGCCAGCAGCAACGGCAGCGGCACCACCCCCGCCAAAAGCAATGCCAAAGATCCTTCCCGTCCTCGCCGCAAGAAAGCACGGCGGGCATGTTTCGCGTGTCAGCGAGCCCATCTCACTTGCGGTAAGTCCGCCGCAGCGGAAGTCAAAGTGCGGAGGCAGTTCTTTAATAGCTGACTGTGTGAAGGTGACGAGCGCCCGTGCCTGAGATGCATCAAGCGTGGCCTCCAGGACCAATGCCACGACGGCGTACGCAAGAAGGCAAAGTATCTTCATGACGCTCCCGCGGAGGCTCTCATGCCTGGATTTGCTCAGAACTACGCACTCAATGGCTCTCATGGTCTGTCCAACGCTCCTGGCTCGGCGACGATCGGACCAAACGTAATGTCAGTCTCTCAGGCAAGCACATACTATCCACAGACAGCGGCAAGCGGCTTCCCGCAGTACAGTGGAGCAACACAGCCGGGGCAGATGGGCCCGCCCATGATGGACAACAACAGTATGGTGCCCGATTTCACCTCCAGCCAGACTGTGGGGACGCCCACCGGATTTCAGTCCTCATCGAGCCAGCAGGTGTCGCCAAACCAGGAGTTCACCAACGCGATGGACCAGAACCTCTCGATTGGCACCGCAGGCAGCCAATCCCTGGAAACACCCTATCTTGACCCCAATGACCCCTCATTGTTCAATTTCAACATCTCTGAGCTCAACTTTGGCAACCACTATGGAGCGCTTGAATTCGGGATGCTCGGTCATATCTCCTCAGGCGCGGTCAACACCCCAGATCTGAACCAAATCAACCTGGGAGATTCCAATCAGGGTAGTATCTCCTACGATAGGAGCGGTAGCTTTTCCAATTACAATCAGTCATACCCGTCCTGGCAAAGTGTCCCCAACCTAGGGTCGCGGCAAAGCAGCAATGCCAACATCTGGGCCACGCAAAACAACGGTCTAGAAGCCTACGCCATTGGAGAGCAAGCGCCTTCGCTCACCGGCGCAAGTCCTCACTCCCAGAACCAAGATTACCCGGGGTTGTCCTCTTCAAACGCTTCCCCGGAGACGCGATTCGCGCAGCCGCAGCCCGAACACCATCAACAGTCAGAGCTGCTTCGGCAGAGCTTTTCTCACCAGCCCAAGAAAGCGTCAGCTTTCCCGGGCGATCCGCACTACGACATGCATCGCAAGCGACGGCGTAATGCTTCTGAGATCTACTCATCCGTCACAGAACCGTATCCCTACACGCAAGGCTTCCATGCGCTCATGGGAGTGTTGCGTAGGCGATACCCCCAAGCCAAAATGGCACGCATTGCACAAGCGCTCGCGTCCATTCGACCGTCATTCATCGCGTGCAATCAGCACTTGAACCACGACGATCTTGTCTTCATGGAAAAGTGCTTTCAGCGAACTCTCTGCGAATACGAGGACTTTATCGGTAATATCGGCACGCCCACTGTCCTCTTACGGCGGACAGGGGAGATCGCCTCTGTGTCCAAGGAGTTTTGTCTAATAACCGGCTGGCGACGCGATGTGCTTCTCGGCAAGGAGCCCAACTTGAACGTCAACACAAGTGGCAGCAACATCTCGGGAACGCAGACGGGCACCAGCTCTAGGGGAGCTGCGACGCCGAGAGTCTCCGAGGCCGAGATGGACACAGGGAGACCTCAGCCTATCTTGCTTGCGGAGTTGATGGACGAGGACGCGGTCGTGCAATTCTATGAAGACTTTGCCGAGCTTGCCTTTGGAGCGTCCAAGACAAGCATGGCGAGTGCACCGTGCTCCCTGCTCAAGTATCGGACCAAGGACGACCCTGGCTGGGGTGCGCAGGATCGTTTTGCCGATGACGGAAAACGCATCAAGCAACAAGGTGGCGACAGTGTCAAGTCCGAACACTTGATCAGAGGAGAGGCGGGAATGAATGCACTCGGCGAGCGCGACGGACGCGTGCAGTGCCAGATGTGCTGGACCGTGAGGCGCGACGTCTTCGACATGCCCATGCTTATCGTCGTGAATGTAAGTGCATTACCATCACATGTGGTGTTCGACCCGAGGCTGACGGGAGACAGTTCCTGCCGCTCATTTAATCATGAGATGTGACGCGACTCGGCAGAGCCGACTATGAATGTACTCGATCACGAAGTCTGTGTTGTTACGTTTCATGCATGTATGCATGCCAGAGCCGTCTGGCACGGTGTCGGTTAGATAGACATGGGAGGCAACATGGACATTGGACGGCGTTGGTTCGGTGGCGGACATGATGCTGATACTACTACCGCGATGCGCTTCATGGGTGGAACTCGAGCGGAGGATAGCTTCTTATGGCCGCCGGGACTAATTTGTTCACCTCCAGCTACCTCAACGGATCCACAAGATGTTTGCAAATACAAAGCCTAATGCTGCTTTCTTAGGTAGTCACTCGATGTCCATTGTTTCTTCATCTCATCGCGTGCCCCACATGATAGGCGGGGGCGATAAAGTGAATGGCCGAAGTGGGCTGCGCAGCGTAATCCCACCTTGCACGCATCATTGCGCGACACACCAACATGCACGTTACAACAGTCGATTATCACCTTCGCGATGGGACGAGACAGACCACATGATGAGGTAGCCGGCCCCGACGACGGCCCTCAGCCGCCATTTCCTTTGCGACTCAATGGCAAGGTCATCAAGGGATTCGGTCGAGGGAGCGCAGATGTGAGTTTCCTCCCCTCGTCGTGCCCCCCTCGCCTTGAATCCCACAGCACAACACTTCATCCTCAATTCCATCAACGGTGCATATGGCACGACATGCCAGGGAGAGCGCGCCCGGAGTAGTCGGACGCCGTCATATGGTGCTCTTTGCGCAACCGCGCAAGGGCGCTGGCAGGTCATGATAGCCGCTTCGAGGCACCCGGCCGCTGACAGTGATGGACGAGGCGATCCGCCAACGCGTCTGTCACGTTGGTCCCACTGTCACGCTGGTCCCACGACTGCCGCATGAGGATGTCCTCAATCTTCCAAGGGCATTGTCCCCTCCTGTCATGACCCTCCCACTCCTGGCTGTCAGCATGCCATATGCACGGCACAGCATGTCAGTTCCACGTTTCCCCCTTCCCTCGCTCATTGGCATGGCATGGCAATTGTGTGACTGACGGTCGTCTCTTCTCTACCCAACAGCTCGGTATCCCGACGGCCAACATCCCTCTTTCCGGCCTATCCGTCGGCGGACACGAAGACGTCGAATCCGGCGTCTACTACGGCTGGGCCGGCCTTTCGCCCTCCACGGCCACCGGGCAGCATCCGCCTGGTACCGAATCGAAGTACAAGCACATGGCCTCCAAAGTCTTGGAAGGGCTGAATGCGGTGCTCATCGGGGGTGGTGGAGATGGTAGTGAAGAGCGGCGGAGCAGCTTTACCAAGGACAGTGGCGCCGTATACCCCATGGTCATGTCGATAGGCTGGAATCCTTACTATAAGAACACGGTCCGCAGTGTGGAGGTGCATATCATGCATCACTTTGGGACGGACTTTTATGACAGTCATATGAACTTGTTGATTTTGGGGTTTATCCGGCCGGAGCTGGACTACACGACGAAAGAGGCTTTGATTGAGGATATCAAGACGGATATCACAGTCGCTGGACGGAGTTTGAGCAGGAAGGCTTATGCCAAGTACTCAAAGGATCCGTATCTGTTGGACTTTGAGGATAAGACTGAGACTGCCAGCTAGAGCAGAGCAGAGCAGGGATGCTTGCATTTGATTACGCCTCGGCTGATATGAGAGAGAGCGTGATGCCATACAGTTACACCCATTCTCAGCCGTACTGAACTACTATCCGACAATCTATGCTCCACCTTCACGCTTAGCATACCTACTCCACCCGTCAGCATGTCGTACTCCAACAAGAAATCACTTGATGCGGCAAGGACCAGAACAGAAACTCACTCATCCTCCATCCTCTCCTCATATTCCCTATCCCTTTGAGCTTGCTGCTCATCGCTGACATCCTCGATCCTACGGCTCACAGATCCTCCAGTACCACCGCTCAACAATTGTCGACCCTGGGCGTCGTAGTTCTTCTGTTCGAGAACAGGCGCTTCGCCGAGGTTCTGACGCGCGGACTTAGTGGTCGTATTGCCTGACGGGTCGGTGTAGGATTGGCGCATTTGGCGTTGGCCGGAAGTGGTTGTCTGGCCATCGCTGGTGCTGGAGCTGGAATAGCTGAAGCTGGAGGATGTGAAGGCTGAATGGGAGGAAGACATGTTGGCTGTGGTTGCCAGTGATGTGATTGATGTGACAACTGTGAGGTTGATGTTTCTGGAGACTCTGCTTTTATGGGGAAATGAATGGGTCTTGGTCTTTATGTTTGTGCCCATGTGCCTTATGACTTCACTTTCTTTGAGTTTGTTTCTGGTAGCTCTTTGCCACATGTGGCGGGGACACTGTGGCGCAGATCCTGTTTCTGCCCCGTAGGGCCATGAGCGACGTTCTGGCCTTTTTGGTGCCACCTACTTGCTACGGTAGACCCCCAATTATCTTCTGCACCATTTCCGTCACTTCGTGCGCTTCAAGCACCTGCGAGATCATGATATGTGGCACCGACAAGATCGTGGCTTCCGTTGCTCTCCCAGCCTCCCCTCCCCACTGTAGAGCTTCACCTGGATTTTGTTAGTTCATACATTCGAGTAGGAGCCTTTTTATCCCTTTCCGCCTCTCTTCTCAAATCACACATTTTCAGCAGCTCACGAGCAGGACTACGATGAATCAATCGATATGGGCAGATCCGGAGCCTACAGCAGACGGACCAGAGCAGGAAGAGTCACGCGATCAAGGCAACGGCTCTGGCCCGAGTACGACAATTGGAAGTGATCCCACATCCTCCGGCCTCTCAGGAGCAGCATCGACATTTGAACCGGATACCAGTGCTCCTCCTCCTCCTGACACTTCATCCGCCGACGTGTTTGGGCAGACCGGAGCGCAGCAGCATGACTTGTTCAACGACATAGTCCCCGTCGAATCGATGCGCCTACGTTCAGACGACGACCTCTTCAGTGATGATTTCACACCTGCGCCTCAGCCGGTAGTAGAGCACGTAAAGCCGCAAACAATAAGAGGGAGCGGTGAAGGCGGTAGAGGGCGGGACAGAGGGAGAGGGAGAGGTGCGCGGGAAGCGCGAGGCCAGCAGAGACAGAGGGAACTGCGGCCTGCAGATACGACGCAAAGGGAGAACGCTATGCAGCAATCGCAAAGCGATGCTCCCGAAAGTGCTCCTACCGGCCCCCGCAAGGAAACTCCATCTGCAGTACGAGGAGATAGACAGGGCACAGGCGGTGTGCGGAAGCCCAAACTCACCGAGGAAGAATTGGCGGAGAAGATGGCCAAGATTCAGATCAAAAACGCTTCGTTGACAGCAGCCCATGCCCGGGCTGAGGCAGACGCTGCGTCGTTTGCGCAAAGAGAGCAACAAGCAAAGCAGGTATCCGAACAGAGAAAGAAAGAGGAACGGCGTGATCGGCAACAAATGATGGGTGAGCGGGAGAAGAACCGACAGCGCAAGCTGAAAGCCATGGAGGGTCGAGAATGGGATGCGGAGAAGCAGGAAGATGACTTCCATAAGGGAGGTCGGTTTGATAAGCGAGGAGGCTTTGCTGGTGACAAGCAAGATTATTCCGATGGGCGCGAATACTTGTACCGTGAACCAAGAGGCGGTAGTCAAGGGAGAGGGTATGGTCGAGGAGGAGGAAGAGGCGGACGGCCGTCAGAACCGGCCACCGTCCCAAGGAAGGAAGACTTTCCAGCACTGCCAGCCACAAAGGGCGAGGGTGCGGAGGATGCATCTTTGGACACTTCTCGCGTATCAGGTTCGACGGAGCCGTCCGGTAAGTCATGGGCGGATCAAGTTGAAGCAGCGCCCACGACATAGTCGCAGACAACTGCTGCAACGTCACTCGCTATTTGGCGACGTAGAATGGAGACATGGCATCGGGTAGCAGCCGTGCGGCGAAAGTGTGGTTGTTCTCGAACTGGAAGCGAGCATCTATGTTGCTACTCTGTAACTAAACGTACTTTGGTGGTCCCCTATCTGACTACCCATATCGCAAGAAAACGCAATACCAGGTTCTGGGGTGAGAACGTCTCGAGGTTCCTAGTGCCGAGCACGTTTTCTCTCGGCAGATCACAGGTTTTCAGACTCCTCACCTTGTTCACCACTTGGCAATCCATTCGTCGACGTTATGAAGAACAAAGTGGAAGTGCTAAGGCTCCAAACCCTTCGAAAGCAGCACGTGCTGAACCCGTGACACAGCGACGTGCCGTGCGACCCTCGTCATCTAATCTATGATCATCCTTTCGTACCGACGAATCTTCTCCCGCCTTGACTAGGCACCATGAAGGAGGTAATGAAAAGGCCATAACAAAAAGCATGTGGAGACGCTAGTTTCTGGCCTGCATCAGAGGCAAAGCCATCCACATCGCTTCCTTGTATTCTTGCAAGGTGAAGTAGATGCAGAAGGCGAGTTGGTTATCTGTCCAGCGCCCGAGAATTGGGGGTTGGAGATGCGCTCCGTGGACTTAAATGGAGAAGGTTGCCCAACATTCTTCCGCAGTCACTTTTCGGAGAAAAGGCAGATCGAGACACACAAGATGCGCGGCATCATCAAAGGGGGTGAGCTCGGTCGGATAGACAGGCTAGATCCCGTCTTCTCACGTCTCCGAGGTGCTGGCCTTATCGGTTCCAATCTTGATATGCTTGCTTTGAAGATTTTGATACCGGCAATGACTGATGATCTATTAGTTGAATCGCGCCTCAGGAAAAGGAGGAAGTCGTCGTGCTAGACGACCACTGCACGAGCGAGCCGTTCCGCATCGAGGCGTTCTGTGGCAATCCATTTTTGAATGAATTCGGTGGGCTGATCACCTGTAACCGAACCCTTTCCAGAGCACTGACAAGCAGACCAAATCTGACATCTTGCTTCTCCTACAAGCCCAGTTCAGTTCACCCGAATACCAGTAGACATTCGAAACTCGTGCTTCTGGAGAACTCGCAATGCTCTCGAGATGGCACGACAATGTAACGCCAGGTTACTCTTGGCCAGCACGTCAGAGACCTACGGCCAGCCGCAGAGGACGCCACCAGACGAGGGCTATTTCGGCAACGTGAACTGCTTCGGACCTCATTCTTGTTAAGACGAAGGCAAGCGAGTTGTCAAGGCTCTCGCGCACGCATACCGGCAACTAAGAGCTGTGGATATTCGCGTGGCCCGCAATCTCAACGTATACGGCCCAGGTATGGCAGCCTCAGACGGAGGAGCTATCAGTAGCTTCATAAGCGCAGCTAGCAGAGGAAAGAACTTGGAGGTAAATGGCCACGGTACTGCCACTCGGTGCTTCGAATATGGGGACGACTGTGTTGCCGGCATTGAGCTCTTGATTGAGAGTGACTGGCGCGGAGATCCAATCAATGTTGGCAGGTCATTGGGATGAAAATCGGCGAACTTGCAGAGCTGGTCGCTGGTATAATCTCGTCCACTACGGAACAAGTTCGGGCCAACATCGAATATCGAGAGCCGTTGCCTGATGTTCCTGTTCAGCCAAGGCCAGATTGTGCTTTGGCAAAGAAATTGCTGCATTGGCAGGCCAAGACTCATCTCCACGAAGGACTGGGCGTACCATCATACGGCATTTGCGGCATGCGGGTCCAGAAGACGATCTTTCACTGAAACTTTGACTTAGTATGACGGATTCCGCACTCATCCCATTGTTGCTCCTCCGTTCGGTCCGGAAGCCATCTGCCAATTCATCATGTCCATCTGATTGATTCCCGTAAAGTCAGAAGGCATCTGTGCCCAATCATCCAGGCCTGTGAGACCACCTTCTGAGAAAGCATTCATTTCACCAAGCATCTGCATGATATTGCCGTCGTAGTTCATGTTCATCTGATCCAGGGGCCAGCCACTGGGTCCAGCCATCATTGGAGCTGTCCGCGCCATGGAGACATCCATTGACGTCTGCACCGCATTCGTGGTCGTGTCCTGAGGGTATTGGGGTGCGCTCAGTGTAGCATCCGCGAATTGAACTGTAGGCGAGAGGCCAGATACGCTGCCGCCTGAGCCTTCATTGCCCGCAGTCCGAGGAGAACAGCCGTCACTGCTAGTGTGCTCAGTGATGCGAGGCCCTCCCACATCGATGGCGAATTGTTGCTTGCTCGTGACCGCGCGATCCGTTGAATCATCCTGGAGCTCGCCGGTCTGCTGCTGACGTCGCCACTCTTCTGACTGTTCAATCATGGAAGGATTAAGACACCAATGGCGAAGCTTGAACAAGAGCGCCAAGAAGACTGAAGGAACTCTCGATCGCTTGGTGCCGATGATATTTCGAACGTGCATGATCATTTGGTCCATATAAGGGTCAACTTTCAGGCTGGTCCGATCGACAAGCTTGCCTATTCGGCTCCAGGGCGATGCTGCTGAGAGACACAGCTTGGCCAATACAAAGTTCGCAAAGGAGACCCGTACGTAGCTGAAGACAGGCAGAGCTCGGAGACCATCTACGTCCATCGCGAGGAAGGTGTTCAGCAATCCATGAGCGCTTGCAATGCTTTGAGCGATTGTCTCCGCAAGGATCTGGGTTGGGATGTCATCAGCATTGGCCAGAGGGTCAATACCGCCCATCTGATAAGGCGCTCGAAAGTCCTCAGGAGAGTGATCGACATGCAGCGCGATTTCGAAGAGGTACAGTCGGATGGTGTAGTACATGATGAGCAGCGAACCGGTACCCATGTCCATCTCGTATATGTCGTACCACGTCGAGAGCCTCTTTTCGTAGTCTTTGAGCATCATTTGCGCCCGTAGCTCTGTAATTGATGCGATATTGCCAGGATCAGCGTAGCAAAAGGAGTCAGCAATCTCCTCTCCTAAAAATGTCAAGCGCGCCCAAGCAACCAAGGTTGAGTCGGTCGGAATTGTGTTAGGAGTCCTTTCGATAAGGTCCACGCACTCTCGAATGTAGCTGCTCACTCGTAGCATGTTCGGTCTCCTCAAGCTGAAGGAAACACCCGCACAGATGATGTAGCATGCCACAAATGTCCTGCGACATTCGATACTTGACGTATCCGGGCTTGAGTCACGAGTGCGGGCACTCATACTCAGATCTGGATTCTTGATATCTTCGGCGGGATGCTGGATGTCCTTGTCATCTACAAGGTCTGATGGCTTGCTCTTGAATCGAGTGCGGTGCATCGCTGGCCTCGAGCCTATTCCAATGTCCATGGCCATGGTGGCGGCCATGTGAATGTACTCGTAATACTTCAATTGCCCGAATTTAATTGGTGGATGGTACCAGACGGCTGATACTAGAAGAGCCTGAACGAGCTCAAGACTTTTCTCAGACTGCACCAAGCTTCGCGTTGCGTATGCCTGTAAGACTTCTTGGTCCAGCGCCGCTGAAAGCTCGGAGTTCTCTTTGCCCGCGGCTGCAGCAATTATCGCCAGGAAGAGGGCCGGCTTGGTACGGCGCATGTCATCTGCTGTTACTGAGTCTGGGATCGCGACCATGGGATAATGAGCGAAGAGTTGTGTTCTGTACATTTCGAAGAGTTGCCGTGCAGTAGCCATGCTGAGAAGGCCGCGGTCGATTACATCTTCCTCTTCTGACAAGGGCTTATTCGTGTATTTCCATGGCCACACTAGAGGTCCATGCTGTGAATGTGCAGCACGTCGGATGGCCTGTGATGTAGCCTCATCTGTCCCATCTGCGTTTCCCTGATTGTCTGCCTGTCCCAGCAAAGCTGCGTTTGGCTGGAGGTCTTTGAACCACAACCCAACTGAGCGTCCACGTTCTCCTTCCTGCTGGTGCTGACTCTGGCTCTGAGTTGGGCTGCTCGATCGACTATCTCGCTCTTTTTGTGCCAACGCCTGCCTCATAGCGCGCATCTCCTTCTCCAGCTCTGCCACTCGTGTGTCCGTCCTCTTTCTCTGCTTACGCTTCTGCAATGGCGTGAAAACGCAGGTGCGCCCCGATCTTGCGCATCTTTGACACACTTCCGGATTCGACTCGTCGATGATACATCGAACCTTCTGGCCTCGGCAAGACGCGCATGCTCTATGCGCTGGCACATCGGAAGTTGTAGACATGTCTGGTGAGGATGTAGAGCTCTCCGTCAGCTGATCATGGATGCTCCCCCGTCGTTGTTTCCCAAGCGTGGAATCCGTACGATTAACTCAATGAAAGCTTCTCCCAACGGTAAGAGGAAACTTGGACCTGCCGTAATCTTTGAAGTGCCGACGGCAGCATTGCAAGCACTCCATACAGTACACTTGGATGTTTACTGCGCTTAATGCAGGGATCCTCAAATTTAAAGTGTTGGTCGGCGAGTTATTACTAATCTTGACAAGCGCTGATATGGTGCGCCGTACAGCATCTACCCCTTTCCCGACATAACTTGAAAGCCTCGACTTCCTCCCCTTCAATGCGATAACAGCATTCTCTCCAATTCACCTGTGGCTGTGCACCACTATGGATCGAGTATCCTGTGGGTGCTAGCTGTCTGCCAACCAAGTGAGATTTGCCTTAAAGATGAACAAGGAATACAGGGCACTTACCTTGGCAAAGATTTCTTGAGCTGGTCGTAAACACCGCATTGTCGACAGAAGCTACCAGAGGTCTTTTCAGAATGAATTAAATTTGGAGGACTCACCATCAAGAAAGCACCGTCTCCGACGTGAGAAATGGTTCTCGAAATGACAGACTCAGCCGCTGGATGACGAAGGATCAGGCGGATGCATTGCTCCAATGCTCCGTGGATGCACCTCGAATGTCTTTTCGAGCCTTTCGCGTGGGTTTTTGTATGGATTTTGGTTGTCGATTCTCAAGTTTGACTGGAGAATTGGGTCACTGGCGAAGACGACCGTTTTGTTGAGTATACCAGACTCAACGGCTGTTGAACAGAAGATGGAACTAGCTGAGTTCTAGGGCTCGGTAGTAGCCGTAGCGAATTCTGGTCCAGCATCCTGGCTCGAGAAGTTTGATGGATTGGACAGTTGCGGCGAAATACCCGTGGTGGTTTGGGATACTCACCGCGAAACACGACACTTGGTGGCGTAGTGGACTTTGGGCAGAACGCAGAGCTTGGACCAGCGTACAATCGATCAGAGTGATCACGCTCAAGGTCTCTGCTTTGGGGTTGGGGACTTATCGCTGTTAGGTGATAAGCGGCCAATGTCCAGATGCCTTGAATTGCTGAAGTGGTGGTGACTTCCACCATAAACTGCAGATTGGCAGGCAAGTCTCTGATGGTGTCGGTACTTGGATTGAGATCTGGTCCAGGTGGGTTGATATGCCACTGGTGATCGTCGCTTGAGAGAGAAGGTTGTGGTAAGGCCTAGCCCATCGGCTGACCTGATGAAATTGGGACTGATGCTCCAGACGACTCCAGCGTCGGAGATTAATCAACCAGTATGTTCTCGGAAGTCTGAACCGACAACAACTCGATGAGGCTATCGAAGGAGGCCGGAGTACGAGAAGTAGAGTGTGGTTCAGTGCACACCGGATCGTGGTGACTGTTGTGCTTGATGCCACCAATGCAAAGTTTCCGAGAAGTAGTATCGCTGACGGGCCATGGGCTGACATCATTTAGAAACAGTTGACTTGCTGAAAAGCTGTCAAGTTCATTCAGGTAGCTGATAGATTTTGGGAAACCCCGACGTCTGGTCCAAGCGGGGTCAAAGACTGCTTATGATAGTCGGTTGGTCAAGGGGAGGTCCTAGCGTGAGTAGTACCGTACTGGCACACTATTAGGGCTGGGATCCACACTCAAGATCGCTTGCGCATCGTGGGCTGATCAACCAGCAGGTGGTGATGAGAATGGCAAGACTTCGAGAAGGTCGTCGAATGGAGCTGGGATTCACACCCAAGATCGCTTCCGCGTCATGAGATGATCGGCCAGCAGTTGAGGTTGAAAAAGACAAGTGTCCGAAGAGATCGCCGGGTGGAGCTGGAGTTACGACTTCGTCAGTCCTTGAAGTAATCGTAGCGTCTCGTGCTTGAGGGTTGAGTGTAGTGAAGAGCTGGAAGCCCCTCTGAAATACTGAGCTGGTGCGATGACCTTAAGAGCAGGAGGTTGATATCGCTTCTCAGCTTGTCGATTCCACTTGGTAGAGCGCGAACTTCGAAAAGCTGATGTTGGATCTTTGTTGGATCTTGAGCTTGGCCAGAAGTGTTAAATGCAGCACCGCTTCTGGGGATCTGTTCGCCGCTTGGTACGGCGGCTGCTCGAATTGGTAGGAAGTGGAACGGGACCGCCACCATAGTAGCTGGCCGAAAGAGTTGTGTTTGTTAGGAAGGCACAGCCGTTGGATGTGACTCGAGCCGATGAGAGCAGCGGTGTCAAGAGTAGACCGTGCCGGCGAAGCCGCGATGCTTGTCGTGGGCTGTCTGGGAGGTATGGCACCAATGGGCTGCCTGCTCCGTATGTGTTGTATGTTGAAAGCTGGGAGGTAGCGCCATCTCCGCTAGGTTGAGCGGTGTCAAGGGGCGACCGCACTGGCGGAAAATTTCTGGGCTGATTTCGGTGGACTGGTGGGAAGAATTTTAAGTACGGCGCGAAGCTCTGTAATGAGTACTCGACGGGATCAAATCGCCGAGTCTCCAATCTGGTGTGGTGAGGCTGGAACGCCGCTGCAGGGTGCGCGAGGCCGTGGCTCTCAGTTGTCAGTGCTGCGAGTAAATCTGTGGGGAAAAAGTTAGTAATGTGTCGCGTGTGCGAGACCCCTGGTAGCTTCTTGTCGAGTGCTGATGGTGCCGATGATATGTGGTGGTCTGTTGTCGGTGGTGGTGATTTTGAAGAATGGGGAATAAGATCATGGAAGTGCGAGGCAGATGCGAGGAGCTTTCGCGATGTTGTGACCGTGCGAACTGGAACATGTCCGCGCAGCGACTTGGCACTCGCTAGCGCGGCAGCTCCCGTGCATGTGAAAACTAGGAAGGAGCGACCACCGGTACCCATCCTCAACACAAATTAAGGTCAGCCGCGTCGAATCTGAGGTAATTCTGTAGTACCCAAGCCCTACTTCAAACATTACCGGTCGGCGTTGAGGGAATCCGAAACGATCCTCCAGGAAGCCAGACATGTTCCCAGCGCCCCTTCCAAATCTGGAAGGAAACCAAAAATGCCAAAAAAAAGTCCTCTCATGGCGATTCGAAGCGACCGGAATCCATCAAACATCACATATCAAAAATTTTCCAACGAAATCAATCGTTAGAAGTGCATAAATAAAATACAGGCGGGCCGTGAGGCCCACCTATTTCCACCCTACCAACCTCTCTGAAGACTCTTGCGAGGAAGTTAATCAACTCGCAAGAGGAACACATTTAGGCCACACTCCATGTCGTTATCGTGTTCTTTCCTGGCAGGTGCACAGTAAATATATAAAGCTTTATTGGAAATCTAAGCCGTTCGCCGAAGTTTATGCGGGAGACGGGGTGACCACATGTGACGAGCTGGGAAGAAGAATCGCCAGCCAACACTCACATGGAAGGAAAGATCAGCTCACATTGTGTTCTCAATCCGATCTCATTGACCCGCACGCGTCAGTCTCCCAACACACGCACTGCTAGACAAAGTTGAGAGTGGCACCATCGTCCGCGCGAACGAACGATTTCGGTGACGGCAATTGCCCGAATCGCATTCACATACCGTCAAGAAGCGACAGATGATGGCTGGTGATTTGCATTGCGACCTAGCCAGGCTAAAGACGGTCGCGGAAAGTTCTTGCTCCCTAGATCTGCGCCTCCAGATATGGGAGTGTGTTTCCGAATCTAGAAGCAGCACAATGAGACGCGCATCGCTTTACATAAAAGTTGACGTACTTGGATTTGTCTCCCTGTGGAAGGGACATGTGAAATGCATTATGTTGGGTTCTTCTCCTTGTTCCCGGGTCTTGCATCGACAAGAGTCTTGTTTGAGGGCTTTTCTGGCTTTGACAATCTGTTAATGTAGCGACAATAGGCCGAAAAGCAAATGAAATGAAACGATGACCGCTAAAAAACTGAGCAAGGAACTCGCACACAGGGTCGTACAAGTTGCCAAATATTCTGACAGTTATGTACCCGGTAGGCAAGGTTGAACTATCTTTTGCCCAACCGATTTACAGTATTGTCGAAAAGCTTGCCTGTGAGTCAAGGGCAGCGGGTTCGGGACTGAAGCAAAGTACTACGGCTGTGTGAAGAGGAGAAACGACTGTAGATGCTTCTTGTCCTGATTCCCAAATGACAACTGACTTGGAACCGTGAATCTAGCTGCCGTGATTTGCTAGAATTTCTTGGTCGGATTGATTGTCTGGCGAGATCTTCTCGAGCTCCCGGCTACAGATGTACTTTAGTGACCAAAGTTCACACATTGTTAGGCGCTCTAGCGATTCTGTTCGGAGCTCCTGCGAAATGATAGGATGGGTAGATCTGTGAAAGCTGATGTGAGTTCAGTAGATTGCGGATCATGTTCGGTTGCTTCTCAAGCGTTTGCTGGCAGTCTGCTAACGGGCCCCCAGACTTCATGCGCAAGAACATGCGAGAGTGTTATATCGAAGCATATGGAAGTCCAGCAATTGACATGTCGAGACGCTGCTTTTGTGCCTGCCCGGATATACTTCGGAGCCGACCGTAAGTGAATGAAAGGTCCAAGCATGTGATAATTTACGTGAGACTTGTTCGGTGGGGTCGAGCGGATGTTTAGGCCATGATTTGGGACAGATGGACTGTAAGCTGGTCCAACCAGTCAGCTCATTCGACGGCATTGATGCCATTCGATAGGCCACCGTCGCGACGCCTCCAAGACCTCGACTGCAAGAGCCCAGGCTCGAATGTCATACACGTTTCCATCCATAGAGCTCCACGCTAGCATAGCCGTGCGCCACTCCACATCAACGGAGAGGATTTGCAGTTGTACGCATGTCTTCGACCGAACTGTAGACAGTATTGCGGCTGCCGTGGCAAGCATGGAGTAGAGGCAGTGGCGTGCTTCCCGGTAGCATGATCCTCGGAAATTAAGGCACCAAGCATAAACCGTGGATGTCGTCTCGATCTACATGTACTCTAGTGTCTTCGATGTTTGACAAGACTGTAGCTTCAGGGTAGTGATAGGTCTTCTCTAGAAGTCCGGCGGCGGGCATGTTACCGCCGGCAATGGTTGGACATGCACCCATGTGATGAAATTGTCGTAGCCTCTCGGTCGGCGAGACACGCACGTAATGCCCACAAGGTCTTGGAATAGTGGCGCTCGCAGGCGATCTGCCTCGGCGCATACCAGTTCGCAGTGCATCGAGAAGGAGCGAGCAGGAGAGCTCTTGAAGCGTGTCGCAATTTCCAGATTTGAGCAATGCGATGACGGCAGAAGCGGTGTAGCTCGCATTGTCTTTTCTGCAGGCCGTGAGAGGTGGAGGTGAGGTTGGCCAGCTGCTGCTCGGGCAGAAGTCGAAAGTGGCGCACATTGCCGGCCCGGGACGTTAGATGGCGGGTACTACATGTACCTACTAGGTATGTACCTAGTAGGTAGCTGCCGTGTCACTATACAGCATGTCCCCGGCCTAACAAGACAAGATGATAGAATGCAGATATCAACGGAGCGGATAGAAATTGACTGTCTCCGGATAGGATGCTTCAAAGTGATGGTTTCGAGCAACGGAACGGAGATGCCAAGCCTCAGCAGATGGTAGCATCCACAATCGTTCCTGATCTGACCCCGGATGGTTTGTCAGTCTTGTGGTCTTGGCAGCGCCCCGCCAAAGTCAGATGGGACCTCACGCAGCAGCAATTGGAGCCCCGGAACAACATCCACTCAACCGAACACTTCACCCATCACGATCCCTTACACACCTCACCGATACTTGTGGGTCTTCTCTGGATGGATCGTCCCGCTCCCTTAGGCTGTGCGGCCGCCTGCTATTGTTTATATTTGCCATTTCCTCATTCCATTATCTGCTGATCCGGACTTCACCTCTACGCACGGACGAATCCTTTTCTTTAGTCCTGTCTGACTCGAGCACGCCGGCACTCCGTCGAGAGTCATGACCGACGTCGAAGACGACCACGCGAACCGTTTCGCCAACGATCCATACACCTGGGACGGCCTGACAGGATGGAAAAGTTTCCGAACTCTACGCCCTTTTCGCGGCATGTATTGGGATGTAAGGCGACGATTACCTTACTACTGGAGCGATTGGGTTGATGGCCTCAATTACCGTACCTTTGCTGGCACCATCCGTATATTCTTCGTCAATCTGCTTCCTGCCCTGGCCTTTGAATTGGACATGATGCGAAGGACCGGAAATTACTTTGGCATCAACGAAGCACTGTTCTCCTCTGCGCTTGCCGCGTTTGTCTTCAGCTTATTTTCATGCCAGCCATTGACAGTAGTTGGCATTACGGGTTTGATTTCGCTGTTTAACTACACCATCTATGACATTGGTGCGGACCAAGGAATTCGAGATCTGTATCCTCAGTTCATCGCGTGGGTCTCAATATGGGCTGCAATTACCCATTGGATGGCATCCATCTTCAACTGGTGCGATTACATGCGATACATCACCGATTTCTCGAGCAACTCGTTCGGCACGTATGTGTCCATCATCTATATGAGTAGGCTCGAGCCCTTTCAGGCCTACTGCTAGTCAAAGACATGCTGATTTTCATTGCAGTCAAGGGTGTCGAAGAGCTCGTGGCCCTTTTCGACGAGACCAATGCGGAAGCTGGATACTTGGGAATTGTCATTGCAATCAGTTTCTGGGCGACGGTGTGGTTCTTGGAGAGCATGGGCAGCACCATCTACGTCCGGCCTTTTGTTCGGAAATTACTCTCCGATTACGCCTACCCGATCGCCACCATCTTCTGGACCGGATTCTCACATATTCCAGGCAGAATCAAAAACGCTGGATTGTCAAGAATTCCACATACCCGTGCATTTTACCCAAGTCAAGATCGCGGCTGGCTTGTAGATTTCTGGAATCTGCCTGTGAAATGGGTCTTCGTTGCGTTGCCACTCGGAATACTCCTAACATTGCTCTTCTACTACGATCACAATGTCAGCTCTCTCACTGCGCAAGCTAAGCAGTTCCCTCTCAAGAAACCAGCAGGCTTCCATTGGGATTTCTTCCTGCTCGGCTGCACGTCTTTCATCGCCGGTATCATCGGTCTTCCGCTTCCGAACGGATTGGTCCCGCAGGCACCTGTACATACCGACTCTCTGGTCGAATACCGCGACTATCTCACCAAGACCAAAGAGAAGACAGATGACGACACCGCCGACTCTTCGCAATGGGTCTCTCACAACTACAAGAAAGTCGAAGCCGTGATGGTCCGCGAACAACGAGTCTCGCATTTCCTCATGATGCTCGCACTCGTCGGCTGCATGACCGGTCCCCTTCTCATAGTCTTGCACACCATGCCGCGCGCTCTCTTCGCGGGCGTCTTCTTCGTCGTCGGCTGGAGCGGCATCCCCGGCTTCAACATCACCCAAAATCTCCTCTACTGCATGAGCGAGAAACGCTTCACGGAACCCGGAGATCCCCGCAACACACTCAAGAAATCGCGAATTCTGTACTTCACCTTCTGGCAAGTTCTCGGCATTGCTATCAGCGTGGCAATCTCGCAGACCATCGCCGCTATTGGGTTCCCCGTCGTTATTGTCTCCCTCATTCCGCTCCGCTGGATTTTGCTGCCGCGCATCTTCACCGAACACGAGCTCATGGTCCTGGACGCACCGACCGCCGACTCCGACGTCGTGCTCTGTTCGATGGGCGGTCAACCGGAACGGCCCGAAGTCGTCATGGCAAAGAAGAAGCGAGGAGAGCGAAACGCCAGCGGCGAGGAAGCGGCGGCATACAGTAGTGGCAGTAGCGAGACGGGCCAGGTCATGCGGGAAAGGAAAAGCACGAAAGATGGAGAACAGCTCGCAGAGCAAGAACGGGAGAAGAAGAGGGAAGCCGAGGGGTTCAAGACGACGCTTAATACGGGGCATAACTAATGGGAGTAGACGATAGAGGAAGATGGAGCAGAGAGATAAGAAGGCGAGGTGGTCTACATAGTAGCGCTGGAATATTTCGCGCTAAGTAGGCTCAGGCGTCTTTCGGACGGTTCTGATGATGAGGAGAGAATGTGTACAGATTCAATGAGTTCTCGGCCTCGTGAACTGAAAGGACAAAAGCACGGATGATTTTCTATCAAGAAGTCTATGTCTCGCAATTCTATTCCGCTCTCACCAAAAATTGCCAATCCTATGCTAGACCTCAAAAGTGTCCTCCTATACCAGCAACTCTTCCCTTTCCCATTCATGATACCAACGACAGTAGTCACACTATTCCAACCAAGTCTTATACAATATCCTTCTTCCTTCCTTCTCCCTTCTGCAATCAAAACTCCTCTCCAGTCAAGTCCTCAAAAATCTCAACGGCAACCTGCTCTTTCGCCCTTCTCATCTTCCCCGTCATCGTCCGACTGCCCGTGATCCTCTTCGGACTCTTCTTCGCAGCATTCGCCGCATTCTGCGACGGTCGCAGTGGGCTGCTCTTCTTCTTCTTCTTCGACGGACTGGGCTGTTGACTCAGCGGACGGAGTTTCAGACGCGACTGCTTCTTCGCCGAGGATCCAGGAGTCTTCGTCTTCTTCTTCGTCCCTTCTGGACTTTCGGCCAGAATCTCCTGCGTAACCTGCGTGCTGAAAATAAAACAATGCATCTCCTCCGCTCCCTCGGGTAGATCGATCGCCCACCCTTTGCCCTCTACCAGATTGAGAAATTTGCTCAGGAGTTCATTATTCCTCAGCGTTCCACGACTGCCGAGGACAACAAGCTTACTCCTCGCTCTCGTCAGAGCCACATTCACTCTCCTCCAATCTTTCAGGAGATCCCCAACAATGCCAGCCTCGTTGCTTCGGACCATGCTCAGGATAATGCATTCTTTATCTCTTCCCTGAAAGCGATCCGCGGAATCAATTTCCACTTCGGAGGGGATGCCGGCTTTCTTGTAGAGTTGGCGCATGAGAGCGAGTTGCGAGCGGTAGAGAGTTATGACGCCGATTTCAGAAGCGGGCACACCGCGGGAGAGGAATGATAGGACGAGTTGAGCGGAGAGAGTAGCTTCGAGTTGATTCGTGATGTTCTTCGTCCCGTTCATGAGGGTCTCCCGCGCTGATTTGCCGAGAGCGTCGGTATTGGCGAAGAGAACTTTGCGCGTCGGCGAGGTCGCTTGCGCGAGCCAGCAGGTGTGGTTGTCAGTGCAAGAGATTTGTGTACCTGCTGGACGATGGAATCGGCCAAGAGCCGTGGCATCTGTCACTTGCAGCGTTCGCGACGCCACGCTCTCGTTACCGCATCGCAATTGGCCATTGTAGATCAACTCATTGCTGAGCGTCATGATGTCCTCGCACATGCGGTATTGACGTCCAAGAGCAGCGACGGCTCCAGATTGCTGCTCACTCAATTGCCGAAAGAGCGAAACGTCCAACCCTCCCTCTAGAGCAGCTTTGTTCTGCACCAGAGGCGGCAATTGAAAGTGATCTCCAACAAGCACAAACCTCCTAGCATGCAGCAACGGGCCCAGGATGGTCGGCAGAGTAATCTGACTCGCTTCGTCCACGATACACACATCAAAGCTCCTGCGATTGAACAGAGCATGATTCGTACCCATACACGTCGTCGCCACTATTTGGGTATCCATATAAGCCGCGTCGATTTCTTCAATTGTCTTACGAGGAGTAGCTGCAAGCTGACAGAATTCCTGGACTTGACTATTAATCTTCGCCGGGACGCCCAGACGCAGGATGCTCCCCTTTGGTGCAATGTCGCGGATCTTGAGGAGGATGTTGTCCACTGCCGTATGCGTGAAGCTTGTCAGGAGGATGCTTTTGTTTACTGCTAGGAGAGCACGAATAATGTGTGCAATTGTCGTTGTCTTGCCTGTGCCTGGCATTCCCAATATGAGCGCGTAGTCTTGCGCCGAGACAACTTTGGACACAGCGCTTTGCTGATCTTCGTTCATCTCTCCAAGCTGTGTCGGTTGTAGCTGACTCGGTGCTGCAGGTAGGGAGTTGAATACAGGCTTCGCTGCAAAGATGATTTGCTCCCTCAATCTGGTCTCGATGGGCGCAGAATTCATGAGACTGGCGAGATTGTTGCGGACCAATGCCAGGCCATTTGAGAATTCATCCTTGTCAAGGCGATAGAGGACAGGCTCATGGGACAGCTGAGTTGAGTCGTCTATCCCAATGGTCATGGTCCCCTTGAAGGCCTGGTTGGCCTTGTCGTCGAATTGAGCCAGCCGTTGTCTCGAGTTTCCAAGCCTTCGATCGACGGCGACGGTGATGCTTTGTCGGCTGACAGCAATCACGTACCCATTGGCAAGTGCCCATTGGCCAGACTCGCTGGAAACAACGACTGGCTCTCCAACAGTGAGTTGACTGCCTTCGGCAAAGCTGTCTCCAGCGGTAGAATTTGCACGAGCAAAGGCATACGCGTAGCGATTGATCTTGCCACCACTGTCCTTCATTCCGTCGACAACTTGTGTGGTGATCGCTGCCGCCGTACTGGTGAGGTCTTGCCACAAAATCAGATTGCCAAAGCATCGACCGAGTGCTTCACGCTCCACAGAGGACATGGTCCAAAGCTCCTTTCTCATCCGGGCTTGATCGCTCTCCTCGAATGTTAGAAGCTTATCCCATTTGGTGAACCACCTCTTCAGCGTCTCTGACCTTATGGCGTTCTCTGAGAGGCCAAGCAAATGCCCAACTGCCTCATGCCATACCAAGCTATGGTTCTTCTTCTCGTCATCAACCATACCAGCAGAGTCCGCGCTGCCGTTCTCCACGAGCGCATGGTATGAGAAGCAGGATTGCTGAGCATAACATCTCCCACACTTGAAAGGATTCCTTAAGAGGTCTGGCAGTCCAGATCCTTCGATCGCCTGAGACTGTCCTACTCCAGCGTCCAGCATCTCGACATCGTTTTCTTGGGCACCTTCTGGAGGGTTTCTCGCTCGGTATATGTACGATGCCAGGCGATTACGCTGCTGTACCATTTGCCGAACTTCGATCAGGGGTGGAGCAATCCGCGACATGGAGGAGCTTTCCAGATAGTAGAGAATACCAGCCTCAACAGGAACGTCGTAGCGATCTGATAGGAGCAATGTATAGAGCGCCGTCTGAGCCCTATGAGCCGCAGACTGTGTTGTCCGACCAGTCTTCACTTCAAATGGCACGATTAATTTCTTGGCGGGTGCTTTGGGATCATTCACCAGAGTAGTCTGTACAGTAGCATCGACATTTCCCTTGAGGCCGTATTGCGGAGACCAGACGTGTTCTTCGATCGCAATGAGTTTGCTGATGGACATCCAGACCTTTTCTCCCTGCCTGTCATCGACGAGAGATTCCGAAGCCGGTTGATCAAGAACGAAGATATTCGCCCACGCCGCGAGCTCTCCCATCTTGGCTTTGACCTCTTCAGCTGCGAGGTTGGTGTCTCTCATGCCAAGTTCCCAGAGGCCTTCCACATGAGCTTGCACGGTGCTCTCGACAAGGTTGGCGAGGAATTGCTCATCCCATCGGTTGGCTGACAGAGCTTGCTGAAAAATCTCATGCAAGATCTTGCCATACACCATGGCCTTGCTGGTCTCGCCGGTAGCCTTGATTCTGTCTTGTAAGACTGCTTTGCGTATGCAATCGAAAGAGTCAGCTACCGTGGTTGCAGACAACATGTGGTCTGGATGTACAATAAGGAAAGGACTGCCTTCATCATCGGTGACCATTGCTTGTACTGGGGGTGTTTTCTCCGGACCAGCATCGCGGCGAAGGTACGCAAGATGAACTACGTTGCCCTTACACACTGCAGTGGCTGTCCAGGACCCACGAAGAGTGATTGCAGTCGACTTCGATGTTCGCCAGTGTACTGCCGAAAGGACCTTCTCTGGGCATCTTCGGCCTTTGTCGTTGGTGTATTCGCCGTCCACCACTTGCGTAACAACATATCGATGCAGTCGAGCTTCGTTGCCGCCGCACTGGACTGCGCTACAGTTTTGGGATGCCGACTTGTGTGGACTGTTCCTTTTTCGCGGACTTCGCTTTCGGGGTGATATCTACGTACATAATAAGCTAACTAGCCGGGACATTATGGAAACTCAGAAATGTTGACTGACCCTGTGCGCCTGTGTCGCGCTGAACTCGGCCTGTGTAAAAGACTCCTCGTCTATGTCATCGCCTCCGAACTCGTCATCATCGTCGGCAAGAGTGATCGTCTGTCGTGGTACTGTCGGCTTCGATGGCTGCACGCTCGTCCCCTCAGATTGTCGGTGCGGATTTGGATGCTGCGGTATGTCGTACAGTGATCTCTGTTCGAGCGGCTTCTGGGACAAGAGCTCGTCCAGATCGTCGGCGGTCAAGTCAAATGCATCGTCTCCAAACTCGTCAAAATCTTTGCTTACTGTGGCCGCGATGGGGGGCGCTATTATTTGCTTCACCTTTGTTTGGCTGAGAGGTCGCGTGATCGAAGGTCTCTTGTATGCTGGCAATTTTGCTTTGCTCTGCAGGTAGAGTCCTGTGGAGCTCGGATTCAAAGGATCGCCGACTGGCTTTGACAGATCCACACGAAACCCTCCCGATTGTGTTGTTCGGATGCCTTGACTGGGCGGTCTAGACTTCGGCTCTGGGGCTCGAGGATGTACCTTCGGAGGGCTTCGTATGTTGGGCTGTCTAATTTGGAGAGGGCTGACAGCACCAGGCGTTGGGAAGTTCTCTGCTCCCTTCTCTGGTAGGGGGCTCGAGCTAGAGGGGCCTTCAGCTACATGGGGCTGCGATGTTTGCCTCTCCTTCTCGAGTCTTTGGGACGCCAGCGTCTCTTGTATCCTCTGCACCATCGTCGCAACTTTGCTCTTGCCGCCAGACTCTATCGCAGTCTGATCCTGCCAGACGCTTGTCCCTTGTCCGCCTGCCGTGCATCTCCTCTTGTTCTTGGTGCTCGGCCAATCGTTTCCAGTGCTTGCCCACCTTCGAAAAGGGCCGCTCTTAATGGGAGTCTCCATTGGCCGCGGAGAGCCAAGGAACATCAGACTGCCGACCTCGTTAGGCTTCAGTCTTTCGCCACTTTGCCTCCCGTTGGCATATCTCTGCCACAGATCAGCAGCTGGATCGGCTGCCGGTGTCCTCTTCGCAGTCGACGGCGCACCCCCGTCGCCGAAGAAAGCGGATGTCTTGTCCTGTGAGGACGTTGTCGGACATGCAGGCGAAGAGCTCTTGGCGCGTTTCCTCTTTCTTTGATTCGGCGTGAGGCCAGATGAATTCGGGTTCCAACCGAGTTGTTCCTCGGGCGAGTAGTACACCGGCTCTTCTCGCTGAGCCTCGTCGCAATTTCCGATCAGATCCTCGAGAGGTAGTCTGGCGCCTGGAGTGCACGGAAAGGTGTTCGCATGTGGCAGACTCGGCGCTTGTCTTGAGCTACCATTCACCAATTCATCGGGAGCCGACTGGGCGGCGTTGCTACTGCCATCCGTCGTCTGTTGATTCTCGCCCGACACATCATCTTCTTGAGCAGCTACGATCTGGCCTTCATCATCGGGCGCATATTGGAAGGCTTGCAGTTTCGACTTCGCTTGCGTCGTTGCGGGTATCGGCGGTTTCGGTGGAGGAACATTGGCGGGAGCCTCGTTTCGCGCGGGCTGAGCATGCGGTCTCCTGCTCCATTGTCCCGGCCTTGGCTGTGTTGTGTGTGTCAGTGGGCGTTCAAATATGACTTGCATGGGTTGGGGCCCAGGCTGTAATACCATTCGCTGGTCTGTATCAAAGAAGCTCTTGGTGCGGGTCGACATGGCGACCTGATTGAGGGTACGAGAGTGATGATATGTGTTGTCCACAGCGACACATTGCTGGCGTTCCAATGAAGATGAGTAGAGATGCCGTTGCGGTTGCTATGAGAACTGGTCAGGACTGATCAGGACTCATCATCAATCTGCAGTTCAATGTTTGGATTTGGGTTTGGGTAGACGCGACGCGTAGAGCTAGGTGCGCCCGGCTACTTCGGGTGTAGAATACCCGGGACGGAGAGCACAAGCCGTCCTGACTTTCACCTCACTCCGAACGTCAGACTGAGAATGCACCCCCACGTGCGTAGATAAGCGATGAAGTCTGTATAGCGGAGTGAAGCATCACGAGGATGCTCTCGCTAGTCGATGGCTCTGAGCACTTGCCACGCCGGCCAAGGTCTCGTGGCCGTGCTCCTGATTACACGCTCGAGGCCAGGACCGAGACTCGTATTCCACTACCCAGAATCTCCCAATTTGAGTCACGCAGAGCGCGCTGTTGCCGGAGAGGATGACGACAGCGACTCCGACAGCGATGATGAGAAGAACCCTGGACCCTCCGGGAGCGGCGATAGCCCGGTCGATATACGACATGTTGATGACGAAGCTTGTTCGGAGCAAGTCTTGGGCCATTCGGTCGAAAGTCTCGAGAAGCTATTATCGCCGGGCCGCTGGTGCGATGGAAAGCGCTTTGAGGTCTGTGTCGACGGCCTCACCTTTCTAGGCCATCCGGTCTACGCGCCCGAAGACGGCAACTGGTCGCCGGAATTACGAAAGCAACAAGAGGCCGCGAAAGCCTCTAAACACAGATATGGAGATTATCATATGTACCTAGACCCGGGCAGCCTCGCTCCTACGCCTCCAGAAAGCTTGCCTCGAGCAGGAGGCTTCACGCATGTGCCGGATAGCTTTGACTCGCAGATTGGCCGGGCCTTCGGCACTTCCATGGACAGCACTTCGACTTCTTCCGGGAGGGAAGCAGAGCAGATGTCAATGTTTCATGTTGTGTTCGCACTGCGCTCGTACAAGTCTGGCAGCCAAAATGGAGCAAAGGCTGTGTATCGGGACGTTGCGAAGAAGTTGAGCAAGGCCTTGCACTACTGCCAGAAGCAATCAAACTACGTCGGCGTTGAGAGCCGTAAGCTGCTTGCTTTGAGGGCGAAAGCGAAACAGCAAAACCTGTCCAGGACTACCCTTTGGACGCAGATGGTCGAGACAAGTGAGCTTACCTGGGCACTCAAGCAAATCCACGACCGCATCTCGCAAGGCGAAGTTGCGGGGATCAGACTAAATGGAATGGAGATGTCACTATTCATCAATCCATCTCCTCGCTACCCACAGCAAAAGTTGGAGCCTCTCTCTGCACTCCTTCTCTTGGAGCCCAAGGAGGCTCTCCTCTCCGAACTGACCCACCCGGACGCCGCGCCGCTTGCACACTTCGTCCGAGAGCACACTCCGACCAAGAACTTGCAAAAGCACTCTAACAACCTGGGAATACCCATCAACGACATCCTCTACCTCGCGCAGCATCTCCTCAAATGGCGCAAAGCGCGAATCATCACGCCTCTCCACCAACGCAACACTTACGTCGTCAGTCCCGATGCACCGCTTGACAAACTTCCTACCCTCATAGAAACCTACTCAAAGACCTTTCCGACACTACCAAGTCTACCGAACATGATCAAGGCTCTGAGTGGCAAGCCAATCAAATACGGTCTGCTGGTGCCCAGTCGAGATCACCGGATGACATACATGGATATTCTCGGCTTCCTCGTCAGGCACGGCCTCGTGGTACAGTTGATGACCTACGGATGGCTGAGAGTCCCCAGATATTTCGCCACTGAATCAAACGACCCAGCCAAACGACCGCTGCCCGTCAGAAGCCTGCTCTCACCTCGTCTGAGGCCCGCCGCCGACGAAGATGCGGTGAGCGTCAGTTCAGAGCGGACAGCAATTGCCCTGAGCAGTGTCGGGAGATCCACTTCCTCCAAGAGATTGAGCGATGGGACTCAAAACCCACAACAGCAATCCGAAGAAGTTGCAAAGAAGGATGTCGTGACTATCGCCGATCCCGTCAATCCTTCAGAGGAGGAAGCCAAGATTATCGCCGCGATCACCGCTTCTCTGGCCAACGAAGAGATGAGAGATAATTTCCCACTGTTGCTCCCGCACCTGGACGGCGAGCATCCTTTTGAGCAGATCGCGGCAAGGCAAGGCATGAAGACCGCAAGGGTTGAGGAATGGCTGAATGAACTGGACAGTAAAGGGTTGTTGATGACGGTGCGATGTATTTGAGATACAAAGCCTTCACTGCAAACTCCTCTACAAAGATTGTCTCCCTTTGACGGCAGAACTTGCAGTCGATTCGTGAGAAGCATAGTATTGGGATGGGATCTGACTGGGAGACAAGCAAGACAGACGAGTCTCGATCAAAACCTCCCCACAACGGCTCACACAAGATTCAAGCTCTCGACCACCCTTATTGAGCCAGCATAAAGACCTAATTTCGGAGCTTTATGCTCCAAATTTCCTCTCCCAAAAGCGCTTCCTCAGCCCTCGCAATTCGCTTACTAGAGCTTTGAGGTTGCGTTCCACTGACAGAGCAAAGGCCGGTGAAGTGGTAATCGACGTCTCTTACTTTTCCTCGCCGTCCAAATTCGACTCTCTGTGATGACTCGGTACAGAGTTATAGTCTCTAGCCGGGTCTTTCTTTGGACTCTCCAGGAACTGCGTTCATCGCTAAGCACCCAGTTCTCACATTCCCTCTGCATAGTAAGATGAGCTCTCTCGTCCAGATCACAGCCTCAGGTACTCGGACAGCAGCATCGGTCCTCCGTAATAAACCGATAATCAATCGGAAGAATTGCGCGATCCCGCACTCGGCCTGCAGGAAAGAAGAACAATCAGGGACGACGAATCGCTTCAAATGACAGTCCATAATAACTTCACCTCTCTCCGCGCTCTCTTCAATGCGTATCGCATTCGTCAAACTTACAGTACTTGCAGGATCGCACATGGCGTGGGTCGAGGGAGGTCTTACCCTGCTCTGGGACCATGTGATGCTCGGATGAACAGTGTTCGATCCATTCTGGGATGTTGGGCGACACGTAGCCACAGCCAGTATGGACGCAGCAGCGCTGGTGGATGCTGAGGCCTAGACTTGAGTTTTGGGTGGTGAGACGACGGTGGCATTCTTCGTAAGAACAGTGGAACCAGTCACCGGATAGTATCTCCTCTTCTTCTCCTCTCTGACTTTGGGTTGTAATGTCCCGCTTGGAGTGATCGTCAAGGAAGTCTTCTGGTTCGTCCTTCATTGCCACGTCGAGCGAGTCATGTCTAACATCGTGATGTAGCATTAGTCTGTCGTGGTGGGTCATCGATCGCTCATATGATCTAGCAGCGACCCTGTGAAAGCTTCCGCTCAGATGCTTCTCGACCTGACTTAATCGTTGCGCAGCTACTGACGCCGACTTTTCCCACGATGCTTGCAACATCGAGACCTCGGCTTGCCGTCGTCGATCCGGGATACTTGTTTGCTGTAAGTTACACGGCAGGCGCGTCGTTTGTCCCTGCACCAATTGATTCACAGAGTCGAGAAGCGTCGGATTGTCATCGTAAGATAATCCATCCAGAGAATCGTCGATTAATTGCTGCTTTCGGAATGTCGTCTGTCTTAAGGCATCGCCGTCCGCACCGTACGCGTGATCCTGCAATCTGGCTTCGAAGGATGGCCGAACAAAGTCATCGTCTACTATATCATCCATTCGTTCCACGAATTCCTGAAATTCGGCATCTCTCTGCGATATCCTTTCTGATCCAATTCGACTTCGAAATCTTGAAGGTGCAGCTCCAGATCGTCTTCGCTCCTTGGAACTGCTAGACACTTCTCCAACAGCATGCTTTTCGGGTGTCTGCGGTCCAGTAACGCGTTTGCCACCAGAGACGACATGCAGAGGGTCGAATTCGGCTTCGATGCCTGCAACACCGCTGAAAGTTGAACAGGCAAGTCCTCTGGCACTTCCGATAATTCGTCGACCGATGTTAGAATTAGGTCTTCGGCTTTCTCCTTCAGCCATCTTGGACAAGTTGTCACTCAGTACGCCACCTAAAGGCGGCAGACTGTCAGTAGAAAGACAGAGTTAAGTTGAATGCTCTGTGCTCGAGTGAGAAGCTCGCCGATCAGAGTGGATCCCTCGGTGGCTCGGCCCGTCTGTAGGAAAGAACAACTCAGATAGGGAAGGTTTCCCAGTGAATATGACAAAATCCTCGGAATGGAATGCTGTAGCCGGGAAAATGGGAGCTCTGTGAAGAATGTCGAAGCGGGCTAGAAGGGAGGAGAAGAGTGTGAGATGACCGCGAGAAAACAGAAGCAACGGAAGGAGTTGGAGACGTCCATTTTACTCCTCACGTACCGGCAGGGTATCCATTGGCGGGCGACGGCAAGGATGCCACCGAACGTGAGAGGGAATGACGAGACATCAGTCGTCGAATTTCCATCAACCCGAAAGCAACATTTGTTCGCATCGAGCTGACATCGAAGCTTTCGCTGCTTGAAACAGCCATGATGGCAGAAGCTATGTAATCCTCGTAGGCTCTCGTTCAAACACAGGTCTTGAGAAGCGCGGCGCTCTGCAGTACCTTAACGCCTCGCTGGATGCAACGCACACCATCTAGCCAGCTTTGTACAGACGCGCGTGAAAATTTGTAGGCAATCTTTTTACTGGGCCTCTCCACGCATTTTGCGGAAGAAGTCCATGACTCCGGTGAAGACGACCTGAGTTACAAAGCAACGGTTAGCAAGTTTTCTGGCCTGGTAGGACATTTGATTCCGAGATTTCACTCACCAGGAGAATACCACCGCCAGGACCCAACCTCAGCACCTTTGGCAAGAAGCCCTTGTAGAGCGCTCCGAAACCTTCCTCTTTCATGACAAGGCCTAGCGCCGGCCACGCCCAGCCGTACTTCGGCACGCCGCCTGGAACCTTAGGGCTGTTCTGTATTCTGCTCTTGACGACATCCATCGGAGTGTTGAGGACCGTTCCTACTGTTCCTCCGACCGTGCCAGAGATAATGTCGTTGCGCATTTGAATCGACTTGTCCTTGGTCGGGTTGGCTGGTAGCAAGGCGCGGACTTGAAAGATGCAACCAAAGTAACCGCTATTCCAGAGGACGTGGCGCCACATGGTGGACTCAAGGCCTTGGTAGAGAGTCCAGATACCCTCTTGTCGAACGATCTTGGTCACGCAGTCGAGCATGCCGTTGTACTTGGCCGCTTGAGCCCTGTCTATCCTTGGGTCAGTAGACGTCGGAATATGAACAAGCATAGCATAGCTCACCTTGTAGTCGAATCTTGACCAACTCGAAGGGCACGACGACGAAAGACTCAGTCGCACCTGCTGAAGCTCCAGTGAGAATGGACAGGGACTGGTTCATCTTGGCAACTCCGAAAAGATTCCTGTAGACCTTGCCCCATTCATCGTTGGCTGCGAACTTGGTCGCACGCTTCGGTGCTTCCATGAGAATGGGGGCGCCGATACCACGGTAGAGACGTGAAGCGCTATGAACATCAGCTCTGCTCCAAATCGCCCAATGCCCGGTTCCACCGCCGCCGCAGCTGCTGCCCTCGCTGGTACTGCTGTTGCATAGTCTTACCCTTCGTTGGCCACGATCTTCTTGAAGCAGTCCAGCATGCCCGTGTAGTGATCCTGTCCCGGGACGGGGACGCGGCCTTGGATCTGACTATATTCCAAGCGTTATTGTACATCCTTCGGAGAATGGTTGTGTTGGCGTGTGTCCTCACACTCTCGTCTTGACCACATCGAGCGGATACATGACCAGAATTTCCGAAACACCTGCCACGGCGCCGGCGGCGAATTGATATATGAAGGGAAGGGGCGCGTCGGTAGACATTTTGTCGGGGCTGTCGCGTGTGCTGTGGGTGGTGCTGATAACTACTAGGAAGTCGGCGAGGACTCGGACGTCGCAGGAGCAGGATGCACTGAGAAGCTTGCAGGCTTCACTCGAATGCGTAGAGGGGAGATGGTCGAGGGACGAGTGGAAGCAATTGAGAGTGACAGTTCGAGTGTTTCGAGGTTCTGGAGAGACTCGGAGCTTGGATCAGGGAAGGGTGGAGGCTGGACAAAGTTTCCGGGGGTGTCCCTCGCCGAAGCACAGCTCACCGTGCGGTCAGTTGCCGATTCGTTCTTACAACACAGTAAAAAGTACCCTTATCAATGGCATGTGCTTTCAAAGACGCTGAGCACCCACGTGATCCCCGATACCCTCTCGATGGACACAGCAGCCAGATGCGAGTGGAGCTAGACGTGCAGCTTAGGTGGCATAGTCGTGTAACGAGACTTCGAGATAAGCTCGGCGATTGGATGCTTCTCGACGGAGACTAACCGGCGGCCGCATCAGAGGGCGAAAGGGCGAAAGGGCGTTGCACGGCACCCTCATCACTCGGCCTGATCATCCATCCTCAGGAGCTCGCTACAGGTACTGTTAGGCTTTTCCGCCAAAGGCCTGTGACGAGCGCGTCACTCTACATTCCTTTTGGTACCGCTGATCTACCACCTGCCGTTCTGCTTCCAGGGCATCAAACAGGATAATGTTAAGGAATCTGGTATTCATCAGCTGCTCCTCGAATACTACATTCCATCCTTGTACCTCGGGACCAGATATATGTCTGTGGGTGCTGGCTGCTTGACTACACTCAAGCCCAACTCGGGCATTAGAGAATGGCTCGGATATCAAATTCTATCCGGTGCAGGTGTGGATATGACCCTCGAGCAATGCAACATCGCTCAGCAAACAGTTCTTGGACGCGATCAGACAATCAAAAACTACGAATTGGATCCGCGACAGTTCCAGGCATCAATTCGAGCATCGTCACCAGCATCGTCACAAGCAGCGGAGCTACGAATCTCGCGGATGATGTGTGCGCTGCGGCAGTCGTGAGACAGGATATCATATAGCAAGTCCTGAATGTCTACAATGGGTTTCTCACGTATTCGTTCTATGTGGCTGTCGCCTTGGCAGAGTTTACGATTTCGCCAGCGCTCGGCGTAGGATGGGAAAGTGTGAAAGCAAAGAAGAGAAGGCAAAGGATGAAGACAAGGCAAGAAGAAAGAAGAGCACAAGGTCAATAGCGTGGCGAGGACTGACTCTGAGCAGGTAAAGATGGATGAATGAACCTTCTCAATGGTCAATGACGAGCGGTTGCAGTGCCAGCCTGTGGCAGAATACGACAGATAGAAAGTATGATCCTGATCATTATCATACTGGCAGTTATGGACAGAGAACGTGACAAGATGTAACCTGTCCCGATGCTCGACTTGATGGATGCATTAACCTCGATGGTGTTGGTACGGCGAAAAAAGGCCGGTCCGGTCAAGACTTCATTGACGACGCGCGAAGTCAACGCCTGATCACGTGTAAGATCCTTCGAAGATGTTGATTCGCGATCGCCGGAAATGTCTTGTCGAACATCGAATCCCGGGGAAACAACAACTGCACACATCATGAGATCGCCGTAATGCAACATGTCGGCTGAGAAACGAGGAAGGGCGTGTACAGCCTGTGCCTCCATCAAGATCAAGTGCCAGCTGGGAAGCGATGTCAACCTCCAGCCACCCTGCGAACGCTGCGTCCGGCTCAGCAAGGAATGCGTGCTTTCTCAACCCAAGCGGCAGAAAGATCGCGTAGCAGAGCTTGAGGCCCAAGTGGCGTCTTTGACGCGATTGCTACAGGCACAGGGAATCCAAGATCCAAGCATCTCTTCGGGACTGGATACTTCAAGCGATACTACTCCACCTTCTTCTTCGACTCGGTCTCCCGGAACGGCAAGCAAAGCCAACAGTGTCGGGAAGAAACGTAGACTGTATGCTGCACACGACAGAGGCAACAGTTCGACTTCTCCGACATTACCCAGGGGAATCGAGAATGACATCTCTAAGCTGGACCAACTCCTTTCGTGGGAGACGCAAGAGAGAGTCCTCGTACGATACGTGAACGAAGTCTTCCCTACATTTCCCGCAGTACCGCTCCCCGCCGACTGCACACTCCACTATCTCCGAGTCGAGAAGCCATTGCTGCTCTTGGCTGTCATCTACGCTGGAAGTACGGCGATTGTGGCGCTAGATGCGCAAGAGTCCATCGCTGCAATGGTCTTCGCCCGACTGGTGGAAGTGGCGGTCTCCAAGGAAGACAGGAATCTGGAGACCTTACAAGCGATACAAATTGTCTGCCTGTGGTATCGATCTCCTAAGCAGCACAATCACCTCGCGTTGAACCAGCTCATCCAATTCGCTTGCGGGCCTCGCGGTCGATATTGGCGTTGGTGGCCCTCTACAAGCACATTGGACGGACTTACGCCCCATGACAGAGGTGAACATCAGTAAGTCAGAGCTCTTGTAGCTACCATCGGACTCATTGGTTTATCGCCGCCGTCTATCAATCCTCGGTAGCTGACGCGTATTCACAGGAGAGGAAAGGTATGAAGAGTCGATCGACTGCTGGCGAGCATCGCTGGTGTGTTACCATCTCGCTGCCTCTGGCACTATCTTCACTCGATGCCCAAACATTATGAAGCAATGGGACAAGCACCACGATCAATGCGTTTTCTATCTGGACCAGTCGCCGTACGCTCTCCCGACCGACCTCTGGCTTGGTAAATTATTCCGGGCAGAGCGTCTGTGCGAGCAGATTGCTACAACGTTGGAACTCAACAACCTCGACACGTTTCTGGACATTTCAGATGCTGCGGTGAGAACGAAGATTTCACTATGCCGAGACCACCTCCTGAACTGGAAGGTACAGACACCTCAGTCGACGCGCAATCCAATGTTGTACTTTTGGGAAAACCTCGCTCTCGCGTACATGCACGAACCGGTCTTACACACAGCGAACAACAAGCACACTTTTACCGCGCCGTATGTGTCAGACAGACTTTCAATCACGGACTTTCCAGCTCCCGTCGTAACCGAGCAGCACATTACCGCTGTGTATGAGCTGCTTTCGGCTCTCCAGTCGATTGTGGAAACCCTCTCGAACTGGAGTACCACAGAACTCCTCGGACAGTCTGGCCTCATGGTGTCTTCGCGAGCCACGTACGCTCACTACGTCCTCGCGAAGCTGTACGTTGCTGTGACGGCGCCTGGCAACACCCTAGGCTCGATCATCGACCCGGCCCTGCTAAGATACGAAGAGTATTCGGACAAGCTCATCGCCACGGCCTCGAGAGTCGCGGCAGTAGACAATCGATGTTCGCCGTCAAGAATTCTGGGCGCGGCGCCGAAGTTGCGAGAATGGGTGGACAACTACAAATCCAGCCTGTCGGGTGACGTGCAGAGGCGATTGAATGGCGGTGGCACGCAGTTCAATAATCCGGCCATGTTGGCAGCGACGGAGCCGGCCGTCGTTGCGAATGTGCCTCCGATGGCGACGGACTTGGACGCCGTTCTGCAGCTTGGCGACGAGTACGGCACGCTGAATATGCTTTTTCGGAGATCCTTGGATGATGGAGAATGACATTCTAGAATGACATTCTGAACAGCAACTCGGTCGGTTGATGAGCGAAGTCTTGGCGAAGTCTTGGCGAAGTCTCGGCGAAGTCTGGGCACAGCCAAGTAGGAAGGTACAGTAGAGCCGGCTGCATGTGGTCGGCGGACGGCGAACGGCGAACGGCGGAAGGATTCTCCGGGTGCGAGCTTTACTCGATCGCATCGAGTCATCTGGAGAGTTATCTAAGGTACGAGATCTCCGGACATGCCTCCCTCTTATCACCCCTCGCGCACACTCATTGGGCGTGCCATCTGCAACATGGAAATATCATGCCGTTGCGCGCTGCGTGGCTGCATCGACATGAGAACTCTGCCCGGCCCAGAGTTGTAGGGTTCGATGCGATGGAGGATCACGGGTGGAATCATGTCCAACTTAAAATGTGCGCCTTCCCACGAGCATACGACGGGTGGTAATCCTGTACCACGCGACCACTCGACGACAACCCCACCATCCCCTGCGTCTGGTACAACACTGCATCACCGGGAGACGACACCTCTGCTGCATCAGTTCGCATCGACGAGACCGGGGCCTCGATCAACCGCCATGGAGAGCATCCGGCAATTCAGCGTCGGCGCCTTCCTCCACAAGCTCGAAGTCGACCATGAGCCGGGTCTCACAACTGCCCAGCTGCTGCTTGCCAACGAGGATCTCAAGCCTGTTGAGCCCGAACGACGGCTATGGAAGAGCCGCAATTTTGTCGCATTCTGGGTCTCCGATTCTTTCAACATCAACACGTGGATGATCTCGTCGAGCAATATCCTGGATGGTCTGAGCTGGTGGCAGAGCTGGCTTTGTGTCTGGATAGGCTACTCCATTGCTGGTGAGTAAACTGCTCCGAGTACGACGAGCTTGAGACTGACATGGTTCCAGCTTGCTTTGTCTGCATGACTGGTCGCATCGGTGCCAAATATCACATATCATTCCCCGTGGTGTGTCGCTCCAGCTTTGGCATCTGGGGATCTCTCTGGCCTGTGCTGAATCGAGCTGGAATGGCCTGCGTGTGGTACGGTGTCCAAGGCTGGATCGGAGGAACTTGCGTCTACCTCATGATTCGTTCCATCTGGCCAAGCTGGGACTCGTACGGACCTGATGGCAGCCATAACACCCTTCCTGCATCATCCGGCACCAACACCCGCGATTTTGTCAGCTTCTTCCTGTTCTGGCTTGGCTCTCTGCCTTTCCTGTGGTTCCCCGTACAAAAGATCCGTCACCTGTTCACCGTCAAGGCCTACTTCGTTCCTGCCGCAGGTATCGCATTCTTCATCTGGGCCATCGTGCGAGCCAACGGTATCGGCCCTATTGTGAAGCAAGGATCGACTCTCCAGGGCAGTGCGCTTGCATGGGCGATTGTAAAGGGCATCATGGCCGCGATTGCCAACTTCGCAACGCTCATTGTCAACGACCCAGATTTTGCCCGATTCGCGAGGAAGCCACGCGATGCTCTCTGGCCGCAACTTTTGACCATTCCTATTGGCTTTGCTGTCACGAGCTTCATTGGAATCATCGTGTCGTCCTCATCCGTCGTCATCTTCCCTCCAGAGCCGATTTGGAGCCCGTTGACGCTTCTCCAGAAGTTCCTGGACGAGCCGGGCGTGGGATCTGGAGCCCGCTTCGGCGTGTTTGTCATCGCAGCGGCCTTCACACTGGCACAGCTTGGAACAAACATTGCCGCGAATTCCATCTCCGCTGGTACCGACATGACGGCTCTGCTGCCTCGGTGGATCAACATCCGTCGGGGTAGTTACATCTGTGCGGCTGTTGGCATCGCCATGTGCCCTTGGAATCTGTTGTCGAACAGCAACAACTTCACGACTTATCTGTCAGCCTACAGTGTCTTCTTGTCGAGTATTGCTGGGGTCATTGTTTGCGATTATTACTTGGTCAGGTACGTATGAGAACGACTGTGAGCTGGGACAGAAACGCTGACAAGCTCGACAGGAAAGGATACCTTCAGACAAGGGATCTTTACTCAGCTTTGAAGAACGGACCATACTACTACACGTGGGGCGTAAGCTGGCGCGCGTATGCAGCCTACATTGCCGGCATCCTCATCAACGTCGTCGGTTTTGCTGGAGCTGTCGGCACGCCTGTACCTAGGGGAGCCACATACATCTACAACCTGAACTTCTTCTGTGGCTTCCTGGTCGCGGCGATTATGTACTATGGCCTATGTTGGTTCTGGCCAATTCCGGCGACGAGTCCGACTGGTAAATGGATGGAAGTCGATGAAGACGTGACCGGAAGGAACAACAGTCTCGTTTACGGCGATGATGTCGAACGGCATTCTGTGGAGTCGGTAGATGCTGGGAAGTTGGATCTGCCGAAGAGTGCGGGAGCTTAATGAATGGAAGAGCAATGGTGCAGAATACGTATAGATTTGGTATGAAGTTATGACCTGATTACTTTGGGCTGATATACCCACCCTCCCTATGCTGGAATATCTAGCAGATTTTCCCTTCAGAGGAAGAGATAGGGCAACCTGGTATCGAGGAGCTACACACAGCGATCTGGCCTCATTGGCTCGGATCTGACTCCAACCTGCATGAGCTCTCCTAGAGCTCCGCCTCCCTCAGCGAGTTCGGCTTAATACTACTTCTCCACCCGCGATGGCGATAGGCTGACCATTGACCTCCTTCTCGACCGCACTTTCCCATTCACACGTCTCGGAAAACAAACCCTTCTTGGAACCGGAGCCTCTTTTTATTTTGCGAGCGATTGTCAGCATCATGGACCTCCTTCCACCTCTTGGAGATTTCGGCAGGAACTATAACTCTGCTATAGCTAGTGTCGCTTTTGTTACCGCTGCCGCTGCCGCCATACTATGGATGCTGTACCATTTTGCAACACAAACCGATATCCCCAAGATCAACGGCATCCCCGAGATTCCAGGCGCCCTCCCCATCGTCGGGCATCTCCTCCAACTCGGGGAAGACCACGCGACCGTTTGCGAAGTAAGTACTCCCTCCCCCCCCCCATTCCAAATCCAAATCACACATCTCAACTAACCCTCTCCTCTCTTTCCCCCAGAAATGGTCTCTCGCCTACGCCCTCCCAACCTTCCAAATCCGCCTGGGAAACACGCGCGCCGTCGTGGTGAATTCCTTCCACGACTGCAAGCGCATGCTGCTGGGCAACCAGAGCGCCGTCATCGATCGGCCGAAATTGTATACGTTTCATGGCGTCATCTCGTCCACGCAGGGGTTTACGATCGGGAGTAGTCCGTGGGATGAGAGTTGTAGGAATAAGCGGAAAGCGGCCGGGCAGACGCTGGGGCGGGTGGCGATGAGGGGGTATGTGCCTATGTTTGTGAGTATTCGTTTTTCATTCGCCCACCAAAAAGGGGAGAGAAAGATGCTGCTCTTTTTTTTTTTTTTTGAGATAAGAGCTTTTTGTATTTTGACGTTTTTCTCTCTGGCAATTTTTAGGATCTGGAAACATACTGTATCGTGCGAGATTTATGGAAGGATAGGTAAGAAAGACCCCTCTTCCCTCCCCCACACCAACCAAATGCCTGCAGGTGCAGGACCTATGTTATCTCTCCTCCTCTTTGTTCTGACTCTTTTTCTTGGTCGACATCTCTAGTCAGCAGCAGCAGCAGTCCCCCGCCTCTTCAGAAAGAGGCGAAACAACAACCTACCTCAGCATCAGACCTTACCTCCAACGCTACGCCCTCAACACCACCCTGACGCTATGCTATGGAATCCGAATGTCCCACCTCTGGGACGGCATGCTCCGGGAAGTCCTCGAAGTCGGCAGCGCGATCAGTCTCCTGCGGAGTGCGTCGGAGAATTATCAGGATTACATCCCCAGTCAGTCAGCCTTTGTCCCAAAAGTGCTCTAGAGAATAGTCTCACTGACAAGTCAAACTCCGGGGGTTTTTAAAGTCCTGAGATACCTCCCCAACAACGAAAAGACCGCCCGGAGTAAATCTCTGCGCGACAGGAGGGATAAATACCTCAACGAACTGCTAGAGCGCGTGCGCGTCATGATTCAACACGGAACGGACAGACCCTGCGTCTCGGCCGCGATTCTCAAAGACGAAGAGACGAAACTCTCCGGCGTGGAAGTCTCCTCCATCTGTCTCAGTCTCGTGAGCGGGGGGTTCGAGACGATCCCGGGAACGCTGACCAGTTGTATCGGATCGCTGTCCACGCCTGAAGGACAAGTCTTCCAGGATCGAGCATACGAGGATCTCGAGAGGTGGTATCCGAACCTTGAAGATGCGTGGACCAGGAGTCTGGAAGTCGAAGAGGTTCCTTATATCAATGTTCGTGCTACCCTCTTTCTCTCCTCTCCCGCCCTCCAAACTTCTGGGCCTCCACTGACCTGTGGAAAATCCGAACAGGCAATCGTCAAAGAAGCCGGCCGCTACTACACCGTCTCCTCCATGTCGCTGCCCCGAAAAGCAGCCACAGACATCCCATGGGACGGAGCCATCATCCCCAAAGGCACCATGATCCTCATCAACGCCCAAGCCGCCAACCACGAGGTCGAACATTTCGGTCCCGATGCGCCCACTTTCAATCCGGAGAGGTGGCTGCAGACGCTCGAACCCCCCGAAGAGCTTCCTGCCAGTGGATTGCAGCACTTTTCATTCGGTGCCGGCTCGAGGGCTTGTTCGGGCCAGTATATCGCGAGCAGGTAAGTGTGACATATCTGCTTGGAGGAATGATTCGCTGATGACGTCCAAAGGCTTCTGTATACTGCGTTGGTCAGACTGCTTAGTAGTTTCAAGATTGTGGCAAGTGAGGAGGAACCGCCGAATACAGACTACGTGGTAAGAAGCCATTTCCAGGCGGTCAAGCTCAGTCGAAGAAGCTAGCGAGCTGATTTCCCTTTCGCAGGACTACAACCAATTCAAGTCAGCATTGGTGGCAATACCAAGGGATTTCAAAGTGAAGTTGATCCCAAGAGATCCGGATCGTTCAGAACGATGCCTCAAGCTGGCCGAGGAGAGGACAAAGGATGCGTACGCATAAGCGTGACGGACACTCAAAAGTCATCAGAACGTGAGCAGCGTACATACTCGACATGTCACAGCTCCATGTGGTGCAAAATCCGACTTCTTACTAAGTTGATTCCGTCCATCGGCGCAACAGTGTGAACAGCCCACATGTCGGATGGATTCCTGCCGGTCTCGAGGTCTACGGAGTAGTCATACCTCCCATCAGACCCAAAAGCCGCAAGCAGAAGCTTCAATCACCTTCAGCCATGTCATCAACAGATAGGCACGACTCGACATGCTCAGACTTTCTGCCTGACACTACCAGGTGTTAGGGTACCACAACAACAGGGTCTCCTACGATACGTACCTCTTCAAAGGCAAAAATCGGGTAGCACTGTGAGGCGGCGGATGATGCTTATTTTTTGGCTTCGAAAATCGCTTCGGGTCGGCCGTCAAGGCTGAAGACGCATGTATGTTCCCGCTTGTCAAGGAGCGGGCTTCATCCGAAGGCAAGTTCCCAATCCCTTGAATGTCTTCATCTTCGTAGTGTGCTGTAGCCGCATGCCCGATCATAGAGGTGCCTAGCCTGCGACGTGTTGAAGCGCCGTGACCTTGTGCTAGATCGGTCGAAGAGGCATGTCCTGACGAGCGGTCCCTATAATGGAAGACAGAATTGCCAACGGTAGCTTTATCAGAACAGATATCCTCCTTGACAGTCTCCTGAGAAGAAGTCTCTTCCAGTGGCGAAATAGTATCATTCTCTTCCCAGACTGATTTAGCACGCGCAGACTCGGAGACTTCGCTTTCAGTATCACCAAGCACGAAAGCTTTCCAAAGCTCTTCGTCATTGGTAGTGCTGTCGTAGTATTTGAAGAGTTCCCCCGACCCAGCTGGGACGTCTTGCGCGCTTTGAGATGCCGAGGCATTAGGATGTGATGGAGCACTTTCTTGAAAATGGTGTTCTCGATCATCCAGCAACTCCTCAGAGGCTGATTCGAATGGCGCATCATCTCTGGCACCGTGTCCGTTGTCTGGTGCGTTATGCAGCTGAGCCCCAGAATCCGGCATTGCCCGTCTTCCAGTGAGCTGTGACAACCCCGACAGGACGCCAGATGGTGGCAAGCGCAAAGCTGATGACTGCAGAGGCACCATCGACGTATTCTCATACCCGGATTGTCCGTACTGCTCGAGTCGTTGGAAAACTTGGTCGTCCTCGTCTTCAGATCTCTCTTGGTGCTGCTCTCGTTCAGCGTGCGCCGACTGAGGTAGTTTCGTCACGGCAATGACGCCTTCTGAGCCACCTTCACTAGGAGCTTCATGGTGCTGTGGCGGCAACCCCGGCGTCTCATTCCAATCGTATTGATCTCGTGGGTCAGCTCCATTCAAATTGTCAGGCCTGTGGCCTCTGTAGTCGTTAGCTTGGTATTCGTAGTCAAAAACGTCCTCCTGAGTCTGCGTGTACAATGAAGTGGCTTGATGGGCCCACGGATCCTGCGCAAAGATGCCGTCTCCAGTATTCGAACACTTGACTTCGGCCTCATCATTCTCTATCGCGAAACCATGATCGTCCACATCCATCAACATGGACTGTTCGGACAAGGCTAGAACGTCGGTGGACGGCCGGCGCATGCTAGTATTTGCAGGTAGCGCAGACGGACGCGTGTACTGTGTCTGACTATCGAATGCTCCGGTCCCAATCTCGACATTGATGTCTTCCTGCTGGAGCGCACCACTCATCAAAGCACCAAACGGTCGGTGCCTCTCGCGGAACGGACTTGGTGGGGGTGGTGGCGCCGTATGCTCGGTTTGATTGAGACGAGGCTTGTCAATCTTTCGTCGCTTGCCGATTCTGTCCTTGTCTCGATGAGAAGGGAACCTGAACTTTGCGGGACGAGAAGCTGCCAGGCCCAGCCAATCGTCGCGGGCAAGGAGACGTCTGCGGTTAGCTAGCAGTAGCTGCTCTTCTTCTGTCAGTTGAGGCGGAAAGTCACGCCCTGCAACCGGATCTGGCTGTGTGTGTTGAGAGACAGCAGACGGCTGGTGACGGGAAGATATCGGGGCGTCGACACGTCCTTTCCTGTCATCACGCGTCTGATGAAGACGCGACGACCTCTCGCTGCGAGGCATCTTCCCGTGACTCTCAGGAGCACGATCATGGCTGTTGAAGGCCGGATGGTGCGACGATGTCACGAGAGGCTGACTCTGCTTTGAAGCGAGAGCATCTTGCATGAAATCTGGTATACTGGGCGCCTGAGATTGATTTTTGGCCCGGGCTCTGGCGAAATGGGCCCACTGTCTCTGCACAACGGCTTGAGATGCTTTGCCTCTGTTTGCATAACGACGACGCGTGCCGCCCGTCCAGTCCATGGGTTTGGTACAACGTGCATGGATGTGGACGATGTTCTTGCGAGGAGGTGGTGTTAAAGAGGGAGAGAGAGCTAAGAAATAAGTCCGTCCGTGCAGGGCGAGCAGGGATCACGTGCGCATGGGGCGCAGGCTGCCTCGCGCCTCCCTTTTCTTGTCGCGTTCGTTGCTCCTTCCGCACAGACCACAACTCGCCGACTCCCTTTGATCCACATTCTCGCAGTTCATTCTTCATTCTTGTGCCTCGTACATCACTGACCTGTCTGTTACCGACACGATAACACGCCGGAAACTGCAATGGGACCGCACAATCCAGGACGAAACGCGAGAGCCCAACGCCTGCTGCAATGCAGGACAACACTAGGGAATCTCCATCTGTCCAGCAAATGACCGCATTCGGGAGGACGAGCACCCTCAGCATGACAATACTGCCCGATGTCTGGCTGCAGTATCCTCCAGCTCGTTCGGCTCCAGAGACGTGATAAATCTGCGGCGGCAGCAGACTGGACCGACCGGAGTATGATAGCTGTATAACGCCCAACAATCACCTGTGCTACCCTGATGATCCGGGCACAGCGCATAGATGCATTGTTTTGTAACGATGCTCTTGAGACATGGCATTGCATATGGGGCCGCGACCTGCGACAATCACCGCGCTGCGTGCTCAACAAATGACGCCCGACGACAGCTGCTCGAGTCATGGCAGCTACCAGGTGCGTCCCTGGAGCGATCATATGATCTGTCCATCAACAAAAGATAGCCAGCAAAGGTCGTCGCTTGGCGAGCAGCCTGGGACGGTTCGGGCAGGCGTACAAGCGAGCTATGGAGCCAGCGCGGGCCACTCGCGAAGAGTTGCGGAAATGAGGCTCTCACACGTATGCTCCACTCGTCCGGGGCACATATGCGATATGGAGTGCATGCGCTTGGCACATGATGAAGGCTGTCCGCGGCACTTTGCCAATCTGCTTCTTCGTCAACCTAACCCATACCTCAGCCTTTGTGCACCTCGCTCACGGACTGGCTGAAAAACGCAGGAGCATGTTGCCGCTTCCCGATGTGGGCGTTGGCCGAACGGCATACTGTGATACCTTCCACATTAATCACATGCAGGGTGATGTCAGGTACTTCCTGTGGACATGTGGAATCACGACTGGCGACTTATCTTCAAGGTAGTGCAGATGTACTCCAATGACAGTCGCGGCTGCGACGACCTCGGAGGGCGCCTTCGAAGAAGCTCGCATCATCGGCCAAGGTTTAACGAAGACCCTAGTCCTTGCATGTGAAGACCTGTTCGTTGGCGCAGGATGCGCTGACTGCATTGGTCCCATAAGTCAGATGGGCCAACGCCAAAGACGGGTGCCTCAACTCACACGCAGGAGTAGCGCTGGCTGGCCGCGACTTTGCTGGAGGCCAGCAGGAAGGCACCGTGGTCTCCTTGGACGCCGATTCACTACTGCCACCCACACTGCTGACGCAACCATGATGATGCACATCTCGATAGCGCTACGCGGTTCAATGTTGCTGGAGGAGGATTCCAACATGTGACGACGGGGGTGATGACGGGTGCAGGCGAAGGAAGCTGCACATGTGAATGGCAGCTCGACGACCGCTGTTCCTGGACTCTCCCGTCGTCCGCGCGTTGTGCGTTGTGCGTTGTGCGTGCGCGCGTGTCAGTCGTGCAACCGCAACCGTGTGCTTGGTTACGGCGGCGCTGTTCCGTCCCTGGCGATCTCGCTCTTCCCAACAGATGCGGATGGAAAAGAATTGGTGAGATCTCGGCCAAGCAAAATGACGCACATGGGAGCCGAAGTGCAAATCTGGCGGGGCACCGGACAGGGATAGCTCGGAGTTTCACGGGGTATGGCACGAATGAGGTATCACAGTATTGACGCTGTGCTGGTGCTGGCTCGCTTTGCAGCCTACAACCCGCCGGGCGAGTCGTCCCGGTCGGAAATGCCTCGTCCAGCTGCATGTCCATGCCGGCTCATGTACTGTAGAGACACTCTGGACCGAGCCCCGCCAGGCACAAACCCAGCCGACACGCTCGCACCGACCCTTTGCCTCTGCCTCCGCCGGCACATGGGAATGCTCCATCTGGACCCTCACAGCGGACATGTCGTCGGATGCTCATTGTCTGTCTGAGGACCCCGTGACGGTCCCACAAATCTCTGAACGCTCATGGATGCCCTGATTACCATCGCCTTCGCTGCCTGTTTCAGCCACAACTTGAGGTCGCTGTGAGGGCAGCCAGAGTTGTCGGTGGCATAGCCGTGTCCGGCCTTTATCTTAAATAGCGGCGTCCTGCTAGCTTCGGGTAAGCATCTCCACCATCACGCCCCGTCATCCATACCTGGACGCTCATCCCCAGCTGTTCCCAACCTTGCTCGACTCTTAAAGCTGCTGGGCTGCCCATTGTCCTTCCTCTCCCTTCCACTAAACTCTCTTCACTTTGCTAGCATCTTGACTGCTACCACCGGAAGCAACAACTGCACGAAAACCCAAATCAAGTAGCAGCCATGTCGAACGGACCTTCCCTGGTTGTGCCCCCCAAGAGGCCAACCAAGCACCTTCGGAGACTCAGCTCCAGCGATGCCACCGTGAATGAGCTCAACCTGCGCTCTCCAACCGTTGTCGTTCCGCCCCAGCATCTCATGGCTCCTTCCGACGCCCACGAAACGGCTGCGGCATTCGAGCTTGCCAGACACGAGATTGAGGACGATGCCGGCCTGGACTTACCACCTGAGACCCCTCCAGACACGAACGTGACCGACAAGTTTGCCTATGCCTTCGATATTGACGGTGTCCTGATTCGCGGTGGCGAGCCTCTTCCTGCCGCGGTGAAAGCCATGCAGGTACTCAATGGCAAGAATCAATGGGGCATCAAAGTCCCCTACATTTTCGTGACCAATGGAGGTGGCAAGACCGAGCAAGAACGTTGCCTCCAGTTGAGCAAGCAACTTGAGTTGGAAGTTTCACCTGGTCAATTCATCTGCGGCCACACACCTATGAGGGAGATGGCCGAAAAATACAACACCGTTCTTGTGGTTGGTGGCGAGGGAGAGAAGTGCCGCCAAGTAGCGGAGGGATATGGCTTCAAAGATGTGATCACACCAGGCGATATTATCAAGGACAACCCGGACACCACACCTTTCCGCAAGCTCACCGACGAAGAGATGAGCAATTCGCGCAAGAGGAACTATGGCGAAATCAAGATCGAGGCCATTTTCGTCTTCGCTGACAGCCGCGACTGGGCTGGCGATCAGCAAATCATTCTCGACCTGCTCATGTCCAAGGGCGGCTATCTAGGCACACGATCGGAGACTTTCGACGAAGGTCCGCCAATCTTCTTCTCTCACAACGACATGGTCTGGTCGACTTCTCACGATCTGACTCGCCTGGGTATGGGTGCTTTGCGCTTGTCCCTCGAGGCTATGTTCAAGGCAGTCACCGGCAAAGAATTGAACACTACCGCTTTCGGCAAGCCTCAGATTGGCACTTTCCAGTTCGCGACCAGACTCCTCCAGCGATGGCGAAAGGATACGCACGGCATTGATGCTCCACCAGAGACCGTCTACTTTGTCGGCGATACTCCCGAATCAGACATTCGCGGCACCAACGAGTTCAACAAGCAGGCCGAGAACTCGTGGTATTCCATCCTAGTTGAGACGGGTGTCTATCAATCTGGCACCAAGCCAACCTTCGAGCCCAAGGTTACCGTCGAAAACGTGCTCGACGCAGTTAACCACGGTATCGAGCGCGAAATGCAGCGGGAACAGCAGAAGCACTTCAAGGAAGCTCTTGATCTCGCTGTAGAAAAGTTGAACGGCACATCTATCCACCATGGTATCGAGCCGGTCACCAACGGAACTGCTGTCGCCGCACAATAGATACACCCTTCCCTTCCCTTCCCCCGATTCGGGACTTTGCTTCGCATTCTTCGATCGGCGTTCTGCATTCATCGGCGCTAAAAGGGATACTGCTTTTTACTGATACCACGGAAACAAATTCTATAGAAGGCTGGGAAGAATGAGAAGATACATCATAGAGATGTATGTACGCGGGGACGATTTCAGAGAGAAGAGACGGCCTAACCTTCCGCTGCTTGTTTTGTATGCGTGCTCTTCCACTACGATACTATCTAGCTGTCTATCCTTGCACTGCAGAAATGGAAAGTACAACTACTTCTTATCATCACAATGGATGCCGATTCTTCCGTATCCGTTCATTCAGTACGATAACCGTGAGCAGGGAAAACCTGGCTCCCCGCGATCCTGGTTCACTGCAATCCTGTCCTGACTATGATACGGTGAACCAGGTGAGGTCCATCTTGGCGTTGTGCTGTGTAACGAAGTGTCCCTTCTCTCCGGTCCCTGGCCAACCCGCGGCCCTTTCGAGGGCGACACGATGTGGTCCGGACCCTGCCTTTCTTTCACATGCTGAACTTTTGCCTTGATTATCTCCATCTCCATCGAGGTCTTCTATCCTCTGCTTGCTTGCTTGCTTGCATACCACATACCATGCTTGCCCGCTCTCACCTTCTCTATTATTATCAGCACAACATGACAAAACGTCCTCATACTCCCATCATCCCGCCGAAATTCCAATCCTTCCTCTTCTTCCTCAACTCACTCGAAACGCCACCAACGATGGAAGACCAAAAGTGTCAGCAGCAGCGGTATCACAGAGTGGCCCTTTAATCTTTATCTTGATCTTGACCTCCTCCTCTCTCTCTCTCTCTCTCTCTCTCTCTCTCCCCCTCCCTCTCTCTTGGCTCTAGATCTCTAGCTAGCTAGCTAGGGGCATGGCTGGCTCGGCAGCGCGGCGAATATAACAGAAACAGACCTTTGCACTTGCACTGTGTTTGTATACTATATATCGCCTGCTTCGGAGGATGCAATGCAGACAGAGGTTGCGAGAAGTTACCGATGAAATATATGGGATGGGTATCGCTGTAGGCAGCTAGCCAGCTGCGAGACTACCTATGCAGCCAGTTAGGGAATTGCACTGCGCTGCACTGTACTGCACTGCTCGCCCCGCCGTCGACGGCCAATAGAGTAAGTCGTACAGTTCGGCGTCGTCGAGTTCAAGGACGACAGACACACCGTGCAGCTTGCAGCTTGCAGGAGGCTGCAGCATGCGCCCGCCCGCGGGAGGGTGCTCCGCTGCGTTGGTGCATGTGATGGGCGGCGGCATCTCTGCCACCTTACCTTAACATGGTCATGCAGCTTGACGAGGCATCGTGAGGCATTTTCCGGAGCTCTCACACACTCTCTCTCCTCGTCAAGCTGCAGTGTGCCTGCAGCAGAAGAGACCCGAATCGCTCCGGCTTTCCCCAGATGGAGAAGCCGGTCCACACCTATCTAGTCTTTCTCCAGCTGTTCACGACGTGCGACAACTTAATAATAACCCACGGCTGCTCCGCGCGGCAAGTGGTCCTCCTCACTGCATGCTCGAGAAAAATCAAAGGCGGGAAGGACCGTCGACGACCATGCATGCATGGGACGCTAGCAAACGCAACGCAACGCCTCTGCTGGCCTCGGTCTGCTCATCATCAGCTGTCTCAGCCTCGAGGTTCACTAATATTCAAATCGCCAACAAAGCACCGAAAAAGGTTCTATAAAATGGGTTTGATCTTGGCGCATGCAGCCAACGCGTCGCGTCGTCACAGTTGTATATGGGTCGGTATTGTCTGATCTACAACAGACCATCAGTAAGTAACAAGCCACGTTTGACGCCTCCCATACTCTTTCCCTCTGTCCTCGAAGACCCAACGTGGCGTACTTAGGCTTTCCACGAGTACATTATCGTATTCTCTACATGGATTGAATCGGTGTAAGTAAAACCCAGCTCTTCGGGAGAGAACCCACTCGGAGGCTCCCAAGACTCGCTTCACGGGCGTCGCTTGGTCCAAGAAATCGCCCTCTTTGTTAGAGCTTGTCCGCGGTTCATGCAGTGCAAGACGATGTTGATTGCGGCCTGCGCGCTGAGCTCATTCCCTGCCTCACGTCTTTTCCGCTGCTTAAATGTACAATGTAGTATGCAGCCGAGGGCGGTATGCACCTCTCCAATGTCTTGTATTACGCTCTCCATCGCGCCGCGTTGGCCTCTCGTGCGGCCATCTGCGCCAGGCCTGCGCTATTGGCGCTACCTTGCCGCTGTCCGGCTGGACCGCTGGTAGCCGCTGTGGTGCTCGCAGGAGCAAGATTGTTAACTCGCTTGCTACCGACCCCTGCGCCTTGCGCACTGCCTGCAAATGCAGTACTCTGTCTGCGATGCAATCCAGTCTGCTTGGACGGAGACATCTGGTTGGCGTGAGTGTTTGCGTTACTAGCAGCAACGCCGTTTCGTAGTGCTGTCTGCGGCGTCTCGGGTAGCGGTCGGGTCCTATCTTTGCCTGGCGTCTGTTGGGCCTGTTGAGGGAGGGTCGAGTTGGCATGCGTGCCTGACGTAGTATGCATGCGCTTCACCGGGCTCGACACGCTGCCATTGACAGCAGGCACCGCAGCAGTGCTCCTAAGTTTTGCTGCTCGACGTGCCTCGTCAGGAATGCCAGGGCGCTGATGGAACGGCTGATTGGTGATGAATGGATGGTTGATCGCTTCGTGAGGCTTCATCCTGCGGTCCGAGTCCCACCGAAGACAGCGCGTGATGAAATCGAGGAAGGCTTCGTCGTCCGTCTTCAGAGCCTGTGACAGAGTCTTTGAGCTGGGCCGGCGGCGACGACCCTTGCTACTAACGGTGACTCGCGGCTTGCCAACCGAATCAAAGAAAAGCTTCTTTCGCGTGCAACGCTCCACCAAATGCCGGTCAGGTGGTCCAAAGATTTCCATGATGCAGGCAAGCTGCTCCTGTTCGTTCTCGCCAGGGAACAGCGGATAGCCAGTCCAGAGCTCGGCGAGAATACAGCCCAGTGACCACATGTCGATGCCAAGACCGTAGCTGCTGCCCAAGATCACCTCCGGACTCCGGTAGAAACGAGATTGGATGTACGTGTACACCTTCTCTTCCTCTTTACAGCTGCTGCCAAAATCGATTACGCGGACGTCTGCCTTCCGTGCCTCGCACAACAAGATATTTTCGGGCTTCAGGTCGCAGTGAATGATGCGCTTGTTCTGCAGAAGCACCAGACACGACAATAGCTGGCGCGAAAATCGTCGGATGAGAGGGAGGTTGAAGCCAACGAAGTTGTGTGCCCGAATAAGCTCGTAGAGGTTGATGCTGAGGCAAGGCGTGACGATGCACAGGTGCGAGCGGAAATAGAACGACGAAGTGATCGAGAGCGTTGCGTGAGCTCCATCAGGATCCTGCGCGCTGTCAGAAAAGCAAACAAATGAGGCTCTTGGTCAACTTACCCAATCCCTGAGCCGGCCCAAGATTCCGACCTCGACAAGAGCCTGCTGGTGGAATCGCTTCTTATTTCTGATGATCTTGATAGCAACGACTCCTCCGTCCCGATGATCGACGCATCGAACGACTTGCCCGAAGCTGCCTTTGCCGAGCACATCCACGACTTCATAACGGTAGGCTAGATGGTCCCCGAGCACAATGTTGTAGTCGCCACGCTCGTCGTCATAGCCATAATTGCCTGCCTTGGAGTCCTTCCCGTCCGATGGGTGTGGCGAAGGGGTCAAGCTTCCAATGATTTTGCGTGCATTCTTAGTGCCCGTAAAGTATATTCCGTCTTTCTCGTAGTCCACGATCTCGCCGCGCTCAAAGATATTGAGATTGCAACTGCGGTCATGCAATACGCGTTCCGGTGTCATTGGAGAGCGTGCAACAGCGCGCTTCTTCAATTCCTCGCTCTCACGTGCAGCGCTATCGACATCTTTCCGCTTCTGAGATAGCCGACGCATTTCATCGTCCGCTACCAGATCGTCCTTGTCCTTGACAATCGCAGAAAGAACCGGGTTTGACGGAACCTGTCGCGTCTTCGGAACACTAGAAGCAACCTTCGGATTGACTGGTCGAGTGTTGCTGCTCGTGCTCCAACTAGTCGCACGGCTTGCCGGATTTACATGGACAGGCTGCGGCTGCTCAGTGTGAACACTCTTAGTCTTCACTGGGGGTGTCGCTTGGCTTGCCAATTCTGTCTCCGAGCTGTTCTGGACGGTCGAGAGGGTATGGACGGAGACGTTCGTTGATTTGCGGCGGAGAGAGTCCAAACTAGGTCGTGCAGCATGCGCGGGTACTGATGGAATGTCGCCAGTCCATGTCGCGCTTGCAGGCAGCTTTGGCGGTGGCATCTGACTTGCGCGTTGATGCACTTTCGACTTCTCCTTCTCTAAAGCAGGGGCTTCTTGCAGTGGGCTGGACTTGTTATCCGGGTGTGTGCTGGCTTTACTACTGCTGCGACGCCATCCCAGAGATAGCTTTTTCCTTAGTCCGCCCCCAGTGCTTTCTTTCTTGTTCTCCGTCGGCGCCTGTTCAGTGATGGGGCTTTCGAGCGTCGAGCCTGTCTCCGCGGTTTGGAAGGAATCCTTGGTCACACTACGGCTAGGCCGAGGACCCTGCGGCTTAGACTTCTGAGTTGAGAAGTTCTCGAAATGGCTCCAGGTATGATCGGAGCCAAAATCGCCGCTCGTTCGTGTACGCTGCCGTATGAACTCGCCAGAGGCTTTGGGTAACGACCCTGAAGAGAATGGAGTGATAGCACTGCGTTGTTTTGGAGCGGGGATAGGGATGCCCATGTAACCGGTGTCCGTATTTTCGAAGAACTGAGCCGTGGCGTCATCCAACTGCATCAAATCACGAAGCGCGTGTTGTGAGGACGAGCTCCTCATAGCCTGCTGCTTGCCCGTGTCTTCGTCCTGGCGACGATAGAATGTAGCCTTACTTGCGGTCATGGGCGTAGAAGGGGTCTTCGGGACACGCTTTGGTTCTGGAGTTTGTGTGAGCGTCTGTAAGCTCATATATTCGTCACGACTCTCGATCTCCTGACTGGGCCGTGGAAGATGGGATCCTTTATTGGACACTGACTGCGTAATGGGCATCAGGTTTAGAGGTGGAAGACGCAGTGGCTGAAGATTGTTGTTCTTGCGACCAGTGGCATCTATCTGTGCCTTTGCTTGTCGAGCGGAAGCCGCGTTGATGCTCCGCTCGATGTTATCAATGGTGTTCATGCGTTGATGCGGCCGAGGGCGATCCACAGATGGCCTACCGCGCGTCTCGAACGACGACTCAGAGGCTGTGTGTTGTAGATGATGGAAATTTGGGTCGAGGTCGCAGTCCATAGTGAAATCGGCGTGAGGTGCAAACCCAGACTGCGATGATTTGCGGGCAGCAGTAAATGAAGGCATTTCATCGCGTGGACTTTCAAAAGCCTTTGGTATAGCTGGAACAGGTGGCACCATTTCTTCATCTTCGCCATACTGCGCCGAGCTGGAGTGCACATTTCTCGGTTTGGGGGTCGGGAGACGAGAGGTTGATGCGGACGAGTTGAGCAACGACTGATAGCTTGATTTCGCGTTCAAGCTAACGCCACCTCCATTGTTGTATGTTGGAAGTGCTTCGGGCGACGCACGAGCAGAGGTAGGCGTAGCAGTTTTACGAGGAATGAGACTTGGGCTGGGCTGGGTGAAGCGCGGTAAGTCCAGCTTCAGTTGTGGCATTTCCTCTTGTGCGTCTGGAGCATCGGACTTAGGAGGAGCCGCTGGCATCGGAGGCGCCTGCATCATGGACAGCCTCTTGAGTCGGCGCGCATCAGTCGGGCTGATAGTTCGGGCTCCCAGTCCTGAAGCGCGCCCAGACATGTTAGATTGACGCTTGGCTCCGGACGAAGAAGGTGTATGAGCGCGGTTCGGGCTGTTTTTGGATGTCGAGCGTGCGTTCGGAGTGTTTGGATCTGGCTCGTGCGGCGGTGGTTGCAAGCTCTTTACTTTGTTCGCGCGGGATTGTGTTGTTGCTGTGAAAGTGGCATTTCGGGGCAGCTCGACTCCTGCTGAAGTTGGCTGCATGGTAGTACGTCGCGAAGCTTTTGAGAGGCTGTTGGTGCGGGTGTGCCCTTTCAGTGCAGACTCAGCCACGGCGCTTGAGAGTGGCTGACTGGCCTTCCTTCCCTCCATCATAGAGGCTATGATACCAGGTCCCACAGACTTACGAGGCTGTCGCGAGCCCGCACCAGCAGGATTTGGCGCTGGGCCGGATGGCGGTGGACCTTGAGGAGCCGTGCTCTGTCTCCTGGAGCGCAGAGAGCGATTATTGGCTTGCGGAGGCGCCACACCACATTCTTCGGGTAGTGTGTTGCTGTTGTTCTGCTTCCCTCCGGCCACAGCGCTCAATCTTCTCCGAAAACTCTGACTCCTGCTGACGGCAGCATCATCTCGGGCCTCCAGCCTTGGCACAGGCGGCCTTGAACTTGAGTATCCAATGCCTCTTCTACCCGTCTCGTTCAGACCCTGTCGCCCACCTTCGATCGAGGTAAAGTTGCCCAAAAGCGGGCCATTACCGTCGTAGTTAGCAATAGAATTCTGCAGATCGTCAAAGCTCACGCTCGGGATGAAATCGAAGTCCTTGCCAGGCTCGGCAGGTGTGGTGGGAGATTCGAACCCGCCTGTCGGAGGAGGGTTCGCGAAGCTGAAGTGTGTGGCTTCCCCAGTCTTGCTGAAAAATGGCTCGGAAGTGCTATTGGGTAGGAATGAGCGCGAAGTATTGACGGGTTCGGCCATGGAAGGTGCGCGCAAGCCGTTGCTGCCGCTGGCGGTCCTAGCGAGATATGTGTTAGCCGGTAAGACGCCCAGCACCCTCTGGTGTCTCAGAGGCACGGGCCTGAATCTTTACCTCTTGCCAGGACTGGGAAACTCTCTTGGACCGCTAGGTACCCGCGCATTCTCTCTCAGTGTACTTCGTCTTCTATGGTGACCGAGGACAGGCCGCTGCTCTGCTGAAGGTCTCGTGGCAGACGCAGGAAGCGAGGGCTTTCGAAAAGCCTCGTCATTCGTATTCTCATCACTGGTCGTACGCTGAAATTTGCGACGGATCAACGACTCAGAAGCTGCGACTTGATCAGTGACTGGTTGTGTACGTTTGGGATCCATGTTGTAGTGCATCTCACATTCCGTGCCCGAATCTTCCGTCATGCCAAGGTTGTTGTTGCGCTCTTGGTCGAGATAAGATTGCGTCCGCGCGCGAGGATATAAGCGCGAGGCCACATCCATGACGACCAGCTATTCTGGAAAGCACGCTTGCTGTCGTGGATGGTCGTCTCAGCGTGCTGCTCAATGCAAGTATCGGGTTGCAGCTGCCACCAGCTTCCGCCACACGAGGTCCGGAGTATTGTGGTCGTGATCGTATCTCTGCCGTCTGCTTGACGCGCTCGAGCTCTCAGTCGCCAGTGGGTACGTCTTGCTGCATGGTGGAGCCCGCACTCAATGCATCGTCGTCTTCGGTCGCGAGATCGAGGTGGTACGGCAGGTCGAGATGTGCCCGTTGCCGTGGGTGTTGGCTCCGGGTGTTGTGTTGTTTGTCGTCGAGGCGCTCGTCCGCACGGAGCCGTGGAGAAGGTGGCTCAGCGCGGAGGAGGCGGCGGCGGAGGAGGTGTAGCGGGCGAGGACGCGGGTCAGGGTCGAGGCGAGGAGTGAAGGGTGCCAGGTCGTGGGTGGTGGTGGTTGCAGTGGAGTTGCAGTGCAGTGCAGTGCGGTGCGGTGCGGTAGCGGTAGCGGTAGCGGTTGCGGTGCGACACGCTTCACGCTCTCTCTCCTCCGGCGCGGCAGCTGGCTGCTTTCCCCAATGCAGCGACGGTTTGGATCCCCTGCACAGGCTTGCCCCACTCCCGAATCGACACCAATTGCGAGCGGTGCTTGTTGTGCTTGTGGCCGGACCGCAAGTCATGCACACTGGCACTCCCTCCTGAGGCGTTGCTGCCCGGCTGGATTCTGCAGTGATGATCGGTGTCCCGCTCTCCAAGCACCGGGCAGTACCTACTAAAAGTGTAAAGTGTGAGGCGACCAGGGAGCTGCGAGCTCCTGTACGACTGCAGAATAATGTCACAATTTGTGGAAGTCGACGAGAGACAAGAAGCTTTCCCGGCAGGCTAGCGGCCGCCCGTCATCAGGAACGCCAGTCACACCTCAGTAGTACCTTCCTCATCACTGCAGTTTCCTCCCGAGTCTCTCTTCAAGTCACCCGACGGCGGCAGATTTTGAAGCTCGTGTCTGTGCACCACATGCCACCTCACGTCACATGCGTCTCCGATAAGGTACACGCTTTGACGCTGCATGTGCCCTCCTGGATCCAGTGCTGAGCTCACTACGAGACTACTAAACTACTGACCTCGCAACATCCATGCCTCGCGATCCGCTGATTGGCCTCGTGGGCAAACCGTCCTCAGGCAAATCCACTACCCTGAACTCTCTCACAGACACGACAGCTAAAGTAGGTACGCCGGCCATCCTCTGAGCTCTCCCAACCCCCCTTCTTACCCCCTTCGCAGGCAACTTTCCCTTCACAACCATCGATCCCAACCGGGCGGTCGGATATCTGCAAATCTCATGCGCCTGCTCACGGACTTCATTACCTGGAAACACTCCTCCCTCGCCGGATGCGCCCCCACCGCTGCAGAAGCGATGCAAACCCAACTACGGAGGCTGTCAGCAGGGTGTGAGAAGCGTGCCCATCGAGCTGCTGGACGTCGCAGGTCTGGTTCCTGGAGCTCATCAGGGCAAGGGTCTCGGCAACAAGTTCCTGGATGATCTCCGACATGCAGATGCGCTCATCCATGTGGTCGATGTCAGCGGCACAACTGATGCCGAGGGCAAAGCAACTCGAGGGTATGACCCTTCCCAAGACATTGAGTGGCTGCGCTCGGAGATTGTGAACTGGGTGCTCGGCAACCTGATGCAGAAATGGGGAGGCATCAAGCGGCGACATACCGCCATCAAGGCGACTGCGGTGGAGACATTACAGGGCCAATTCTCCGGTTACGGGTCGAACGCCTCGGTTGTCGCGCGGACACTTGACAAGATGCAACTCAAAGCTCCACTACAGGATTGGGATGATGAGACTGTCAAGAAAGTCGTCGAAGCCTTCGTGGACGAGAAGTTTCCCACAGTGTTAGCGCTCAATAAGATTGACCACGCCGACGCCGACAAGAACGTTTCGAAGATTGCCAAGTTGGAGAAGCCCGAGCGGATAGTCCTTTGCAGCGCTATATCAGAAGTTTTCCTACGAAGACTGGTAAAGCAGGAATATGTTCGCTATATCCCAGGATCAGAATTCGTCGACACGCGAGAAGACCTCGTAGAGCAAGGCGAGGACGATGGGGGCGGACTACGAGAAATGGACGAAAAGCTCAAGACACGGATTGAAAATCTGAAGGATATGGTTCTGTACAGATTCGGAAGCACAGGTGTCAACCAAGTCTTGACAAGAGCCTCAGAACTTCTGGGCCTTGTCCCCGTCTTCCCGGTGCGAAACATCGGCACCTTTGGCAGTGGAGAAGCTGGAACAAGTGGCGGTGACAGGGCTGCAGTTCTCCGCGACTGTGTCCTGATCAAGAAAGGCAGCACGGTTGGCGATGTCTACCGCAAGGTGATGGGTGATGCGCCACTAGCTTATGCTGAGACCGTGGGTGGCGTCAGAGTAAGCGAAGACGACGTGGTCTCTCCGGGAAAGAACGATGTAAGTTCACAAGTCCGGTCATACTGAGACAGACGCTGACTGTACACAGATATTGTCGTTCAAGGTTGGCCGAGCGTAGGTAGTCACGGCAGTAATTCCACTCTACTCCCGATGCAAAACCTCAGCATGATGTTCTGAAGACCCATGTCTTTGGTCTCTGATCTATCGTCTTACTGTCTCTGTGTCAAGCGCACGGAAGCCGACAGTCGCATTGCATAGGTATCCAGTCTCTCACGACATCTTCGAATCGAAGGACAACCCCACTTTCTCTCATTCGTCTGCTTCTCAGGAGCTGTTCTCCAAATCGATCCTTAGATCCTGTCTTCTCACTCACTGCCACTAGATCGCGTTCAAATTTCGGTACTCTATCAGTCCGATCCTGCAAAACCCGACAGGCCCAAAAACACTGCTTGAAAAATCATCTTCATTCACGTAAGTTCCTCTGACGCTCGCAGGACGATCTCACCAATGTGCAAACAAAAGAGCGCAATCAAAGATGAAGTTCAGTCGTACGCTCCGAAGCTTGAAGCTGCGTCGCGCACTCCTCCACGGTGGACTTCGAGCATGGGAAAGCATCGTCACTAAACGGCCGAAGGAGACCTATGATGCCGTCACTCACAGATCGACGTTGTTCGTGTCGGCCTGGATCCTTTCATGCCTGATTACGAAGTATGCCAACCAAAGGGAGATAAGATCAGATGCGATGCAGGATTCAAGGGAAAGAACGCGATGCAGAACTCGCCTGGACTGAGCTGGAGGAATGGCGATGGACTCTCCTGACCGGATAATGGACTCGCCGCCGCAACTGGAACCGGGCCGTGGTACTAACTTTGGGGTGCAGAAAGGGGTTACTAGACTGTCTGGAAGTGGCTATAATGGAGATGATAAGAGCTCCTATTAGGGGCGAGAAGAGACTTTCACGCTATGATGACAGACATCGTGCATTCTGGCATCCTGCTCGATATTCAGAAAGACTACATGTATTTTCTTCTGCGTGTCTATTATATTGTGCGCAATTTTGTATTTGCATGTGATATCGTGTTGGGTGCCCTTATGTAAGCGAGAAACCCCTAGCTAGGGTCCGGGGGCTCTACTTCAAGGTCTAAGGTGGCGCGTTTGTGTGAGCTGCTTCTAGATAGAAGGCATTTACCTAGCACGTACCTGTTTCGGCCTCATCAAAACCTGATGAACAGGTTCGACTTGTCAAGCTCTACAAGGTGCGCTTATATTTGCTGTTCTATCTTGTTGGTGCATATCACAGTATCGTTCCAAAGACAGCCAGTTTCGCTGATGCGCGCCGCTTGATGTTAAGCTCTCGCTCGCATTGAGCACAAGCCACCTTGCACATCACCACCTATAGCAACCTCCGCTCTTCTTGCACCACCAAAGTTTCCGAGATACAACTACCGCAATCATGGATCCTTTCAGTGCCGAAGGCGAGCTCGTCAAAATCCACACCGCATTCATCCAGGGCCAATACCAATCCGTCCTCTCCGACTACGACCCTTCTGCCTTCTCCCCCGAAAACAAACTCCCAATCCAAATCCTCCAACACCGCGCCCAATGCGCTCTCGGTCAATATGACCAAGTCCTCGAATCCATACCCGAAAGCGACGCCAAAGCCACACCAGACCTCGCAGCCATGCGGACGTACGCTTCCTTCCACAAGAACCCCAGCGCCGAGAGCAAGAGTGTCGAAGCAGCAGAGCAGCTAGCAGAATCCGCAGGCGACAACCTCTCCGTGGAGATCCTCTGCGGCACCATCCTCGCGCGAGCCGGAAAGCAAGACCAAGCCCTCCAACTGCTCAGCAGACACCAAGGGTCCCTCGATGCCGTGGCGCTCATCATCCAGATCCACCTCGCGCAGAACCGAACCGATCTCGCGCTCAAAGAGGCCAAAGCCGCGCGCTCCTTCGCCCAAGACGCCCTGCTCGTCAACTTGGCGGAATCCTGGATCGGTGTGCGTCAGGGTGGGGAGAATTATCAGAAGGCTTTCTATGTGTTCGAGGAGTTGGCGCAAGCACCTAGTAGTGCGAGTGCCACGAGTTTGATCCAGCAAGCCGTGAGTGAGTTGCATATGGGACGGGTGGAAGAGGCGGAGACGGCGTTGGAGCAGGCTTTGGCGCTGGAGCCGGAGAATGCGCAGGCCGTTGCTAATAAGTTGGTGCTGGATACGATTTTGGGAAAGGAGGGTAGTGAGTTGATGGGTAAGTTGAGCCAGGTGGATGCGGAGCATGAGATGCTGGTGGACAAGAAGGCGAAGAGGGAAGCATTTCAGACGGCGATGGCGAAGTATACACCCAAGTTCGAGCCTTGATTGCGAGGACAAGGTCAAGCGTCGGCTTTTGACCCGTACGGGTAGGGTAGACTTGAGAGACAAAAGCAAGGCACGGCAAGGGCTTGCAAGACCACAAGCTAGAGCAGGATATCATGATTTAGAAAAGGCTCCCATCATCTTCACATATCTCTCGCAACCTCTAAAACCTCAACTTGGGGCCGAGGAATACCAACAAAAAACAAGCGACCCACAACCCAAAGATGAACCCGTACAACTTCAACCGTCCCCACCACCCCTGGCCTTCGCTCATCCTCCTCAAAGTCCCCATCTTCTTCTCCGCAGCTTGCATCCCCTGTGCGTTCTTATCCAAGCCTCCCTCCGCACGCTTCATAACCTCCTTCTCGGATTCCAAGGACTGCCCAAACGTAATCGAGCTCTCCTTCAACGCTTGCGCGAGACCCAGTAAGCCGGTTGTGAGATTCTCTTGCTCGGTGCGGTTATGAGACATGAGAGTTTCGGTTTGTGGGAGACTAGAAGAGGGAGGTGGTTCTTTGGGGCGCTGGGAGAAGAGTTGATCGCGTGCTGTCGTCGACGCTGCCGAGCGATTGTCGCTCGCTTGTAGGGGCGCTTTCCTCGAGCGAAGTTCTTGCGCCTGCGTCTCGTCTATTCTCTTCTCTTGCAGATGTCCGGATTCAATGCCTGCATCCGCATCTTCACGCGCGGGCGCATACGTGTTGAGGACATTTTCGCCTCCTTGTTCTTCGTCGTCGTCTTCGTCTTCATCCTCGTCTGCCGCGGTGTCGTTCAACTCTCTCAATTTCGCATTCAATCGCTTGATCACCTCTCTCTTTGCTTGGAGATCCGCTTGTAACTTTTGTCGCTCGAGTTGGACTTTGACGGTTGCGGATTGCTTTTCTAGCGTGAGGAGCATTGCGCGGGCATGTTCGATGTTGGCTGCGACGCGACTGCGTTCGTACTGCGAGTGTTGGAGTCGATAGTCTGATTCGGGGTCGGAGAGGTTTTGATCTAGACGATTGAGGAGTCGATTAAGCGAGATCGTTGTGGCCATTGTTGCCGAGAGTGAGAGTGATCGTTCGTGCGGTGTTGGGAGTAGGTTGTATCGGGATGCGATTTCACATGCAGCTTGTCTTGGAGCTACTTTCACACAGTTTCAGGGAACGAAGGCGGCTAAACTTTCAGGCAAAGTTTCAGCGCTCCAGTCCGCGTCTGCCTCCAACCACACTGTGAAAGTGATTCCATCACCGTGGACCTTGCTGTCATAGTGCACGCGACACCACCCATCTCGCCCGCAATGAGACGAACAATCTTCTCTCCTCTCCTCCGCTCAAGATCACGCCCAGTACCTACCTTTCGGAGCAGGCCATTCGAACCATTCTCCTCCCGCAGAACCCTCATCTCCGCCGCAGAAGTCCAATTCGGCCAACCAATCCACGAAACCCACCCTCACCTCATCGCACCAGGAGACCTCTCCCCGGGAATCTCAGCCCTCGAATACCATCATCGTCGCGCCGCATTAGCTAGCAGACTTCCCCGAAATTCCCTTGCGATCCTCGCCTCCGCAGATCTCAAATACAGAAGCGGAGCCGTCTTTTACGAATTCCATCAGGATTCGAACTTCTTCTACCTCACTGGATTCAATGAGCCGGAAGCTCTGGCCGTGATCGAGAGAGGAGAAGGAGAGAGGGATGTGGAATATACTTTCTGGTTGTTTGTGAGAGGGAAAGATGAACGGGCAGAGAAATGGGATGGAGCACGGAGTGGAGTACAGGCTGCTCGGGATGTTTGGAACGCGGATGAAGCGATGGATATAGAGCAATTGGGCTCCATGTTGCCGCGATTGGTAAACGGAAGACAGGTATACACAGACATCGGCGAGAGAGAAAAGGGCCAGGGAGCTCTGGGGAGATTCGTAAGAGGCAGACCCAAAGTCGAAGGCATGGCCCAAGTCCTAAAGGCTGGCAACGCCACAGTGAAGGCACTGCGACCTCTGCTCAACGACCTCCGAGTCCGCAAAAGTGAAGCAGAGCTAGCCTGTATGCGCAAAGCCGGTTCCGTCTCCGGAAGAGTCCTCACAGAAGCAATGAAAAGCACCCCCAAGACCGAAAAACAACTCTGGGCAGATCTAGCCTATGGTTATCGCTCCAACGGTCTCGACGGCGAAGCCTACGTTCCAGTGATAGCAGGCGGCCGGAACGCCCTATCAATCCACTACGTTCGCAACGATTCCCTCCTCCAACCAGGGGACACGGTCCTCGTAGACGCCGGCGGAGAATACGGCTCGTACATCACAGACATAACACGCACGTGGCCCATCGGCGGCAAATTCACAGACCCCCAGAGAGACCTTTACAGCATGATTCTGAATGTGCAGAAGAGCTGCGTATCCCTCTGTCGCGAAGACGCAGACGTAACACTGGATAAGATTCATGCCATCTGCGAGAACGGTTTACGACATGGCCTGCGATCGCTCGGTTTCGATGTCAAGGGCAACGCCATGGACGTCCTATTTCCTCATCATGTAGGCCATCACATCGGTCTCGATGTCCACGACGCGCCTGGCTACCCACGAACAGACCGCCTCCGGAAAAACCACTGCATAACAATCGAACCCGGAATCTACGTGCCCGATTCCGACCGATGGCCGGCGCATTTCCGCGGTCTAGGAATACGGATAGAAGACTCAGTCGTCATAGGAGAAGACAGACCAGAAATCTTAACACGAACAGCAGTCAAAGATGTAGATGAGATAGAAGGTCTGAGATGAGCCAAACGCCCTTTTCTTGACGCTACAACGTAACAGATAAAAACCTACTTTTCTCGTTCACATTGCTTTTTTGGTTGCTCGCAGCCCAATTTCGCTGCTTTATGACACGCTCGCTAATATGACATCTAAGCATTGTTTTGAACAACTTCAAGAATGAGGTCGCGGGCCTTCTCCACGCCATCCTTCGAGCCAGTCAGTTCGATGGCCTCTCCTTCATTGTTCCGTGGCACCTGAATCTTCGCGCCGCTCTCCTTTCTGATGCGGTTGATCTCAGCACCACCAGGACCGATCACGTGTCTGTAGGCACGTGAGTCTGGCAGAATAAGGAATCCCACAGTATCCTGGCTCTTGGCTTCCTCAAGCGCTCGAGTAAGCCTGTCCTTTGCTGCTTGTACAGCCTCGGGAGACGGCCCACTGAGCAGCCAAGGGATATCACCCTCCTCGGAAGACGAGTGCAGATTGTGCACTTCCCACGAATGGGCATTGTCACCAGAACCTGGCTCGTCGGTAATCAACGGAGTCGCGCCCGAACGGTTTGGTGTAGGTGCCGCAGGCTTGGGCGGCGGTCGCTGACCATTGTGGTCGACCGTTACCTTGTGGTCGCTCCTCAAACGGCGGAAGAATTGTCCATTGTCTGCGATGATGTGGTGGAACTTCTTCGGCACGGAGACAGTCTCGCCTTCAAGGTCCTTGGTGAGCTCCAGAATGTGTGCCTTCGCCTTCTCCACATTCTCCGGCTTGCCAGAAATCTTGATCTGTGATCGCTGAGGACCAGTCTCGCTCTGACGCGGGATATTGATGGCGACGCTGAATTGCTGCTCCAATTGACGTCTCGTCTCGCCGCCACGTCCGATGAGCAGACGATGCTTGTCGGGCTTGACCTCGGCAATCTAGCCACAGTTAGTATGCTGATGGTGTAATGGAAACGGTTCGGCGCTGTACTGACCTCGGTGGTTTGAGACTCCTGGTCGGCGACAAGAGCCTCAATTGCAGCGCAGATATTGTCAACTACAGGCTTTTGTCCCTCAATGCGAATGGAGTTGCCATCAACGTCGGTCTTTGGGAAACGAATCATTCTATTGTGCAAACGCTGGTCCTCTGGGCCGCCTGCTTTGACAATCATGTTGCGGAGGTTTGTGCCTATGAAGAGTCAGTAAAGTCTGTCGCGAAACTCCAGTACATGCTTCAAATAAGTAGGACGTACCTTGTGGTCCGATGATGAGACGGTGGTGCTTCCTGTCAACGTCGAGATTGCGCACCACAGTGTTGTCGAACACCTTAGCCTTCTCTTCGATCATCTTCTTGGCCTTCTCGACGGCCTGCTTCGAGCCCTTGATCTTGATCTCGGCACGTCCATCTGGGCTGGCGGCATCTCGAGCATTTGGAACATCAATTTGAGCAAGCGTCTCGGTGCGAAGCGCATCCATCTCCTTACCGCCGGCGCCGATGAGAGACGGCAGTTGGTTCTGTGCAACGGAAACGGTGGCTGTGTACGAGGTGTCCTTGATGTACTGCAAGAGGCTGAGAATTTCATCGCGCGCGGCGTCAGCACCTCGACTTGGTCCCTTGATGACGACCTCGTTAGGCTGCTGGTTGTTCTTCCGGACCTCCTCTCCATTCTCATCGTCATTTGCCTTGCTACGTGGGAAATTGATCCGCACGCCGTATCGCTCCTGGAGCTTGTTCACCTGTGCGCCCTGAGCGCCAATCAAGTCTCGGTGGAACTGCGCCGGCACATGAAGATGGTGAGTGGATTCATCCTCCAGCTTCTTCGCAAGATCCAGAATGTGCTTCTTGCAAGCGTTTGCCTTTGCCTCAGGTCCTTTGACTTCACACTTGCCGTCGTTGAGCTGGATATCGACATCAAACTCTTCGCGCAGGCGGTTGATGTTCTCGCCTTTACGGCCGATGAGGTGATTAGCGTACTGCTGAGGGAAGTCGAAGTTCAAAGTAAAGCCTCTCTCCAACTCGTCCTGGTGTTCCTGCTCGATAAAGGCATTGAGAATCTGCACAAGGGCATCGACATCGTTCTGTGGTCCGCGTAAGCTGACGTTAGGGGCCGGAGCAGCGCGTCTCTGCTGGGTAGGGCCACCAAATGTTGTCTGGACTGGTATCCGTCCCTCTGGAAGCGACTGGTGGTGGCGGTCAACGTGCCTTCGGATTTTGTCGTGGAACTTGACTGGAGCCTCCATGTCGTGAGACACAATGTTTTGATTGCTACCAACAAGGCCCAGGATCTCCTGTTCAGCCGCTTTGAGTGCCTGCTCGAAAGCTTGCACATCTTGCTGCGATGGTGCGCCACGTGCGGGCTGATACTCTGGCGATGGTACGCGGTCCTCAAAGACAAGCAAGACCGGAGCGTCTTCCGACTCATCGGGAATCAAGAGGTGCACGCCGTGCTGATCGCGGACTGACCTAGAGGCCTGTTCTCGCAGGTGCTGGTGGTAGAATGGATCGACCTGGAGAGGTCGGAATCGGCTTGGAGGATGACCTTGGGCCAGCTTGATCACATCTTGGCGAACCTTTTCGGCAGCTTTGGGATCGCGGGCGTAAATTTGCCAGGCACCATTCCTTTCCGGTACGATGCTGGCGTCGTGCTGTCTTTCAATCTCCTCAAATGCACGACGCTGCCTCAAGTATCGCGCAATGTCTGCAGCATGGGCCTGACCGCCACGGGGAGCACTTGGATGCGAACGAGATACGTCGGCGTTTGCTGAGAACATGCTGGCCGAGATTTCGATAATCTTGTCCATAGCCTGTTGGATCTTATCGGCAGGTCCGACGATGGTAATGTCTTCTGTATCCTCGTGCGGCGGAGGCAGGATAATCGAACAACCGGTCTCTTGGAGGAAGTCGTCCAGGGAAAAGCCTCGTCCACCGGTAATAAATTGATGCTTACCGCGTTCGACGTTCATCTGCTCCAGAGTGAGCTGCTGCTGCAGTTGTTGAATTTGGCGATCGATTTCGGCTCTAGCCTCAGCGACAGCCTGTCGATCACCCGAAATCTGGATTGGAAGACCAGCTTGGGGAGCGAAGGAGAGCGGACCGCGGCTTGCGGAATTCTGAGGAGGCTGCTGGCTCCAGTTGCTATACTGCGGGATTTGCATCTTCAGGTCGCGCTCTTGTTGCAGAGCGTTGAGACGCTGATTATATGGAGCGCGCAGGAAGGGATAGAACTCCGCAGGCACGTGCTTCAATCGAGTGTTGGCAGACGAAGTGTGTTCGTTCACTATCTTCTCGATGTCCTGCTTGGCCATTTGAACGGCGAATGGGTCTCCCTCAATCACCACATCCACAGTAGCATCCATGTCGTCATCGTCGAGAATCTCAGCCGCCTCTTGCTTGGAAATGTTGATCTTGGCACCCGTCTTCTTCGAGATGGCCTGAATTGTGGCACCTTGCTTGCCGACAATCCTTCCACGAGTGCTAGCAGGAATGGGAACCTTGATATTTTGCTTCGAGCACAGCTGGGTAGCAACCTCTTTCAGAGCCACACGGACAGCATCCACCGGACCAGTACCTGTAAAGATGACGTTGCCGCTCTGACCCAGCTTCATTTCTACGGTTGCCTTGGAGCGCTTGTTGATATCACGAAGAATATCGGCCACAGGCTTCTTCAGCTGGTTGCGAGGGGTCATCATCGATGGGTGCAACTGGATGGATTCGCTGTAGCGGCCGGGCAGGGTCATCTGCGGCGTCGGGCCTCGCTGAGAGGCAACGGTGGAGCCAGGAGTCGCAGTACGTGAGACAGGGGTCGAGGTGCGGGAAGAGGCATCAGTAGCTGCAGTTCCATTGACAGCGGTACCAGAGACGCCGTTAGCCGCCTTTCCGACGGTAGCTGGCTTCTTGGACCACATACTTGGGGCGGCAGTGGGCGCAAGCTTGGGAGCACCGAGGGCTGGGAACAGCTCCTCGGACTGGGTGTCGAGGGCGGGCTTGTTGGAGGCAGCAGGCGGCGCATCGCGGACAGGCTGCTTACCAGCAGCTTTGGAGGCCGGAGGAGCATCGGTGGAGGCAGCGGGTGGTGGATGGGCGAGAGCGTCTTCGTCAGGCACTTCTTCCATTGACACCTTGTGAGCTTCCGCCTCGTGCTTCTTTTGAAGACGCTCGGCGGCAGTCATCTCTCCAGTGTCGATGGATGAGGCCATGGTCAGGTTTCCAGTCGATATATTCCAACGGGGGGTTCGGGTCGACAAGCGGATTGAGGAGGATGTCAACAGCTCATGCGGCGGATGGCGGTGTTGATGACTGAGTGTTGCACACGGCGGTCGGTCGATGGAGATGTCGTAGCGGAGTACGAGTACGAGCGGACTGTCGAGGTCAGGTGGAGAGTGGTCCGTGGATTTTAAAGGAAGGCAGAAATTCAACCACGTAAGTTGCTTGCGGAGAAAGCTTCGGAGCACTGACCCCGGTTCACAAGCTGGCTCGGAAGCTGCCGATTGCATCGCCGACCAATGCTGTTGGACACCATTGATTCTCGAATCAGCCAGAACAACCTTCACGAGCATTTTGGCGGCGAAATAGCTCGCCCACTTAGATACTCTGTCACGTCAGCAGCTTCGATAGCTACTAGAGGAGAGCTTTTCAGAATAATCTCGTGGAGAAGAGTCGCAAGCGGGATGCATTGACAAGGTATCTATTCATTCCCGACACTTCTCGATACCGCGAAAGGGATTGAGGATAGAGCTCAGCCAGAATCTCAAACACCCAATCTCAAACACCCAAGCTCATGTCCATGCTCATCAATATGCTAACGATACTTGTCCATGAACTCCTTGTGGAAATCCGTAATCCTGGAAACCCAATCCGTACCTGGAGCCAAGAACGTCGTTCGAAAATGCAAGGTACCTTCCTTCTGCCCAAAACCTGAGCCAGGCACGATGCACACACCAGTGGCATCCAGCAATCTCAAGCAGTAGAAGTCATCCGGGTTCTTGCCCTCCTTCTTTGCAGCCTCGATCGCGTTGGGAGAGAGCTGTATCGTTGGGTAGAGGTACATGCTTCCCTGTGGGTATTGGCATTCGACGCCTTCCATTTCCTTGAAGGCATCGTACAGTGCGTGCGCGCGCTTCTTGAGGTTGTGGAAGATAGTGTCGTACTCCTCGCGATATAGCTCATATGATGGCTCTCCTTCTTTGGGCGGGTTAACCATAAGCTCGACTATGCATTGACCGACGACGGGCGGACAGAGCATGATGCTGACAAACTTGTAAATTTGGGCGACAACCTATTCGCACTTAGTCGGAGCCCAGATCGTCTCGTGCATTGAGCACTCCTTACCTCGGGGTCGAAGCCAACCATCTCGTAGTAGCCACCACGGTGTCCACACTCACCGACCATGCCCTTGCTAATACTGTGAAGGCTAGCAAGCTCAATGTGATCGAACTTGCCATCTTTGTTCTTGTCACTCTTTTGCAATTCTCTCAAGCTCTTCTTGAAGCTTCGGAACTCTCCCTCGAAGACGTTGGTCTGGTACACCTCATCTGCTAGCACCACGAGATTTTCTTCGGCAGCCAACTCCAGAACGGATTCGATGTTTTCAGCGGCCAAAGAACCACCAGTCGGATTACCCGGATTGATCACCACAACTGCGCGAACGTTGATGCCTTTCTTTTGAGCGTCCTTGAGTGCTGTACGCATGCCTTCCACATCAGTGCTCCATTGGTCCTCTTCTTTTAGATAGTATGGCACACAGTGTGCGTTCAACAAGCTCAGTGTTGCAGTGTAGAGAGGATACTGTGGGATAGGGACCAAAACGCCGCTCTGCTTGTCAGCGCACATGACGTTCATGAGAGAATTGACACCTGCACTCGCACCGGCGCAGAGGTAGATGCTCTCTGGGTCTGCAGGGTATCCATCCCGTCTCTCAATGAAGTCTGCAACGCTCTTGCGAATGCCCGGAGCACCTTGCGACTGTGAATAGGCTCCAACGCTCTTGACATCCTTCAGAAGCTTCTTTGCACGTTCGATGACATCGCTCTTATACCCAAAGCTCTTCTCCAGGGCATCCTCGTTTTCCAGAAGCTGTGGGTTCTCGACCAGACTCGCAACCTGTCTGAAGAACGTGATGGGCTTTTGATCTAGCTGTTGTGGATTGCCAATGTTCGCGCTGATGACGGAGTCGAAGGGCAGGTCCTTGCCTTCGCCTTTGGCCAGCTGAGCTCGGTACTGCTCGGACTTGATGGCCAGCTCACCACGCACGGCGTACTTGGCCTCCTTGACATGAGGATTGATATTGTCGATGCTCAGAGCCTTGGTCCGAGGAGTACTGCTGAAGAGACGGTTCTGGACGAATGATGGTAAGGGTAGCGATCCAACGGGGCCTGAGAACGACATGGCTGAGGTGTCCAAGGGTGAAGAGTAGTAGGTAGACTGATGAGAGATACCTAGGGAAAGAGAAGTAGGAACTGACACCGCGCTCCTGGAGGGGAGCACGCGAGATGGGCTGACATTTTGCAGGCTCTGTTGCGAGTGGTGGCACGTATCCCGTCGATGCTTTAGATCGAGCTTTAGTGCGCCTGGGCTAGATGACGCATCGACGTGGGCAAGGTCGGAGCGGGTGTTGCGCGTGAGTACATGTCGGGCTCGTGTCGCTCTGACCAGCAGCCTCATCTTTCCCCCTCTGCCAATCGTACCGCCGCGCTCCTCTCAGATGCTCCAGCAGGGTCGAGGATAAGGTATATCCGTGTATCGTGAGGTTGTCGCGGCAAGTTGGTGGGGCGTGTCGGAGTTCAGGAAGCTCGCTCGGATTGGCAGCCGAAGCCGGAGACGTGCAACGATTCTCGTCCAATGCGGACAACATCAGCTGGAAAAGCAACTACAAATCCCACACTTTTGCTTGTTCGAACTCGATAACAGTCGGCAAGATATAGTCGATGACGGCTTCTATCGAACCAGTCGAAAAACAAAATCATCATCTGTTGCTTCATAATCCACCTAAGGAGACACTCTATCTCAAACCAAGTCCTCCGATTTTGGACATGTTGTGCTCCCTGGCTCAGGAACAGGGGCATGCATGTGGTAAGGGTAAGGTGCACGGGCGGTGAGGTGAAGAAAGCCTTTGACAGACCGGCTTCTTTTCGTGGAGACGGCTACATCCACTGTAGGTGGAACGGGCGTCATGCATACCTGGCTCGATGGCGCCGTCGCTCTGTGATATGAGGTCTCTCGGGGACGAGTGAGTCAATGCAGCCTACTTACCCTTATCAGTGAGTACAATGCTCTGCTTTCACTCTTTTGGGCATCAGCAACGCAGCAGAAGCAGTTCATCCATTCTTGAAGCCACAGATCGTCATGTCCATGCCATTCGGGGTCTACGTAGGGACAGCACAGCGGCTGACCATGATGCGAGAGATAGGAGGTGGTCGTGGTGTTGACCTGTTGGTGGTAGAGACACGTTCCCTCCCAAGTTCCATCTCTCCCAAGGTATCCACTACAGGACGAGCTCGTTTTCGTTTTCATCTCATCCACGATCCGAGACTTGGCTACTTTCTCCTCCAGATCTCAGAGTGAGATGGAAGGTAGTACATATGCTCAGCCACTCTTCGGAACTTGATTTCAGCGACGTCCTTCTGATGTGCCACTGCGATTCAAGGTGTAGAAGGACTAAGGTATGATGGCACGCGAGCATCTCGTGATTATTGGCCAAATCATTCCATGGTTGGGCTTTCGGCAGAAGGATCGACTATTCGGCAGGATCAATCCTTCCGCACGTTGCTGCGCGTGTCGAAGTATGTTTGATTTCGACTGCCTTCACAGGCCAAACAGGTCCTGGGGCTCACACTCGTCGTCTCACTTCATGCCGCTTGCCCCCGTACACACTGACCCTCGCTAGAAGTTGGGCCTGGCATCCTGGTGGTGCTGAGAGTGCAGCGTCGTGTACGTCGAGACCATGACGAGGTGTCTTTGTAGATCTCAATTCGCAAGGGTCACGGATCCAGGCTTTTGACTGGACCCTTCCTCATGGACACAGCCACAGTGCTCTTTCAGATGGGGAGACAGGGGAGATGCTATTTACCGGTCGCACTTTTGCTATTTGCCGGGCGTAGTTCGTAAAAGACGTAAAGTACGGGGGTAAACGCTCACTTACTAATATTCAGACACGTCGGTTAGGGTATCTCTAGCCCCTATCGCTACCTCTCGGTATACTACTTCTCTATTAATATCGGTAGTAGCGATAGGCTCTCCGAGCGTTTCGAGATTATAACTAATTTAAGATATCTTTAAGAGCTAGTATACGAGCTATCGTAGTACGGTAGGCAAGGAGAAGCGAGATATAGTAGATATAGTAGTAGTAGGTAGTAGTAATAGTAAGGTCGCAGGTACGAGGGTACACGAACGGCTTAACGAACGGGGAGGTGCGCTAATCGAGTAATACAGTGCATTACAACTGCGCCTAGCAAATAGCAAAAGTGCGCCCGGTAAATAGCATTTCCCTTCAGATGGCGCTAAGGCGGCGTGAGATCTGCGCTGACGTCGTTGGGATGGATAAAGCTTGAATCGGCGCCTGACCTACATACCTTACGAATTCCATCCTGAGCACTGCTGAGGATCATCTATTTGCATCCCGACGTCCTGCCTTCCACATCGATCTGTACGACAAACACCAACTCTACACTCACGTATACTCACACTTTGACCAGTTGCATACGACGATTTGATAGGTGAGTGTCCACAAGAGATCGGGCAGGGATCATGTCTAGCTGCAAGATGCTTGACCAGGGATATCAAGGACACCTTTCCCTGCCCAGTGCGTCGCATTGCGCCTCTTCCTGTCATAGACTTGGAGGAGGAGAAGATCCTCCCTTCCCACGCACAACGCGAAGAAGACTTTCTCCAACTTCCCCCTGAACCCGCCGAACTGCCCAACATGAAGCGTATGCTAAGTATGCGAACACAGCAGAAAGGACAACCTGCACCACCCACAATGGCCTCTCCGAACACAGCAACTTCTCCACAGTCTGCGAGCCTGCCGTCTCGCTCGGCTACCAGAAACTCGAACGATGACGCCATCCCGGACGAGGACAGCAGCGAGGTTACGAAGCTCTTCCACGAGCGTCTCCAGGCATGGAAGCATGCGTGCGTGTACTTTGAAGATTATGTCGAGGCGACGAGCAAGATGTACCATTCCGCTTCCAAGGACTACGAGAAGGTACTCAAGACCGTCAGCAGCCCATTGAAGGAGGGACATCACTTTGACCAGAGCCTGGGAGGCGTTGCTGGACTTTTTGACAACATCCGCAGCAATACTCAAGGGATTCAAAACAGCAACACCGAGACTAGCAAGACGCTGAAGGGAACCATACTCCCGATCTTCGACCGACTGCACACTGAGATCAAGAACAAGACGAAAGAGCTTAACAAGGGCGCTGGCAAGGGCTCTAAGGCTGTCGATAAGGCTCGCAACACTTCTCAGAAACACATTGAGCTGCTGGGCCAACATACGGCTACGTTTGACTCGACTGGAGGAAGTATGAAGGCTGGAGATGACCCGTACGTCCTGCAACGTCAGGTATATCACCGTCTCAACAAGCAGGTGCAAGAGGAGAACAACAATCGGGATGATATGTTGGCAGTGCAGAACAGCTTTTCGCAGTTCGAAGCGCACGTGCTTGAAACCTTCAAGACCGGACTATCCCAGTTCAATCAGGTGGTTACCAACCAGACCGATCAAACTCGGAACATGTACGGAGATATGGTTGCAAATGTGCGTCCCTTGTCATTCGACACCAATTAAGGAATTCATGCTGATTGCAAACAGGCCCAACGTATCCCAGCAGACTTTGAGTGGAACGGATTCGTCAAGCGCAACGCCAACATCCTCATTGATCCAAGTGCACCCAAGCGGACTGTGGAAAATATTGGATTCGCCAACCAGGACCACAAGGCCAGTCAACCGCTTATTGCCGGCTCTCTGGAGCGCAAGAGCGGCATGCTGAAGAAGTATGATGCTGGCTTCTACGTCGTCACTCCATCCAAGTACCTCCACGAGTTCAAGACCGACGACGATTTCGCCAAAGATCCTCACCCGGAGAACAGCTTGTACCTGCCTGACTGCCTCATTGGCGCAGTCGACGGTGTAAAGTTCAATGTGCGCGGAAAAGATACCAGTGGCAGCAGCATCAGCAACAAGATGGCTCGCTCGCACGAATTCGCATTCAAGGCACACACTGCGGGCGATGCCCAGAAGTGGCATTCTGTGATTGCCAGTGTCGCGGGCCAGACGACCAACGAGAAGCCAGACTCGACTCCTAGCAGCCCTACTACCGGCAAGGGAGAGGTATGTACTATCGAGCCACAACTTAAAACCGCTTCTTGCTGATTCTTGTCACCAGTACGGAACAATCGAGCCCTCTTCTGCCACGACGGAGACCGGGCCTGCACACGAGACTGGTACCATGTAGAAGTCGGCTGGCGACGGGGCGTCAAACACTGAGAAGGCATCGGTCTCTCGCTGAATGCATGCACGACAGTACATTGATTGGCGAGCAGTTCTCATCATCGCAATACCCTGAGCAATGCTTGTATCCTGTTTTGATGTGTAGTAATGTCTAGTAATACCACTACAACAGCGTATACCTATGCCATTGATCATCGGCACTCCTAACAGTGCGAACGAGTATTCGATTTTACCCGCTCTTCAACGATTGGCTACTGATATGCGATGTCGTAAATTGTCGGAGAGCAATCCGCCCCAAACCTTAGCATCGAAGCTTTCCATAGCGTAGGGTCTCGGACTTTTCGAAGACTCTCCTCGTTCGACATGAGCGGCGACGGAAGGCAAGTTCGTACCGCTCTTGAGCGTCTACAGAGCCAGTGTCTGGGCGACTGCGGTGAAAGGCTCGCGTACCGAGCTAACGCTTGCGTTTTCAATTCTCGCCGATCGGGGTAGCTTGGCGCACGTCGTCCCGGGCAGAGAACAGCTCAACACGGCAGAGACCTCCACATCCGAGCACAACAATAGCATGGTACGGTAAAGGGGCCTGCGAGAGCGCGGTCGCGAAGGACAGAGGTACACGCAACGCGCAAGCACAATGGCAGAAAACGACGACACAGGCCACAACAACCATCCCGAAACTTCTGCTTCGACTCCAAACTCGACCATCGCTGCGAACAGCGGGACGAAAGCGCCCAAGGATCGCAGTTGTCCTTTTTGTGGACAGGCCTTTACATCTTCGAGTCTGGGTCGCCATCTCGACCTCTACATCAAACCGAAGAACCCCAAACCTGCGGACGGGATTCACAATGTCGACGAAATCAGAAAGATTCGAGGAAACATCACGCGCCGGCAGCCTAGGACTAGCAAGGCGACGAGTGTGGACCGTGAGCGCAATAGTGGAGGGGATAGTAACAGTACGCCCGTCAATCGGGAGGAATACAGGTCGAGCACAACAGCGCACAGTCAGATGGCAGAGGACAGCCCTATGGTCTCGCCCGTGAACCCAAAAGACATCAATGAGCCGGCGCATTCCGCGCTGAATTCTGCGAACTGGCAAGCCACCGGCGTGATCAACAATCTGCCCCCGAGAGCGCCGTCGCGGAATAAGAATGGCCAGAGCAACGATGAAATTCCATCTGCCAGGGGCCAGGGGCAGCGCGTACAGCAGAGGAGGCAGGACACGAGTGGTCACAAGAGTCCGCATCCTGACTACGAGAATGAGGGCATGTGGAGGTTGCAACAGGACGCGGAACTGGGCAGAGCGGCAGAAATGGCTCTTCGCGAAGTGCTGGGCAGCTTGGAAGCAGCGCAGAAGAGGACTGAGCCAAAGGTCCTCTTCGACGAATTCGACTTCTACTCTCTATCCTTTCCCGGCCTTTGTCTGGCGATCTTACCGCCACCCAGTACTCTCTTCAGCCCGACACCATTCCCTTCTGCGGAGTCGTGGACCATTGGACCTCCGGGACTGCGCCAATACGAAGCCATGGTTCGATACGTAAACACGCGCTTCAACTCCAAGAAGAAAACGGAGCAGATTGCGGATTCGGTGGCGTTCAAACACCATTCGCACTTATCTGGGGCATGGGAACATTGGCAGAACATGACGGAGAACGATCGCGCATCAGCATGGAACCTGGAAGTCCTTCGCTCTTTCACGCGCGCACAGGAACAGAAGCAGCAGCTCCGTATAGAGCTGGAACAATCCCAACAGCACACCCGACATCTCGAAATGGAATTTGACCGATTATCCAGATGTCAGCTCCCGAGAGATTTCCTCGCCCACGCCGTCAACACCGTTCCGATACCTGCGGGTGTGATGCGAGAAGTGAAATCTTCCGCGTACAAGACCGAAGCCGCAGAGGCCAACTTTGACGTCGATGTGCTCTTGTCGAAGTGGAGAGCCAAGATCAAAGCTACAAGTCGACCCCGTGCGCCACGACCAGCGGCAGGCGGCAAGCCTAACGTGCCCATGTACACGCAATCCCAAGCGCAGCCCATGTCCGACGATATCGTCATGAATGGATCCGTATGGGGTATAGGCGGGCCCTTACGGCGCGAAACGGAGCCACATAACGAAGGCACTGCCGGCGAGATTGTCGAAATAGCCTACGAGACACCTCCGAATCCGGGAAACGTCACCAGTGTGGACGACTACGATGCCGCAGAGAACGCAGATGTGGATGCGGAGGGTGAGGCGGAAGATGCTAGTGCTTATGCAGAACAGAGAGCCTTGACGAGAAGGTTACCAGGTGGAGCAGACCCAGGCTGGCTGAATGCGAATGGGAAAAGGCCCTTGGGGTCGTCTTACGCGGCCGGCGGCGGGAGGTCTTGTACGAGGATGTATAGAGCGCGGCAAGAGGAAGACGCAGGTTGAACCAGAAGAGTGTGTACATACAACCCGGCGGCTTCTCTAGAATAGAATGGACGGACGGACTGACCAAGCATGTCGGCAAGCAGACCTCAATCGAGCTTCCTTCTTCATCAAAGTGTAGAGAGCTTGCCGTCTCGCGGCGACCTCATCTCACCTCTTCATCATCTCCTATTCAGCTTCTCGCGCCTACTCCGGTACACTTTATCACACAGCTAACGTCTCAGGTCTCACCCTCTACAACCCATTCGAAATCCTCGCCGCTCGCTCCCTCCCTCCGATGTCTCCCAACTTCGGCCTCACAGACACCCACGCCCTCCCTCATAACCGGCGTCTCGAGTGGAATAGCTCTCTCGATTCAACACTTCTCTTCAACTAGGAGCCCGCGTTGTCAGCACATTGTAATCCTTCAATTGGAGAGTCACCGCACATTCCCAGAAATTGTGACTCTAAAAGCCGAAGTGAGGGATGGAGGAGAAGAAGCAGCTGTGGAGAGATTATTATTTCGAAATGCTGAGCGGGAGAAAATGGAGGGGAATTGTTAGTGTACTTATTGCCAAGTCACGGTATCTTGGCCAAGGAAGGACAGACGACCTATGTGAGATTTCTCGTTTTCTTTGAAGTCTTGCCACGCAGAGGAGATAGAAAAGATTTGTATGTTGGCCAAGGGCAGAGTGCGGATATAAAAGTGGTGACGGTGATGCCTTACCCACTATTCTCCTTCCATGAGAAAAGTTGGGAGATCGGAAGAAGTGGCAGAAGCAGTTGGCAGTGCTTGCTAGTCCGGGTGGTGAGTGGGCATGTGAATGGGGTGAATTTGATGGTTGGTGCGTTTCTTATTTTCTTGCTCTGTTTCTGCATGGCTTAGTTCGGGGCGAAGGGTCTGTGCCGAATTGGTATTGGGACCCAATAGATGGTGGGATGAGAGGGAGACTTGCGTTGCCTCCTCCGAAATTGCAGTGAAGAGCACCTGCAGAGAATGCTATTTCCCAGACGGGGTCTGCCGTTCTACTTCACAGTTCATCTCTTCCTCTCTTGCTACTGCTCGTACTCGTCCGAGGCGGCTGAACCTCCAATACAACACGCTTATACCGTCGAATAGGCGGCGTCCCGCTCCCCATGACTTCGAAGATCACATGGTACTTCTGGCATTCTTCCTGTATACCCGCACCGGCATTCTGTAGAGCCTCCGGCGCTTTACAGGCCAATTCTGCTGCCGGTAATTGGAGAGAAGCGACGCTGCCGTTGCTCGAAAGAGTGAAATTTAGCTGCGGCACTTCGGACAAGATGTTTGATTGGGTTGCTGAGATTTCGCTGTACTGAAACCATGTATATTTCAACGCATTGCGGTCGGTCAGGTTTGCATCTGGATCGTAGGTTTCTGAGCCGTCGAGGATGATGATCTGCTCGGGATCCACTTCCATGATGTACGGGGCGCTTCCACAACAGCCATTCACGGAGACGACAGGAGGGTGGCTTCCTCCGCTGTAGTTCGACTGTATACTCCATTGAACGCGAGCAGACATCTCGTCCTGGTATGCTTGTCTCCAGCGCCAGATCGTTGCTTGATTGGTGGTGTGTGTTCTGTTGTCGATTCCGGTGACGGCGTCTACTGCGTCGGTGAAAACCATGGTCTGGCGCGTCAGATCGAGAAGAGTGTAGCGACCTCCCCACCCACCCCATTCAGGGTGATCGAATGGTCCACCGTTGAGTCCGTTCTGCATTGTGTGCATGAGCGACGGACTATCGCCTTCCATAGTATATGCAATGTCTGGATAATGACTTCCGAGAGGCCCAATCTGGAAGTGTTTCGATGCGTAAGCTTGGTTCACGAGCGAGGGATCAGGGCCTCCGACGTCGTTGTTGTAATATGCATCACCAGACATGCCGATCCAGGTGGCGTGGTTGTATAGATTGAAGCCGTGTAAAGATACTATGTATGGGATCGTCGGAAATTTCAGCCTGATCCATGGACCGACATTGTCTTGATCGGAGATGGTGTAGACGCGAAGCTTGCTGACGAATCTATCGAGTTCGTATGGTACTCGCGTGGCTCGAACGTGGAAGAGAGCTTCACCAAGCGTATTGACACCACCCCATGCCTGAACGTGGAGGAGGTCATCGTCGACCAGGCCATCGACGACGTCGATCAGATGCGAGGCGCCAGAAGACACCGGCGACTTGCCAATGGCTGCAGTTCCGTAGACCGGCTGGCCGCTCTTGATGATCGAGGATAGGTACTCTGCCGTCGGGAATATTCCTGATGTATGCTTGTTGAGAGTATCCACAACCAGGCCGTAAGCGTCTGTCGTGTTTCGAATCTGTTCGGGTACAACGGAAGAGTTCAGCCAGTAGGATGTGACAGCCACCTGCCAAGAAGAGGTAGGAGATCAGCTATTGTGTCTTATGGGTCAGCAAGCTTGTCTCCGTGCTTCTCGTACCATTCCCGTGATATTGTACTGATCTGTAAATCGAGAAGAACAAGGTAAGCAGGTGCTCCGACAAGTCTGGTGTACCCTTCGGGCCATTAATACACCCACCAGCGTGAAGAAGGAGTCTTATGAACGACATAGCGTCATCGGGTTCATTGGATATATCAGACATGATAAAGACCTGTGGTTGCTTGTCAATTTGTACTGCAGGAGGGCATGTTGCTGCTCTGCCCAATGCAGCCTGGAGCAGTAGGCCTGCAATGCCGTACTTGAGAGCGGCCATGTTGACTCAAGCAGGAAGCGATCTTTCTCGTCCTCGTCCAATCTTTTGAACTTGCCGGGCCTACCATTGCATGATATCACTGCCACTTCGGGGCTTAGGAAGTAAAGGGGACGATCTTCCGGCGGAATGCTATACCGACATGGCGAAGGACAATTGCGACGTCGGGTGCCTGGATCAGTAATGGAGCATTGCCTACTGTGCAAGCTCCATTCTGGTGGAAGGGGCATCTGTAGCCCGTGATGGAGGGTTGCACTTGGCTCCAGGCTGTCTTGGCGGTATCACAGTATGTTGCGATGAGCCTAAGGCAAAATCTCAAGAGCTGGGATTCGCGCAGGGCATCAAGCATCGGCGTCATCTGGCACGTGCGCGACCCCGGTGGGGAACTGGCGGGACGCGGGGCAGCATGCACGGACGGCAGATTCACTACCAACTTCACTTCCCTTTCAGACGACAACATCATCATCAGAAGACAAAGCTTCCATCCCGAAGAGTTGACGGTAGTATCTTGCGAACCCGACAGCTCACCATCGTGTTCTGTACACATAGGGCAGCTTACCGAGATCAAAGGAGAGGACTGGGCTAGACGTCATCATGGTAGCGGCCGAATTCCACCTCACAGCTGTGGCGGAAGCGGAAATCATTGCGAACTTCAAGTGCCGGCCCCTGTAACAGCTTCACAGTACTCTCTTGGACTACTTCAACCCCCTCCTCTCGACCGTCTTACTCGTGCCATATCACCGACAAAGTTCAAAGAAGCCTGCTCCCTACTCCGCTCTGCTTACGTCTCCAGTTCTGTCGAGCAGTGACCACCGCAACTATTAGCATCGCTCACCTCCGCATCCGTTGATTCTGTTCTTCTTCGTGACTACGACATCTCTTAGGATCGCTGTGCCGCCCAATCGACTTCAAAATGCCTCACAAGGAAGAGTACACCGAATTCACCCCCGACCAATATCCTGCCTTCCCAGACTCACCGAACTTCCCAACTATCGACCTCCAGACAATCTCACTCTCCAAACTCCAACAAAACGACGCCAACGAACAAGACCGGGTCCTTAAAGCCTGCAAAGACTGGGGCTTCTTCTATCTCGACCTCTCCAACTCTCAGGACGGCTCCACCATATCCTCCGGCGCCGATGATCTCTGCCGCGTCGCAGAAAAAGTCTTCCAGCTCCCCCTCGAGGAGAAGATGAAATACGGCCCCCAAGGCAAATCTCTTTCCGGCTATAAACACGTCGGCCGGACCGTCACAGACAAGAACAAAACGCCCGACACAGCCGAATTCTTCAACGTGGCGAAAAACGACTCCATCGTCCCAGACGCCCAAATGGCAAGGGACTATCCCCAAGTCGTCCTCGACAACAAACCTCTATTCAACAGATATAGCCGAGCAGCCCATTCCATCGGCCTCCACATTCTCGACCTCCTCGCCCAGAAACTCGGAATCGATCCCGAAGAAATCCACTCAAGACATAAACTAGAAGACCTCGCGGGCGATCACATCCGCATGACCCGCGGCCCAGCACGCGAAACGACCGAAATGCCCGAAATCCAAACCCCCTCACATACAGATTTCGGCACCATCACCATCCTCATGAACTGGCTCGGGGGATTGCAAGTCTACGGCTCCCCAAACCATCTCTTGGGGAATCTATCCTATGACGATGGAGATGCAAACGAAGGGGCTGACTGGCTCTGGGTCAAGCCGAAGCCCGGCTGCGCGATTGTGAATCTCGGCGACGCGGCTGTGAAATTCACGAATGGAGTGCTGTGCTCCGGGAGGCATAGAGTTGTCCCGGCACCTGGCGAACAGGGCAAATGGCCTCGGTATTCGATTGTTTATTTCGTGAGGCCGGTGAATGAGAGCAAACTGAAGACTCTCAAGGGACATTCGATTCCGGCGGCCGGGGACGAGGACGAGGAAGGCGTAGGTGCCCAGGAATGGATTTTCCAGCAGAGTGAGAAGTTGAGGACGGGAAATTATAAGTGATGTGAATGACGTTAAGGGAGAACTCGAAGAATCGCATGGGGATGTTTAATTTACCTCAAGGATAGTTTTTGAGCGAACTTGAACGAAACGATGAAGATGATTCCAGCTATTGTTCAATTCTTTTGAATGTTTCACAATTTGGGTATCTTCACATGCTTTCTATCTACAACTCAATTAAGCTTTCTTCCTTGACCTGCGGCGCATGCTGCGGTGCGGTCGGGAAAGCCTCTTGTCCATATCCGCCGTGCGCAGCAGGCGCTTGGGGCCATTGTTGAGCCGAAGCACCAGTAGGAGCAGGTTGTTGTCGAGGCATCTGCTGAGGATAATACTGCTGCGACGGTGGTTGTTGCGGGGGAGCTTGGTATTGCTGCGCAGGTTGTTGATACTGCTGAGGGGGCGGTTGTTGCTGCTGCTGCGGCTGTGGCTGTGGCTGATAATGTTGTTGTTGCGGAGGTGGTTGTTGATGATACATTTCAGGACTAGACGGTTGATGAGGTGCAGATGTCGGAGGAGGAGCGGAAGGCTGTTGCTGGTGCTGATCGCCAAAGTAGAAGCTGGCTGCTGGGTCTGCCTGAGGCGAAGATACCGGAGGATTCGAATGTTGTGAAGCGTGGCTGGGTGCGTATTGGGACGAAGTTTGAGAGTAGTGCCGAGCAGATTCGCGCCGCTGCAACTGAGGAGGCTGTTCGGGCGGGCCTTGCTGCGGGTAAGGTGTTTGAGCCGGCTGCTGTTGGGGCGTATAGCCTTGCTGCGGTTGCTGGTAATACGATGCCTCGGGCGGTGGCGCTCCATAAGAAGATACGCGCTTGTCGAAAGATGGGTATGGAGCTTGCTGCGGTGGAGCATATCCCCCATATCCGCCTTGAGGTTGCTGAGGAGGTGCATATACGTCCATGTGAGCAGTGTTGCCAGTGTAATAGCTCTCCATGCCGCTTGAGTTTGTCTCCGCTGCAGTGGGTATGCCGGGATACATACTCGAGCGTTGTTGCGTTCCGTAACGTCCCGAGGCATACGCGCTCGCCATGCGCTCTTCCAGCATGCGGTCGTAATATCTGACCACGGTAGCAAGCTTTGAATGCAGATCTAGCAAAGTGTCATGCTTGCTCATTGTCTCGCCGTACGTCCGCGCTAGCTTCGGTCTCAATGTGCCAATGCTCTCGTATAGCTCCTGGATCTGAGGCTCCCTAAGAATCGTCCCAGGCGGTTGGTGTTGCAGTCGATCGACCAGAGTAGCAAAAAGGTTAATGTTCTCAGCTTCCACCGGAGTCAGCTCAAATTGATTATTAGGCTTGTATTGAGCTGGTGCTGTTGTCGTAGACGAAGATGCTTGCTCTTTCAGCTCCTTTGCATGTCTCTTCTTCTGTGTCTCCATATCCTGCAGGCTTGCAGCGATGGCAGCTTTCAGATCTGCATCTTCCTCTTCCTCCTGCTTCGGTGCGCTCTTGTTGGTACCATTTGTTTGTGGCTTCGGTGTCTGCAGCTGGGATTGTGGTACGTATCCGGCCCCTGCGTGGCTTTTGCTCTCTTCCAAGCTCATCTCCAGCGCTCTCTTCAAATCGGCGTCAAAGCTATCTTCCGTTACCCGCGCACCTCTGGGCTGCATCCTCTCCGATCCCATGTTCGAGCCTTGCCACAGCGTCTTCTGATCAACAGTAGGGCTTCTCGGCCCAGGTGTCCCCCGACTCTTCTCTGTGAGCTTAGCGTAGCACCCGTCATCCACCCGTACAGGCTGCATTATTCCTAGATGCGGCAGGGGCAGCGACTTGCTGGAACATGTACCACAGAAGACGTTGCCACAATTTCGACAATGGTGCTTTCGGTTCGTAAATGTGAACTTCTCTCGACATCGCATACAGACATCGCTGTCGGCCCACTCGGGCGGCGCGGAGGAATCGAACATGCTTGCGGCCACCTCCTGTCTGGGCGGGAAGCGGAAGCCTTCATGCTGTAGTGTCCTGTACGTCTCGGAGATGTAGGTGAGGCTGTCGCGACCTTGTGCAGCAGATGCCCAATTCTGTATGAGCTCAAGGATCTTTGCCTTGACGTCGTTGTTGGTCTCGGCGTAGCCGCCCGCCTTGAGGATACTGATCAGGTTGTCCACGAATTCTCTGCTCGCTATTTCGACCATGAAATGTGAGCCTCCATTCTTGGCACAGGTGTCGGTCAGGTTCAAGGCAGCGAGTTGCACGTTGGGGTTCTTGTTGCCTATGCGGCGCTTGAGGCTGCGCATTGCCTCCTTCGGCTGGACTGTCTTGCTACGGATGACATCGCTGATCTCGAGGTTGAGGGCTATATCTTCCAGAGAGCTCGAGGTTGCTCTCTCGATCTGCGCATCGAGTTCAGTGTTGGCGGCATTATAGCCGAACCAGCCGGCCATGTTGGCTGCGAGGACGCGGGCGAGATGTGTGAATGGACGGTGGGTGTTGGCTGTTGTCCCGAATTGCTGTATTCCACCGGCGAAGATCTGGAATGGGATATCGGCGTCTGCTGAGATGGGTATTATTAAGGGAGATTATTTGGTGTGGGTGTGAAGAAGTGTAGGCACGTCTGCGTGTGCATGAGCGGCAGCCGTGAAAGCCAACGCCGACCAGGCAAACCAGGGTCACTCCCGAGCAGCGTCATACCTCGTCTCGGCATCTGACAACATCCAGCGAGACATCCACTTCCATTGCTCTCTCTCTCACCACCAATCCACCACACCCGACCGCCAGATCTCGCACTAAAAAATCTTGGACCTCGAACGCGACCTACGCACCCGCCGAGAAGACTGCGATCCACACCGCCCGCTACACCAGCCGGCACTCCGTCACGCAGCACTGGGCGCTTTGATAGCCTACCGCCTGCCAATTCGCCTGCCTGGCTGATTCACAACGACGCGTGTTCGACGACACTGTCAACACTGTCGTGTGAAGTTTCCGTCCCAAGCGACTCCTGTCTCCCTCTCGCCCACCACGACATGCGTCCGAGTCACGCCCCTCGCGATCCACCATGAGCGCCGCCGGGCCGCTGCCTTCACATGCTACCAACGGTCACCCAAGTGGATATCCCCCCTCAAGATCAGACACCCCAAATAGCGCCGGCGATCGCAAGTTCGCACACATACAAGACCTCAAGAACGAGGCACTCACAGACTTCAGCCCCGCGCAGTCAATAGGCTCGCTCTTTGAACGGGCCAACAGCGCGCTTCTCGCAGCCAAGAGGAACATAGACTTTCGCCGTCCTGACCTGGCCTTTGTGGAGTACTTGCGAGCCTACGAGATTGCTGTGGAAGTCATTCCAAAGCACAGGGACTACATACTATTTGCACATGATCAGCACGGCGGGCAGAAATTGCAGTTGTTGCAGCAGAAGATCAATTCCATGAATGAGCAGTTCGACGGCATTAAAGGAATCATCGTGAACAACAATAAACGATTTGGAGTCCTTCCGAAGAGCCAGCAATATCAGCAGTCCCAGAATGTGGGAGGTCATGCTCGTGGAGACTCCGCGGGAGCCATTGCAACGAATGGCAAGGTGAAGCCATCGCCTTCGCCGAAGCCTGAGAAGCTGCACGCACGCGCCGTATCTCATGCCAATGTCGGTACGAATGGTACATCCTCGAGTCCGGGAGATCCACTGGCGGATCGATTTGCCAAGTTGCGATTGGGACAAGGCGAGACATCCACGCGACCAAGCTCTAGGGGCTCAAGCACGTCGGTAAGCAGCGGTCCATTGGCTATGCCGTATGCTGGTGACTATCGCGGTAGCCTGGACGCATCATCAAGGAGCTCCTTCACCGCAGCAAGACCCCAGGGACCAAGAGGAATGCCAGAGAGCAGCATGGGTCCACCACCACTTCCGTCAAAACTTATCATCGGCACGGAAATTGCAGCAGCCATGCCCAAAGCACCAAGCCCGACATACAGCCCTGCGCGGAACATGCAAACTACTGGCAACATAGCACCGCCGAGATATAGTGCGCGGAGCCTCGTAACTTCGAGCAGTAGGATGTCATCTCTTATCCCGTCTTCCTCCGCTTCGGCCACCGCCCCGAACGGATCTGGAGATTACTTCGGCCAACCGACGAGCGACGGAGTGGCCACTCCTGGCGCTGTGCTGCGACGAAAGTCAGTTCATATGCCCAAGGAGACACGCCTCAGTGCAGAAAGACTATATGATTACATAGAGCGTTATAGCGTTTTGCTCATTGATTTCAGAAATCGCGAGGAGTTCGACCAGGGCCACATCTTCACTAGGAATATTATATGCGTGGAGCCCATGATCACACATCAGGGCATGAGTGCCTCTGAACTAGCGGACAAGCTGGTTCTCTCACCAGACGATGAACAGGACATGTTTCATCACCGTGATCAGTACGACCTGGTCGTATACTACGACAATCAGACGCAATCAGAGAGCTACCTCACAAGGCCAACGACAGACTCTGAAGCTCGTCTTCGATGGCTGCACGAAGCATTGTACGACTTCAATCAGGACAGGCCTCTCCAAAGGCCTCCGATCTTACTTATTGGTGGAATATCTGCTTGGATCGACTTGATCGGGCACCAAGCTCTGATGTCTACCAACACACAGCGAGCGAGGCAGGGACGTCCGATTCAACGACGGGCTCCGCCGCCCAGCGGTCAACCACGCATTCCAAAGCGCCGTCTCAGAGAGTATAACCCATTTGATGCAGAGGAAGAACGCAAGTGGAGAGAGCGGGCGAACAGTGAAAGTGTGCCAGAGACGACTGCATTCGTGCCTGGTAGCGAAGACGAGGCACTGGATGGCATCGATGAGGAGCAGGCTCTGCCAGGATTTCCTACCATCGAGAGCTTTAATGCGCGCTTTCCAGATGCAGGTTCTCTTGGCCAACAGAGATTCGGTGCGCCAGCTAGCCGTCCACCTCCTGAACGCCCTGCCAAAGTGCCTCAGTACCCAGCTGCCCCTGCGCCTTCGGTATATCCACCTGTGCCTGCGCGTCCTGCTCCGGCAGCCCCCCGAATGAGCTACACCGGGGTTAGCGACCGCGCCGTCTCTCAGAACCAACCTGCGCCAAGAACATCAAGCCAATTGACGCCGTACATCCCTCCGAAGTACATGTCAAATAACATACGTCTGCCCAGGACCGGTCTCATAAACTTTGGAAGCACTTGTTATTTGAATGCGACACTACAAGCGCTCTCGGCCACCACACCGCTATCTATCTTGTTTCTGGATGACCAGTACCGGAATCTTGTTCAAAAGGACAACTGGAAGGGCAGTCGAGGCCTACTTCCGGATATCTACTCCAACACCATTCGATCGCTCTGGAAAGGCGACGTCAACTGCATCAAGCCCAGCACACTGTTCAACTTTGTTGGTCGTCTCAACAGTATTTTCAAGGATCCAGGCCAGCAGCAAGACGCACAAGAGTTCTTCAGCATGATCGTGGATGTACTGCATGAGGACTTTAACTCCATGTGGGCACGCACCCCGTTGAGAGCGCTCACTGAGCAAGAGGAAGCCAAGCGCGAGCGCATGCCCAAGACTGTCGTCGCTAAGACCGAATGGGGTCGTTACACTCACCGGGAGAACTCCTTTTTGACCTCGCTCTTCTACGGCCAGCAATCTTCGCGACTCCAATGTCCCAAATGCGGCATGACCAGTACACAGTATGATGCTTGGGCACTCCTGCAAGTGGAGATTCCCGATTGTAAAGAGGCTAGACTTCAGGACTGTCTTCGACAACACTTTGGAGACGAGCTTCTGGACGAAGAAAACCAGTGGACCTGTCCGAATTGCAAAGCGCCTCGAAGGGCGCGGAAGAAGCTCACCATGACTCGTGCACCGCCATTCTTAGTCATTGGCCTGAAGCGCTTCAAGACGAATCCACGAACTGGCGATCAACGTAAGATTCACACGGCTGTGAGATTTCCACTCGTAGGCCTAGACATAGAAGAGTTAGTCCTTCCACAACCATCGCCGAAAGAGGTGCAAGATATCGCAGCGAGCTATGGCCCAGACATGCTGAAGGCCGATTCTTCCCAGTCTCCTCCGTATATATATGATGCATACGCTGTGGTGCGTCATATGGGTGAGTCTACCAGGAGTGGACATTACACCACGGCCGTGAAGGACCAGCAGAGGGGATGCTGGCGGTACTTCAACGACACACAGGTCACGGATTTCCAGCCCGAGAGTGAGAGTAGGAGCAAGGCTTTGGACAATGATCAGGCATATCTAGTCTTTTACAAGCGCAGGCAGGTGCATGAGGTGAATAAGATTTGAGCGGAGATGTTTGTCTTTTTTATTCATAGCGTTCGAGCGATTTTGTATACATGCATGAGTGCTGGTGACACACACACACACATCACGTCAATCAGGCATTCTTTGCATGCCCTGTAGATATGAGCATTGCGTGCAGAATGTGAGATGCCCTCCACGCCTCTGAGAGATTGAAACCCCGTCTTCCTGAGAATGCTAGCAAAACCCAGGGTATCAGCGAGTCACACAACACCAGGTCCACGGTAACGGTCATCGATATAAAAGACCAAAAGCCGCTCTGTGTATCATACATACATATCCATTCATCCATTCATTTCATCAATCCATCAACCATCCCTATACCCCCTCCCCAACTCCGTCAACCCCCCCTCATCATCCAACATGCGCGCCCACCGCCCCACGGTCCCGCAATCCCTCATGGGCCCAAACCACGCGTACCGCTCCACCCAATCCAGGGAATCCAAATACGCACAACTCTCCCGCGCGAAACTCTCGACGTGTTCCCGCGGTAAAGGGGTGTCTGGGTTCCAGTTCGTGGCGGCGAATTCCGTGATCCAGACGGGTTTGGAGGGGTCGAGTTGGTGGTGTGTGGACCAGATGTAGTCGTAGAATTGTCCTAAATAGAAATAAATGAGAAATAAACCGGGGGGGGGGGGGGGTGGAGTTGGAGGTGGATGGATAGGTGAGGGCTGGGAGAAGCAGGCAAGCAAGACAAGACAAGACAAGACAGGCAGTTCCTCTTGAAAGAAAAAGAAGAAAAAAGCAAAGAAAAGAACATACCAAGCGTCTCCCCATACCAATGCAAACACCAAAAATCCACATCACTCCCCCCCTCGCGAATCCTGCCCAAAAACTCCCGCATCCACGCCACGGCATGTCCCGCGCTCGAAATCCCGGGACTGCCACAGCGCACGTTGCCCCCGCCGCCGCCGCGACGCAGGGGCTCGATGACGCGCAGCCATTCGCGCGCGGCCACGTCGGCGGAGATGTTGGATTGATCGGGCAGCTCGGGCTCGTTGAAAGCTATCACGATGCCGGGAGAATTGCCAGTTTCTTGGATTTTGCTGGGCAGCGCGTCCATGTCGGCCGTGTTCCATTGCATGGGGATGAATTGGAGACTTGAGCATCCTGAGACGGGGTTGGGGGACCAGTTGTCTGGGATGTTACATCTTCTTTAGCCAAAGAGGGGGAAAGATTTGTGGAATTCTCGTATCTACTACTAGGCCAGAGAAGAGAGGGAGAGGGAGAGGAAGAAAAAGAGCAGGTGTGAAAACGTACAGATCCAGGAAATCTTACTGCCCGGTTTCGTGAAGGGGAATACGGGGTCTTGATTCTCGACGGGCCAGCAGAGGCCTCGTTTTGAGGGAGAGGAAGAGGCCATTGAATTCGCTCCTCCGCCTCCTGAATTTCCTCTCGGCGTGATTCCGTTTTTGGCTTTATTGATGAGCTCTCGGAAAGGCATATGTTGTCTTGGAAATCAATGGTCTGCAGGAGGAAGAAAGATGGTTGAGGTTTGTAGAGCTAGCTTCTGATGCAAGAGGTGAGGTCAACCACAGCTTCATATTGCCAAGACTCATCTCCAGCGCCGCGCGTCCCAGCGAGCCGTAACAGGCATGCATTTGATTCACAAGAGTGTGCACGCGACAGAGAGAACGGTGGACATTTCAAACATAAGGTCGTCTGTCATAGCCCTATCTATCTACCTAACCGCCCACATGCATGCCATGATGCCGACCCAGATCGCCATGCATCAAAGGGCTGAAAATCGCGCCTCACGATACGTGAATGCTCCTCCCAACAAAAGCAACGCTGCAACGCTCACAACACAACCGAATAACAAAGATATGTACAGCAAAGCCAAACGAACGAAACCTCGAGCTCGCGATCCTGTCGACGCCGACGCGTAGTCGTACTCTTTATTCCTTCCAACGCATTCAGTGCAGGTCGGACGGCCCAGGAGCCGCCCTATCTTTGTTATTGGAACGTCGTGTTGCCCCAGTAATCGGGACTCGGAAAGTCCTGGTCGATGTTGTAGGGGCTGGTGAAGGGATCGGTGGGAACGCTCACGGAGCCGTCGGTCCAGGGCTGCGAGGTGAAGCCAGCGGACTCGTCCACGGGACCCAAGTCCACGCTGCTAGAGACCGGCATGCCAGATACACCGCCCATTCTCCTCAGAGCAGACGACTCCATTGCGGTAGGGCTATTGCCGGTGACGAAGACGCCGTTGTTGATGTCAATGTCAGGGAACAATTGCTTGATGAGGTCCTCGTTCTGTGCGTTGCCACCACTGACTAACTGTGACTGCGATCGACCACAAGTAGCCGTCATTGAAGTAGGCCGCTGCGCGATACTTGACATGGTCGGCATCGTGGGCGTGTTCCAAACATTGGCCATACCTATTGCTTGATCGTTGGACAATGCCTTGGACTTCTCCAGTGAGGTCGGCCACTCGGGATTGGGATTGGCCATGCTGAAGTCGGCGTTGCCAAAGAAATTGGGAGGTAAGCTGCGTCGATTGATGTTGCTGCCATCGCCGTCGAGATTGAAAGCCCCGGCATCTTCTTGAATGCTAGGCATCGGGAAGCCATAGAAGTCGTCCATGGTCGGGATCTCGTCAATCTCCGACTGCGTTCCACTGGAAGCGGCGGTCAGCGCTGGCTGAGCTGCATTGGTGCTGTCGAAGTTGGTAGCCCAAACACCAAAGGGGTTGTTGTTGGGCATGTTGAGGTCGGCAGAGGGATAGCCGGTCCAGGGATCGTAGGAAGAGTCTGCCATACCCGACATCGGGTCCATGGACGAGAACATTGGCTGGTCACTAGCCGAAGAGTCCATACTCTGGTTGGTTTGGATGGGACCAAGGGCACTGAAGTCGATGGAGGAAAGCTTGGCATCGGCAAGTCCTCCACCACGTGTCTCGATAGCAGAGTGTCTCGGCGACGGTTGCTCGGACTTGGACATCCGCCTCTCGGTAGCGAAGGGTACTGGTGGTTGAGTCGCCGTTGCTGGGTTCCAGGACATACTGCTGTCCAAAGCGAGGCTGTCCACAGAACGGCGTGCTTGCGCGGAAATGTTGTTGTCCGTGTTCGACCTGGGCATTGGCATCTTGTAAGGCATGCCGGACTCGTGAGCGGCATGGTTCCTCTTGTGCACCGGCTTGTGGTGTCCGTTCGCAAAGACCGTGATCTCTCCATCCGACCTTGTCGTCTCGAGCTTGGGTTTGTGTACAGCCGGGCCGTGGGCCAGAGCGCTATCCTTGAGTTGCGATTCCTTCTTCACGAGCGAACAGGTGCATCTGCCGCCATGACCGCAGCAGCAGCCTTGTTCCTCGGCGACGGCAGCGAGATAGGTGGATTCCAGCTCTCGGGAGGGCTCGTCACGAAAGCCGGCTTTGGCACGCTCTTCGGCCTCGCGCAGGTGGATGCATTTCTCCTTGGGGTGGTGCGGCTTCTCGGTCTCGCCGCAGTCGCACTTGACGTGGGCGGATCGCTTCTTGCGCTCGAGACGGCAATGCTGGCACTGGGTGACGGGACGTCCCTTCTTGGGCACGAGGGTCAATTCGCGGTCTGGGCAACGGTCAGCCGGCGCGCCTCTCGAATCCTGACTTGGCGGCGCGCATCGGCACATTAGATGTGACGACGCTCCAAGCGACGCCGACAACGACGGCGAGGTGGTGAGGACTATATCAGGACAGGGACATACCAATATGTGTGCAGCCGCTCACGCGGTGGCCCTTCAGACATGATTGGCATGCCCATTTGGTGCCATCGTCCTTGACCACCATTCCGGGCGTCGGTCTTGGCGGGAGCGATCTGCAGCTGCGGGATTTAATGGCCGAGAGGGCAGAGAAGCAGCGGACAAGTGGGCGCGTCGTCGTCAGCGAGGAGGTCTCGCGGGGCGAAAGGTAGGAAAGAGAAGATGATAAGATGCTGCTCGTATTCGGGGGTATCTCAGAATGAAGAGTCCATCCGGAACGCCTGTGGGTTGGGTACGCCGCCAAGAATGGTGAGGAAAGTCGCCGCGGCGGGGTGAAGAGACGGGTGCCGCTGGGAGTTGGGGGAGAGCGGAGAGCGGAGAGCGGAGAGCGGTCAAGGCCTGACACACCAGCAGAGCTGCCGGTGGCCGTATATTGGCCGGTGCAGAAGTCGGACTGAGCGATCAAAATGAGATGAATGCGCACCGGGCTGGGTGTGTTGGGGGGGTGGGAAGTGAGAAGGTGAGAGGGAGAGAGTCGCGCAGCAGCAGCAGAAAAGAGACGGCACAGGCGGCGGGGCGGGGCGGGGCGGGGCGAGCGGGCGGGCAAAACCACTGCCACGGCTGCTAAGCTACAATAGTACATGTACAGTACTTCTCTCGACTGCCATTCGCTCGGCCGCCTCGCATCTACCCGGCGTACCCGCCCATCATCGCGACACCACCCCGCTGGCCCGTTCACACTGCGTGCGTACCTAGTCAAATGGAATCAAGCATTCCCACCTGCATACAACCACTAACCCGCATTCCATCCTGGTCCTTCACTCATCACCACACCTCTTCCCGTATATTTCATCATCCATCCCACATCTCTGGAGTCTGCTACTTCTCCATGTTCCCCTTCTTCACCCCGTCATCGAGTCGTCGCTGGACCCGAAACCGTTCGAACCAAACTCCACCCTCCGTCCTCTCGGCACCTCACCTGTCCGAGAGAGGACGACCGACAGCTCATCGTTCCGTCGCGCCGAGCTAGAACCCTACTCCCACTGCCTTTCCACCTGTCCATCTGACAAATTTCCCTCGTTCCAACATGCAAACGGCGCCGACTGTGATTTCGAAGCTATTCTAGCTCTGCATGCTGCATTTCCTACACCTCCTAGACCTAGGTTACCTCTGAAATTACACGCTTACAAGTGCAGATCGTCCGATACTTTCCCGCCCACTCACTCCTTCTCGGTGCGTTGCGCCGCCAGTCAGCAATGCCAACACACGCGTATCCATACCCTTTGTGGGCCAAAGCGACGTCGGAAACTCTCCAAGCTTTACTTTAGGCCAGCAGCTTCTTGATGTCCCCCAATCTTCCGCTGCGAGCCTTGTCCCTCTTGCTGCCCTTCTCCGAGAAGGCGATTCTCATCTGCCATGATTCGCGTTAGCATTCCATCTTCTCGACAGACACCACACGCTTGCGAGCACCACTCACCAGTTTCCGCTTTTCCGCCTGCACCTCTAGCGTGCGCTCTTCGATCGTCCCATCCATCACCAGCCGGAAGACCCTGCGAACGATGCAACTTAGATCAGACTTCCGATGTGGACAGACCTCCCGGCAGATCACAGCATCACTCGATGGACTTCCCACTCCTGTTACGTACCTGCATTGCTTCTTCTGTCCTAAACGGTGCACGCGATCAACGGCTTGGTCCTCAATGGCCGGTGCCCACCCTGATACGCACTGTTAGCCATTCACAGGATCATTAGGCATGCCACGCTCTTACAGGTATCCGCAAGTATCACCTAGCCACTACTGTCAGCCCATGGCTCCGTGTTGCAACAATCTTGCTGCGAAGATCCGGGTAGGGTGGCTTACATTGTTTGCCGCGGTCAGGTTCAGTCCGACTGCACACACTTGCAAAGACGCCAACATGACGGTCGTCTCGTCATCTTGCTCAAGCGCACGCAGGCAATCATCGCGATTCTTGGCCGACATCGTACTATCCAGAGGTCAGCAGCCGAGACAGAATTGTACCATTCCTTGCATCACGGCTTCTCCATACCCATCCAACCGACAGAACTTGTATCCCTCCTTTTCAATGCGCGCTTGCACAATGTCCAGGAATCTCGTCCACTGCGAAAATATGACCGTCTTGCCGGCCGCCTTACCCTCCCTCGTGGCGCCCAGTATATTCACAAGCCTCTCGAGTTTGCTGGAGGACTGTGCTAGGTCGAGGTCATCGTCCTGCGCTTGCTCGCCGCCCTCGACGGCGGGAGACACTAGGACAGACTCGTCCTTCAGCTCGGCTCGACACATAGGACACTTGTGCTGCGTTTCGATGACTTTGGAGATGCACTCCATACCAAAGAAATGACCGCAAGTGGTAATCACTGGGTTGTGCAGCGTCTCCAGACAAATCGCACAATCTTCCTGAGACTCAATCTGCACTTGTAACACATGTTGTAGCGCCTTCTTGTTCTCGTCATTCAGATCCACAGTCTTGGCCTCCTGTAATTGAGCCATCAACTTGGTCACTCGTTCGCCGCACATCTGCCAGTGATTGCAGCACTGTCGCATGCGCAAAAGCACCTCCAGTAGATGTTGGTACGCGTCGGTGGCATTCTTTGTTCCGTTGTTCGAGGATTTCTCATACTTCTTCACCAGGCCATGAGCTTCTTGATTCAAGGCCTCGTAGCGTTCGCGCTCCTTCTGCGTGAAGTCGATGCGTTGCACAAACTCGTCCAGAACTGGTAGCTTCAAGTCGATGAAGTCCACGTCTTTACGACGTCTCAAAGTGAAGGCTTTCATGATGAGCTTCAGTAGGACAACAGCACTCTCCTGGCCCTTGTTGTAAGGCCGCGTGAGCACACGACTGAACATCTCTGACTGCTCCAGGCCGCCGGTGATTTGGATGAAACGGAGCAGCGAAAACAGGTCGCCGAGGCTGTTCACAATCGGTGTGCCGGTCAAGACCCAGCGAGACCGCGCTGTCAGGGCGGTTACGGCTAAAGTGCCCTTCGACTTCGCATTGCGGACCGTATGTCCTTCGTCCAGGATCACTCGCCGCCATGCAACGCTGTAGAGGCCTTTACTGCGCAACTTCGCCTCTGGCGTCTTGGAGCTTCCCCTTGGCATGTAGTCTGCCGTAAGTGTCTGATATGTAGTCAGCACGACATCGTGCTTCTCGAAATCCGCCGCTTTCATGTCGACACGGCCAGCGGCGTGGTAAGTATATACGCTGAGCATGTGGTTCTCCTTGACGTGGCTTGAAATCTGTCCCGACCAATTGCTCATGACCGACAGAGGCGCCACGATGAGAGTGGTGCCGCGACCAGACTTCTCAGCATCTGCCACAATGAGCGATATCATCTCCAGCGTCTTGCCCAGTCCCATATCATCCGCCAGAATACCTCCACTGGCGAGTTGAGGAGCAGTTCCCGTTGTGAAGTTGGTGGCCAAGTTGGTGTAGCGATTTTGAGTCTTTGTCCACAGCTGCACAGAGTCCCTTGCACTAGATCCTGGCTGTCGTGGATTCTCTTGGTCAAGGAGCCATTGAAGTGCTTGCAGCTGATATGGCAACATGTTTGTCTGGATTCCGCCTGGCTTGGGCGCTTGCGGCATGTCCATAAGCTCTTGCTCGGAGAAACCAAGCTTGTCGGTGGCTTCATTGATCTCCCGTGGGTTGACGCGCTGTGACGCCTCCAGTAGGGCAGACATATCAAATTGCTGTTGACTACCACCTGCAGGAGCAGATTGACTCGAATACTTTCCGGGAGCCATAGCAGCAGCTCGCCTTGCAGCAGCGAGACGTTCTTTCTCTTCTTCTCTGCGGCGCTTCTCGGCGTCCTGAACGGTCTTGGTGGACAACTTGTCTGCGCCCATTCTACCCCGGAGCCTCTTGCCTTCATCCGAGTTCGGATCGGGCCCGTACATCTGCACTGTCAGTGGGCAGTCGAATTGACCGATCTCACCAGCCAGCTGGCCCTCAAGATGGAGCCAGCGGTTGTCGAGGTATTTGGCGAGCTTCGAAGCCATTCCTCTGGGAATGTGGCCAATCTGAGTTCCTTGGACATCGTCGACCCGGATGGCATTGCTGTCGTACGGATTGCTAGGTTCTCTTCTTATAAGAATCTGCTCTCCGGAATTTGCGTAGCCCCGGTAGTACTGCACCCCGACGACTTTTGTCGCCAGCTCGCCGTATTGATGTAGGTAGTCAGTATCCTGTTGCGAAGAACTTATAATCTCGTTGAAATCATCCTCAGTGATGCCATGCTGCTGCCATGAGTCACGTTCCGGTTGGCTGTGCTGCTGGAGAGAGCTGCTTGGAGTACCATTCACGCTCTCATATCGGCCCCTCGAAGCACTACTCGTTGGCGGCGTGGCGTATGGTACTCTGGCTCCCGTGACGCCAGGCTGATCCATTCGGCCACGATTGCGAGCATTCTGCTCCGATGCATTCTTGGGCATCTTCGCTGGAGCGTCCAGATCATCGTCGCTTGCGGTAAGATCGATCTCGACGCGTTTGCGCTTGCCGTCTGCTCGGGCACTAGCTTTCTGACTCATCTTGTTGGTGTCGCTCTCTGACACAGGAGGCATTCTGGCGCATCCAAATTGTGAACAACTTATGTTTATCTTGAGCACGTCGGGCAAAGGAAGGGACGAATGTTGCACAAGAAAGTCAGGATCACGCGTCATGCCGGGTCTGTGCATGGTTGTGGTTCCTGCATTAGCTCCAGACGCTACCCCGCGTAGACACGTGAGAGCGTCAGTTACATGTGTCAAGGGCATGGAAAAGACGATATGCCAAACGCTATTCCACAAATGTTCCGATTCCAACATGATAAAACGATAGTCTATCCCTCTCTATCAACTCACGAGTCCCAGCCAGAGAACAAAAACTTCACCCCGCCTGTATAGCAATATTCCCTCATTCTCAATTTCCCATACCGATTTCCCTGAAAAACACCATGCTCGCTCAGAACGCTGCAGCAAAAATCAAGAAGTCGACGACGACGAAGCGCCCAGAACCTTCGTCTTCATCCACTCACTCGTACCCACGCCCAGATTCAACCCATTCCTCGCCCACCATCGCTTGACCTGCATTCCCCTCTCTCCCTCATATCCATCCTCCAAAGCCTCTTCAACGTCACACGTCTTATATTCCACGTTCAACCCAGAACTCTTCCACCATTCCAAAACCTTGACATGCCCACTCTTCGTCGCGCCTACAAGGACCTGATTATCGAAAATCATTTTCGATCCTTTCATTTCGTACCAGGCTTGCAGTATATCAACGTGCCCGTGTGTACTGGCGAGTTTGGCCACAGTGTCTTCGTGTGGGAAGGCGATGCCGGATTGTAGCCACCAATGAACCACATCTGTGTGCCCGTTCTGTGTAGCGTAGCAAATACTTTTTCCGGCTTTGAGGCGCACTTTGGACGAGTCGACGCTAGCGTTACTGTCATCGACCGTCGTCGATTGCTGTTTCCACCATTCGAGGACTTGAACATGCCCATGTGCACTCGCTTGTTCCAATGCTGCTTCAGAGAATTTGAGCGGTAGACCGGAGTGCTGCCACCATTCCAGGACGTTGACGAAACCTGCTCGGGAGGCGCCATCGAGAGCTTCAGGATTATACTCCTTCGTAAGGAAAGATGGAGAAGTACGCCAGAATTCGAGAATCTCCGTTCGCCCAAATACCGACGATGCCTTGTCTGGGAGGAATGTGTGGCCGAAGGTCGCCCAGAATAAGTCTTTGTGGTTAGATTCAAGATATGATAAGATGTCGGTCATGGCAAATCGCATGATGAGTTTGATGCATAATTTCGACAGCCACCGCGGGACGCTATGAGTGGCTATGAAGTGTTTGAAGTCTGCCAGGTTTCCTCGTAAAATGGTCAGCTCGAGTGCCTCCATGTAGTTTCGCGGGCCGTGTGGGCTCGCGTGAGAAGACCATTCGGCCGGCGGCAACAGGTTTGTAAAGATGTGCATTGTCTCTGCTAGTTCCCAATCACCCGCGAAGTCGAAGATCATTGTCCATAACTCAGGAGGAAGCAGACTGGTGGACTTTTTCGACTCGAAGGGGAAAGTTGCTCGACTAGGCGACACGTCAATGCCTTGCCCTATGTTCAAGAGATCGACCTTGTTCCGGATCGCATCGACAAGCTCGTCTGCCGCGTCCCATGTGGTGACCTTCTTCTGCCCTTCCACAAAAGTCCAGAGCATCGGCTGCAGCACCTGTACCCAGTTCCACTTCCTACGAATCTTGGTGAGCTGCTTCTTGGTCATAGGATTTTCCCACATCAGCGAAGACATGCCCGGCAAGAGCAGAATCTTCTTGGAAACATTCCAGCTTCGCAGTATCTCCAACAACAGATTGTCTGTATGTCCTTGCAGCATCTTGGCGAGGTTGTTGGCATCAATCGGTGCCAGCACCAAGAGATTTGCCCATTCGCATAGCTCAATCGCCTCTTGTTCGATATCGGCAGCGTCGCGAGCGGGCGCCTGGCGTGTGGCATTTGGCACGGTGAGACAGTAGCTCGAGGCGCGAATCCAATCCTGACCACGGAAGCCTGCGTCAAGAACCGCTCGCACCGAGACATCGGGCAGGTCTGCTATCCGCGGTAGAAGATCGTGGACAATTTGGCTGTCGGTACAGCCCGCGGAGACGAATAGAACGTTCAGTTCTCGCGTTCGGTGGTGGGCATTCATATCGATGTCAAGAGGCGGGAGGGTATCGTGGGGCGGAGAGGAAGAGGCAGAGCGTACACCACTTCCGTGTGCTCTCCACATGGTCGCGACAGCGCCGTAAGCAGGGGCGGATAACTGTTGTTATAGTTAACGCAAAAGCGGTGGCGACTGGAGTCTGGAGATAGATGGTGAGAGGTGAGAGGGCGACCGCATGCAGCATCGCCCAATGAAAGCAATTCCTTTCTCCACGGTCCCTTCCAAGAGTCGGGTAATCACCGCGGTCGTAAGCTTCTCGACAGGGAAGATATCAAAGGGGTGAAAACGGTAAAGAAAGTGTGTCGCCACTCCTCAGGCCTGCTGAAGTCGAGTGTTGATGCCGCAGCCTCGAGATGCGACTGTTGCGGAGCAGGAACGCGAGAAAGCGCATTAGTCAGTGCCAAGCCTTGCGGCTGCATGCGCACGTGAAAGCCATCATTCGAGCGGCTGTCATCGGCTCTAGCTTGCTGTCAGTTACCCTTCATGTGGAATGCGCATGAGTATCACGGAACGTCTTTACTCTCGAGAAACTCATCAATGCACAATTGCATCTCTATCGTGACGTATTCAAAGGCTCGCGCTCGCAGGACCTTGTTTGCCCCCTATCTCCACCCTCTTCCCCTCTGCCTCAACAAAAGCCGACTGTTCATACTCACAATCGTTCTAACCAAATCCCAGTCTCCGTCTTTCCCAACCCAGTCACACACAACGATGCCCACGCCTCCGTCACCGGGAAATTCCTCACCAGGCCCATTGGTACCCTTATCACCCACATCATGTTTCTCACACAAGAACGAAGTGACAGCCGGGTTCAGCTTCGCAGCGATTCGATCTGGCCAACATCCCATCTTCCAGAAATTCGAAGCCGACAAGAAATTCATGTAAAGTGGTCCTGCAGGCACGGGATTCGTACTGTCGGTAGTAACGCCCGGAACAGGGCAGATCACCTGCCCAGCTCGTTCGAAGTGATCGCAGCAGAATGTGATTTTCTTTTCGATGTTTTCGGTCTCGAGCACCTCGCAAAAATCTTGCACACGCACATCTCCGTATGTGCAGTCGGGAGTGTTGTAAGCCCAGTTCTCGGCATCGAGACACCAGCCTCGACCGTCCCATTCGCCTTTGATCCGGTCGTCGAGTGCGAAGCGACGCATCAGGACTATCTTGCCGCGGACTTCGCCTAGATGAGGGACGCGTGGTTCGGTGTACCATTGGTTCAGATCACCCGCGTAGTGGTCCCGAAGGATACAGGAGAGTTGTTGATCCGTAGCATTGCCAGTGCCTTCGCGTTTGAGAGAGATGATGACACTTTCGGATGGATTCTCGCGTAAGAAGCCCTGAACGTGGTCAAGCAGGCCACGGAATTTCTTGGGGCCGGTAAGGGATATCGGGAAAGCGCCGTGGACGAGATTGAGATCGTCGTTCTTCGCGTCCTCTGGTGCAACTGGCTGCACACGAATATCGAAGAACCGCACACCATTTCTCAACTGGTCGATTAGAGGTACAGCCTGACAGCGTACCGAAGGCAATGCCGTGTGACAAGTGGGCGAGTTATGTGTGCCAGGAATACTGAGTGCTGAGAGTGGAGTGTCGTCCTGGAACTCCTTCATCCAATTGTGCTGATCTGTACTTTCCACGACCGCGAGAACGTGTGTCTGGGGATTGTAGATGGCAGTGTATTCCTGTGCCGGGTCATCCACCAATGGCGTGAGCTTCTGAGAAGTAAGCGATGTAGTAGGCGAGTTAATTCTCCATTTGCCAGGACCGTCTCCTTGAAGTGTCAACCGCAGTATATCTCCAGGTCCTCGCTCTGTCGTCTTGATGTCCGTCTTGTGGGTTGTGAACGGCTCCATGCGCACGTCTACCTCTTGCTGGACCCAACTCTCTGCCTTCTCGCCCAGTTGGGAATCGTTCGGTGCGCCATTGCCGGTGACATTGCTGACGAAATTGGTAGTCAAATTCGAGAAGTTCTTGGTCAAGCCGGAGACATTGAAGCGGGACTTGCGCTCCCCATCGGCGGGGGGGAGTTGCTGGGGTTTGGGAGCTTCATATCGCTCGACCAGCTTGATCGTGAGCGGCTGGGCAGTGAGATTGCGGACGGTAATCGGCTCTGACATGACGAAAGTCAGCTCTGTGTACTCTCCAAATCTATCATAATGGGAAAGCAGACTAATACGTACCTGAAGGCTCTGCAGGCGCTTGCTGCTTCTTGGAACTCACAGCGCCCATCGTTCGAGGGCTGAGGTGAACGAGTGTGGATGTCTTGACCAATCACGGGGCGTGAGCCGACCTCACCTGAACCTTGACGCCCCAGCTTCCTTTCCTCCAAGTCTGTCACACATACACCGACAGTCATGTTACTTGTCGCTTGAGAGTCTGGCCGTGGCCTTGTTGCCATTCTTAACTGCTCTACACAGGCCACTATCGGCAGCGATAGCGGCCTCCGACCTTCCTCAACTTTCAGGGTGCCCCAGAGCAAGAGTAACTTCTCGACCTTGCGTTATACCGGCTTACAGATGCAGATCAGGATAGGTCTGAATACTTCAGATCGGCCAAGTTCGAAGCCCTATTGGCGCCAGTGAACTTTTCGGACTTCTGTCCCAGGCCCCATGAGGTTTGGCGTGTTGCGGAGTCAATCAATTTCATGTTGTGCCGGTAATCTGTACGAGTGTCGGAGTTCGAGCGCGACAGAAGAAGGCCAAGAGCGGGGGAGAAATGAGCAAGCATTGAGCGGGAATTCACGCCCTCAAGGCTTTCGCAAACTGCTCTCACATGAAATGGCCTCGGAGATCTTTTTTGCAGCAAAAAAGACTAGATTGAAGCCGTAGGGTTCTCGGGATATTGATGAGATGCTGTCAGCCACGTTATTCCGGGAGAGCTGGCGAGCAGATGTTACCCGAGAAAAGCTGAGTCCATCCTGATCTTCCTAGGTCCTATTTACGATCACGGCGAAATACCTCGATTCTGAGGGAGAACGGCGACAGGAAGGCAAACGTCGTGATACTCTGAATTGATGAATGTGACAGTCAGTGGTCTTCCAATGCAGAGCGAGACGATCTTTCAGATACAATGTCGAATCATATGACTGGAGTCCTTCTGACTCTCTTCAAGCATTCTCGTCCTCGCCGTATACTACTCTTCCTGTGCCACTGACTCAGTCTCCGCCGCCGACTTCTCCGCCTTCTTCAGCTCTAACCATCCTTTATAGAAGGTGCGCCCTTTGTGCCATCGCTAGGATCGCTCGAAGTGGCTGTATTTTCTTCCACTTGAATAAGCGCAGGCTCCGTCTCTAGCGAAGAGCTGTCCTGCTTGTTCCGCTTCCGACTGAAGAGACGGAGCAGCGCCCAGCACTGGGGAGCGCTCCACTTGGCCATCGTGATTATACTTCCTATTGGCGAGGGAATATTTTGGTGGCAGATGATTGATGATGTGCAGGTAGTAGCACTGTTGAGGATCGTTGTGGGTTAGTAGCAGTGTTGTTGATGATCGAGGTTATGCAGGTGGTGGAATCATTGCAACGAGACTGGATGTTGGAACAAGTGTTGTGCAAGAGAATGAGTGAGTGAGAGAACGCCTGAAGTGTGTGAGATAGTTGCTGCCTGTGTTGGCTTAGCATGTGCCGACAAGAGCAGAGGCGAATGCCCAGCGCAAGAAGCAACCATTCTAGATCAGGCACGAGATTGTGTGAAATCGTTGTGACGATCCACATGAATCTACTGTCTTCTCTGGACCGCTTTATGTGGAATTCACAATTTCGTCTCCAGCAATTCATTGGGTGTCTTTCGAAATCCCGTAACGATGGCCCTACCACGCCGAGGCGTGTGTGCTGACTGCCCGAGCAGCCTTTCATGGGTTCGCTTCCACTCTCACGCGTGCCTCCCTCCCTTCGAAGTAGGTCCCAATTGCTCGGGTGCTGGCGACAAGTTCGACATCTCTGGTCACAAATTCTCCAAGCTTAGAAGTCGGGCCACATTCATCGTCGCTGCTATCCCACCACTCGGGTCCGGCATAGTCAGCGGCCTTGCCGACAGGGTCCTCTTCACCAGTCTCCCATATTAGACGCAATTCGAATGGCACGATACCTAGTCGCTTCCCCACCAAGCCTAGGACAGAGTAGATGTTGAAAGATTTAGGAATCTCCTCTGTCCAGGTACGGGCCGAAAGATCAGGCAGAGACTCTGCAGCAAGAACAAAATATATTCTGACAAGCCGTGCCGCTAGGCTGCCAGGGTCTAGCTGATCTTCTTTCCGTAAATTTGCTACGGTGGGCTCGCCATACTCGTCACACAGCTCCTTCCAGCGTGGATGTTCTCGCAACACGTCTGAAGCTTTCTCCGCCGGCGTGTTAGTCAAGTGCGCAGCGACCTGACTGAGGTAGTAAACCTCAGCATTGAGTCTCTCTTTCTCTGTGGTTTTACTGTAGTTGAGGTATTCCACTCGTGGCAGACGTGCGATGGTAAGCATGTAGCCATCCTCCGCGGTCAGCGCTCGACCTTCCGCAGACTTGAGGTCCTTGTACAGTGGATTACCACCAACATGGAGTTGTTTGAGGTTCGGGTAAGCTTCCTCGAGGACGTTGAAGAACGTCCAGGATACAATGCGGTTATGTGACAGATCAATGGACCGTATGGTCTCGCTCAATGGGCGTTCTCCCGTACGGGCCATAGATACGTGGCAGTGCTTCAGTAGCAACTCCTCCAAGCGTTCGCACTGAGCGAGGCTTTCGAGGTCATTCAGGGTGCCAAATTCGTTTCCTGAGAGTACCATTCGCTTCAGGTTTTTTGGCATGGGGTCTGGGCCAACTCGTTTGAGTCCATTTTGTGCTGCAAGCAGCTCTGTCAGGTTTGGAAAGTGGGTCGCAACCGTGCAAATTTCAGGCCATGTCAGCCAGGTGTTGGAAAGACTCAAGCTTCTCACTCCAGAGAGCGCATCTTGCTGACATGAATCCACAGTGAACCGGTTGCCATCAAGCGTCAGTCTCGAAAGCTTGGGAAGAAGTGCACACAGTGCCATGATTTCGTCCAGAGATTCGAAGAGATTGCTGCCGAGATCGAGTTCTGTGACATGGCCGCAAGTCTCTGAGATGGCCGATCTTTCGCTCTCAAATATCTCACCGTGGACTTGCATATAGTCCAGCACGATAGTGTGGATGCCCTGGAGCTGAGCCTGTCGTTTCGCGAACTTCTCAAAGCCAACTTCTTCAGCCCTTTTGCTGGAGAAGTATACGATCTCGCTTGCGGTGTCTGCATGCTCGGGCATGTATTTCTCCCGGAGAGCCTGGTAGAATGACCTTGGTCGGTCCCATGTCTGCTTGGACTTCAGAAATGAAGCCGCTGACTTGGAAGTGTTTCTGCCTAGGTCGTGAGCTCGAAACTGCTACGTTCTTTGATTGAGAGTCTTGAAGCGTACATTCAAAATATCTCACTCCGTCATGAGTTCCATCATGCTTCCCTCTCGTTGGATCGTCCCACTCAACGCCCAGCCAGTCTCCCGGCTTATCGGCGACGGCACCAATGTATCGAATAGTACAGAGCTGGCCCTTGAGACTGAGTCGCTGACCGATATGGTAACTAGACGCCTCCATGTCAGTCATGTGATGTGATGTCTCAATTGTGGCAGACATTATTCAACATGGGAGAGGGAGACGTGAAGCTGTCGCGTTTAGAGTTTGATGGGCCCGTGCGTGAGACACCTTTCAGAAGACCAGGGCATCCACGGATCCAACGTCTTAAGTACTCTTTGTCTCCTAGAAATCTAAACAGCTCACGAGCTTCCCAACAGCAAGCGTATGGTCTGAGAGATCGCAGACTCGGCTTTGCAGAATACAAATCCCACGACACGAGCGTCTCCACGCATCCCCAGCTTTCACGCCCAACTTGGAACCACTCGCGCGTATCGGGCTACGCAAACAGCGGTCATGGATATGGTGCAAGGCAAGATATTGCGAAGCAGTAGCGAGACCGAAGCTATGCTGACCTCCGCTCAGACTGGGCTGCCTATCTCATGGGCGAGCACGCCGGCATACCGCCCTACGCTCGTCAAGTCCTCAGCGCAGCATCCACGCTCAAATCATGGCTTATCCCGGTCGTCGACCAGCTCTCGCAGAAGCCCGATCTCGCGACCATTGCACTACTCCTCGTCATCGTACTCGTCTCGCTGAAAATTCTGGACATGCTTTGGCAGACGATACTATTCTGGGTTCGGATGATTTGGAAGCTCGTTTTCTGGGGTGGTCTGGTCGCGTTAGCGCTTTGGATGTACACGAGAGGGCCAGACGGTGTGGCAGCGGACATACAGTACTGGCAACAGAATTGGAATAAGGAGTATCAGTACTGGAAGGAACAGGAGCGGGTTGCGAAGCTGCTACATCAGCAGCAGGGACAACGCCGGCCAGGTGGATGGTACTGAGGAGAGACGTTGGTGATGGAGAAGCTTGTTGGAAATGATGATTGTGACGAGCATGATGTGAACGATATTCTGGGTTTAGCGATGGCGCTCTGGCGATGATGGGACCAGATGAGATCCCGATATTACTTTTCGAGGGCATCAGGGCATGAGAATTTCATGTTGGAATACTGTCCACGATGCTTCCTTGTTTGCACCTTCCAACACGGTGGAGACTGTTCGAGAATACTGCGGCGACGCACGCGTTGTTTTGTAGCATAAGAATGGGAAAGTCTCAAAGCACTTGTGTCTCCGCAGTACAAGTCCAAAAGCTTCAGCCCGAATCGTGCTCAGTACCTCTGGAAGGTCCGACATCTTCTGCTTTGGGGATGCACTAAGGCCTGAATCCTCCGTGCTGCTCCCATCTACATCCATGATCGTCTTTCATTTCATTTCGTATAAATGTCAAGGCCTTATTCACGTCTCGTATTCCATTGTGGCTGGCGTTGTGGCTGGTGGGGCTTAGCAAACGGAAAGTTCACAGTCATTCCACCATCACCACCACCAAAACTTCACAACCCTCTCGAGCTTAGGGCGATTGTCACTATTCCAAACGCTCACCGCGAGCGGTGTCTCGTTCCTTCCAAGTGACTCAGCGGAGTTGCCTTACTTCAACTTTGAAGAAACGCCAGGCTGAAACTTCGTTAACATTTCCTACTTTCCATTTTCTCGCTTCAACATCAAGAACACCACGGAATTTCTACGCATACCTCACAAAACCAAGGTACACACCAAAGAGACTCGACGACACAACCAACCATGGCGTATCGTCACGAGGCGCCGTATCGGCCTCAAGATCGCAATGAGGTCTCGGATATGCTCCGCGGCCTCGATGCAAACAAAGGCAAGGGCAAGGGTAAAGGCGGCTTCTCATGCAAGAAGAGCACCTTCAATGTCGACGGCTCTGATATCAAAGTCGACTCGTGGAAGATGCAAGACTGGGATTACAAGAAGCCGAACCTGCCAACATACGCTCGAGGTCTTTTCACATACACCACCAGCAAAGGACATCCGGAAATCGCCATTCGCGGATACGACAAATTCTTCAATCACGGTGAAGTGCGCGAGACGGAATGGGATAACGTCGAGCAGAACACACGTGGGCCATATGAGCTCAGCGTGAAAGAAAACGGCTGTATTATCTTCATGAGCGGACTCGAGGACGGCACATTACTCGTCTGCAGCAAACACTCGACTGGATCTCGTGGCGATACGGAGCAGAGCCATGCTAAAGTCGGTGAGGAGTGGGTGGACAAGCATCTGGCTTCTGTGAGAAAGACGAGGCAGCTGTTGGCAGTCAAGTTACGGGAGATGAATGCCACAGCCGTGGCAGAACTGTGCGACGATGAGTTCGAGGAGCACGTGCTGGAGTATCGTCCAGAGGCCGCTGGTCTTTATCTCCACGGCATCAACCTCAACTTACCAGAGTTCGCCACCTACCCACATGATCTTGTCGACCAGTTTGCCGATGAATGGGGCTTCAAGAAGACCATGTATGTCATCAAGGATGATCTCCAGGATGTCAAGCAGTTCCTCGACAAGATCGCAGAAACTGGGAACTACGCTGGACGCGACACAGAAGGCTTCGTCATCCGATGCCAATCCAAGGCCAATACGAATGTGTGGCACGACTGGTTTTTCAAGTACAAGTTTGAGGAGCCCTACTTGATGTACCGTCAATGGCGTGAGTGCACCAAAGCAGTCATCGCAGGGCGGCAGCCTAAGTACAAGAAGCACAAGAAGATTACCGAAGAATATATCGTCTTCGCCCGCAAGAAGCTCCATGGCCATCCAGATCTGGCCAGGGCATATAACCAGAACCATGGTATCATCAAGATGCGCGACGAATTCCTCGCCTCCATCGGCTTGAAAGGCTCGGATATTATTCGACAGGAGGAAGCTGAGGGCGAAGTCTCGAACGACCAGGTCACAAGAGATGTGGTCTTGGTGCCTGTTGCGACTATTGGCTGTGGAAAAACGACTGTTGCTCTTGCCCTGTGCAAACTCTTCAACTGGGGACACGTCCAGAATGACAACATTACCGTGAAGAAAGGCAAGCCACAAGCATTTGCAAATGAGTGTTGCAGCGCGTTGGCCGAATACTCCACCACGGTTGCAGACCGCAACAACCACCAACGTCGTGAGCGACAGCAACTCATCAACGACGTCTCGAGGGTGGTGCCCAGTGCACGCTTTGTGGCGCTCCACTTCGTTCACGATCGTCACAACTACGACAACATTCGCGCCGCTCTCCGAGACCGAGTAATCAATCGAGGCGACAACCACCAAACCATTCACACCAGCAAAGGCGCTGACGAGATCATTGGCATCATGGAAGGCTTCATGCAGCGTTTCGAGCCCGTCAACCCAGAAGCTCCTCCGGACGATGGGTTTGACACTGTCATTGACGTCGACCCGACTTCTTCGTCGCGGCAAAACCTCGAAACCGTGGTCAGTCGGCTCTACATTGAGTATCCTCAGCTCTTTGGAGATCACGAAATGCCCACCGCCGATGACATGGATGCTGCTATCGATGCTGCGATGAAGGACTACCAAGTCGACATCAAACATGAGATCAAGAGCCGTGACGACCGAAACCGAGGCAACAAGCAGCAAAATGGACCGAAGGCCCAAGCAAACGGATCAGCCAAGCCCAAGCAGCGCAACGTTGAATTCTTCGCTGTTGAATTGCCGGCGACACGTGTGTCTGGGATTCTCGAGGCCCTGTTTAGCGAGGCACCGGCCGATGTGGCGAAGATGTACAACACCTTGAAGCATCAGCGACGCATTCAGGCTGCATTCCATGTCACCCTCATCCATCGTGCCATGTCAGGCCAGCATCCGGAGCACTGGTCTTGGCTGTCCGACCTGCACAACCAAGCTTGTGGCCCCACAGCAGAGCGCGCCTACACGATGCCAGATCCCCGACTGGGTGCTTGCAAGGTCCGACTGGAGCGCGTGGTCTGGGACGATCGCATCATGGCTATTGTTGTCCGTCTGAGTCCGCTGGGTGGTAGCAATGAGCAGTTCAGCACGGTCAACAACACCGCCCACATCACGGTAGGAACAGCATCTCCGGATGTGAAGCCCAAGGAGTCGAACGAGCTGCTGGCGCGCTGGCTGCAGGAGGGCAGTGGGCCCAACGGCATTCACGAGATGTCTGTCAAGGGGAACGTGGAATTGGAAGGCACGGTCAAGGCTACACTGTCGAGGTAGAACCCGCAGTGGAACCCGTCCCGCTCGCGACCTCGTTAGGAGTTGGATGATATCTTATGTTATGGATTCAAGCATAGCGTTGTAGTCAGCATTTGCAGGCGCACATAGGTGATATGCATCCCAAGGGCGGGTCCGAAGCAGCTTTGAGAGGCTGCAGATGGTCACAAGGAATGCAAAATGAGATGCTGCCATCAACCACTGCGCATCCAAAGCTTATATGTGCAAACCGTTATTCCTTCGACTGCCCGGATACCGAGACAGCGACGGATCAGTATCCGCCGGCTATCCCGGGACATGCCGTATCCTCCAGTCTATCGTGACCGTCGTGGCCGCATGCCTCCACACGACTGGATATCTAGTACGTGCGAAGCTCGATGTTGACGACGGCGCAATGCGGCGGCAGGATTGGCTCTGATGGCGGTGATGGCGGTGATGGCGGTGATTGGCTTGCTCCGCGTGTGTCGGGCACGCGTTTGCTGCGAGCCCTCCTGTGCTCCGCACTCCCGTCGGTGCAGTGGTCATCAGCCAGCGGCATTCGGGAGCTACCGCTTGAATTGCGATGGAATTGCGAATTGCGCCGAGAGATCGGGTGGAGCCGTCTGGAGCTCTTGCTTTACCCTGCGAGCTCTTCCTGCACATGCATATCAACTGGCGGTGAAACGAGCTGCCAACGAGCAATTATAGCCCACCGCCCGGCTAGAGCCAGAGCCGCCAAAGGATAATGCCCGGGAGCGCTGCGCTGCGCTGCGCCTCGGGAGCGAGGAGACACAACGCCGCTGCCAACATGTTGCAGGAGCAAGGCGCAGGTAATGCTGCATTAGCAGTCTCCCGGCACAGTCGAGTGGAAAAATCTTCCCGGCGCGAGCAACACGACTTCAACTAGGTAGATACCCCTCCAGCCTTCGAAGCTCCTTCTCCCGCCTCTCTGCTGTCTCCATCTCTTCCCTCCTGTACATTTCCTTGCCTTGTTGGGCAGGGTCATGCCCGCGGCGAAGCGAGTGGCTCGGTGTGTGTGATCAGCATCCGCGACATAACGGCGCATGACGGCAGGGATAGGCTAGCTTCTCGGCAACGATTGGCTTCGATACACTGGCACCAAAACGCCTCCTGGAAGAAGTTCGTCCACAGGGAGAGCGTGCACAGTGTCCCGGACTCGCGCACACGACTGTCCACACACCACCACCACCACCACGACCCAGAGCCTGGATTTCGTCTTGCTCTCCACAGCTCAATCCTCACTCCTGTACGCGACGCCGCCTTTGTACCGTAATCCGAGCAAGCAACCCACCGACACTCGCCTCTAATGATATCAGCCTCGTCGCACGATTCCAACATCTGCTCGCTCCAACTCAATGGCAGTCGCTGTCACAACATATTCCGAAAATCACATTGCCCTCGAATCGCACCGACGCGACATCCAGCCACCGATTTCTCCTTTGGATGAAAGACATGGATTGAAGACGCGTATCAGAGCTTTGGTCGGCTTTTGGGAGACTCTGGCCGGCTCTCGGGACTCGAAAAGCAAGCTCCAGAGCTCTTGTTTCGGGTTCAAGAGAATCGATCAGACGGATAACCAGAGCTCTGTCCCGCGAGACCTGTTCGAAAGATATGGATCTGTAATATCACATGCGCCTCCTCCGCCAAGCTACGAGGAATCTCTCAGTGACATTCCACCTGATTACACGACAACAGATGCATTCGCGATTTCTCGGATTGAGAATGGAGCCGAGATCGAGGCTACTGGTCGGAGATGTCAGTCGCAGCGTTCAAGCTCCATTGCCAAGCGGCACACAGATTCGTGTGATGTAAAAGTGGACTTTGGAGACATCGAGAATATTCGAACGCATGGCAAGAAAAAGAAGAAGAATCAAGCTGCGAACAACTGGGCTGATAGTGACAACGAGAAGGAGAAGGAGAAGGAGGGGGCGGCTGGCGGTGCAGGGGGCGATGAAAATGGAGGTGGTGATGCTGGTGAAGGCGGTGACGGCGGTGACGCTGGCGGAGCGGGAGGAGACCCTCCTGGTGGCGGCGATGGTGGAGATGACGGAGATGACTGGTTCAATGCTGGAGGTGGAGGCAAGAAGAACAAGAAGAAGAAGAAGTCAGTACTTTTGAGACGCCGTCCTGCAATCCTGTTGCATTACTAACGAGCAGTAGAAAGAATGCCTGGGAGGAATTCGAGGAAGACGAGAAGAAAAAGGAAGAGGAGGAGAAGAAGAAGGCAGAAGAGGAGGCCGCTGCGAATGGAGGTGCTGATGCGGGAGTCACTGAAGCTGACCCTACAGATGGTGCGTTCTCTGCTGATTTGCGCTGCGTTGACAAGCACTAATCCTAGCCACAGACTGGGGTGCATTTGCGACCGTTGGAAAAAAGGGCAAGAAGGTGAGTGTCCTTCTGTATTTGCGCACACGCTCTCCTGACACATTCGCAGAAGAAGGGAGCTACGGCTTTCACTTTGGACCCCGAACCTGAGCCTCAGCCCGAGCCTGAGCCTGAGCCGGTCGTTGAAGCCCCAGCTCCACCACCGGCAGACGACGAATCTTGGGGTGGTTTCACGACGGCTGGCAAGAAGAAGAAGGGGAAGAAGAGCAAAGATCCCGAGCCTGAACCTGAGCCACCCAAAGAGCCCGAACCCGAACCTGTCGCAGACACCGCCGAAGCTGTGGACGACTGGGGCGGGTTCGCAACAGTCGGTAGGGAGGACTTCAAACAGATGGACGCTTGATCGTTTCGCGTACTGACTTTGTTTTCGTAGGCAAGAAGAAGAAGGGCAAGAAGGGAGCTGCTGAACCAGAGCCTGAGCCTCCAGCGCCTCCAGCGCCAGCCCCAGAACCCGCTGCAGCGGAAGACATCGACGATTGGATGACGTCTAGCAAGAAAAAGAAAGACAAGAAGGCCAAAAAGGTATGTTTGCGACGATTTTCATCCATCATTGTTTCATTTCACGATATTACGAGCGAAGATGGTGTTGGCGAATGGCGCGTCGCGGACCCCTTTCCTGCAGCTCGACGTTTCCGGGCTGTGAGGGGCGTGGCGGCTGGCCGTAAGCTCAGACCTCCGCAATCTCACGCATATCGATACCGTCGTCCGGGTCAGGCGTCTCTCCTAATCGCGCATCGGGCGCATTCCATGATGCACAGTTATGAACATGTGTCCAACTCACTGATCGAATCTGTAGAACGAGCCTGCTGTGGAAGCACCCAAAGAGCCCGCGAACGACATGAAATTTGACGACATCAGCCTCAATGACGACAAGACTGCGCCGAAACTCGACCTCGACTTTGGCCTAGGCAAGAAGGCCGATCCGCCAGCAGAGAAATCCGGCGGCTTCAGTTTTGGCTGGGGCGGTGGATGGGGAGGCGCTTCATCTTGGGGGTTCGGGAGCGCCGCTGCGGATCCCGCTGCTGACACGAAACAAGATGATTCCGGCTGGGGGTTTTCATCCAGCAAGAAGGACAAGAAGGACGACAAGAAGAAGTCGAGCGCGTTCGACTTCAGCTTCGATAATCTCGACGAGCCCCAGGAGCCTGCACTTGATCTAGGAGCATCCGCCACGAAAGATGAGCCGAAGATGGAAGACGATCCGTGGGGTGGATTCACTACGAAGAAGGACAAGAAAAAGAAGAAGGGCGCGATTGAGCCTGAACCGGTAGTCGAAGCTCCCCCGCCCCCACCTCCCGTCGAGGAGAAGGCTGAGGATGATCCTTGGTCATCTTTCTCGAGCAAGAAGGACAAAAAGAAGAAGAAGGGCATGATTGAGCCTGAACCAGTCATCGAAGTTCCCCCGCCCCCACCTCCCGTCGAGGACAAGGCTGAGGATGATCCTTGGTCATCTTTCTCGAGCAAGAAGGACAAGAAGAAGAAGAAGGGCACGATTGAGCCTGAACCAATCGTCGAAGTTCCCTCGCCTCCACCTCCCGTCGAGGACAAGGCTGAGGAAGATGCTTGGTCACCTTTCTCGAGCAAGAAGGACAAGAAGAAGAAGAAGGGAGCATCCATGTGGGAACCTGAGCCCGCGCCCGAGCCTGAAATACCGCCTCCCGAACCTGACCTGCTTACGGAGGAGAAGAAGGAAGAGGAAGACCCGTGGGGCGGTTTCATGACGGCCAAGGAAAAGAAGAAGGCGAAAAAGGCAGGCAAGCTTGGGAAAGAAGAAGAGAAGCCCGTTGAGGAGCCACCGCCACCTCCTGAGCCAGAACCGATACCAGAGCCTGCGCCAGTAGTGGACGCGTTCGAAGGCTGGGGAACGTCGACGTCCAAGAAGAAGAAGGGCAAGAAGGGACAACCGGAGCCTGAACCCATAGTCGAGGTTGTGACATCGCCTGCCGAAGAAAAACCGGCTGACGATGATCCATGGGGCTCTCTGGGAACGAAGAAGGATAAGAAGAAGAAGGGTGGCGGCTTCACGTTCGACTGGGCAGACGAGGCCGCCGATCCTGTCATTGATGTTCCGCCGCCTGCACCAGCTGCCGAACCGGCCAATGATTGGCTAAGTGGCACCTGGGATACTGGCAAAAAATCGAAGTCGAAGAAGAAAGGCGTTGTCGAAGAGCCAGCTCCTCCTCCCCCACCTCCAGCACCACCGGCGATCGAGAACGATGCGGCAGAGGCTGACTGGTTTGGGGGCTTTGGCACCAAGAAAGATAAAAAGAAGAAAGGAAAGACCGATCTTCCGGAACCTGCTGCTCCCGACCCGCCGGCTGTTGACAACGACGCATTCCTCATGCCTGAGGCAGTCATCGAGCCCAAGGCGGACGGTGACGACGACTGGATGAACAGCTGGTCGACTGGAACTAAGAAGAAGGACAAGAAGAACAAATCCAAGGGCATCACTGAAGTCAACGATCCGTCTCCGGGCGTATCGATGCTTTTGCCCGAGTCTGTGCAGGAGAAGTCGGCTGAGGATGACTCCTGGGCTTCGTGGACGACGGGTGCGTAAATCTATTGGCCGACTGCTGACCCGACCAAATTACTGACAGCTGCGTAGGCAAGAAAGCGAAGAAGAAGGACGCGAAAAAGAACAGCATCCTCGATCCTCTCCCCGTCGAAGCACCTCCCGAGCCCGATCCTGTTATTGCCGGTGACGATCTGCTGGACATGATTGACCCTCCTGCAGACGATCCATGGAGCTTCACGTCCACGACGAAAAAGAAGGGCAAAGCGGATAAAAAGGGCTCGAAGGTCGCAGAGCCTCCCAAGATCGAAGAGATCTTCCTCACGAAGACCAAGTCGAAAGATTCCAAGAAGTCTGCACTTGACGACATTCTTGATGTTACAGAGGAAGCACCGCCAGAGCCCGAGCCTGAGCCCGAGCCTCCCAAGAAGGAGAAGAAGGACAAGGAAGAGAAGGCGTCTTCCGGATGGGGAGTCTGGGGTAGCAGCTCGAAGAGCAAGACAACGAAGGAGACGTCCAAGGAGAAGAAAGAGCGAGAGAAGAAGGAACAGAAAGAGCGAGAGGCAGCGGAGGCCGCTGAGGCCGCTGAAGCCCAGCGCATAGCGGACGAGGAAGCATTTGCTGCCGCGCTGGGCGAGGATCCAGATGACATTCTCGATTTCGTCGATGAGCCAGCACCTGCACCGACGAAGAAATCGTCGTCGAAGGACAAGGACAGCAAGAAGAAGGGTAGCGACAAGTTGTCCAAGGTCGAAAGCAAATCCAGCAAGAAATCGGAGCCGAAAGAAGACCCCATCGCAGCAATTGTGGATGTGCATGAGCCAGACCCGCTTCTCGACTTCGATGAGCCCAAAAAAGCGGACGGCTGGGGATTCTGGGGTTCCGCGCTCAAGTCATCTGCCAAAAACGCCACAACCGGTGCCAAAACGTACAATGAGATTGGCTCGGATCCATGGGCCAATCAGGACGCGTTGCTGACCAGCACGTCGAAGATGCCAGATATTTCTTTCGGCGACGATGCTTTGAACAAGTCAACAATGTGGCCTGGGAAGGCAGCGCCCAACGCGAAGGCCGCGAAAGGTGGTGTTAAGAGTTCCAGCATCCAAGACCGCATCAAGGCGCTGCATGCGGAGAGCGCCGTCGACGCCAAGCCATCCAAGTCGAAGAAGGGTACCACTAGCTGGCCACCACCGCCGCCTGAACCTGAACCTGAACCTGAACCTGAGCTTGAACCTGAACCTTTTCTTGAGCCTGAACCTGAGCCCATCTTCGAGGCTCCGCCTCCGCCTCCGCCTCCGGTCGCGGAGAAGAAGTCGAAGAAGTCTTCCAAGAAGGATAAAAAGGAAAAGGACGTGCCGCCTGCCGATCCTATCCCGCCTCCATCTGTCTCGCCGGTGCCTGGCGGTTTCCCAGTCGACGACTTCGCAAACGACTTTGCAAACGACTTCGTAAACGACTTCGCAAACGATCCCGAACCTGAGATGGTAGCCCCTCCGCCCAAGAAATCGTCCAAGGATAAAGATAAAAAGTCCTCCTCCAAGTCGACCAAGAAAGAATCCAAGGCAAAAGTGGAACCGGTCGTGGTCGATGCGCCTCCGCCCGCTGACTTCGATGACTTGATGGGTGGCGAGGACCTACCTACTCCGCCGCCCGAGGAAGACGCTCCGAAGGAGAAATCAAAGTCGACCAGAAGGGAGCGCCCAAAAGTCGTGCGCGATCACCAGTCGTCTTCGTGGGGATTCTGGGGTGCTACGCCTGCTAAGAAGTCGACGAAGAAGGATTCCAATTCAAAGGACGGCGCCGATTCGCCCGCTGTCAAGGTGCGACCTGAAGGCCTGACCCGCTCCAAGTCAGCACGCAAAGCCTCTGACAAGGATCCTTTGGAGAAGGCTTCCAAGTCATCCAGCTCTGACAAGGACCCAAAGCGTGAGTCCAAGTCGCGACCAAGCACGTCGCGCGGCTTCTCACTCTTCGGTATGGGCCCTCCACCTTCTCGCTCAAAGTCGACGAGACAGTCGTCTTCCGCCGCCAAATCCAGCTCTCGCCGCCAGTCGACCGCGATCGATGATACAGGCTTGGTGTCTCCTCCACCAGAGGAGAAGGTGGCGCCAAAAGCTGCCAGAGTCACCGGCGTTAGTCGATCCAAGTCTACTAGGGAGAAGGGTTCGCGCAAGGTCCCGGATCCATACTCCCTGGACTCTGACGACCTTGTCATGGTTGACGAGCCCGAGGACTCCGCCAAAGACATCGTGGAACCGAAAGAGAAGAAGAAGTCTAGCAAGTCGAAGCGCCAGTCGATGCACATGTCTGGAGGTCTTGGGCCTGCCGATGATGAGGACATGGTCGATGTTCCAAGGCAATCTGACGAAGCCAAGGTATTCTCTGGTCCGGACGATCTTGCCTTTGTCGATCGACCAACCCCAGTGCGACGCAATACCTCGACTATCAAGAAAAGTGGTGGTCTCATGGGCGGAATTCTAGGAGCTTTTGGCTCACGGCCGACACCCGAACGACGTCAAAGCAAAGCTTACGAAAGCGAGGACGGCGCCGCCCGCCGCAAAAGAGGCTCCGGCTACGATGATGAGCATTCCAAGCGTCTCCGTCGTGAAGATCGCAAAGTCAATCGTTCTCGCAAACCCTCTGAGGGTGACGTGAGTGAAGCCGAGGAAGCAGAAGCGAAGGAAGCACGTCGCCGTGAGCGCCGCGAGCGACGACAGCGGGAGGCCGCGGACGAAGAAGCCAGGGCCGCTCGCCGTCGGGATAAAGAACGTGCTCGAGCGCGAGAGGAGGAAGAGCGCCTTGCGCAAGAAGACGAAGAGCGCGAAGCACGCCGCAGAGAAGAGAAGCGCGCCCGTCGTGCGGAGCGAGAAGCACGCCGAGCTGAAGAAGACCGCGCCGCACGCGAGGACGAGAGGGCGCGCGAGGAACGCCGTGAACGACGCCGCGAGAAGGAACGCCTGCGCGCTGAAGAAGAAGCGGCGGCTACCAGACCCAAGACCGACCGCAGACGATCGTACATGGATAATCCCGACGAGGAAGAAGCTCGTCGGATGAGACGCGAGGAGCGCCGCATGCGACGCAGTGTGGACCAAGGCGCGGATAGGGAGCGACCACGCACTTCGCGTCGCCGTTCAGACTATCCCGCGCCCATTGATGAGTACTTTGATAAGCGCAATGGTGAGCAATCCCCTGCTGAGATTGGCGCGATTCCTGCGCCGCTTGCTCACGCGATCAAGACCGGCGGCGATAAAACCGCAAGCTGGGTCCACAGCGTTAACGAAGAGCCTCCCCTTCCTCCACCCGTGGAGGGCACCATCGTCGATGCACCCATCCATTTCGCACAAGACGATGCGCCTGATCCGCTCGACGACCTCACGGCTCGCGAGTTCCGGCACCGAAGGCGCAGGGAGCGGGAAGGCTATGCGGACGAAGACTCGGAGCGCCGTAGGAGGAGGAGACGAGAGGCAGAAGGCGTCAAGAGCAGTGATGGCAGCTCGCATGATCGCCGCAAGAGCTACGCCGGGCCGAGCAACAGCATGGGCTACAGTGACATGCCTCGAGCGTATGACGCAAGGCCTGGCATGCCGGCAGGCCGCAGGACCAGTTGGTTCAAGAAGATGACCGGCTTCCCATGATGCACGAGCCTTTCGGTGTAAATTTGAGGAATTAGTTCAGCATTTCGACAGGGCGTTTTTGAATCATGGATTTGTTCTTGCATGTTTCCGGCAGGAGCAGTAGTGCTTGCCTGGGAGAAGAACATGAGAGTTGTTATGAACAATACCTTGCCTACGTGCATACCCTTGGTCCTTCCTTCACTTCTTCTTTTCTTCCTCTTCCTCTTCCTTCCGCGTTGCGTGCCGGGTCCTCCGTGATCTTCCCGCGCTTTTGAGGTCGCTAAGATTGCATTTGGAGGTCGACCGTACACACCTTGTTCTCGACATGCGGAGGATTGGCCTCTTTTGGCTGTGTGAACCTTCCGTGTTTCGACTTGTCTATGCGCTGCTTCTTGCTGACATCCCCAGTTCAGCCGGGAGGTACTGCGTCCGTGCGTGGGAGCAGGACTTCACGCCACCCAAAGCTTATCTGACACATCAACTTCCCCTGACATGTGAATACTTGTCTCTTCTCGGGACTCTATATATCCGTCGTGCATCGAGCCGTAAGGGGGTCCCATGATGATGGCCATCATACACGACGACGATGGACCAGCAACTCCCTCTGTCCGAGCCAGGTCCGTCTACATCCGCCGGCCCCAACGCAGGCGAATCATGCAATGAATGTAAGCGACGGCGGGGGAAATGTGACCGTCAACTCCCGGAATGTGGGCCTTGTGCGAGGAATAAGAGGCATTGTCTCTATGAGCGGCATTCGAAGACGCCGCTTACCAGGAAGCATCTGACTGCTGTGGAGGAGCGCTTGCGTCAGGCGGAGCTGAAGCTGAGAGCTGCAGAGGGCAGGGAGAGGCAATTGAAGGATGCTCTGTTGGAGAAGGGGAGTGAGAGGACGAGTGAGAGGAGGTTTTCGATCGGTGAGGGGCAAGGCTATCAGAATGCCGGGAAGGCGAGGCATCTCAGGCAGCCTTCGGAGCCCTTTACGAAGCCGAATGATTCGTTGTCACCGGTCGATATCAAAGCTCGAGATGGTTCGACGGCGCAGACATACTCTTTGGAAGAAGCGCCTCCCGGTGCGGACGACTTCAGCTGGAATGAACAATCGCCCTCCGAAGCCAGTGGATTCGATTACTTGGCAAATCCCGGGGAAGGCCAGCAGAATATCACCGATGGCATGGCTGCTCTTTCGGTCGATGAGGGTACCGGCTATCTCGGGCTCGCTTCTGGTGCTGCGATGCTCAAGATCCTACTCCCGGGTACCGAGAATCGCAGGCCGACGAGACCACGCTACAGTATCCCCAAGTCTGACCCTGCCATGCCGGCTGAATATGGCTGGATATCGACTCCTCTTTACCATATCCGTGGGGTCAGCGAAATTGATCTGCATGCGGCCTTCGACTCGTACTTCTCCTCTTACCACCTCTGCTTCCCACTCGTACACGAGCCCACCTTTCGTGCGCAGTATGCCAAGGTACTGCCGCGGCCAGGAAGCGATTGGAATGCTCTGGCCTACATGGTCGGCGCGATAGGGCTATTCTCTGGTGTGAACGGGTCCATGTCCCGCCACGCAGATCTTTTTGAGGCTGCCAAATCAAACATCTCGATTGCTTCGCTGGAGACCGGTACCATTACGCTCGTGCAAACGCTCACCCTGATGTGCAATTATCTTCAGAAGAGTAATCGACCGAATAGTGGATATAATTATCTCGGTCTCGCGCTTCACATGGCAATGGGCCTCGGACTACACAAAGAATTCCGAGATTGGCAGATCGCACCGCTTTCCATGGAAATTAGGAGGAGGGTCTGGTGGACTCTGTTCGTTTTTTACTCTGGTGCTATGCTGACTTTCGGACGACCTGTTTCTCTTCCAACTCATGGCATAGATGTTTCACTTCCACTTAATGTTGACGATGCAGAGCTCACCTACGCAACTGCCGGCGTGCCCTCTCCCAAGGCTAGAATAACGACGGGCTCGGCAGTTGCTGAGCAAGCGAGATTCCATCTGGCAACGAACGCAATCTATGCCCAGGTCATTTCGAGCAACCCCCCTACTGCCGCCGAGCTACTCCGCTTGGATGACGAGTGTATCGAGGCTTGGAGAATCTTGTGGGCAAATGATCCTGCGAATATACCTGGACTGTTTCGACTCTCTCGAAGCATCATGGACTGGCGATACCGAAATTTCCGCATCATCATGTATCGACCGTTCTTGATCAAGCACGCCTTACGCACGAGAAGCCAGTCAGTGGATTTGGCCCTTGATCCTCCGACACGGACTGCCATCGATCGTTGTCTACACGAAGCTACCGGTTCCATTGCCGCTATTCACAGCTACTGGTTCCAGGCACAAAAGACCGGCATGGACGCCTGGTATAGCCTCTTCTTCATCTTTCAGGCCTCTCTCATCCCTATCATCATGCTGCGCAATCAACCGCAGTCCGAATCCGCACTTGCGTGGCAGACCCAAGTTGCATCGGTTGTTCAGGTCCTGGAATCCATGCACTCTATCAATCCGGCTAGTAAAGAATGTCACCAGGTCATCCTGCGTCTGTGCGGGCACTTCTTGCCGCAGCAAGATCTGCAGCCACTCGACCTTGGCACCGGTATTGCCCAGCCGACCGACGAGTCTCCACAGACGCAGCTCGCTGGGCTCTATCCGCTCATGTGGCCCAACGCTACCTCGACGGACTTTGATGCACTCATGCCCGATGACAGCTGGACGACCTTTTTTGCTGATGCGCAGAATGATGGCGGGTTCAATTTCAATCAGTGTGCTTTCGAGCCTGATTGATGCACTCAACGACAGTGATGCTGTTATCGACATATAATCTACTCTGCTTTGAGCGAATCACGAATGACAGGCCCTGAAAGAACATGGCAGAGGAACTGCCTGACGGTACTTCCATGAAAAAGTGTCAAGCTTCTATACTACTGGGGATTCGTGAATTGGCAGCCGAAGTCAGCTCGAGAAGAGATAGACCGAGGTTTAGACCTCGTCGATCTTCTCTTCAATATGCTCTTTGTCATCCTCCTTTTTGGCCTTGCTGTCGAGCATCTCGGCGTCTGTTGCTATGCGCGGCCCATCAAACACCTCTGCGATCTCCTCCAATGAGTGTCCACGTGTCTCTGGAAAGGTAAAATAGGTGATGGCGAGGAAGAAGGCCTGCGAGAGGAAGTCAGCGAGCCTCACTACACGCGTCCCCGCGCAAAGGCTTACCAGAAAGCAACAGAAGACAATGTAGTATCGCCATCCGATGGTATCCAGGCCAATTGGATTGACGAAAGCTGCTATGACCAAGCTTCCGTAAATGGACAATAGCTCGCACGTCAGGCCTTTGGAACGTATCGAGAACGGGAAAATCTCGGTAGGGTAGGACATCAGAAGTGGGGTGTAGGCGCAATCGTAGCCGAGATAGAAGACGAAGAGGCAGACAATGACAACGATTCCAGCTGGCCGGGAGCCTGTTGCGTCGTTGACAGCTGAGCAAGCCGTCCAGACGATGTAGGAGAGCAGCATGACGACGCCAGAAAAGGTGAAGAGTGTGCGACGGCCCAGGCGGTCGACGAGGAACGCTGCTGTGAGGGCTACGATGAAGTTGAAAATCTGGAGCCGTGTCAGCAGCTCAAAGCGGAGAGGAAGCCTTGCAAGATGTCTGTCATACCTGGAGAAGCCCGTTGATCAAGGTCTGCAGGAATGGATCCGTTATACCGACTGTGTCCAGAACAAGGGTCAGATAATACGAGACTACGCCGATGCCGTTCCACTGTGCCATGGCACCCAGTGCTACCGCAATACAAAGTCGCTTCCGGTTACCGGGCGTGGCCACGAGCGTGCTCCAACCTGTTCTCTTCGCTTCTTGCTCGAGCTTAATCGTATCGACGATCTCGGCCATCTCACGAAGCACCAAAGGGCTTTGGACATCTCCGCCGGCGTGGTATCTGGCCAGGATACGGAGAGCTTCTTGATCTCGATCTTTGGACACGAGCCTGAAGAGATTAGCAGGGATGGAAGGGTTGGGAGGCAGGATTCTCACGGACCATCTCGGCGATTCTGGCAAGAAGCAGAAGAATGCGAGCTGTACTGCTGGAAAGCCGGCCTGGAGGATCGTGGGAATGCGCCACGCCCACGTGGAATCGTACCCTTGGGTACCGAATGTCGTCCATGAAGCCAGGATCGCGCCCAGGTAGTAGAGGGTCCAGTACGCAGAAGTGTACTTCCCTCGATGAGTCGGATACGATAATTCGGCCAACAGCAGCGGACTTGGCTGGGCTGAGAACATGCCAGCAGCCCCGACAATCGCTCTTGACACGACGAACTGAGCGAGTGTCGTTGCTGTGGCCTGGAGGATTGTCGCGACGATGATCCCGAGCAGGCCAGACAGTAAGACGGCTTTCCGACCGAATCTATCCGCCAAAGAGCCGACGACTGGAAGAGCAAGCACGGATCCAATGCTTTGCGCGGCGTTCACGAGACCCAGCAGCGCGCCGGCAGGACTGTCGAAGTACTCCTTCCACTGTTGCTTGTCAGACTTTCGCCGACATCGCGCGAGGATAGCTCGCCTACTTGTGTCAAAGACTGCAAGCCATTCATCAAAGACCCATCGTAGCCGGCGACACTGCTCGAGAGCAAGGGGACCAGGAGAATGCAGTTCAAGTGAAGCAGATGAGGAATCTGGAACCAGAACTTGTCTGTCTCTGGTAAGACCTCTGCTAAGGCACTGCCGACGATGCGTTCGTTCTTCATGTTGAATGGTGTGCCGTACGGCGACTAGACGTGGGAGATGGAAGAGAGCATCTGGATTGTTACCTTACACAAGCCAGCAGGGAGTAGAAGTCTTTCGACTTCTGTGACATCGGATGTCGCCCGTGATGCGAGACGATCCACAACACCTGGGGATCGCGCGGGCCTCCGCATTGTGGGATGATGGGGCTCCATACTTTCACGCCACTGCGGGATGCTGTCGCCCTCAGCTCGGTGGAGAGAGGGCCGAAGGCGGGTGTGCCTTCAGTACGCGTAGGGCACCACTGGCATTCGATGGTCGTTGCATGGCATGGCGTGGCGTGTACCACACCACTCTCTCTTGACCTCTACGGTGGGAGGGATAACATGTGATTCCGGGCGGACAACAAGCCTTCTCCGCTCAGCTAATAGATTCGACTTTACCCTACTGGACACCTGCTATCATGACTTTGAAGACATCTGGCTTCGCGGCTCTGACCAATTCAAAGGCGTCCTCGGCCTTTTCGAAGTCAAACCGATTCGTGATCAACCGTTTCACATCAATCTTGCCCGAAGCTACCAGGTCCACAGCAGCCGGGTAGCAGCCGGTCGTGTATCTGATCGACCCTTTGATCACCAAGGCTCGGATGCAGGCTGTAGTTATGGGAAAGACGACGTTCTCCTTGCCCATCCCGGCCTGGACGTAGATCCCCCCTTTCCGCGCCGCGAATACACCCATCTGAATGCAAGGCTCTGCGCCAGTGCACTCCAAGACCACATCGGCGCCTTCCCCCAGCCCGAATCGTTCCTTGATCATGTTCGCGACTTTCTCCGAATGCTCAACCGGATCGCTGCCCGCCTCCGGCTTGGGCGGCAAGAAGCAGTCGTCTGCTCCGAATGTCTTTGCGAAATCCAGCCTTGACTGCACGACGTCGACGCCGATGACCTTCTTTGCACCATATGCCTTAGCGATGGCCTGGCACATGACCCCGATGGGCCCACAGCCCAGCACCAGGACAGTCTGGCCAGCTCTGAGGTCTGCGACTTTGGTGATCTGCACGCCAACGGCCGTCGGTTCAACCAAAGCTCCTTCTTCCATGGACATGTGGTCCGGAATGGGATACACATAGTCCGAGGCAACGAGATAGTACTTCGCAAGCGTCCCATCCCACGGCGGCGTCGCAGCAAATACCGTGTCTGCACACAAGTTGTAAGCACCGCTCCGGCAGTAATCGCAACGCCGGCATGGAACTCCCGGCTCGATAGCTACGCGGTCCCCGGGCTTGACGTTCTTCACTTCGCTGCCGATTTGGACGACGACGCCTGAGCTCTCGTGCCCGAGGATGATGGGGCTTTTGAGGATGAAGTCTCCAATCCTGCCCCGTTGCCAGTAGTGGACGTCGGAGCCGCAGATTCCCGTTTGCGCGATGTGCACACGGACGTGGTGTGGGTCGCGGAGTTGGGGGATGGGTCTGTCTTCGAACACTACGTCTTTTACGGCTCGAAGGACGAAGGCTGGGTTCTATCGGAATGTCAGATCGATCCGTTTCTCCTTGCGTCGGAGGTGTTTCGATTGATATGCTCGGGGGATGCTTACCCTCTCATTCTGGACTTCTTCTTCTTCTGCAAGCATGGCTGCAGGTGAGCAAGAGTAGGTAGGAGGTTTGGACTTCAAAACTCCCGAATGTTGATGGACGACCTCTGGTGTCCAAACTACGAGTGGCGGCCTGAATCTTAGGCTGCTGCAGTTGTCCTCTTCGCTGTGTTTACATTGCTCTGAATGACCTCCGGAAGCTCCACACCTCGTGCATGCAACAGCTCCCCATCTCGGTCGACTTTCCACCCGTACGTACATTGTGGATCCGTCAGATGCCGACTCGAGGCCTTTCAGCGAGAGAGCTCCGCTGGATCTGTACATCCATTCTGGATCACCATCCATCCATCCATCGGCTCGGCTTCTGCTTGTCACTGATATACGATTCACGGTCTGATGTGTGCATCATTCCCTGCGTAGCTGTTGCATACAGTCGTCACGAGGACGTATCCGACGGTTCTGCTCTGTGTGCCCCCAATTGTAACCTGCTGTGAACGTTGTTGTCGAACATTGTTCTCAAAAGCATCCTTCCTTACAGCAAAAGTCCCCCCCCCATCGCACACTCCATCGATCGATCAATCAGCCGAAATGCCTCTCGCGAAACCCTCCAACGCCGCCGCCCCCGTCCTCTCCCACTTCAACCTCACCCACAAAACCGCCGCCGTGACAGGCGGCGCGCGCGGCATCGGCCTCGAAATCACCCGCGCCCTCGCAGAAGCCGGCGCCTCCGTCGCCCTCATCTACACCTCCAGCCCGGACGCCTCCGCCACGGCAAGCCAGATTTCCGCCGATACGGGCTCCCTCGTCCGCGCCTACCGCTCCGACGTCCGCGACAAGCAAACCATCACCGCGACCCTGCACCAGATCGCCGAGGATTTCGGCGGCCGCCTGGATATCTGCGTCGCGAATGCCGGGATTGCCACGCATCATGATGGTCTGGAATACTCCGTCGAGCAGTGGCGGGAGGTCATGCGGGTGAATCTGGACGGGGCGATGTATACCGCGCAAGCGGCCGGACAGATTTTCCAAACTCAGGGGCTCGCGAATGGTGGTGGTGGGGCGGCGGGCAGTATGATTTTCACGGCCAGTGTCTCCGCGCTGCTGGTGAATGTCCCGCAGCGGCAGAGTGCGTATAACGCGAGCAAGGCGGCCGTGGTGCATCTGGCCAAGTGCCTGGCCGTGGAGTGGGTGGATTTCGCCCGAGGTGAGGTTGTCTTTTTTTTTTTTTTCTTCCCCTTCTTAACCGTATCTGCAGGAGGCTGCTGATTGGTTCTCTTGAGTACTGATTTTTTGGTCAATCTGTGAATAGTGAATTGCATTTCGCCTGGATTTATCGAGACGGATAGTGAGTTTCTTCCTCTGTCTTTTGGACATTGTATATATATATATATATATATATACACATCAACCGGCTGACTTTTTTGGCCGCAGTGATCTCCGCACACCCCCAGGAATGGCGAGACCACTGGTCCCTGCTAGTCCCGGCGGGACGCAATGCCGATCCGAAAGAATTGAAAGGCGTGAGTCTTACAGCAGTGTGTCTCTGCTTTTTGCTCGAGAGCTTTTCGGCTGACACATTTTCGTGGGCCCAGGCGTATGTGTTCCTCGCGAGCGATGCGTCGTCGTACATGACAGGTAGGATGATGGCATCAGGAGCTAGGTGTGCGTGTGACTTCTGCTGACAAGGGGGGGGGGGGTTTAGGAGCGAACCTGGTGATTGACGGCGGGTATACTTTGCCTTGAAACGAGGGCAGTCCTATCAGAGGGGTTGATGAGAGGACGAGGAGTTGAATGGGGTATAGTGATCGTACAGCTCTCGGTGATGGGTAGGTCGAAGAAGATGGGTCGTCTGAGGATAGAAAAGGGGAGCTTTCCTGAATCAAGCCTTCCCAGCGCTACCACATCTATGCATCCACACTTCCGTCAACCGGACAACTTTCTCTACACCCTCCTCCATCAGCCTCGTAATCGGCGTCGTCGGCGCCGCGACTTTCAAATACTCATTATAATCCTCCAAGACCAGCTTGTTGACATTAATCTTCGAAACGCCGCCCGCGATACACCGCGCCATGACATGCTCGGGGAAATCATTCGTCCCATGCAACACCACCCTCACCTGCCGTCGCTTGCAATCCGCAGCTATCGCCGCCAGCCGATCGAATTCCAACCTGGGTCCGCGCGCGCCATACTCCCCGTGGACATTCCCAAAAGCCGGCGCGAGGAAATCGACGCCCGTGGCGATGAAGTCTGCCACCTCGTCGGGCGTCGTCAGCATGCCGCTCAGATCCGCCGTGTCGGCGATGCCGTCCTCGCCGCCTTCGATGCGGCCGGGTTCCGCTTCCGTCGCGATGCCGCGCGCGTGGCAGTACGCCACCAATTGCGCGGTGCGGCGGAGGTTTTCTGCCTTGGCGTGGTGGGACATGTCGACCATGATGGAGTCGAAGGGGAGATGGTCGGCGGCGTGGCGGACCATGGCGGCGTCCATGCAGTGGTCTAGGTGCAGGGCGATGGGGACGGTGGCTTTCTGCGCGGCGAGAGCGGCGGCGTGGACGAGCAGGCCGTCGCTGAAGGTGATGGCCCAGGGGAAGAATTGGAGGATCAGCGGGGACCGGGTGGTCTCTGCGGCTTTTACCAGGGCGAGGATTTGTTCGATGTTGTAGCTGGTGGATGAATGGATGAATGAATGAATGAATGAATGAGTTGTTATTGGGAGATTATCTTTCTCCTGGAGCTTGCTTGATGGGGATCGGAGGCGTGACGTACGCTATTGCTGCTAGGACTCCATAGCCGCCTTTTTCTGCCTCTGCGAGGATGCGGGCTGTCTTGTTGCTCTGGAGGAGTTCTGTTGCTGGCATGGTTGATGATGAATAGGGTTGTTGGATGAGAAAGGAATGAATCAATTGTCTGGAGCTGTTGTGGAATTTTCAGGCCGTCCCGCTCTCAGTGTGAGCGACTCCGTCTTTCGGCATGGGCAATATCGTTGTCAAAGACCAATACAGGTGGATGCTAGAACTCGTCTCCTCCGCCTTGACCTGCTGCATCTTGTCCACTGTGTCCTCGACGCGAGGCCTCGGGAAATGGCATCTTGGAGCATCTCGAGACGAGCCTGCTCCAATCGCCTGGGGAAGTCGAATGGCTTGCGAATGGCGCTGCGCTATCGAGAATAACGACCAGCAGCACCTTGTAGGAGATGTTGAAGGAGATGGTTTTGGTGTTGTAGTAGTTTGGGTTTGGATCGATCTGATGATGGGTGGAACGATCTGTAGAGACAGGACAGACACCGAGACGTCCTTCTGCCTCTCGGCATTCCCGATTGGGACGAGCCGGAAAAGTTACCTTCTTCTCCTCACGACTCCCGTCTTGTACCTGCAGCTCCGCGCCATCGTCACGCTGTTTCGACGGGAGAGCTCTCTCAGGTGGGGTCGTCCTGGTCTCCAGCAAGAGACTCAGACTAACATCATCATGCCGGTCGGAGAGTAAAATAATAGTCTAGGTGGGTAGAGCAAGGTATTCGAATCTCCTTCCTAGCTCTCCCTCTCCTCCTCCTCCTCCTCCTCCTCCTCCCCCTCCCATCCATATCTCTCGTATATCTATTGCCTACAAGATGAGTACAAAGCATTTCTTCAGCCACACCGAAGGCGTCGTCGTCCAGGGCCTGGACTCGCTCGTCGCCCGGAACAACCATCTCGCCCTCGACGCCGCGAACAAAGTCGTCTATTCCAAGACCCACCAGCCTTCCAAGGTCGCCGTCATCTCGGGCGGAGGGAGCGGCCATGAGCCTGCATGGAGTGGGTACGTCGGCGACGGGATGCTCGCGGCCGCCGTCAATGGCGAGGTCTTCGCGAGCCCCTCGACGAAACAGATCATGGCGGCTATTCGACAGGTTCCCTCGGACGCCGGCATCATCCTCTGCATCACCAATTACACGGGCGATAATCTGCACTTTGGCCTTGCGCGGGAGAAGGCGGCGGGGCTGGGGTATCGAGTCGGGATCCTGCGCATGACGGACGATGTAGCGCTGGGGAGGAAGCAGACGGAGAATCTGGGACGGCGAGGGTTGGCGGCGAATATGTTTGTTCTGAAACTGTGTGGGAGTGCGGCGGAGAGTGGGTATGATTACGACAAGTGCATGAAGATTGGCCTGTCGGTCAACGCGAACGCCGTCACGGTGGGATCTTCGCTGGATCACTGTCACATCCCGGGCCGCGAGCACCACCGATCGATTCCGCCGGATGCCTATGTCTTGGGCATGGGAATCCACAACGAACCGGGACTGCACGAGATCTCACCCATGCCTCCCGTGGAAGATCTGGTCGGGGATATGCTCCAGTACTGCCTGGATCCCCACGACGCGGATCGCGCCTTCGTGGCCTTCGAGCCCGACGATGTCGTCTGCCTGCTCATCAACAACTTCGGCGGCATGTCGAATCTCGAAATCGACGCCCTCACCACCGTGACACGCAGAGTGCTGGCGCGAGACTGGAACATCACGCCCCGGCGGGTCTACGCACAGTGCTTCGAGACCTCCCTCAACGCGCCCGGCTGGTCCATCTCCCTCCTCAACGTCTCCGGCATCGAGCGCGAGACCAAGACGACGGTGACCACCCTCCTCCACCTCCTCGACCTCGACACCAAAGCCCCCGCGTGGCCGAAGAACGGCTACGGACCCACCACCCTCCCCGTGAAAGCGAGCGCCCAGCTCGCCACCAACGGCATCGCGGCGCACGCAGCAGCGGCCCAAAAGAGAGGAGGCCCCCAAATCGACCCAGCCCTCCTCGACGCAGCGCTCCGCAACGCATGCCACACCGCCATCCACGCGGAACCGGACATCACGAAATGGGACATCCAAATGGGCGACGGCGACTGCGGCGAAGCCGTCGTGGGCATGTGCCAAGGCATCCTCCAAAAACTCGACACAGGCCTCACGCAGCAAAGCGCCTCCTCGCTCTTCCCGATCCTCGACGCCCTGGGCGACGCCGTCGAGGAGATCGGCGGCACGCTCGGCGCCATCATCTCCATCCTCCTCGCCTCTTTCACGACGAACCTCCGACTCGCACACGCGCGGGAGGATGATGATGAAGCTGATGCTGCTGCTGCTGCTTTTTCTTCCCGGCTCGCGAGCCAGGCGGCCGGCGCCGCGTTAAGGAATCTGATGAATTATACCCGTGCAAGACAGGGCGGGCGCACGGTCATGGACGCGCTGATTCCCTTTTGCGAGACTTTGGAACAAGAAGGGGATCTGGAGAGAGCGGTGGAGGCGGGCGAGAGGGGGGCGCGGAGTACGCGGGGCATGAAGGCGAGGTTTGGACGAGGTCAGTATTTATCTTATCTCTCGATTTTTCATCTCTCATTTATCTATCGAACGATTGTTCTTCTTCTTTTTTTTTTCTTTTGCTTTTCATGTTGATTCGGAATGAATCGCTCCTGCTAACAATCGTTTTTGCACAGCGACTTATGTGGGCGATAAAGCAGACGCACAAGTACAAGAACAACAGGAACAACAACAACAACAACAACAACAACAACAACAAGAACAACAGGACACAGAGGACACATCACCACCACCGCCGGATCCAGGCGCCATGGCGGCGGCAATCTTCCTGCGAGGTCTCGTGGATGGGTTGTTGTTGGAGAAGTAAGTAGACACTACACAAAAAAAAAAAAAAAAAAAAAAAAAAAAAAAAAAAAAAGAGTCTGCACCTTCTTCATTCTCTTCTTCTTCTTCTTCTTCTTCTTCTTCTTCTTCTCGCTCCACACAATCGGTTCCAGAGGTGTGTGTGGAATTTTTGAAATATAATGCAAATGCCCAACACGGCTATGGAATCGTCATGCATGTCTTAGATAAGATAAGATAACCCCGCCGTACCAGACGGGAATGGGAATAATTAGGTATCTACGCTCATCGTCAGGTCTCTCTGCCTGAACGCTAGGTATGATTCCCCCCCTAATAATAAAGCTCCACTCACCATGCAGCCTGGAAGCCTTCCATCATCACCCCGCATGAACGCATACATACATATTGCGGGGTCAGCTCGACTCTCGATCGAACCGTTTGATGCAGACAGACAGATCAACAAGAAGAAAGAAGCCAAAAGAGAGGAGTGAAAATTTCTCCTACAGATTGACACATATTCTACTATATCCTGTGCACACTACTACTTCTTCTTGTCAAATACATTGACATTGAACATTTCCCCATCAATACTCTACTTCACTTCTTAACCCTCACACCTCTCCACGCGGACGCCGAACCGAACCAAACAACCATAATGCCGGGCCGTCTTTCGAACAAAGTGACCATCATCACCGGCGCCGGCGGCGGCTTCGGCAAGGGCATCGCGCAGAAATTCCTCGAAGAAGGCGCGACCGTCATCATCGCGGATTTCGTGCAAGAATTGGGAACTTCGACCGCGAAAGAGTTGGGGTGTGATTTCCACAGGACCGATGTGACGAAGAAGGAAGACTGGGAGAGTATCAGGGAGTTCTGTGAGGGCAAGTATGGACGGATTGATGCGGTGGTGAACAATGCCGGGACGACGTATAGGAATAAGGTGAGTATCTAGCATATGGTGGATGAGGATGGTGGGATGTGGGATGAGTGGACAGACGGGGTGTGCTGACGTTTTCGGGGGGGTGGCTTATTAGCCGACCGGGGAAGTGACAGAGGAGGAGTTCGACAAAGTGATGAATGTGAATGTGAAGAGTGTGTATTGGTCGGCGAATATCATCGTGCCGTATATGCAGGAGAAGAAGATTGCCGGGTCGTTTGTCACGACTGCTTCGACGGCGGGGATTCGACCGAGGGGCGGGTTGACTTGGTATAATGTAAGTTCAGCGCACTGCAGTGCTCGCGACTGTGAGAGTGTTGGAGAGGCGTGTCAGACTGATATGTTGTGTTGGTCTCCAGGCGTCGAAGGCTGCGGTCATTAATGCTTCCAAGAGCATGGCGGTGGAATATGCCAAGGACCAGATCCGATTCAACACGGTCTGTCCTGTGGTTGGATTGGGAACAGGGCTGTGAGTATAAAAATCCGTGATATGGACGATGGGCGATTTCGGTCTTGCTCACATGACGGACTACAGGACGGATTCCTTCCTCGGAAAGCCAGAAAATGAGAAGACTTTCATGGCAACGGTGCCGCTGGGACGCGGATCCACGCCGCGAGATGTGGGAAACACGTGTTGTTTCCTGTGCAGCGACGAGGCGGACTTCTTGACGGGGATTGATGTTCCGGTGGACGGAGGACGTTGTGTTTAGACACGAGCAATAGTGTTCTCACACCGTATTCAGTTTCGGTGCAAATGGGATCGTGACACCGTTCCAGACTGCCCAGAGGAATTCCCACATGGCGACAGAGTGCATCTGCGGTCCATCATACCAGAAGGTATAGGCGGCCATCAGTCGTAGGCAAACGTTGATGGCGAGTGCTGGCCTGTGCAGAGCAGGTTGGGTGGCGGCGAGGCCGGTGTAGATTCCCATGGTGAGCAGCTGGAGACTGCTCGGCGCATCAGCTTGCAGTACTCTGCCGATCTCTCTCCCGTGTGCGGTATCGATACCTCATCCCGTGTACGACGGGCGCCTGGATGCCGCCACCGAATTGCTGGGCCATCTGAGCAACGAAAGCGGCTGGCCTCACGAGTCCGTAGACTCCACCCAGTGCATTGAGCAAGCCCTGGAGACCGAGGGTAGCAGCCGGCACGGAGAGGCGGCTCTCCATCTTTTGGGGCGTGCTGCCGTCGGTGCGGTGGGGTTGAAAAGCGATACAGATACGGTGCAGTGGAGATGGTATCGGATGTGATCGGATGTTGTCGTGGTGATGCTCCGAGCAGGGATGATGCGTGGAAGAAGAGAAGAAGAAGAATGTCACATGCATATCCGGATGGGTGCGCGTGTCGGGGAGTGGAACCGCGTCGAGGCATCTGCGGGCAAGCCAAGGCAAGCCAAGTCGAGATGATGGATGATGCACGATGGGGGAGGGACCAGTACTGATGGATGATGATCGATCGTTCTGCTGCTGCTGCATCTTCTTCTCCACGCACGCACTACTACTGTGCACCGTGCCGTGCACGTGTGATGAAACTCCGACACTACGCACGCGCACGCGTTACCCGCCTCGGGAGTGGAAGTGGAAGCAGTAGCAGTAGCAACAACAATGGATGTTCGTCCCGTCCGCCTTCCCGTCCTTCAAGTTCCGTTCTCTTCGACACAAGTCTTGCTCTCTCCTGCCTGGAGACGCGTCTGGTCTGAGATGAGGCGTCCGTGAAAAACCGCATCGGTCCTACTCTTCTTCCCTTCCCAACGCTTCGTACTTAAAGAAGCAGGAGCCCCCCGTATCCGTGAGTCGCTCTCTCTCTCTCTCTCTCTCTCTCTCCTTTCGTCAGTCTCGATCGGCAAACACAAACACATTCACTCACCATGGTTCAGGCAGTCCCTCTCGAGAACGAGAACGGCGGCACAGCAATGGCAAGCGGCACATCAATGGACGCCCAACACCACGAGGTCACGCCCAACCTCTCCACCCTCCCACCCCCCGACTTCAACTGGCAGATTTCCCTCCAAGACAAGGTCATCGCCATCACCGGCGCGAACCGGGGCATTGGCCTGGGCATCGCCGAGGTATGCCTCGCCAACCAAGCCCGGGCCGTCTACTCTCTCGACCTCATGGACCCCTCGGAAGACTTTGAGGCTCTCTCCAAGCGGAACCCGGGCCGCTTCAAGTACAAGCAGATGGACGTGACCGAGGAAGCGAGCGTGCAAGCCGCCGTCGACGCCATCGTGGCCGCGGAAGGCGCGCTGCACGGCATGGTCTGCAACGCGGGCATGACGAAGCACCAGCCGGCGCTGGACTTCTCCCTCGAGCAGGTGCGCCAGCTGTTCGAGCTCAACGTCTTCGGCGTGTGGAACTGCGCGACGGCCGCCGCGCGCACCTTCATCGCCCGCGGCATCAAGGGCTCCATCGTCTGCACCGCCTCCATGACCTCCTACCGCCCCAACCGCGCCGCCCCTTCCGCGCCCTACGGCGGCACCAAGGCCGCCGTGCGCAACATGACGCACACGCTCGCCATGGAGTGGGCCAAGCACGGCATCCGCATCAACAGCATCAGCCCCGGCTTCGTCAGGACCGCCATGACGTACTACGTGGAGCGCGCGCCCGACTGGGATCTCAAGATGCAGTACTATGGCGGCATGCCGCGATTGGCCCTGCCGCAGGAGCTGGGCGGCGCCTATGTCTACCTCTTGTCCGACCAGGCGAGCTATACCACCGGAATCGACATTCCCATTGCCGGTAAGTCGTCGGGAGAAGAGTCTCCACAGTCTTGTTGTTGTTCTTGCGCCCTTGATCCTGATCCTGATCCCCCCTAGGCATCGTCGGAGCTTGGTGATCTCGAGAGGGAGGAGTGCGAGCGCGAGGGACGTGGATTCGCGAGGAAAGCATTTGCAGGCGCTCCGGGTCGGGGAGCATTCATTCATGGTTATTATGTGTCTAGACATGCTGCTACGAGAGATGATGACACCACGAGAATATCAGAATTACATCTTCCCACGCCTCAAGACCAGTGACCAGCTTCTTCTTCTTCTTCTCCTCCTTCTTCTCCACACTCCCCATCAGAACCCACGGGGCCCGTAACCGCATCCGTCTGCTCCTAGCTTACCTGTCACCCGGTACATACTAGTATGCATGAAGTATTCTTCCAACCCCGTACGAGACGACCTCGTCTCGGTCGACCATGCACGTCATATATCAAACGCAAACGAACGACTGTGGAGAAAAATGAACCCCAGCAATATCCATTCCCACACGTCCATAATAAGGTGGGTAGCTCGTCCCGGGGGAACGGACGACACATATCTTGCACGTGAAAGCCGCGAGATCTCCCTCCCTCCCTCCCACATCTCCTCTCCTCTGTTTTGTCCTCCTCTGTTTGTCGTCGACCAACCCCCCCGCCACCTTATCCCTTCCCGAATCCCAATCCCAATCCCAAATCCTCCAGAATTAAAACAAACAAAACGAAGAAAAAACTCACAATGTCCTCCCCCTCCTCCTCCCCCACATCCCCCCCCAAGAAACCCCTCCACCTCCCCAAAAACAAATCACCCTCTCCCGCAAAATCATCGCCATAACCGGCGCAAACCGCGGCATCGGCCTCGGAATAGCCGACTGCTGCCTGTCCAACGCCGCCGAGGCCGTCTATTCCATCGACATCTCCGCCTCACCCCCGGGAGAAGAATTCGAAGCCCTAGCCAAAAAATATCCGGGGAGATTACATGCCATCCGTGCCGATGTCACGCGCGAGGCGGAAGTGACGGAGGCGGTGGAGAAAATTCTGCGCGAGGCGGGCGGGTTGCATGGTATGGTGGTGAATGCGGGGCGGACGCGGCATAAGGCCGCGTTGGAGTTTACGGAGGAGGAGATTGAGGGGTTGTGGAGGGTGAATGTGAGTTTTTCTGGCAAGTTTTTCTTTTCTTTTGGTGGTTCTGGTGGTGGTGGTGGAAGGGGTAGGGGGTTTGCTTGCAACAATACAGAAATTCTCTGTTGTGTGGTGTTGATGTTGGGGAATTGACAGTTATTTGGATCGTTTTACTGCGCTCGCGTCGCGGCGAGAGCATTCATCAAGCAGGACGTCAAGGGCTCGATTGTCTTTACGGCTTCCATGGCATCTTACAGACCGAATAGTAAGCAAGCAACCGCCCATATCGTGCTGGAGCCGCCCTCTTACGAGAAGTTGACGTCGGTTGCAGAGAGAGTGCCGTCAGCACCCTATGGGGCCTCGAAAGCTGGAGTCCGTAACATGACACATACCCTGGTATGTTCCTGAGCCTCGCCGGATGGGTACGCATAGCTGATCCCTCCCAGAGCATGGAATGGGCCAAGTACGGAATCCGGGTAAATTCCGTCAGCCCGGGCCTGGTCAAGACGGCCATGACCTATTGGGTCGAGCAGCAACCAGACTGGGAGCAGCAGCTCAAGTACTACGGCGGTATCCCTCGCCTCGCAGAGGTTGAGGAGCTGGGCGGGGCCTATGTGTACTTGCTCAGCGACGCCGCAAGCTATACAACTTCGATCGACATTCCAGTGAATGGGGTCATTGGCAGTAAGTTGCGCTCATCCAAGCCGGGTAAATGTGAATTGACGGCAAGCAGTTTGTTAAGCCAATCGCATGGGCAAATCTTGGTAGAGTGACATTATTGGGTATTTGCAAGTGGCGGAGGAGTCTGTCAGCCAGGCTTCTGCTTCGACCATTCTTCGTGGAGCTCGCCTGCCAGATCGTAGTTGACAGGCCATCCAGTATGCCCGTGGTGGTCTCGAATAAGGTCTGCGATACAATTCCGCTTGGCTTCGTCATTGCAATATAGGCCCGCGGCAAATAGACATTGGGTCGACATTAAGCGCGACGCATCATCGCTCAATTTCAGAGCAATGCCGCCAATCGTATCAATACAATCCTGCACACTGTTACTATCGAATAGACCAAAAATGAGAGAGGGCCTCCGCTTACCGTAATGATGCGATCTCGACCCAGATACTCCAGATACCCTCCTGCGGCTGGCTGGTGGATCAAGAGCAGTATACGTGCCATGGAGTACATCTGAAGAGACACTCCAAAAGCAGGCGGGTGGACCCAAAGAGGACGAAACGCTCGATTTGATGGTCCCTCGACCGGGAGAGGTTCGAAATGTACGCTCAAACTTCCTCTCCACTCTTCAAGCATGTTCAGGAGGTTGTTTGCTTTGAGAATGCGGCTGGGGAGATCCGCTTCGCCGCCCTGAAATGTGTCAATGAGTGTGACTCACCATCTATCTCCCATGCAAGTCTTCTTACCTGCTTCTCCTCATCCGAGCTGTAGTTGACAGCCTGAGCAAGAATATACACGACTCTCGATGCCATGTCATACATGTCCATGGTATGGTATGGCTTCGTGGGCTTGAAGAAGCTGAAGCAACGCCTACGCTCCCGGAATGCAGCCCAAACGTCCTGTCGAAGCCAGGCCCACCAGACCGCCTGCTCAAGACCACCAGATTCGCCGTTGATCTCACGGCTACGCTGGATCCAGAATACCCCCTTGAGATGACGCTCCCATCCATTACCAGCCCCGTCGATCATTTCGTAGGTGCTGACAACCAGGACCGTCGCGAGAAGCTCCAGGCTATTCTTGTACGAGGTGAAGCGCATAGCATTCTGCAGGTATTGCAGGGTCTCGTAGTAATACTGAACCGCAGCTGTGCGGTCGATATTTGCTTCGCCGCTACTCATGGGCTTAATCGAAAGATGTCGAGCCCCTAAAGCTAAGACAGCTTTCATGAGTCCTTCATTCCTCATCGCCAGATGAGGCACGAAGGCGGAAAAATATTTTCTGGGATCGAATAGATCAATCCAGAGACTCACACCTGTCACGAACCGCTGGAAGATGTCATACTCGTGATCCTTCAGCTGTACCGGCTCGGCCGCCTGCCAAAACTGGCGCTCATCAACATCCCCGTTCAGCGGCTGTGGCGAGATTGCAGAGATCTGAAGGAGCTTTGAGGGATTCTGGAGCGCTACGCCTTCAGCGAGACCTGGCAGGGGTTGACTCGCCCGTCGCGAATCAGATACAGCCACTCCATGCGGGTGAAGCTCACAGCGGCGGCGTGCCAGAGCAGCATCACCCAATGTTTCCAGTGATGTCGGATCGAGAGATCCTGCGTCCCCGGCCAGGAGGCCAAACCATCGTAACGGAGCCACCTCAGTGCCGTATCCAGTGGAGTTGGAGTAGTTGCTCTGGGGACTTGTCATTTGAAGATCTTCTGTAGGAGTTGTGGGCCATTGCCTTGCGGAAATGCTCGACTTCCTCGTGTGTGGCTCCGAGGCGGAGGAGAAACTTGTCTGCGGTCTCCGATACGGTGAGGAAGCATCGCCAGCACCTGGAGTGTCAGCAGACGAGACGGAGTTCACCCGGTAGATGCCATGGTTCGCGCTCGCAGTGTTGATCTCTGCCGGTAGCGCTCCGTACACGCAAGGACGATTGCCTTTGGAACAAGGTCCGCATACTGGCTTCACCTCATCGCACTTCATATGCCGCTTGCGACAGATAGAGCTAGAGATCACATTAGTGTATCACTCAAGGAACGACCACTGAAAGGAATAGTCGTGCTGAATGACCGCGAGCAACAGCGCAAGTTCAGAGTGCAAACAGATGCCCTCGATACCGCCATCAACACAAGACATTGTCTCTCGAGCTCTTGTGCATCCTCAAGAACGCAATCTGCATGTTGATGAATGTATGGCGTTGGCGTCATGTTAAGACTGCGCAGAGGTCGCACACCAAGGGGCCGTCGCACGTGCACACCTGTGCTCCTTCCCGATACAGCAGTCTGCGATTTCTTTGCATGTGAAAGTGAAGAACGGAGACATACCATCCGGTGGTCGTTCTCAGCCCGCGACCGCGAGACTTCCTCGGCTTCCTGACAGGTACTCCGGAATTGGTGACATCGGCAATCGACGCCGCCACCGATGGCTCCTGCATGGCGAACAGCGCGTGGCGGGCGAATGCGCCAGATGGGTGTAACGATGCTCGTGTCGAGTCTGAGTGCGAGGCGATGAGGAGGGAAAGCTGGAGTCTCCGACTGCCCCAAGCTTTTTCTCCGCTGCGGAGCTCTCGGCCCGATGGGGTCCTCGTGGCGGGGATCGATAATCACCCTGGCCCGGCACAGATCAATCGGGACGACAGCATGGGTCGATCACCAGACACGCGGAGACGATCACGCTACTCCACGAACGAGGGAAGCCGCTGGGGAAAGAACTGGAGACTGGAGATGTCGTGGTGAGCGGAGGGATGGCAGTACGTGCCGCAAGGTGAGCAAATCTCACACCGTCACAGAGGGAAGGCAAGCGAGACGTACGGTAGGAAACAGAACCTGCTTGCTCGTAGGTCAAGATGACTTCCGTATATCATCTCTATGGAGACGGCCGTCGACGCACAGGTTCCCCATCTTCTCGCTTGGACCGTACGGGGTCGTCGCTGGGGCTCTTCGACTCCTCTATCCACTGCTGTTTCGATTGCATTGCAGACGTTCCCTACTCTACTGTTTTCATCATATCCCATCGCCAAGAGTACATCGAACATGTCGCTGAACGAAGCCAAACTCTCGGACGTTGAATTTGTTGAGGAGAGCACTGCCGGCGATGAGGAGAGGGAAAGGGAAGAGAGAGCCCTTGTTCGGAAGGTCGACTTGATGCTGCTTCCAACGATGTGGCTCATGTACTTGCTTTCGTACATGGATGTAAGTGGGATGGATACGGACGAAGACAATCGACTCATATGAGGACAGAGGACAAACATAGGCAATGCCAAGATCGCCGGTATGGTAGAGGACCTGAACATGGACTCCAACCAGTATTCTATATCGCTGGTCGTCGTAAGTCGAGCCCAGAGCTGGTAGAACGCGTGCTTCAGTTGATCCAGAAAAGTTCTTCATCACGTACGTGATATTCGAAGTCCCAACGAACCTCATCCTAGCCAAGACCAGACCGTCAATCTTCCTCGCAACGATCATGACTTTATGGGGCATCGTCACCTGCTGCATGGCCAAGGTGGAGACGTACGGACAACTCGTCGCTCTTCGTGTGATAGTTGGGATACTGGAGGCTGGCTTCGCCCCTGGCGTACTCCTTATCCTATCCTCATGGTACAAGAAGGCCGAGCAGTCGAAACGCTTCGGTGTCTACATCTCAGCCGCCGTACTCTCCGGTGCGTTCGGTGGTCTCATCGCTGGCGCCATTACCGATAACTTGGACGGCAAATACGGCATCAGAGGATGGAGATGGCTGTGAGCAAACCTTCACTCTCCACCCGTTCGCAACGAGGCTGACCGGCTCATCCAGCTTCATCGTTGAAGGTGCCGCTACCGCGGGATGGGCTCTGATCGCCGGCTTCATCCTCCCGGACTTCCCAGTAAACACCGCCCGTCTCTCTCCGAGAGAACGCGAGCTCGCAATCTCCCGCCTCGAAAGAGACGACGTCCAGAACAGAACAGAAGACACACCACATCTCTCTTCGATGGAAGCGATCAGGCAGTCTCTCATTTCGTGGCGAGTATGGCTCCTTATTGCCGGATACACGGTCATTGTCGGCTCCTCGACTCTGTCTTACTTCTATCCAACGTTAGTCGAAGGTCTAGGGTATACCTCCAACATGGCGCAGTACATGGTCGTACCGATCTACGCCGTGTCCTTTGTTTGCGTCGGATTTACCTCCTACTTCTCGGACAAATTCCCTCAGCAGAGGGGTATCATCATAGCCGTAAGTATTGTCCCCACAACCAACCGACCGATGGTACTGACATCGCCACATAGGCCTGGCTCACCCTCTCCATGATCTGCAGCATCATCGTCTGCGCCGTCTACGACTACACAGCGCGCTACGTCCTCCTCGTAATCATGGCTGCCGGTCTCTGGTCCACCAACGGCCTTTCCCTCTCCTACGCCTCTTCCACACTAGCCTCCATGCCGCAAGAAACGCGCGCCGTCTCCCTCGCACTCATAAATGCTCTCGGCAACTTGGCGCAGATATACGGGGCGTACCTGTTCCCAAGTAAAGATGAGCCGAAGTATCTGCTTGGCTTTGGCGTGATTAGTGGGATGTGTGCTTTTGGGATTGGTGTCTATGTAATTTGCCATGTTCTGTTTCGGAGGGAGAAGAGATAGCGGATTTGCGTGTGGGATGGAGATGATAGAGTGGCAGGTGATAGATGGATAGAGGGATAAATGCGCCTGTTTCGGCCAGGTAGATATCATGTCGAAGGCGACGTTCCGTGTCATCCGCGATCATTGACGCGTTTTGGCTCTCTTCACGGCAGTATCTGTGCCGATTTGAGTTGTATGAAGGGCACACACGAGTCTTGGTCGTTTGATATGCTGGTGCCGATCAAGTGATGCCAATGATCCTTCATGTGATATGTTCGACATCTTCCACAGCTGTGCGTACTCTCCAGAGCCACAGAATTTCAACATCCATGAACTCTCGTACCATGTTGCCGTCAGCCTGGTTCAAGCATCCAAGGTAGCACATTCCGGCTCATGGCTCTGCTGTTTACATGCAGCTCACTGCAAGCTTCCTAAATATGGGGTTGAGCTTTCTCAATGCATAGATATATGCCACAGAAGGCCAATAGAAGACGTTTCTGGACTCGTGGCCAATGGCTCTGACAGTGATCTCAATAGGATCTCAGCCTTCTTGAGCTTCTTCGCCATAGCGATACTCTCAGCCATCACACACGGGGGTAGAAATCCAGTCTCATTCTTGCGTTGACCAGCTGGCCGGGCCGAAAGCCGCCACGGACATTTCAAGTGAAGAGGCAGCGCTGCAGAGGCCAGGGATAATCTAGATTCTTTGAGTTGACCGCGATATGGCGGTCGGAAGCTGGCCGGCTAACATATCCTGAGTACAGGAAGACGTAGGTCAAGGAGCTTGTGCCCCCTCAACCTAGCTTCTGCAAGTAACCTTGTTGAATCAGCTTCTCGACATCTCCTTGGCGGACGTAGAATTGGCTATTCTTGGTCAAAGTGATGGATCCATACTCGGTCTGAATCTCGCCAGCATCTTTGAGCACTCTGACATCAATGAAGATGTCCTTCGGAGGTTCCAAACTTCCAGTCAAATCAATGTCGGTCCATTGTCCCTTGTACGCGGCAAGAAGGTCGCTATATTGATGAGCGTACTGCTCCTCCTCAGCACTCAAGCTGCTCGTCGCGCCATTCGATCCAGCAGCCTGAGACGAGCCAGCAGAAGCTTGTTCAAGGACGTCCTTCCCTTCCCACGCCAGTTGCTCCAGTCTGTCGATTCGGGTCTTGTGGTAAGCCATGAGGCAGCGTTTGTTGCGACGCATCGACAGATGGTTCACCAGGAGCGCACATGCTGTGGCTGGGTCATCGGCAGGATTGAAGGAGGACTTGATCTGAGTGCCATCGCTGGACTGAGTGCTGCCGGTGTTGTATGTGGCGAGCAAAGTGTTGGTGTCACGGTCCAGATCGCGAACTTCTTTGCAGGCTTCTCGGACCACAATTGCGGCGTATGGTGGCAGGTGCGCAAGATTCTGAGTTCGTTTCGCGTCCAAGGCGAGTTTGAAACCCTGCTCGCCGTACATGTTGGTATGACATAGGCAAAGACACTCCTTCACCAACGCGTCCACGGGAGCGTTGTTTGCATGTGAAGGCGTGTCCAAACAAGGTTTCGGCTGGTGCTACAACTTCGGTCAAGAGACGAGGAGAGCGAGAGCGTGTTTACGCATCGGCAGGATTTTGAGTGCTGCACAATTTGTCCCGCTTGATCCCTGCAAAAGCTTGGCCCAAGCTCCTTCAGATCCCTCCACGTCTTGCACGTCTGAACTTCCACCTGAGGTGCACTTCACTTTCGAAACCTTACCTTACGCCCAACAACGACCGCAACAGCCACTGCCACGCAGCGCCGATTCCTTGCGTGGCGGGATAACTTTCTAACACGCTCGACAGTACTGTAACTCCAAACCAGCACGAACGCAACCATGGAAGCACGCGCCCCATTCCCGAGCAACCCAGAAGACTTCGCCGAAGATCCGCGCATTGCTTATTCCAAAGAAGATGCGACCTACATTCTTGAGGATGAGAGCGGAGAGTGGGAGTGGCTCCCAGGTCCGAGCCGCTGGAGCAAGATGGTACGCACCTGCAGAGATCCTGTCCAACGATACCGTACGCGTAGACAGACGTCTGGTTTGCGTTCTTGCCCTATGCTGTGATGAAGCGAAATCGCCGCAGAGACATCTAACTTTACGACGAGTAACAGACGGATGAAGCCGAGATTCAGCGGCAGGCGGAAGCATACAAGATGCAAGGAGTCGACGAGGACGCTCCCGCGCTCAACCCGGCCAAGAAGCGCAAGGAAGCTCTCGACACAGTGCGTGCAGTACCTGCTACCTGCTACCTGCTATGCTCAACTTCGACCTTACTGATTCTCCCAGCTCGAGAACAGCTCCAAATCTGCCAAGACTGCGCCAGGCGCCACTGCGTCAACTAAGCCAAAGCAGCCCAAGCCCAACACGGCTATCTACGTTACCGGCATCCCCGCTGACGCCCACTTGGATGAGATCAAAACTCTCTTCTCTCGGTGCGGCGCCATCCAGGAGTCTGTCGAGAGCGACGAAAAGCGCATCAAAATGTACTACGATCGGGAGGGGAAGTTCAAGGGCGAGGCTCTTATTAGTATGTCTTGGGTCCCAAGATGTGATCATGAAGCTGACGACTCTCTCCAGTCTTTCTCTCTCCTACCTCGGTGACCATGGCCATCAATCTCTACGACGAGTCGCCGTTCGTTCGCGACGACCCAAAGGACCCCACCAGTACCATCCGCGTTGTGGAAGCCGACCGTAGCTTCAAAGCAACCAAAGATGACGACGAAGCTGAGGAGGCTTCTGAGAAGACGAGGGCGAAGTTCAAGTCTAAGCCCACCAAGGCACAGATCAAGTCTAAGCAGGAAGAGATGTACAGGTAATGCATGAAAACGCTGCTCTAAAAAAGCTGGATCAACTTTCTAACAACCATGGATAGGCGCATTAACGACTGGTCTGACGATGAGCCCTCAACGATTTCCCAAACTTCCTCGCGCTGGGACAAAGTCGTCGTCATTAAGAATGCTTTTACTCTCAAGGATCTCAGTGAGGATCCAACGTACATTGAAGACCTGAGAGATGATATGACGGAGGCGGCGGAGAAGCATGGCAAAGACGTTTACGTGACCGTCTACGATCTTGAGGAAGAGGGAGTGGTTACCATTCGGTTCAAGAATGCCATGGCTGCTAAGGCTTGCGCTGAGCAGCTTGACGGGAAGGGATACAGTGGCAGAAAGCTCAAGACTTCGATTGCAACAGGCCGTGAGTGGTTCAAGAAGTCCCGCGAGGCGGTTGACAAGGTAGCCGAGGAGGCCGAGCGACTTGAGGAGTATAGCAACTTCATCGAGGGCAAAAGTGAGAAGGGAGAGGATAATGACAAGGCCCATGGAGCGGCCAATGGAGCGGCCAAGGGCAAGAGCGAGTGAAACGCTGAGAGAAATGCCGATGCTGAGAATGGAAAGGCTCAAGGAGAGGCGGTGCGTCTGACCGATGCCGCTCACGGTGCACCTGCAGACGGCGAAGACCGAAGCGCTCATGACTGAGCAAGAACCGGCGGCATGCACTAGACCTCCAAGCGTTACATTTGTGATGCACAGGAGCCAAATGGCTTCGCATGAAGAGGAGACATGACTGCGACACGACACGACACTGGCTTCGACATTGACGTGGGATCGTAGGGGCTGGATGAGATTCTTCCACGTTCGATACCCAGAGATATCCGGGAAGCGCCAGGCTAGGCTACACCCACCTGCGCGTCTTGCACTAGAAGTAGCTTGAGTACTTCGAACCTCGACATCGCGTACAGAATACGAGATTACAGAGAAACAATGCTCGTTGCCTGCTATCTGACTGATCTTGTGCCAGTATGGCTTTCTCCAACGTTGTCTTGCACATCCACGATGCTGAAATTGTTGCGGAGTGTCTTTGCACAGTCGTTGATTCTCATAACATCTCTTTCACTCTACGATAGGGTGAGCCAAACACTCCCTTGCTTGCTCTCAAGCGCTACGACGCCATTCCCACGGGCGAATGTCCTTGCGACTGGGGCGTGAACGTCCTAAGCGGATACCCATCCTTCTCGACACGAACACCCTGCTCACGAGTCAAACTGCGCACACTCCGCCCATCCTCTTCCGTTCCAAAATCTCGCTGCCGATGATAATCATCAACGCGCACGCCCTCGAGAGGCCTCACATCCCTCACGAGTTCCACATAATGGTACGCGAATTCCCCGATTTCCGCATCGTCGATTCCCATTTCTTCTTCGGCGGGGCTTGCTCTCAGTTTCAAAGCCGGGAAGACACGGGAGAGGGTGGAGATGAGGAGGAGGATTCCGCAGGTCATGAGGAAAGAATAGGCCATTCCGGTGACGGAGTCGGCGATTTGGATGGGGACTTGGATCCAGTTTCCGTTGAGCCAGCCCCCAGGGATGGTGGTTGTGCCGTCGAGGTGGGCGACGTAATCCACCGCGAAGACGCCTGTGAGGAGGTTTCCGATGACACCGCCGATGCCGTGGACGGCGAAGATGTCGAGGGCGTCGTCGGCTTGGATCCAATACTTGAGCTGTGTTGCGAAGTTGCAGCCGATGCCTGCCACGACGCCGTAGACCACTGCTGCCCAGGCGGGGACGTAACCTGAGCCGGGAGTGATTGCCACGAGGCCTGCGATGACGCCGGAGCAGAAGCCTACTGTCGACCATCTCTTTTCGAGGCGGTAGTCGACCAGGCACCAGGTGACGCCGCCGACGCAGGCGGCGAGGTTGGTTACTACGGCTGCCATGATCGCGCGGAGATTCGCGCTGAGGGCAGAGCCGGCATTGAAGCCAAACCAGCCCACCCATAAGAAAACGGTGCCGATTACGATGTGCGTGACATTGTGCGGCCTGTAATTCAGGGCATGGGTGCCGTGTCCTGTTCGCTTGCCGAGAATATAGGAGTAGGCCAGTGCCGCACTACCGGAGGAGATATGGACAGGAGTTCCGCCGGCAAAATCAAGACCGCCCATCTTTGCTACCCATCCATGAGGATTCCAAGTCCAGCAAGCTATGGGATCGTACACCACCGTGGACCAGATGAACATGAAAATGACACAAGGAAGCATCCGACCCCTTTCGGACACCGCGCCGACAGCTAGGGCGACAGTGATAGAGGCGAACATGCCCTGGTAGACAGCATAGAGGAGATCGGGTATCTTCGAAGATCCAGTGCTAGGTGCTCCGAGGACTCCAGCAAGCCCAAAATTATCCAGTGTGCCAATGAAACTTCCAGCATGGTGGGAGAAAGTGAGCGAGTATCCCCAGAAGAACCACTGGAAGCTGACGATCGCAGTCGCCATAATCGAAAGCCATATTAACGACAGCGCTGACTTGCGGCGAGCGAGTCCACTGTAGAAGAAACCGGCGCCCGGAATCATAAGCAAAACGAGGGCAGTTGATGTTATGACCTGTGATGCACACGGATGGGATGTCAGCCGATATGTCCCCTACGCGCTGTGGCTCTCGACATTAGGCTTCATACCCATGCAATATCTCCAGATTGATAGAAGACGTTAAGGTCTTGTGTTAAGGAATCGCCGCCAGTGGGGTAGGTGCCATTGTAGGGCTCCAAAGGGACGTATGGTAGTGACTCGTCTTGCGACATTGTTCTGGTGTTGCTCCACGCGGTGGCGAAATCAAGTCTCGGAGAGCGGCAAATGCGTTATGGAAGCCAGTTGGACGCGGTGTACTCGAGCACGTTCTCGTTCTCTGTCTTCCTCAGATGAGTCTCATTTGCTTTGAGGCGTCGTCGCGGATGTGCGATGGCAACCAGCCGGAGCTGTTGATTCAATCCGTCCAAGGTCCTGCCAAAGTTGCTGCCGTGAGGCAACGTTCAGAGCAGCCTGGAAGACTTGTCCTAGAAAATGATGCACGCATGGCTATAGCATAAGGCCGCCTATGAGTTTAGTAGTCATGAAGCATGTGAAGTGGGAAGTGAACCCCACGAAGTACCTGCTCTAGTGAACGATCAACGGGGCGGTATTGGAAAAGAGTAATATCCCACTCTACACGAGGGCTCTAGTATCAAACCGCCGCTCCAAGCCATATTGACAAACCGCAGAGAGGCGTGAGAAGGATTCGGGTAGCTGTCGAATTGAGAGCATCCTCTGATAAGGCTTCGATCCCACAAACCAGTGGAAGTCTTGGACTTGTTCCTGGCATTGTGGCTGCAGAAGCTGCAGGGGAGGTTAGTGGCGAGCCCGCTAGTTCAATTCCATCCACCTTCCCTTCCGCAGCGTAGCCCATGCACTTGTGTAGACGGCTCGGCAAACTCAGCTCTATCGCATCAAGTTTCAATGGCGCAGAATCGAGCGCGAGCTTGTCCGGAGCAGAAAGACAGCGGGGGAGTCGCGCTGGAAGAAGCTAAATAAGGCGCGGTCGTGGGGATGCGATGGGGAGAGGAGAGGTTGGGAGAGGAGGAGGTGAAGTCGAAGGGCAGATGTGCAGGGAACAGAAACTCTCCACGGAACGAACGCGCATCCATCCCACGCACAGCACGCACGGCGCACAGAGACATCCCTGCATCAGATCGCACTCCCGGGCCTCCTGTGCTCCCTCCACACTCTGTCCTCCTCACCTTGTCACCTTGTCTGATGTCACCTCCGATCAACAATGCACGACAATGCCTGTCCATCACCTCCATGTCCACTGTGCTGTTATTATTAATACTGGACGTCGCTTTGATTCATGAGACACATCGCCAGATGAAACGACCTGACGCGGAGAGTGCCGCCCGGCGACCTGTTGTGCTGTGATCGAGCGGAATAACGATGACTTTGGGCATTGTTGGCCGTGGCTACGAGAGCCTGTGCCTAGAGACACTGGTCACTGCGCGACTACCGGGAACATTCCACTAAATTCCCGAGCTGCGTGGTCTCTTAATGCGGCTCCAAATGGCGCATCTCCGGGGCTCAGGAGAATTTCAGCTGCGGCTGAGGACATTAGGCGCCTATTATCCTATCGCCAGGAAACCCTTCCTGGAGCGGATGTTTAGTACAAAATGTAATTGCTCGACATGATGAGCTGGCGCTAAACAATGTGAGTCGACGTTTGCAGCAGCGTCCAGGACATGGCATCCGTCTCGACACCCGAAGATTTGTACGAGCTGCTACACCACGGCGAGCCACCCAAGGTACGTCGAATGAGGTTCATGCGCGATCCAGGCACTTACCGGCGATAGCGTTCTCGGTCAACTCGCGTGGGGGTTGCCAAGTTCCTATGGAATCATCCCTTGATCATTACGACTTTGATCACAGGAGCCATAACAGCAGGCTCATGCTTCGCCTTCACCTACTGGCTGAGCAAACAGTCCTTCCAGTGCCCTTCTTGGGCTCTTAGATGCACAATCTCGGACAATGTTGGCCTGTTCGCCAGGCATCTCAATCAGGTCCAGGGCGTAGTAGGCGCGCTCTTCTCGGTCGCTACGGCAATGATGGCCTACGCTCTTTACCAGCTTGCCGAGACGACTCTGTGGCCTGCGCTGGCGAAGAACTCCTTCACGCTCAGCAACATTGACTACTACCTGGCTACTACACGAGGCTCTTTGCCTTCAGCTCCATTTGCTTTAGCGAATGCACGTGAGCTGGGACATGCCACCGTGCTGGTTCTTGTAACGCTCATCGGCTTTCTCCAGCTCACCAACAGCGTCGTCGTCGGACATGCGTACTCGCTTGCCAATCTGACTACGACGTACTACAGCAACCATAGCTCTGGAGGAGGTCTTGGCATCCCCTTCAGCCAAAGTAATCCTCCAGGGGTGCTATCGGGAGCTGTCGGTGAGGCGGTCTCCACTTACAACTCCTGGGCGAACGAGCTCAGTGTCGAGCCGCTACCAGAGTATCGCCAATACTTGTTCGATCGAGCGAACATGTCAGGGATAGGAAACTTTTCTGCCAAGGCCATACGAGCGGACTTATCTATGAACTGCTCTGGAAGACCTATCCATATCACGGAGACGCTGACAGACCGGTTCTACGTCAGCGTGAATCAGCTGGGCTGGACTGATGTCCTACTTCGGATTCAACCCAAGCTTACTGTATGGGTTGACCAATATAAGCGCATGAGCAACACTTCTGCCATCACGACTCTGATGTTCTTGGCCATGGACGGAAATCTAGAAAAGGGGCATGAGAACGGCCAAAGATGGGGCTACGCAAACATATCAAGCCTGGCATGTGATGTGAATGTTCAGCTCAAAGATGATAGGTAAGTGTGAGTATCATCAGGCTGACTACCGCATGTTGAACAAGCTGACGTTATTCGAGTATTTGTACCTACACTGATATAGCTGACTGCAAAAGGCCTACAGCAGTTCTGTCGGAGCTGAGCACATTGTCAGCCGCTGGAGCTCCGTACAGGGTTGCGGTGTACATGGCTGCCGCTGTATCTGTGTTCGGAGTCCCAGTGTACGGAGCGCAGCCAGTCTACAACGATCCATCGCAGTTGCAATCAACCACGTCGACAAATGGCTCGTCCGTTGGCCTACCTTTCGCGTGGACTACCGCATGGAGTGGCGGTGCACCACAGCAATATCACTATACCATCGACGAACTCGACAACTTCGTGCGTGTGGGAGCGGGCGCTCTGGTACTTGTGAGCATGCCAGTGAATTGATCTCCAAGCTAACAGTCGTTCTCAAGTCAATCAACATGATGCGGCACTTCCCTGCCGGCAGCTCTATCCTGGCATCCACTCTTCCCATGCAACGCCTCGAATCCGCTCGCACTTGGATCTTGCTCATGCCGCCTGCTGTGATCCTCGGTACTATCCTCCTCGTCGGCATTCTCAGTGCTTCCATGTACAAGGCATCTCACATACCCAATGTTCGCCTTGGTACTACGAGCGAAGTTGTCATCAGCTCGCAGACGAAGGATATCAATTCTATTGTACGGGAGGCCAGAACGGCGTCTTCATCTACTACTCTGTTCTCAAGGCTGAGGGTGCGGTATGGTGTTGTTGCAGAAGGCTTTGATGGCTTGGCTCGGAAAGAGAGCGTCACAGCGTTTAGTGACCATCGTTCAGAGGCTATTTCATAGAGCAGAAAGACAGACAGCAACCGAATGCAGTGTTGAAATCGTGGACCATCTTTTCATTGTGATGTCGGATCAAACTCCGACGCTTCGGCTCGGGACTCGGCAAGTGGGTCATTGATGAACCATGCTCAGAATTTCAGATCACCACACTTTCAGTGCAGACGATCTAGGTCTGTCGCTGGACACCACGCAACGGGATGATACGAAGACAAGCGCGCCAACGGCGCGACTACCTCTACCGACGTGCTCTCACTCTCAGAGACGCTGAGATTGCCGAGAAGCGCGCGAAGCTGAAATCCTCGCTAGCCTCTGGAAAACCACTCGACCCTAGCATCGCCAACGACAAGCAGTTGCGGAAAGACTACAAATACGACGAATCGCGCGCCGACCGAACGAACGAAGATGAACTGGACCTTGATGATGAATACAGCTATCTCACCGGCGTCGTGGATCCGCGTGTCCTCGTCACGACCTCCCGCGATCCAAGTACAAGACTATCAGCCTTTGCGAAAGAGATCCGCCTACTGCTTCCCACGAGTATCCGACTGAATCGCGGCAATCTCATCCTTCCAAATCTGGTCGGAAGCGCCAAATCCAGTGGGCTATCAGACCTCATCCTCCTCCACGAACATCGAGGCACACCGACCGCCATGACAATCTCCCATTTCCCACACGGACCCACAGCCTCTTTCAGTCTCCACAACGTTGTTCTCCGCCACGACATCCCCAACGCCTCCCGCGGCACCGTAAGCGAGAGCTACCCCCATCTCATCTTCGAAGGCTTCACCACCCCGCTCGGGAAGCGCGTAGTCAAGATCCTCCAACACCTCTTCCCACCCCGCGAAGCCGGCACGAAGCTGGGCTCCAGAGTCGTCACGTTCAAGAACATCGAAGATAGCGTTGAAGTGCGACACCATGTGTTTGTCAAGACGGGCTATCAGAGTGTGGAATTGGCAGAGGTGGGACCGAGGATGACGATGCGGTTATTCGAGATTCGACAGGGTACGGCGGAGAATAAGGATGGGGATGTGGAATGGCATATGAACCAGTATACAAGGACGAGTAAGAAGAAGGATTACTTGTGAGGTGGGTTGGGAACGAGGGAACAGGATGAGAGCCGGGGGAGGGAAACGCATCAGAGATACCGAGATGCAAATTTGCGGCGGCTCGAGGCAGATCTTGTTGATTGGTTTACTTGTCGTTGCATGTCATGGCATGTTGAACGCCTTGAGCTTCCACAGCGCTTCTCTGCTCGCACAAAGCACCGCTCACAAAAGTGCCATGGAGCAATCAACGGTGCGCATGCCGAATCAACACATCGCCGTCACCAGAGACCCACAATGCACAGACGAATCTGTACCATCGAGCTCTTTCATTCCCGGGGGGCTACACGACAAAAGCGTCCGGTCGCGCAGCGATTTCTCCTGGGACTTGCAGACGTCGCAACCTCGAAGCACCAGGGGTCAAGCACAGGCGTGGGGAGATTGAGAGCAGACCCTTAAATGGGACGTTATGCATGAGGCGACGAGGAGAGGGAAAATCCAAGACAAGAGCTTACACATGGGCATGCGTTTGAAAATGCACCATTATCATCTCGTCCTGCTCGCTTGCAGTGAGATGTAGCGTGAAGCCTTTCAAAGAAAAAAGAAAGAAAGAAGGGTATGTGCATTGAATGCCTTGATTACCAATGAACCATTCTCATTATTATACTCGTTGTTCATACTAGATATCCACGTCTTCGCATATGTATGCACGTGGTGAAGAAGTTGCACGGTCTGCTAATAAGTGCCAAGTTTACAAGTAAAGGCGCCTTTTTGCATTCCGACCTCGTGCCAATAAAGCTCTGTCATAGTAACTCTGCTTGACGCTTGTCAGGACTGCGCCTGTAATAATTTTCTGACCAAATGCGCAAAGACAGGACCTGGTCGCAATGCACATCATGCAAACCAGGTGGTGACTGGCGTTGTTATCGACTTGACTTTCGACGCAATAGCCAATCTGAACTGCGAGTAATGCTATGAGTAACATTTGATAAGCGTCGGCAGACTGCGGGGACTTTGAAGTACCACAATGGTATTGTTGTACGGCAATAATAATGGCAGCAGCTGCAGCTCACGGCCTCATGATGTAGGATGCTGTTCGTGTCGAGGATCTGTCGCGCAGCCTTCGGGTACCGGATTTTGGTGGAGAGATTTTCCCAGAGAAATATCACGGAAGTGTATGTCCAAGAGACCTCAGTGGTTCTCTTCATGCCGTCTCTTCCATTGTTGACCGCTAGAGCCAGAGTAATTCATGCCGTCCTTAGCTATGCCCGTAAACGTGTTGATAGCATCGAAACCGACTCTCTGCACGTTCATTCGATCCGAGTCACGCTTCTTATTGTGCCTCTCTTGCGCGGTGCTTGCGCCCGTGAAGTGAAAGAGATGATGGCCTTGAAAAGCACAGTGCGATCATCTGGTCCAAACATGACGCCGCGGTCCGAGAGCAGTGAGAGTGTCGTTTCCGCTAGAAATCCCAAGGTGATGCCAGCATCGCAGTGTAATTTGGCGCATGCCGAAGGTCCCCCTTCGTTATCGGGGTCATGCTCAACAGCGGCGTTGGGATCGAGAATGAAAGCCTGCATCCCTAGTACAGGCGGTTGGACAATGAAGAGGCTCTCATGCTTGAGGGTAGTGTCCGACTCCGGAGATGGGGTGACAGGAGCAGGCCATCCCTCCCGATCTGCGCGTGGTCCAAGACCGCCTCGGAGGCCTTCGAAGATAGAGCGACTACGCAGCCGTCGACCTGATCGTGAATCTGGACATATCGACCGAGCAGCAGCAATGTCCATCTTGACGTTGATCCAGTGACCTTGGTCCAGAGGATCACCGGCCTCAATCGATAGTCTCGGGAGTTTGAGGTCGAGCAGCTTGAAACCCGGCGGGGACGAGTTCCATTTTGGAAAAACAAAGTAATGCAGTCGAAGGGTCGGCGATTGTCGTGTGATTGCGTTCCATTTTGGGTTCGTACAGCTGAGGGTGAGGACGCTAGTGGTATCGAGAAAACTTAGAATGATCTCCAGTAGCTCTGTGGTCTCGAAGACTTTCACGACAGAACATTCGCCAGTAGTGCAAGTGTGTTGCTCTAGCTCCGTTTGTGGTGGCGCTTGCTCCGGTGTGTCCGTTTCAGACGCGACTGTGCCTCGATTGTGGATTTCACAGACTGCGAGAAGATGCGGTCGCTGCGAGGAAGATAGGTCCGCATCCGAAAATCTTCTTTCGCGGCTGGACGAGGAGGGTGATGCCACCTGGAGGCGGCGCATTTGCTCGGCAAAATCCATGTGATATGGCGGCGGGTGCCGTATTGTGAGGAAGGATGGAGAGATGCCGTACGCCGGACGAGATTGCTAGACGCTCTTCCGCGATGTGTTCGAGACGTGACGGTAACTGAGTGGTGTGATTTTGATGTGGTGAAGTCGAGCGTGAAAGTTAGAAGGAGCTGTTTGCTCTCGGGATCTTGACTCCGTCGCAAACAGCCCAAAGAAGCGTAGCGTGAAGGTGCTCCAATGTCCTGAGACTCGCGGCGCGGGGTCCGATAGCGCTTCGGTAGCGCGAAACCTAACTCAGCTCTTACATCTTCTTTCACATGCACGTTGCTCGTTCCTATCGAAACATTATTGCCTGGAGGTACTGTCACGATGGGATGCATCGCCGCCAGAGATTGCAGTGCGTCGATAGCGTACAGATTGCGACACGAGTGGATTGACAGGGGCCGATCGGCGGTGGACTGTGAACGCTGTCCCCAGCCACCGCCTCCAGCCTTGCGATTTCCACCTGCCACCTAGTAGGTGAGGACAAAAGCTGCACTTTTCCATTTAGTCCGCATTCCACATACCACCCGAGTACAATTGCTGCCTCGGACAACTCACCTCAGCCAGGATATCAGGCATCCTCAAACCGTCGCAATTTCTAAGCAACCCAGGAGCTGTCCAGACCTTTCCAACATTGCTACATCCGCGGATCTTCCATACAGAAAATCGTAAGGTCTGTCGCTTGCATTCGGGATCTTCCTAACTAACATCTCCAAGAAAACACAGTCTTCTGTAGCATCAGCGAATTATCGACCCACCCATCTCCACCAACACCCCAACGAGATAATCCTCAACCGCGACCATGCCGGGAAATCTCGTCGTTTTCACCATCATCATTGTCCTGTTCTTCGTCCTAGCACTTATCGGCTTTGGAATCTACTGGGCACAAACAAGTCTTGGTGGAGTAAGAGGTGGAGGAAGTTCTTCGACGAGTACCGGCGAGGACGTCTAAATTTCTTCGACCGCTACGGCTGCTTGCGAGGCACTTTCTGAAATGCTTGGACCGCATTCCTCCCCACGTCTCTGGTCGAGAATGAAGGGCCTCCAGAATGCCCCTTGGCGCGGAATCGAAGCAAACAAGAGGAGAAAGAGAAACCGGCTATCACAAAATCGATGAAAGTCTTCATGCCTGAATTAAAGGGCAGATGAAGAGGACGAGCTTAGCAAAACAACGGCGTTTGATGGACATAATGGCATTGAGCCACACAGAAATCTGCAGAGCATAGCGAGGGAGTTTGGGATGGCATTGATTGTACGAATTGTATGAAGGACGATACCCATGTAGAGAATCAGCTCATCATTGTTTTGAGCAGCACTTGACGAAGAAAATCGACCCCATTCAGGCAGCTTTTCTTAGCATCCAGCTCGTCTCATGAACTTGTTCCTCAGTCAAGAGGATCCGAAAGCGATCTTCCTTGAGGAAATCGTGATCCGTCATCTCAAAGCCTGGGACCACAGTCTCGCTGATCAACAATCCCTCGCTACTGTCGCCGCCCTCTTTGTCTGGAAGAAGGTAGCTACATTTGTACTTGCCACCAGGAACGATCCACTGAAGACGCTCGCCTTTCGATACGTTCTGGCCAACGACAAAAGTCTCCATGCGGGCCTTACGGATCCAGCGGGAGGACTCTGGCGAGTTCTCATCCCCGCCGTAGCCTCCTACATAGTCCGGACTAGCTGCCTCGTCGGCGTGGATGAGCACGTAACGACCACGGCCTCTATGGAGAGTATGAACAGTTCTGGCCTGGTTACGGTGGAAATGGCCGAGATTTGACTTTGGTGTCAGGAGGTAGAAGATGGTTGTGCTCGCGTTGCGGGTTTCCAATTCGGTGGTGGAAGTGGCGTTCTTTTCAGTCTTTGGAAATGGATTTGGGATTTTGAAGGCGTCTCGGTCCGTTTCCTACGATGGCTTTATCAGCTTTCTGGCTTGAGGTAAGGGAGGGAATAGAATATATACCACAAAGTAACCACCTTCAGGATGTGGTTGCAGCTTCAGTTTTTGCATGACCGCTTTCAGCTCGGCTGATTCATCGTGAGATCCGCTGACGTCGAAATAGGGCTTGAGGGGAGGAATGGAAGGATCAACGGTTGATGCTTGATGAGAACCCATTGTGGTAAGAATCGTGATGGGTTCGAATGTTAGAGCTGAAGGTGTCGTATGGCGTTGAGAGTGGTATTCATCAGGCGTCCGTTTCTGCGCTCTGCAGTGCTACCACCTACCATCGGCAACCACGCGATAGCATTGGCCGGATAGGGAATGCTTGCCCCAGCTCCTTCCTTCACTTCATGCTGCTGCTGCTTACATGTGAAATTTGGCCCCTGCTCAAGGCTCGCGATTCCTTTTGGAGCCTGACCCGTACGAACCATCCATTAGCCGGAGACCTATCATTCCAAGATGTGAAGTGCCTATCATGCATCCACTTCTTCGAATGTTGATTTGGAGGTCTACAAAATGCGCCTCGTCATCGCATGATCCCGGAAGGGCCGATGACTAAGCCGAGATTATCCATCCGATCTCTCAAATCGTCATCCAAAATCCCACAGCTCACGCGCTCAGACTTCCTATGCTACACCACTTGTCGCGTCAAGTCTGTCTGCATGATTTCTTGAACATTCCTAAAATCATGCTACGAGAGCCGGGCCCGTTGACCATTCGTCCCAACACTCAAAATGGCTGAAATGTTCACCAAATTGGAGGTACGTTGAATCGCACAGCGAGCACAATGATAACCGAAAGCTAAGAGAAGACAGGCAGAATACTGTACGTGAGATCTACAGTTCCAGAATGGACCATGTCTAATCGCGTCTATATAGGTCCACCTCTTGATCCCGCTCTGCTATCCGCAATTCTGTCCGACTTCGATTTGTCTTCGACCCACGATGTAGAGCAAGCGAGGGCTACGTTAGACCCGCTGAAAGAGAGTGCGTTTCTAGAGGAAGCGGCTGGGTTCGATGCTGCAGGGACAGGGGCACAAGATGAAAGTTTGGGACATGGATCGAAAGCCGAGTCTTGTCCTGGTACGAGCGTATCACTCTCACGGGAGACAGACTTGACAAGCCTGTCGAACGGCCTGTCTTCTCTGGAATTGGATCAAGACCTGGACGACGGGAGCCATACGCCGGGGACCATCAGTACCGCCGAGGACATTGAGACGCTGGATGAAGATACAAAGATACAGATGTTACTGGACGTGACCCATGGGCGAGTCACGCGATACAGTGCCAAGCACACATTGCGCAAATGCAATGGCAAGTGGCACGCTGCTCTAGATGAGCTCCTCAACCACGTGTTCTTTGATGAAGCCGGCCAAGGCAATGAAGAGCATAAGGTCTCTGCTAAGGGCATTGATGCTTTCTCCGAAGAGAACGTTGCGAAGAGAGGCCGAAAACGCAAGCATAAGGTCCAAAATGCCCGAAAGATGGACGACAGACGTTCAAGCTCCTTGCCGATCTCCCCGATAGATTCTACAGTCCCTGTGACGAACAAGTGGCAGACAGCCGGTGAAGACATCGACTTTATAGCGAGTCGTACCGGAATGGCCACTTCATCAGTCGCGTCCATCTACTATTCCAACGGAACTTCTCTTTCCAGAACGATCAGTGACATACTAAAGACAAGCGTGCAAAATGACACTCCTTCCGATGACCCTATCATCGCTGTGAATGCTCACGACCTGGGACTAGAATTCCCGACCATTATTCCCGCTTTCGCGGCTGCCTTGGTCGGGCTGACACATCCATCCACGGCTGCTGCGCGCGAACTCGCAAAAGCGTTGACAACGAGACCGCAGGTGAAGGGAGGCGTTCAGATTGTTCCGCAATATCGGCCACCACAAGAGGAGGACACCGAGATCGCGTCCCAAATCGTTGGCAAGAAGTCGAAGCAGTCAAATGCTTCGAATCTCTCGAGCGAACTCAGCGACCTAAACGGCCAGGCAAATGCCTATGCAGCTGCTCGTAGGACGGCACTGTCGCAGGCATATGCCGCTCATCGCAAGGCCAAATCCGACCGACTGATGGCAGGCGCGGCTGCCTATTATGGACAAGTCAGTCGCGACAATGCAGCACTGTACTCTCGATCCTCTGCAGCAGCCGCTGATCAACTCGCCCAGAGTCAGTCTGGCGCTGGAGAGCTGGATCTCCATGGGATCGATGTCTTGAACGCTGTTAGGATCGCGCAAGGGAAAGTCGAAGAATGGTGGCAAGGTTTGGGCGAGCAGCGTGCGAATGGCCGTCTGGGTGCTGCAGAACGGCAAGCTGGGTACAGGATCGTCGTTGGCAGGGGCACTCATAGTGAGGATGGCAAAAGCAAACTGGGTCCTGCTGTTACCAAGATGCTGAAGAGCGATGGGTGGAGATTCGAGCCCGCTGGAGCAGTGATCGTTGTCAAAGGTCGAGCACGTACAGGAGCGCATACCTGAAATCCCGATCGACGCTGCTCTCCGCAAAGCGGAACGCGGGGAATCGAGATGGGTGGGTCGAACGATCTGCTGGAAAAGATGGAGAAAAGCTAGAGAGTTGGGATCTCGCTGCCCGATGCTTGCTGCTTACTGCATACAGGCGCGGAGAAGCATGAACGACCATCGAACCGACGATGTGGGCACATACCGTTGAGCGCCTCAATTCGACTTTGATATGGCTAGGAAACGCCTCTCGTCGTTCATGCCCAGATACTGTCCCACTCCTCCACCAACGACGCATTGCACATTTTTGCGCACAGAGCACGACGGTGGTCTCGAGTGGTCGCGTGAGAAGAAATCTGTCGACGCTAGAAGGCATTACGGAGTGTGGCGGTCACACTGCAGCAGTTGCATAAGAAGCTGGCGCTTGCTAGAGACGAGTTAGCAGTATGGAGGATTGTAAGGCTGAATGAGGTGCAGTCAAAGCAGCCAATAGCGGCGATATTAGGAGGGACGGCTGGTGAAGAGAAGGGCCGAAAAGGAAGCTGCAGAGAAGACGGGACGCTGCTTCTAGCCTGCTTCTAGCGGCCATATGTGAGAGACGCCGGCAACTGCAGGCTGTATGCAGCAGAAGAAAAGATGCAGTCCTGATGCGTTCTGGCGACATCCACACCTCACACCCCTCTGATCGGCGGCTGGTCAGTGACTGGATGATGGACATCGCGGTTCAGAGCGGGGTATTGAAGTATCGATTGTCTGAACCAACACGATGATGACGACGCAGAGGACAACAGTACATTGCTGTTGGCGATCTTGAGTACCTTAGGTTCGCGCACGAGAACGCTAACCGCTACGGTCCACTTGAGGCTCGACGGACAGACGCCCGGTGCGATGAGTGTATAGCCTCCACGTCCAGCAACTCAACGTGCCCCGGCCGTGCGTACGCCACGAGCTCAACAGCGGAGTCCCATGGAGACGAACGCGGGTAGCGGAGCGGTATACGGTCTCTGTGTGGAGGTGGTGATACCTCTCACGGGCCGATTACATAGACTACTGCAGCTGCAGCTCTCTCCGCGGAGGCGAACTTTAATCGACTTCAGACCGTCCAGACTACGGACACCGAAAAGGTATACGGCATCGATACCGACGCATACCAGCATGTACTGTACCTACTTATCATCATATAAGCCTGCTCGCGTGCCCACCATGGAAGACAGCATCATCTGCAACCAACACAACCAACCACCAAGCTCGTCTTGCCTGGTCTTTCATTGCCAGTTCGAGCACTTCTCTCACTACCATCACAGCATCATTCGTCTGTGATCAAAGCATTCTTTCGACGTTCAACAGGTGCATCAGCTCAAGACCAAAACCGATTGTCTGAGCTCGCTCACTACCCTATACTAACATCAAACGAAACACCCAACTGGACGACCAACATGGCTGGCGGTGGAATGCCTACCGACACGCCCATCGTGGCAGGTGGCTATCTGACCGGAAAGAAGCTCATCTATCCCCTATCCCTGGTCATCTCCCTCTTCTTCCTCTGGGGCTTCTCTTACGGTCTCCTGGATGTGTTGAACAAGCACTTTCAGACCGTGCTCGGCATCACCAAGCTCGAATCTACCGGTCTCCAGGTCATGTACTTCGGTGGTGGTTATCTCTGCTTCTCACCAGTCGCCGCTGAAGTCATGAAGCGCAAGGGCTACAAGTTCACGATCCTCATGGGATTGACGTTCTACTCGCTTGGAGCTATCTTCTTCTGGCCAACCGCTCACTTCTCGAACCCATCGAATCAGAAGGCTGCCTTTGGTGGGTTCCTCGCCTGCACTCTGGTTATTGCCTGTGGTCTTGCTACCCTTGAAACGGCCGCCAACTCTTATGCTGTCGTTATTGGGCACCCGGCTACCGCCTCTGCTCGCTTGCAATTTTGCCAATCCTGGAATGGCGTGGCCTCTTTCGTTGGACCGCTCATCGCTTCCAAGGCTTTCTTCACCGGCGAAAACGCAAACAACCTCACCAATGTCCAGTACGTGTACCTGGCCGTTGCTTGTGCAGGAGCAGCTGTTGCAGTTCTCTTTGCCTTCTCCAAGCTCCCAGAAGTTGAGGAGTCGGCCCTTCGCTCTGCCTCGGTCATGGCCACTGATTCCGAGACCGGTGTCGAGCACTATGGCCAACCCATCAAGGACAAGCCGCTTTACAAGGAATACAACATGATCTTCGGATTCATTGCCCAATTCTGCTACGTCGGCGCTCAGGTCACAATCGCGTCCTTCTTCATCAACTATGCAACGGACAATGCGACTTTCACCGCCGCCCAGGCCTCCAACATGCTCTCCTACGCCCTGATCACCTTCACCGTGGGTCGTTTCATCGCCTGTGGCCTGGCCACGATCTTTGAATCCAACTTCATCATGGTTCTCTACTGCTGTGCTGCCATTGCTCTCAACGCGGTGGTTTGCGCTGCTCATGGCACCGCTGCCGTTGCTGTCCTCATCGTGATCTTCTTGTAAGTCCAAAGCAGACAGACGGTCAATCCCCTTGGAGCCCCTGCGCTGACAATGCCTTAGCTTCGAAGCGCCAATGTACCCAACCATCTTCACCCTCGGAACCGCCAACCTGGGCAAGAACACCCGCCGTGGCGCCGGCATCTTGGTCATGGGCGTCTCTGGAGGTAAGCCCCAAACCCCCCCAAAAAAAACAACCCCTTCTCTTCAGACGCTGACTTTCCCACCACCCAGGCGCCGTCTTCCCCCCCATCCAAGGCGCCATCGCCGACGCAGCCGGCACCCGCATCTCCTACATCGTGCCCCTCGTCGGCTTCGTCATCGTCCTCGCCTACGTCCTCACGCACTGGCTCCGCCACGGCGCGCACATCCTACGCCTGCGCGGCGAGCGCGTCGTCGCGACCGCCCTCGAAGGCGGCGCCCTCGGCGGCGTCGTGCAGACCGTGCACTACGACGAAAAGCGGCTCTCCGTGGACGCGGACGCCGTGCGGCGCTCGAGCCTCGCGGGCGCGCGCGTCAATTCCGTCACGGGGGGGTTCAATCTCCATGGCGATTTTTTCCCTGGGGAGCACGTAAGGACTTCGAGTCTGGGTGGCGCTGCGGTGGTGGAGGAGAGGTTGGAGTGTAGTTATAAGTTGAAGATGTAAAAAAAAAAAACCAAGAAAAGAAAAGAAAAGAAAGGAGATGTAGAAACGGGATGGATCATGGAATCGATGAAGATGAGAAGTACTTCGCGGTATATTGCATGGGACGCGGCGCTTGATTGCAGCATTTTCGGTCGACTAATGGCACGACCGTGTTACGATGGACGAAAGTCCCATGTGGCGGCACGAGATCATGTCTACTACAAAGTTGCTTGTACATACTTGACAAACAAACATACAAACAAAGAATCTGAAACCACACTTCAAAGCAGTGCCGCACGTCTGTCTAGTGTTCGGAGCCCCTATTGAGGCAGAGCTTGGGATCAAAGTTCATAAGTACTACCCTACGAGCCGTTCCATCCCACTCCATACCGCGCCGCGCTTCAACTAAGAGTTTGGAGAAACGGGTCCGATCATATGTACAGTACCCTCGATCAAAGCGAAGAAGAACGCCTCTGCCTCTGCCTCACCCCGAAGCCGTCGAGCTATAAAACTCCCTCGCAGCAAACCGCATCTGCTCGGATCCAATATCAAACACAGCCAACACATTCTTCATCCATGCACTCCCCAGAATACTGAGCCCACTCAGATTCGGCTGCACCACCGAGACACACGTATTGCTTCCGATCTGGACGATCATGTCTTCGGGATTGACGTAGAAGACCTTCTGCGTGATGCCGACGCCGAAGACGGGTGCCGTGGCATTGCAAGCGACGTAGTAGTACATGTTGGAGCCGTCCCATGTGGCCGGAGGGTTGAAGGCTTCTGCTACGGAAGACGCGACGTTGTTGGGAACGTAGATGAGGGAGGTGCCGGAGTCCACAATGGTGTTGGTGTTGTTTGCCACTAGAGGCACTTTTAGTCGATTTTGGGTATCGTAGGGGTTGAACTGCGTACTGGTGCTGTTGGAAATCGCATAGCCGGAGATGTAGATGGTGTAGTACTCATATACGGGTGTGCCATCGGTTTGGTTGACTTGCATGGCGTGGATAGGGGTGGTGATCCACATGGGTGAGATGCGGATGTCCGGGATACCGCCTATGGCGAGGACGCCGCCGACGTTGGGATCGCGGTCGATGGCGAGGCTGAAGACGGGGTCGACGCTCTCGTTGGTGTACATGTTGACGAATAAGGGGTTGTAGAGGAGGGTGGAGCCTTTCGTGTCCTTGGTGCTGTCGGTGCCGGCGTAGTTGGATGTGAGAGTGCGGTAGGCGAAACCGACGAGACCTGAAGAGATGCCATCGCCGTACCAGGCTGCGACGTCGACGAGGCCGAATTGTTGATTTGGCACTTGGATCCCTGCCATGCCAAAGGTTTCATAGCCCATGTCTCCACCCAGAGTCTCGCCGTCTGCATATGAGATGTTGAAGTTCTGGTCCGTGATCTGTCGGTAGGTCGTTGACGAAGAAGGATTGTAGGCTGGACCGAAATTGCAATATTTCTGATTTCGTGGCTTGCCCTGCACATCGTAGCACTTGTAATTGTTCACGATGAGCCACGGATCGCTGCTTCCGGTGTCCACCACGACCGAGAAATCCTGCCCGCCAACGACGACTTCGGCCAGGAAAACGGAGCCGCCCTCGACATTCTCCAACGGCGTAGTACCAGCCTAGCATACCATCAGCATCAACAACGACTCCGACTCCCTCTCCCGACCAGTGTCTCGATATGGCCACTCACCGTAACACCGCCCGCCCTGGAAGTTCCAGAGCGTCGCATGGCCTGCACAAACTTCGAGCTGAGCGAGTTCACCCCATCCGACACAATAGTCAGGTTGACCACATTCTCCGTGATCTTCAGATCACTCAATGCAACCTGACTCGTATCCCTTCCAGAAGAAATCCTGCTGATGACAAACTCCGTATCGTCCCGCGTTACGAAGCTTCTCGATTGTAGGTCATCGTTGGCAGCGGTGATGGTGGCGAGCAGGCCGACAAGGAAAGCGATGACGGACATGTTGTATACCGTAGCGGATGAATATCACCGCCGTCGGAGGAGTCAATCGACGTGGTCCTCCTTCCCGGCGCCAGTGACAGCAACAGCGTTCCTCTTCCGGGCGCGGAATGCGAATGGAAGGTGTGTGTTGGACAGAGAGCGGCTGGCGCTGAATTCAGGGAAAGGGCAAATGAATGTTGAGATCCTGCCAGATTCAGCATTGGTCTTGGTCTCGGAAGGAGCGACTCAGATTGAGGGGGAGATCATGGTTCGCGCCTGTCGGATGAGGGTTGAGGTACGTCTGAGGTCCATCTGGTGCGAAGAGGCGCGAGAAGCGCCTGTACCAACCTCCCTCTCGAGATTGTGTTGATGTTCCTACCCACCATTCTGGGTTGGCATGTGGATCCAAGGGATGTTTCGCGCAACGCACACCACACTGCGCCAACGAGTCGCGTCGGCTGATTCCACCAAATATCTCTTATTCCGCCGGTGTGCGGCTCTAATAGATCGTTGTCTATCTCTATCGATCTGTTGTATGAGTATACAACCGTGCTCGCATGCGCTTGGCTGTGCACATGCGGTGCGCGACCCTTGGCACTCCCTTTTTCCTGTCCGCCAAGACTCCCATGTCGATGCCCTTTTCCCAAAACGCCTACAAACCAAGCTCCGATACAAGAAAGGGATTCTACGCTCACCAGAGGGTGTAGCCACCGTCAATGAGGCAGTTGTTTCCAGTCATGAACGCCGAGCCGTCGCTTGCGAGGTAAACAGCGAGGTTGTTGAGGTCGTCGACAGCTCCCAATCTCTTCTGTGGGGTGTGGTCAACCCAGATCCGCTTCTGAGCCTCCAGAGCTGGCACGCGGTTGAGCGCAGTGTCCATGTAACCGGGGCTGATTGAGTTGACACGGATGCCGTATCGGGCCCACTCTGCCGCCAACGACTTGGTGAGCTGGACTACAGCCGCCTTGGATGCATTGTAGCAGGATTGCTCCTGGGGATAGTTGACAATGGAGCCGGACATGGATGCAATGTTGATGATGCTACCGCCCTTCTTGCTCCTGATCATCTGGTTGGCGACGGCCTGGGAGACGATGAAGGACCCAGTCACGTTGATGTCGATCAGACGACGGAACTTGTCATGGTCGTAAGTCTCGGCCTTGATGTTGGAGCTATCGCCTGTCAGTAGATGCAACAGCCAAGACTGATCGATCCTGCTTACTCTGCGATTCCAGCTGCATTGATGAGGATGTCAAGGCGTCCGAAGTGATCGACAACGTCCTGAACAGTCTGGTTCATAGCCGGACCGTCACGGACGTCGACACGGTAGAAGCGAACATCGATGCCTGCAAGGATGAGGTGTGTAAGCGAGTGCCCTTGGTGTGAGAAAGTGCTCTTCGTCCTTGGACTCACCAGTCTGCTCGCTCAACTCCCGGGCGGACTTGTCTCCAAGCTCTTGCTGCACATCCATGATGGCAATACCGCGCACACCAACTTCAGCCAGTGCCTGCGCCATGTTGAACCCAAGACCACGACCACCTCTGTCACCCTTATCAGTTACCGCAGAGAAGGTGCCGAGCAGATGAGTCTTACCCGGTTACGACGGCTACCTTGCCAGGGAGAGTGAAGTTTCGAAGGGTTGGAGTGAGCTGGGGAAGGATGTCGCTCTTGAGAGGAACAGCCTGTTTCTCAGCATCGACGCCCGGGGGGTTGACTGGGCCAGTGCTGGCGTTTGGCTCGTAATGGATCGACTCCTCCTTGCGCTCGCCATGCCGGTAGCTGACGACGGGCACTTCGGGGTCGTTCGACTTGGAGGATGATCCGAAGGCAGCACGGAACGTCTGAGGAGCGAAAGTAGCTGGGCGAATGGCCCGTTGGCTGACTCTGAGGGCGCTTCGGGCAAACATGTTGGTAGCGATGTAGGGAGGATGCTGTCGTAGCAGGATGCGGCGGTAGATGATGGGGTTTGCTCCCAGAAGCTCAACAATAGGTATCCAATGTCTCTGTTGCGACAGATCGTAAGTGTGAGCGAGAAATCGATGAGAAAGCCTGGGAGATCGAGGTCTCGCTTCTGGGAAGGAGGATGGACTGGAAGGTAGGAAGGAGCGCGCCGACGAGGAAGAGTGCTGGGAGGAGGGCGATATAAAAAGAGCAGGGGCTGGCCGACGTCGCTAACGAGCGTGTCTGATTGAGGAGACGACTGGAGTGGGTGAAAAGATAGGAAAGAAACTTCGCACGTCGACTACGCTGGGATGGCGACGCCAGGTCCTTTTGAATTGCGTTTTCTTGTTCGCTGGTCGCGCTCCCCGAAGCAACACCAGACGCAGCACATTCGCAGTTTTCACGGTCGTTGACCCGCAATGACCGCAAGCACCACTCTAGCACCAGGAGCTCTGACTGTGCCTGCATGGGCCGGACCCCTATTGCCCGGCGCGCATCCGAGTGCGTTCAGCGACGATGAGCCGAGACACGAACGCGATGGAGTCTGAAAAGTGGGAAGAGTCGAAGCGATGCTATCACACACTAGGTATCACGGTCAGCGCCACGCGTGCTCTGCCGAAAATTCTGGGGCGTCCGGCGATAAAGGAGTCCAAGTCCGGGCTGATGACAGTGGACGTCCCTCAACAGGTCCTGATACGATGTTTTCCATCTCGTCCCGCTGCTGTGATGATGATGATGAGTATACTGACCCGGGGCCGGCGGGTTTGGAGATGAAGATGTGTCGTGGGACAGGACACGTGCGGGAAGCAGAGGTCGCCCACAGCCGGACCTGACGATCTCCCTTAATCGTCTGCGCATGCAGGTCTTGGCGTCCATGCATTGTGCATGCCCAGATTAGGTTCTGACCTAAGCCCTACCGTATCGCTGGTCCACAGTCCACAGGACCCTTCCCACAGCTGCCCACACTGTTCCCACATCCTCTTCGGCAGGCCTCGGCAGAATGTCAGATGCCGAGAGCGCCGAGATACCACGCATTCCATTCCTTACAACATCAGCGAGGCCCAGAAGAATGTCGCCATCTTTTCCTCAGCACGCTGCGTGCACACGACCCTGTGATTGATGTCGTCAGCCATGATCCATTCCAGCACCCTACCTCCCCCAACTTCCAAGCTTGGAAAATCGATAGCAATATCCAAATTCAAGCACACAAGCACACTTCGGAAGGTTCGGCTCTCCGAAATCAGCGAACATCGCCGGGAGATCTGCCCCGTCGACGGCGCCGCGGCGCTGCTTCCGTCCGCAATCTCGTTTCTAACTTTGATACCTGTCCTTCTACCCTATTCCTGTCAGCCCAAGAGACCGCACACAGTCCAGCACGTGTCCATGCTCTCTCGATCATTCTTCCGCATGACCAGCGCGGCCGCGCAGTGCAATAGATCCAAGTCTGGAACAGGAGAACTGGAGATTATCCGCATGGCCGGTGCCCTGCTCCCTGGCATCCAGATTGAAGGAGAAGACTTTCCCCGCTAAAGGACGGGCCTTAAGGGAAGCATCTGTTCGAAGTGCTAGCAGAGCCGGTGAAACCTGGGACCTGGAGGTTCAAGAGCTTGTCTCGCAGCGCCGTGCATAAGCGTGTCTCATTCTTTGTCTGGCGGCTAAATTCATGGCGGCACCTCCCATACAGGCTCTTTGTTTAGCTGTTCTGAGACAATGTGTTGTATACTGGGAGTATCCGCCCTCAGAAACGGTGATGTGTTAGACTAGACCCGCCATGTTGCATACACGTCGTTGTCGTATCGCCCCGAGAGATGTTGACGCATACTGCAATGCAGCCTCATATCCGCTTCTGCTCAACAGACAGCTCGAGAGAACGCTGACTGAGTTACAGGTCACGTATACTCTGGAATGCGTTCTGGTCTAGACAAACTTGGTAACACTCTCCTCCGAGGCATTTGCCTTTGACCGTCTACCATGTCCAAGGCACTGGCGACTGGAACAAATACATCCGGAACAAACCAGAATGTGGTGTATCTTGGAGCCAGCTGAACGACACGGCGTCCTTTCGTATCAAAAATCAGTCTGGGCCCGAGCATTCGACAAAATGCGGCACAGAGCCCTGGCTTGTGCTCTGCCCGTCGTGTCCGAGGAAGGCGTTGTCAAATGCCGCGAAAGGCACTATCGGATAGGCAGATCTTGGAGCATGTGAATTTTTCAAAGGCACTAGCGCTTCACGATGCTGTCGTGAATGTTTGGTAGTATCTCCACGTCTCGCCAGAATATCTCGGCTGCCCAAAGGTCCATTTGGTACAATTCGACTCCCCAGTGGTTTGGCTTTTGCTAGAATTGTCGAGAAGACAAGGAACTTTCTTCATGCGAGAATATCTCTTTGCCAGCGGTCTGGCCAGGATCTTGATGCCAGCGACCACTTCAAGATGTCTTTTTGGTGGCCCTTGGAGGCTTCGAGGAGCTGGCATGCGTGACTGGACCTGGCAGCATTTCATTCACCTCATTCCGTGAATTAAGGTTTCGGCAAGCCGCGCTATAACACTGCTTATTTTCTTCACGAGCACGACGTCGAGCAAACGGCAGAAACCCTCAGAACTTCTTCGTCCACTTTCTCTTCCGCGACTTCACCGCGACGACAGCCCTGCGACACGCTTTCAGCACAACACCTTTGCAAGACAAGCGGCATCGCACCACACCGGCAAACTCGCACCACACCAGCAAGAGCATCATCCGCGACCCGCTGTCTACGGCGCGCTCACACCCCTTTCCCGCCCTTCAACTCCTCGAGTACCGACCAAAGTCACCCGCAGAGCACCGCACGAGCTAGCAAGCCCCTGCGGGCAGTCTATCGCCCTCAACATCAGCTCGAGTTGCGACCTCCTCACGCGGCGCGCTTAGCACTGTACCACGGTACTTTGCTAAGAGCCCTCAACAAAATGCCCTCCACATCGGCGGCGGCGGCTTCGGCTGTCGTCAGCCTGTTACGAGAATATCCCGGTGCCCCTCTACTGGCCCTTGGGCTATTGCTGTGGGCGTACTCGACGCTGCTCGACCTCCTCTCCCTCATGCCGTCCGTCAAAGATATTCTCACCTTCTGCGTGATGTTGACCGCAATCGGACTCTTCTTGTGGCTGATGGTGAGCCTCACCAAGCCTACCATTCCCTCGCAGCATGACAGCGAGGCAATGGACGACATCTGGTCGTCTGAGGACCCCGGACCCGACTCGGCGACGGAACATCACCAGCAAGAGGCGCGACGTCCACCGCAGGATCATCACCAACAGCAAAAGGAGGAGCACCCGCGTCAACATCACCACCAGCGGCAGCAGGAGCAGCGCCCACAGGAGGCGTACCAGACTCACGGCGAAGAAGCGCTTCCCCGTCAGGAGCCAGCGCGCCCTATTCCTCGTCAGGTAGATTGGTACCCGCGACATGCTCGAGACATGGAGAACGAGTGCAAGACTGTGTCTGTTTGGTCTTCGCCAGGCGGTGAGACTTGCTCTCGACCAAATCTTCCGCCTGTAAAACATCCCAAGATCGGCTACGTGGATCTCGGCGGCGTATACCAACCCGTTGATGCTAAGCAGAAGGCGGAGTTTGACGCAGCCGAAGAAGCTAGACGACAGCCTGCACCACGCAGCACCGTTGCGCCCAAGGAGCAGATCACTCCGTCTTGCGAAGAGCTCTCCAAATCCGTGGCTGAGGGTCGACAGAGGAGAGTCGAATGGGCCTGCATTGCGAGGCTTCCAGCTTTTGTGCGCAAGGATAGCTCCAGTCTGAAGCATTGCTTTGGACGATGTGCGGATCTCTGTTACATCATACAGGATCCCTACAAGAGCACCTTTTCTCCCGTCGGCATCAACGTCAGCAAAGGTGAGTTGCTAGAAATTCAGACCCCGTCGCTGATCAAACTCGACAAAGCGGGGGTCTGTTCCACCGGCCCAGATCAACTGAAGATCGAGAAGATCTGGATCTCGGAGCTCCCTGCTCAGTTTCGGGACAGCGAAGGGCGCTTGAAGAACTGCTTGGGCAGACTCGGCGACTTCTTGTACGTGGTGCTCGACTCGGTGATTGGGCGTACATTACTCCATGTCCAGAATCTATACTTCACTCCCTACCACTATCCACTCCAGTGGTTGGAGCAAGTTTCCACTGCTGTTGCCCCTGCGGAGACCACGAAGGAAGAAAAGGTCGACCAGTCGCGTAGCGGCCAAACAGATCAGCAGAGCCAGATCCAGCTGTATACGGCGGGTAACACGAATACCCTTGGATCGGCTAGCGGCCCTGCTGTCAGTGGTCAGAACGGCGCCATGCTTGGAGGTGTTGTTGGAGGGATTGGACCAGTGATCAGTCATAGCGGCCAAACAAATCAGCAGAGCCAGATCCAGCTGTACACGGCGGGTAACACGAATACCCTTGGATCGGCTAACGGCCCTGCTGTCAGTGGTCAGAACGGCGCCATGCTTGGAGGTGTTGTTGGAGGAATTGGACCAGTGATCAGTCGTGGTCAGACTACCACCAGCATCAACGGCGGCGCGAACGACAACACTGGCCAGAATAATTCTGGCTCGAGTAGTCAGACTGTCGGCTGCACCAACACCGGTACCAGCTTTGGAGGGAATACTCGAGCCAAATTTTCAGGCTACGGTGTCCCATCTATAAGCATCGTCAACAAGCCTCTCATCCTCAGCAGCAGAACTCATGACCTGGACATTGAGATGACAGACGCGCCTCTTCCACAACCTCCACAGCAGCCTGCCCAAGCACCAGTTGCACCCGTTGGACATGGCTCGTTGTTCCAGAATGGCGGCTCCGGTCAGAGCACTGGAAATTTCGGCGGTCTCTCGACACCTGCCAACAACGCTGGAGACGTGCACCCATCCCCTGCGCCTGCGCCTGCGCCTGCGTCTGCGCCTGCACCGTCCTTTGGACTTTCTTTGCCAGGTCTTGGCGCGCCAGTATCTGGTCCCTCTCCCAGCGCCTTTCCAGCAATATCAAGCAACGGAGCAAGCTCACAAGCTGCCTGGCCATCCAAGGGCTTCGGAACAACAGGCAACCAGACGAGCTTCGGAGGTCAGAAGACTGACGGGCCCATGCAGTTCAGCACTATTGCAAATACGTCTGGTCCATCTGGATTGTTCCCGCCAAAGACATCCTCCTCTGCCAGCGCCACTGCGCCAAATCAATCGGCGATGGGTGCTCCTCTGTTCTCAAGCTCGAGCAAAGGCACCTCTGGGGACTTGCCTGGGCCATCTGCACTGTTTCCGCCGAAGACGTCCTCGTCCGCCAGCGCGACTGCGCCAAATCATTCCGCGACGGGTGCTTCTCTGTTCTCAAGCTCGAGCAAAGGCACCTCTGGAGACGTGCCTAGCCCATTCTCGGCCGCTCAGCAGAATGCAGTCAAGAATCTGACTGCGTCGCTTGGTGCACAGACGAGCGCGAACAACAGCTTCTCTGCCACGACTTCTGCGTTTGGCAAAGACAACGGGCCTGCTGGTGGTGCAGTTCCGAATGCCTCGCAGCCCTCGCAGTCTACTTCGACCAGCGCTCAGTCTTCTGTCGGCCAGCCAACAGCAGGACAGCCGCCCATGAAGGCGACTCCGGCATTTGGCACCTTTGGCCAGTCTACCAATGGCTCCTCCACCCGTGAGGGCAACGGCAACGTGGTCGATGCCACCTCCGGCATGATTTCCCAAGGTCCGAAAGGCAAGCGCCGTGCAAGTGCGTCCGAAGGCGCTTCAGATTCGACGGAGGGCGTAACGTCTGCATCCGGATCCAACGGCACAGCACCAGCTCTTGGGACGCAGTCGACAGCAAAGAAAGCAAAGACATCGGGCGTACCGGTCGGATCTGACCCTCATGGCCCAACATCAGCTCCAGGACTATCTCAGAAGAGTCCAGTGTCCAATTTTGGCGGCGGTGCACTCTCCAAGGCATCATTCTTTGGAGCCCGCGAGCCTAGTGCAACAACGCCTTTGGGTGAAAGTGCTGATCCAATACCAGCTCCAGGACTATCTCAGAAGAGTCCAGTAGTCGATTTTGGCGGCGGTGCACTCTCCAAGGCATCATTCTTTGGAACCCGCGAGACTAGTGAAACGCCTTTGTTTGGAAGTACCGATCCATTTGCTCAGCTGGCAGATGTTAAGCGGGCAGATGCTAAGCGGGCGGAAGATGCGAAGCGGGCGGCAGATGTGAAGCAGGCGGCAGAGGCTAAGCAGGCGGCGGATGCTAAGCGGGCGGAAGATGCTAAGCAGGCGGCGGATGCTAAGCAGGCGGCGGATGCTAAGCGGGCGGAAGATGCTAAGCAGGCGGCGGATGCTAAGCGGGCGGCAGATGCTAAGCTGGCGGCAGATGCCAAGCAGGCGGCAGATGCTAAGCAGGCGGCAGATGCTAAGCTGGCGGCGGATGCTAAGCAGGCGGCAGATGCTAAGCTGGCGGCGGACGTTCAGCTGGCGACATCCACTTCCCGCTCAGAAGCAGCTGGGTCGGCACCGCGGGACTTGGAAAGCTGCCAAAACGCGGACCAGAAGACTGAGTGGATCCGCACCGAGCTGATGGAGGCATTCTCGCCGCTATTCACATTGGCGAAGCTCCGCCCGTTGAGCCAGTTGGCTACCGATGACGATCCCGGATTCTCGCAGGTATGCGGAAATCTGGCAAATGTTCTGCAGGAGATTCTTGACCAGGGAGCCCCGTTAACGAAGGGCAAAGGCAGCGTGAGGAGGTGGGTATGGAGACGGTTGCCGAAGTCAGCTGCTCAAGACGCTGGCATGAAAGGCAAGAAGTATGATGATATGCGCCATGTCGTCCAGACTCTTGCCTCCGACGTCACAATCCACGTCAAATCCCTCAGCAAGGCTCACGATAGATTCAAAGATATCGAGAGGGCTTGGAAGCTCGAGTAAGACTGCTGCTCGAAGGAGCGGCGCTCGTGCCAGCGGCATTGCGGCACATGATGACATACGCGTTCTCGCAGAAGCGATTCGAACGGTAGGCTGTGCCCGAAGCCGCCGGCGTCTTAGCATGAGAGGAATGAACGGAGACAAAAGCTGCAAGGGAAATGAGAGACAGGAAATGGATAAGACAAACGGAAATGGAAGCGAAGAAAAAGGGAAAGATTGAAAACGAACAGAAGGAAAATGGCAGAAAGATGCCAGCACAAAAGCACAACAGGAGGAAAATCTGGCAAGCAACATCGCCCGCGGAGTAGTACCCTACCTACTCCTCCATCACCATCACCAGATCCGCGAACAGGACCGAAGCCACTCATCAACGTGGTGTCCGGACCGAAAGTTTTCGAGTCAGGTGATTTGGGAGAGACTTATGATGAACAGGACCGAAGCCGCTTGCATTCGCAATGTGGTGTCCGGGCCGGGGATAATCTGTCTGATGGAGAAGAAGGAAGTGGTATATTTCGCGGTCTGTTGCTGGCTGGAGTTGGGAAACTCAAGTTCCCAGTGGGCGAGCGAGTGTCGGGACCCTGTTCGCGATTGTGTATATTAGAATGACGTTGATGATGGATGGATGATGATGATTGATGGACGATGAGAGTGGAAACTGCATCATGTGAGAAAAACGAGTCTGAAGACTTGTTGCCTTTCTAAATGCCTTCTGGAATACCTCTCCTGTGACCGATAAGCTGAACGGATCGTTCGGGGCACTCATTACATGACACCACTTTAGGCCCACTCGCCACGCTGTGCCCTCTCACATACTCTCTGCAGCGCCCGACCAGCATACCCGAAATCCGCCAGGGTCAAATAGATCTGCGCGCTCAACCTCGCCCAGACCGAGCCGGCGTAGAACGTGGTATACACCGCGACGTTCTCCTCCAACATGGCCACTTTCATCACCCAATCACTCATCTTCGTGGCTGCCGCAGCATCTTTCCCAGGGAGGAGCACCAGGGGTAACCGCACCATGACCAGATTACAGTTCCCCAGCGTTTCTTCTTCATTCTCCAGAATTTCCGTCTGCAGGATCCCGGCAACCATCTTGCCTCCTGCCCGCGCGAGTTTACGCATATATCCCATGGCTGCCTCGTCGCCTCTCAGATCTCCCCAGGAAAGCCGTTTCCGCCATTCGAGAGCTGCCGGGACGCAGAGGTACGGGTTATCGTCCAGCGTGCCGACGGAGGAGAAATTCGCCACGAAAGGGCTTCCGAACATGAAGCTGGTGGGTAGGGTGGTGCGGAGGAGGTGCTGGTTCCGGAGTGGGACGTGGAATACTGCGCAGCTGCGTGGGACGTAGAGCCATTTGTGGCAGTTTGTGACGAAGAAATCCGGGTCTAGGGCGGGGAGGTCAAGGGGGATGTGGCCGATTGCATGGGCGCCGTCGACGCAGGAGAGGAGTCTGTGGGTTTTGCAGAGTTTGACGAGCTCTTCGAAGGGCATGCGGGCTGAGGGGAGGGAATTGATGGCGTCGAAGATGGCGATGCGAGGATTTTTGCCGGCGGCTTTGAGTTCTCTGATGGTCGTTTCGAAGGCATCGCAGATGTATTTGTCCGAGACGGGGAGGGTGTAGTCGATGGAATGGACTTGGACGCGCGTGGTCTCCGCGAGCCATTTGGCGGTGTTGGCAAAGGCAGGATAGACGGTAGCGAAGTAGACAATGACATCGCCTTCTTTGTACACGAGATTTCGGAGAACGGTCTCGATGGCCGTAGTAGCGTTGGGGACGTAGACGCAGGTGTCGGTGGGCACGTTCAGGTACTTGGCGATTGCCTCGCGGGACTCATCGAGCAACTTGGTGCGATATTCGTATCGGACAAAGGCGTCAGGTCGCGCCTCGGTCTTGCTCTGATAGTCTCTGAAGACATCGCGTATCTCGATGGGGTAGGTGCCGTAGGAGCCGTGGTTCAAGTTACGATATCCTTTCGCAAACGCAAAATGCTTCGCGGCCTCCTCGCCGCACTCGATCAAGGCCATTTCGTGCTCTATCTACGAATTTGTTGGGAGTTGATGAGAGAAGACGGTTGAGAGTGATATTCAGCCTCGGCCCCGGCACCGGAGTCGTTTTGAGCAGGATCCCTCCGCAAGACAGCGGGTCCTTCGCTAGCAAGGCCGCTGGACTACAGGCTGGGAATCACAGCAGCAAGAGCACGCGCTGATGATGAGGTAGAGAGACAGACCACTACACCTGAACAGTATCTACTGCTTCCTTCCATGCCATCTCCAATGGCAGACGCGGAAGAATTTTCTGTAGCGGCCATCCCACAACTCCGATCCAAAGGGAAAATGGACTCCACGCAGTTGGTAGGAAAGACGGACGCACCTCCTTCTACGAGGCCGGGAACGGAAGGAAACCCATTGCACGGAATGCGAATAACCCTCAGCAAGACGCCGGAGCGTAGCCTCGAAGTGACATTAGTCACCTACTGATGAAGAAGGAAAGTCGGAGGAGAGACGAGGAACGAGCGAAGTTTTGTGCTCGCAGGACGGGACGGCCCGCGCGGAAGTCGGCGGGACCGTGCAAAATTTCGCCGTGTGCCAAGGCGACGCGTTCTCACGTGCTGCGATTTCTCCGCGTCAGACTCATTCGGGCAAGGGCATACGACGTATTCCTTCCTCGCTCTTGTCAACAACGGACTCTTCTTCCACGAATGATGTCTGCACGACAATACCGTGCAGTGCTTCGGCTAATGTCTCCACTCTACTGAGACCCAGAAGCGAGAGTCTCTTCAGCCATTCGCCGTCCTTGACTCGCGGCTGGTTGGTGCTGCCGGACTTCACGACCATGGTGATGTTGGCATTACCCAAGACCACGACAAACTTTGGGCAAGCCAGTCTTAGCATTCTGGAAATGGCAACGTTTGACTTCGTATTGCTAATGAGTCGGCGAGCAACTCCATTCCGCGATGGGACTACCCGATCCGACTTTGTTGCAACATGACGACCGGCCGTCATAGCACATTTCTAGGGCGTCATTTTACCGCCACTACACCATTCGTTGAGGGGTGTCTATATCAACCTCCATTTCGCCAGTCTGAAAAGAGGTCATCTTTTGGAGCTCGAATATGCCGATACCGTTCATCTCTGCTCTAGCCGTTGCATCCTCTGTCGTTTCGTAGCACGCTTCCGATCGCTCTGAATACTCCAAAATGACTGAAGGTCGTGCTCCTTCGGCTCGAAAGACACGCAACAATTCCTCAACGGGCCACCTGTACACCCTCTCGAGCAAACAGGAGAACCAGGTGAGCCCTGAAGGCGAGTCGGACCAAGCAAAACTCGAAAGACTTGGACGCCAGCGTCCGGAGAAGCTGGGTTCATTGTGGCAAGAGATCGGTTTTGTCTTCTCCATTGCCGTCAGCCAGTTGATCAACGAGTACTTTGTTAGCGGCTTTACCATCCTGCTTCCTACTGTGGCCGAAGCTTTGGAGATTCCGGCCTCCTCATCGACCTGGCCGGCGAGCGCTTTTTCGCTAGTCATATCTTCGTTCCTATTACCTTTCGGGAGAATTGCCGGTACGTTAATTGTAACAGCCAGACCTCAGGCCTGCTCAGCTGACACAATCTAGATATGTATGGTGGCTTTCCGGTCTATCTCAGCGGTTGTCTCTGGTGCGCCATCTGGTCCCTCATCGCCGGCTTCGCTCGAAACCAATTGATGCTCGACATTTGTCGTGCCTTGCAAGGTCTCGGTCCTGCAGCTTATCTTCCGGCTGGACTTCAACTACTAGGCAGTATGTATCGACCTGGACCGAGGAAAAATCTCATCTTCTCGATCTACGCCGCAATGGCGCCGTTAGGATTCTTCGTTGGCATCTTCTTCGCAGGCGTCGCAGGCCAGTTTGCGACGTGGCGCTGGTACTTCTTTATTGGATCCATCATCGTTGCGATAGCCACGGTAGTTGCTTGGTTTGCCGTTCCGTCTGATATGGAAGAGCACAAAGGCAATGATGTTAAGATGGACTGGCTTGGAAGTCTCACCACCACCGTTGGACTGATCCTGCTGGTCTTTGCGATCACCGATTCCAGCCACGCACCTTCTGGATGGACTACGCCTTACATTCTCGTCACTTTTATCTTAGGGCTGATCATCATCGGAGTGGCCTTTTACGTAGAAGGCTGGATCGCAGAGCAACCGCTTCTTCCGTTCGAAGCTTTCAAAGCCAAATCTGTGCGTCCGTTCGCGCTCGGGCTAATATTTGTCTACGGAACATTGGGAATCTACCTGCTATATGCTTCGTTATAGTAAGTCAATCGTTGCTGTCGAAACAGCCGAAATGCTAACTCTCTTCAGCTGCTTGAGAATCCTTGGAGTCGGACAATTCCAGCTTGTTGCGTGGTACGCGCCAGCTGGCACGCTGGGTATTATACTTGCAATATGCGGCGGCTTCGTCCTCCACATCGTACATCCTCTAGTCCTTATGGCCATCACTAGCCTGGCGATCATTGTCGAATCAGTCCTCTTCGCCCTCGCACCACCAGACGCAAACTACTGGGCCTGGATCTTCGTGCCCATGATCTGCTCAACCATCGCCGTCGATTTCATCTTCAACGTCGCCAACATCTTCTTCACCAGCCAACTGCCCGCTCGCCAGCAGGGACTTGCCGGCGCTCTGAGTAATGTGCTACTCCAGCTTGGGATCGCTTTACTGTTGGGGTTCGCAGAGATTGTGGCGACACAGACGGCTGATCAAGGGTTGCGGAGGAGTTATCAGAATGTGTTTTGGTTTAATTTGGCTTGTGGCGCGACGGCGTTGGTTGTTTTTATGGGGGTTGTGAGGATTGAGAGGGCGAAGAGTGATCTTACTGCGGATGAGAGGGAGGCGCTGAATGAGGATGAAGTGCAAGAGACTTGAATCGCCTCCTTTCGGGGTCCAGGCATGGGAGAAGAAAGGGCGTGCACTTCTCGCTCAATAACCACAAAGCATTGCGTCAGTAACAAGCCTTGAGTTGCTTGACGACTTCGAATTTCCAGTCCTCGAGCTGATGAGAGCTGTTCGGTAGAATGCAGACTTGTAAATGGTGTGTCCCGCACAGACGAACATACCTTGTATCCACGGCACCTGCCATATGGATCAACAAGTTGTTATGGTAGAGCACAGGGCATTTCTCTGCATGATCCCGTCACATGATGCCAACTCGGTCTCCGTCCTCCTTGTAGGCCTACCTTGGAAGGGAGGCTCTACAATCCAAGTCACAGGCCAGGAGTTTATGACATCGCTACAAGGGTTCTGAATGGATCATACGCATTTCGCCAGATGGCTCCTCAATCTGTCATCAGATGATGTATGCGGCATTCGTTTACGTAGCCAGTAGGAGTGGCCACGTCTTTGGCTTCCTTGACCTTCTCGCTATCCTTGCTGATACCCTTCTGGAAGCTGCGCTGGTCGTCATTTACGTGGACCGACGAAGACTCCTACGGTGAATTTTTGCGCGTGAAGTCGACACGTCGCGTGTGGCAATGGGCCAAGGAGGAAACAGACGAGGATGAAAGATTGATGAGGTGGCGGAAAGGTGTATCCAAGGCTGCGCACGGACCCCCAATGGGCCCTGCCAAGCGGAGAAGGCATGACCGAGAGAGCTTCTGAAAGGTGTCCATTTGCTTCGAATGATTATCTGGCTTCTTCTGCCGCTACTTACTTAACGCTCTTTCCCCTTTAACCACCTTTTCCCCCACCTCATCTTTTCTTCAACAACATCAACCTTTGGTGTGCCTGTCGACGCATCACCCAGCGGAGATACATCTGCTGTAGACGTCTCCCACACAGAACAGCTACCATCCGGTGAAGCTTGCTCGCCAGGAGCACAACTCAACTACAACCACATCTCTTCACACAACCAGCCACAAGATGGCGCGGTTTTCTCGCAACAAGGCGAGTCGGCCCTCGAGGTCGGCCGTCTCACCATGGATGACGGCCATCTACCTGGTTGCTGCGCTGATCGCACCCTTCGCCCTCATGGGCATGATCCCAACCGCACAGGCAGCGGATGACACTGGTGTCTCAGGACCAGGTAAGTGGAACAACCACTCGGGCAGGGAGCTTTGACGCACAGCTACTCAATCACCTCTGCGATGGCTTTGCCGATCCAGGAGCTCGAGATTCTTGAGCAATCAGCTAACTTCTTTGGCTGAATAGTTATCGGTATCGATCTTGGAACAACCTACTCATGTGTCGGCATCATGAAGGGCGGCAACGTCGAGATTCTCGTCAATGACCAGGGTAACCGAATAACGCCTTCTTGGGTGGCATGGAACGATGAGGAGCGTCTCGTAGGAGATGCAGCAAAAAATCAATTCGCATCGAACCCACATCGGACAATCTTCGACGTCAAGCGATTGATTGGAAGAAAGTTTGACGACAAAGACGTTCAGAAGGACATCAAGCACTTCCCTTTCACCGTTGTCAACAAGAACGGTCAACCCCGTGTCAAGGTTGATGTATCTGGGTAAGTTCTCCTCGAACTCCGAACAGCGTCTCACAGTGACTGACTTGCTGCAGTGAGGACAAGACTTTCACCCCCGAAGAAGTGTCCTCTATGGTTCTTGGTAAGATGAAGGAAATCGCCGAATCTTACCTGGGCCAGAAGGTTCAGAACGCCGTCGTCACCGTCCCCGCCTACTTCAACGACGCCCAACGTGCCGCGACGAAAGATGCCGGCACTATTGCCGGTCTCAATGTCCTCCGTGTTGTCAACGAGCCCACCGCCGCCGCCCTTGCTTACGGACTGGACAAGACCGATCAGGAACGCCAGATCATCGTCTACGATCTCGGTGGTGGAACTTTCGATGTCTCGGTCTTGACTGTTGACCAAGGTGTTTTCGAAGTCCAAGCTACCGCTGGTGACACCCACTTGGGTGGTGAAGATTTCGACCAGCGTATCGCGGACTACTTCATCAAGAAGTACAACAAGGAGCACGACACGGACATCACCAAGAACGCAAAGACGTTGGGTAAGCTGAAGCGGGAGGTCGAGAAGGCCAAGCGCGCGCTTTCCAGCCAGATGAGCACGAAGATCGAAATCGAGGCATTCCACGATGGCAACGACTTCTCCGAGACCCTGACCCGCGCCAAGTTCGAAGAGCTCAACAACGACCTGTTCAAGAAGACCCTCAAGCCTGTCGAGCAGGTGTTGAAGGATGCCAAGCTCAAGAAGAGCGATATCGACGACATTGTTCTCGTCGGTGGCTCTACGCGTATTCCCAAGGTCCAGGCGATGCTGGAGGAGTTCTTTGGCAAGAAGGCCAGCAAGGGTATCAACCCTGATGAGGCTGTCGCCTATGGTGCTGCTGTTCAGGGTGGTGTCTTGTCCGGCGAGGAGCAGGTATGTCATTCAACCTCGACTTCACAGCTAGCACACATGCTAACAAATAATGTTCCAGGCCAGCGAGATTGTCCTCATGGATGTCAACCCGCTTACCCTCGGTATCGAGACCACTGGCGGAGTCATGACCCACCTCATCAAGCGTGGAACCACCATTCCTACCAAGAAGAGCCAGATCTTTTCTACGGCTGCTGACAACCAGCCTGTTGTCCTGATTCAGGTATTCGAAGGAGAGCGATCGATGACAAAGGACAACAACCTCCTCGGCAAATTCGAATTGTCTGGAATTCCTCCGGCGCCTCGTGGCCAACCCCAGATCGAAGTCACCTTTGAGCTCGACGCAAACGGAATTCTGAGAGTTTCTGCCGGCGACAAGGGCACTGGCAAGAGCGAGTCTATCACAATCACGAACGACAAGGGCCGCCTCAGCGCCGAAGAAATCGAGCGTATGGTCGAGGAAGCTGAGAAGTATGCCGAGGAGGACAAGGCCACCCGGTCACGCATCGAAGCTCGCAACGGTCTTGAGAACTACGCCTTCAGCTTGAAGAACCAGGTCAATGACGAGGAGGGACTTGGCGGCAAGATCGACGAGGATGACAAGGACAGCCTTCTCGAGGCCATCAAGGAGGCCACTGAGTGGATGGAGGAGAATGCCCAGACGGCTACGACCGAGGACTTTGAGGAGCAGAAGCAGAAGCTGTCGGACGTTGCCTACCCGATCACATCGAAGCTGTACGAGAGCAGCGGCGCGGGAGGCATGCCAGACTACGGCGACGACGAGCCAAGCGGGCACGACGAGCTCTAATGGCGGATTTCTCGGCATTTCTGTTTATAATTGCAACGGCGGCGTTATGAGGAGATGAAAATACTCCCAAGGGGGTTAGAACTGTGCTACATAGATGCATTGGAACGAGTTTCAGAATTGATGAAGACGCGAGCGTTTGCCAGCCCTGACCGATATCTTGCAGCGTGACACGAATGCGGCAGGCACGTACGTATGCGCAAGACTGCACATTACTACTGCACTTGGGCACAGTGGATTCACGACTTCAATGGGCTCTAGAGCGTAAGGGTGAGAGTGAAGGACAGATTGGGTGATGAGGTCAGAAGGGAGGAGGTGGAGGTGGTCTTTGCTCGTTAGCCTCCCAATCTACCGCTGCCAAGGCCTTCGAAGAAGCGTCTCAGGCTGCTCACTCTCTCCTTGTTCGGCCTCTCGACGTAGACATTGTTGGGGGTGCTCCGCGCATCTCCCGTCTTGATCCTACGCGAGAATCTCCAGACCAGCACACCGACGCCGCCCTCTCTCCTACGGAGATGTATCTGACGCGCTTTCCGCTCCAGCCAGACGCGCAGACCTTCCTTGATCTTCTCGACCTCGACTCGCCGCTTGCGCTCGAAGACGGGACCCGAGACGCCCCAGACGAATTCGCCGGACGTGCGATCACGGCGACAGCATTCCTTGGGGAGGATGTTTGCCGAGACCAGGGTGGAGAGTTTGGGCCGGCGTAACAAAGAACGATTGAGGCGGATACTCACGAGGGACCAGTGCAGTCTGCGGGCTGCGAGGTGGGTTCTGGTTAGGTAGATGGTTGAGATCGGAGGCTGGAGGGTATGCAAGAGGGGGCGATGTTCGAGGAGGTGACCGACGCGGTCGTGGGAATAGCGGAGACGCCACTTGTGCAGGAGCGGGTCGAAGGAGAGGGTTCTGAGACGGTGGCAGGTCTGGGGCCGCGGTGTGGTCAGCAGAGGATGGAATGGAAGCTTGATCTCTACCAAGTTGCCATACTCGAGACGCCGCGAGGAGGTCATCAACATCGAGGAAGGACAGGAGATGGAGGCAGAGTTCATCGGGTAGGGACCACCAGGGAGCTGGAGCGGTCGGTATACCCTCGGCGGCCGTCACGGAATCTCGGTCAGGCTCCTCTGTGCCGCCGGATGGATAGGCTGATGAAGAAGGCGGTGATGGCTCCATGATGGCGGGATCTCGCGCTCGCAGGTACAGTATGTTCGCCAGTAACGCTGGTTCTGCTGCTGGGTGACTAGCGGCAAGCGGACAGTGTTTGGTCGCGGCATCAAGGAGGTGTAGCGGGTATTTCCTCGCGCTTGGTCGGGAACGCGCGGTTCGCCCCGGGGCGTCCGCGACAACACTCCCGCTGCTGCTGCCATCATCTCATCTGCCATCTGTGGTCACTGGTGATGTGCTCAGTGCTCGGCGTGACGCCCGTCTGTCTCGGGCATGGTCGAAACAACGGTCATAGTCATACCGGCTGTCGCCAGAATGCTTCGACCGGGCCAATCGCTTTCGCCCTTCCGGCAATTGTTAAAAGGTACCGCGTCGGCTTGGGCGGCTTGCTCCGCCGTGAGCAGCTCACACCGTGCACCGCGATGCAATCATGCAGCGACTATCATATGATGATGAGCGTCCACAGTCGCCCGGTCAAGACTGCCTCAACTCTAAACGCAATGGGCGTCGCTGGGCGGCACGGTCCCTCTCCTCCCCTCCGCTCAAGCGAGGACGCCGAGGGTTGAGGAGTTTTTCCTTTCTCCTACTGTACCTTAACTACAGTCCGCACCCAAGCTGCCCGACGAATGCGTGTGCGCTGGCAGCGGCTAGCAGCTCCCATGCCAGCAGATGCACGACCACCAACACTCTCTCCTCTCCGCTCCGCTCCGCTCTACGTACACGTACACGCACCCGCACCCGCACCCGCCCAACACCTCCCCTCCAGCTTGGCGGCCCTTTCACGCGCGCGCGCCTGCGCCTGCGCCTGCGCCTCATTGGCCCTCTCACCGCCCAATCATGCGCCTGGACGTCCGGTATTTCTGTCCCTCCCTCACTCGCTCGACAGACGCTGGGAATCAGGTGAATTACACCCGATGCACCTCACCGCAAACCACTGGGCAGCCCTCCCGTCCGCAGCGGGTCCAGCCACTCACATGATCGCGAAGCGCCGCTGAACCTGGACGTCATCCGAGCTCTGCTGTATTGCTCATCGCTCTCCGACTCCTCCCAAATATGTACTTCTCTCGTCCAATGGAAAAATTTCAAAGCTTGAATTCCTCGGCGAGGCTACGCTCGTCGTCTCGCCCGCTTCTTCAACGCCCTCCGCGCCTGTCCTGCCCAACATTAGTGTCCTGACGGCCTGCAGCGCACACCCTCTCTCAGCGCTGCGTCAGACTTGCTCCATGTCAGCTCATCCCCAACCACCTGCCTCTTCGCATGCAGCCTCCTCCGCTATCCGCTAGCTCTCAATGGCGTCTCCCGCTGGGCATCACGCTGTGGCTGCTGCGTGCGAAGCCAGAGCAGCGATGCCGGTCGGGTGACGGCTGCTTGTGATTTGACCGCGGCCTGCTGTACCGCAGTTACATGCTCCCGCCGGCAGCAGACGTTCCCCCTACTCTGTCCGCCTCGCCGCACCAACGGCTCTCTCTCTCTCTCTCTCTCCCTGAGATCGATCCCTCTTCAGCACTGACCCACCGTCGTGGATCCTAGCTCTGAAACGTAAGGGCTCGTGAAGAGTCACTGGTCCTGGCGCGCTGCTGGAGCGCATGTGAGACTTGCCAGTCCTGCCCAAGCCCAAGCCTTTCCCGTGCGAGAAAGACCCGTTGCTAATGACGATACATACCAGCCTCCGAATAACCTTTCTTCATGACCCGCCATACTCAGACTGCCACGTTGCAGAGCGGAGGTTGCCAGGGCGGATCTAGCGCAGTCATACCGTAGATTCCGCCTTGATGGCCCCGGGCTCAATGGACCACGCCTTCGACTTTGACTCCAAGCCGCCTCGACACGTTTGGGTACACAGGCGAGCCGGGATCGCGAACGACTGGCCTCGTTGCCACTAGTCCCGAGGCCGTTGCAGTAGTGATGAGCAGGACAGGGTCAGCTGAGGGTACATCGGGAGGCATGTTCAGGCATACTGCGTGCAGGAGGCATTGCACTGGGTCCAATGGGCACCATGCCCACTCCCCGCTCGCGGCATGGTCCTTTCTTGCAGAGCGACGCGATAAGGTGACTGGTGGCCAATGTCTGGTATCCGCTCAACAGGACATGGACGAGGGTCCTCTCGCCGATGGCTGGACATCATCCCACACCCGTCCGCACCGTGTACTCGGCTGGCATGGTGTCCTGTCCCCGCCGGCTCGAATCGCACCAACGAGAGCGACATCAAACCTGCTCGTGCGTCGAAAGCATTTGCCAGGCCAGCTCTGCATGCCGTAATGATCTCGTGGGGGTGTATGCGAGAGCAAGAGCCTTCCACGGTCACTGGGTCTATGCCAAGGAGGAGAAAAAGACACTGCCACAGGCGGGAGAGCCCGTCATCGGAGAACTGTGTTCCTCAGGCAGGCGGACACGTCGAATGCTTTGTGCTTCGAAAGGGGAGGGCCAATTGCTTTGGGCGCGAGAGAGAGAGAAGTGTAGTCGCTTCGCAGCCAGCACGTGACCTGGGGAAGCAATCATTCACTTCACGGTTTGGGTTGTGTCACCATGAGAAGGTTGAGGGCGCGCGCCCTCCCTCCCACCGCGCCCGCTCTCTCCCCCCAAGTGGGTACACGGGACAAGGACAAAACATGAGGGACATAACGGCAAGCGACGAAAGCACAGGCGGAGACGGTGCCACGCAGTGGATGATCCGCCAGACGGCAATGTGAAGAGATGCAAGGGGGGGCTCCTCCTCCGTTCGAGGCGAGGCCGACGCGACCTGACCTAGGTGCCATTGCAGCTTCCCCCTTTCCTTTGCCCTTTCACGTCGAACCTAAGCCCCGAACGGACTGCTGCCGACGGCCCCCGGGGACTCCCGTTGGCTCGATCGTCGCGAGGCTTTTGGCGGGAGGGGAGGGCCATGAAGGATGGTGGGCCGGCAAGAGAACAAAAGGTGGATGCTTAGGGCACGGAGGCAGCTGCGCTGTCGAGATGGCATGTGATGATGGGGCCCTTTGGGGAGGGCAGAGCGGAAAGCATAAATAGCGTGCGAGAAGGACTCCCATCTTGCGGTTCTACATCCTCCTTCTTCTTCCTCTTCCTCTGAAGCAAGCAAGCAAGCAACTCCCAGCCTCCCTCGCGCGAGCACTTCCACTGCTATTGCCATTGTCAACCTACCCAACAGCTAGCTGCCTTGGTGGTATGTCACTGCACCCCTCTCGTCCCCCTCTTCCCTCTTTCCTCTTCCCTCTTCCCTCTTCCTCCCAATGCCTCACGCTGTCGTCCTTCGTCCCGCTCAGAAGGGGGGCCAAAGGGGTCAATGCCTCATGCTCCTCCTGAGCTGCTACCACAACAACGGCTAGTTACGCTACAATGGCACTAACAAAACTTGATAGGACCGCATCCACGTCGTTTCACTTCGTCGGACCCTACCGCGCTGCGCTGCATTGCACTGCACGTCCCACCAGCACAACCTCTAGTGCGTCCCCCTCAACACGTGTATCCTCATCATCTGATATCAGATCATCATCACCACCATTATCACAACCCCAGCACTGACCAATCCCCACGGCACAGCAATCCATCCAAATATCCAAAACCAAAAAAAAAAAAAAAAAACAAACAACCAACCCCCGACCCACACTCCCCCCCATCCCCCCCCAAAAAAAAAGAAAAGCAAGAAACCAAGAACAAGAAAAAAAAAATGTGCTACTACGACAACTACCAATACGCCTGCCGCGACTGGAAATGGGGCAATTTCCGCCAACACTGCCAAAAAGAATACCGCACGGGCGAGACGTGCGGCATGAAGATGATCTTCCAAACCCTCCCACTACAGGACAAATGTCCCTGGTGCGAGAAGATCGAAAAGAAACTGCGGCGGCGGGAGAAGGCTATCAGTGATTATAGGCGGTGGGAGAAGGAAGGGGGCAAGTACAAGGCGAGTATGGAGAAGGCGTACGAGGAGGCGAAGGGGCTGGAGAGGGAGATTGAGAATTTGAGGGCGGAGAAGGATCGCCGGTATGCGCAGATTGGGAATACGAGGAGGGCTTGATTGAGGCGGGGAGGGAGTTTCGAGAGGGAGGGAGATGGATGAGGTTGCTCGCGGCTATCTAGTCGGTTTTTGGGGAGGGATGATGAGAGAGAGAGGAAGTGGAGAAGAGGATTCTCTTTTTTTTCCGGCGTTTTTACCTGTGTGGTGGTCTCTTCGACAGGAGGACTTTTTTCTTTCTTTTGTTTTCCTTTCTGGAGGATTGTCTAATCACCATTCAAGCTTGAGCATCAGGACAGTAACGAATTGATGAGACTTTTTTCCTTGTTCGAAAAAGTGGATCTTTCTTGAACGTTTCACCTACCTCGCCATGCCATTGCATGCAAGATGGACGGAGCTTGCGATTTGAATTTGGGCGGCTTCTGACCAATCCTGGAAGCGCCCTGTCGCAGCATTGGCGCTTAAAAAAGAAAGTCGTGGCAGGTAGTCTGGAGCCGGGACCGTGTCAACAGAGACTGGGGGCCGAAAAATGAGGTTTGTGGTTCCTCGATACGGCCTGTGTGAGCGAATTCTGTGGGAACAAGAGAAGGGATGAAGTCGGAATGTCACGTGATCCGTGCCGGATAGGGCGATGTGCGTTTTGGGCGACTTGGATGATGCCAGGACGGAATGACAACTGGCGGGGTCTTCATTGTGAAAGCGATGCTGATCTCCTTCTTCCGTCGTCGGCGACGCGTGCTCGAACAAGGACAAGTTTCCTGCGGTGCTCAGGACATGGAATCTCACATGTGTCTTGGCACAGAACTTGAGGCGTGACGGGGATGGCGGATTAGATCTGCCGGCGGACACTGCGGACATCCGGACGGTTCGTGAGACCTCACAGAAGCATTTCAGAGCAGGGACATTGTGTTCGTGGGTGTTCGTGGGTGTTCTTGGGTCGCGCAACCAGTGTAGCGTTCGTGTCGGCAGTTGGAGGGAACCAGGAACCAGTCGCCGCGACGCTTTCCGCTGTCCGCTCCGTCATCTCAGGCACCGGGCGGCTTGGAAGGATGTTGGCCTGTGTGATGTCTTGCAGGTGGCGTTCTTCGGCGGCCGCCGTGTTTTGACGAATGTTCCACAGAATCGCATCATTGTTGGCACAGATTGGCACGAAAGGACGACGGGAAGTTCGTTGTCAGCCGCGGGCTGGGTCGGCGCGCTGCCGTCCCCGCCTGTCCTGTCCAGTCCCGGAAGATGACTTCTGCTGCAGCCTCCGACTCGTCCTCCTCTTCCAAATACAGGAAGCCACAGTCGCATCATGTCCCTCTCGAACACATCGCCGACTTCGACAAGCCCTCTACGCTAGTTGTGCAAGAAAGGTGCCAAGGAGGATTTCCGGGAGAACGTGCACGTTGACGGAACACTGTGGAAAGATGAAGTGGCGTCCCGGGGTCCGTGTTGCTCGGGCAACCACCGTTGTTGTCCCCAGATCTCCCACTTTCACGCAACAATCTGGTCCAGGCGGCGGTTGAAAGACAAACGGACGAGGCCAAGCTCCACCGAACCAAGATGCAAACCATATGGCATAGATAGGCGTTGGGAGGGCATTTTGCATCCATTTCATCCCCTTTGACCGTCTTTACAGATTTGCATCTTTGCAGTCACTTTCCTACCACTTTTTGCATTTGTACGGGTTTCCCAAAGCCAACCAGCCAGCCAGCCAGCCCACATTCCAGCGATTTCCTTGACAACCGAGCGAGCGAGCGAAGATGCTAAAGAGCAAAGACAGGCCGGTACCTAGCCCGACGTTCATGTCGGAAGAGCAAATGGGTCAGCATTCTCCCATGTCTCCCCCTTCACCTCTGCCCCACACGCCGCCCCGTCCGTCAAGATTGCGCGAATGCACCACTCTTGCTGCGGAAGGAGAGGATGCAGGCTCACCACAGACTCCACGTACAGCGCAGTATCTCTCCGACCTCCGACAGACGCGTCCTGCACGACCTTCAGGCGCGAGACCGCCGCCGCCGTCGTCGAAAGTTCACAACTTGAGACGCACAGAGACCGACATCCACAACGATGCGAAGACCACGAGCGAAGACCGACCTGCGCTCCCGACGAGCAATAGCATGCCCGTCTTGTCTACAGCTCCCAAACTCCACCAGAGCAAGACGGACTCCAACCTCTCATGGAGAAACATGTGCTCCGCGGCAGGTCCATTCGCAGGCCGTCCTCTCGTCCGACCTCCCTCCACCACGCCCTCCGAGCCCAACCCCGAAACCGAAGACCAATCCAAAGTACAACGGAGATCGAGCATGTACCTGGAAAACGGAAGGCGATGGATGGAACAGCAAGAGGCGAAATCCCTACGACAAGCATTGCAAGATATGGACCTCGAAGACGACCGCAAGATCCATGGCGCAGCACAAGACGAAGCTGCTGAATTGGTATGGAAACACCAGAACCCAGACGCTGCGAATGCGCCCTCCGTATTCGCAAACCCGGATTTGAAAGACTATCGGTCGCATCTGAGAAGAGGAAGCTATGCGCGGAATCACAACGGTCAAGATACATCATCCTCATCATCATCAAGGAGTGCTTCGGATAGCAGTCACAGCTCGAATGCACCAGATAACAAGCCCACGTGCACCACCAGACGAGTGACTTTCGAGAAACCGAGAAAGGTCAGCCCTCCGACCGGTGTCATGTCTAACCCGAAACGGCGCGAATCCTCTGGTGGTAAAAGCTATGGCCACTTGGCCGAAGCGGTCGCTAACGACATCGCAATCGCACATTGGAGATCGAGCAGCGGGAGCAGACGCATCCTCAGCGGGGAAAAGAAGATGTACATGCATCCCAACGATAGGATATGGGAGGATCCGTCAGAAGAGGAGGATGCTCCGTCAAGGATGCAGAAAAAAAATGTGACAGTGGAGGCGGCACGAGGAGAAAAGCCGCCCGCGCCTGTACCTGCGGCACCGGTTGAACAACCACAGGCCTTGCCATCCCATGTCCGCAAGAATCCATTTGCGCGGGTCAGAGCGCAGTATGAGAAGATGGAACGCTCTAATTCGGCGCCGACTTTGCCCACGACTGCCTCTACTTCGCGTGTTGGAAGACACGACCGTGTTGAGATTCAGAGGAACCCGCCAAGCCAGAGCCGAAACGCTTGGTACATGTCTAACGAGCCCTTGCCGCCGACGCCTCCAAGTGCATCCGGCCATGATGCCGACGAGGTTGCGCCCAAGGCGACTCCAACCACGGATGGAAGAGAAATTCGCGGTGATGATATTCGAGCGGCAACCAGCAAGTCCCGGAAAGATTATAGCTCGGGCTTGCCACGGCCTACAGTTGTGAGCGACAAGCCAGGAAGACCGATCGTCAGCTTTGAGAGGGGTTGGAAGCCGAAGGAGGTAGTGATGGAGGAGCAACAGAGCGCATCTCCGTCCCGAGCAGAGTCCGAACGTCCAAAGCCTGCGAAGTCTGCTACCTTTCCGTATATGCCACCTCAGGCTTCATCTCGCAGGGCGCCGGCTCCGCAGATCAATATCGAGGATGTGGGTGTGCCGCCGATACCTACAATCAGTCTCCCAGATGAGCACTCGATACCTTCGATCAGCCTGCCAGAGGACGAACCACAGTCCCGCGGCGGTCCAGCAATACCATCAAGTGCACCTGCAATCAATGTCAGCGGCCCTGATGAGGTATCTAGTCCGTCCAAGGGCAAGGGCTCCCAGCGTCCACTGCCGTCACCTCGGCCTCCACCACGACACGCAGCCACGGCACCCATTCCTATTGGCAAGTCGACGCCCCATTACACCCCTTCGATCCGGCAATCCGGCGCTCTCTGTGCCCATTGCGCCTTACCAATCGCTGGTCGTATCCTCAGTGCAGCAGGCGAGCGCTTCCATCCCGGATGCTTTGTGTGTCATGAATGCAACACCAACCTCGAACATGTTGCGTTCTACCCCGAGCCCGAGAAGCAGCGGGCCGAGCGATTGGAGCGCATTCATGCTCGGCAGACGGGTGCTGAGTTCGTCCTTCCGGAAGGCATGACGGATGAGCAGGCCTTCCACCACGACGGTGATGCGACGCGGAGATTCTACTGCCATTTGGACTTTCATGAGCTGTTCAGTCCTCGTTGCAAGAGCTGCAAGACGCCCATCGAAGGCGAGGTGATCGTGGCTTGTGGCGCGGAATGGCACGTCGGACATTTCTTCTGCGCGCAGTGTGGTGATCCCTTTGACAGTACGATGCCGTTTGTGGAGAAGGATGGGTACGCTTGGTGTGTTGGCTGTCATACCAATCGCTACAGTCCCAAGTGCCGCAAGTGCAAGAAGCCTGTGACGGATGTTGTTGTCAAGGCTCTTGGTGCCGACTGGCACAGTGGGTGTTTTGTGTGCATGGTGAGTGAGATCGTTTCGCGTTTTGTAAGGGATCCTTGCTGACGGTGGCTAGGAATGTAATGGCGAATTCGCCGATGGACGGTACTTCCTCCGCGGCGAGTCCAGTGATCCGGTGTGTGTCCAATGCGAGGAGAGGCGGCTCAAGGCGTGATGCGAAGAAGCGAGCGTCTTTGATATCCATCAGCGTGACTTTGTTGTCTCGGTTGAGCGTTCTATCAGCGGCATGGCTGGTTGGGTACGAGGGACGGGAATAATGATGCTGTAATAATACGAGCTGTGCCTTCTCCGTCGTCTCGGATGCGGATGATTGTAATCTTTGAACACCACAGCATTGTGCGTTTTGGCCGGAATGATGACCTCGGACACTTTGCGTTGACAACCTGTCCTTTCTTTAGCCACCCCGGAGCGTGGTAGCAGCAGTGTGTGGTGAGTCCGGTCCGCGCTTGTTCTCTCTCATGACATGACCGAGCACCTTATTTTAGCTCTTTCCGTCTGACCGGCTTTCTCCAGCCAACACATAGATAGCTTCACGTCGGTCAGTTAGGCAGCAAGCGAATATTCCATGCACATGTCCCTGTGAGCCTTGCCGTCAGTCGGAGGGACGTCTGATGAGATACCTTATAGCAAGACCAGCGCACGTTTCAATCTCACAAGGCAGACGCAGGGGCCAGAGAGAAGTCGCACCTGTGCACCGAAACTCTTCTTGCCTGCACGTGGAAGAGCGGATCGGCACGGGTAGTCTGATCTTGCATGAATCATGGCGTGCACGCGGCCAGCACAGGCACCGAGATCACAAGATGGTGGAGGGTGACAGCCCCGCGCTGCTCTGGTGTGATGTATCTTGCCGAGAAGGATGGAGGTATGTTGTGCAGGAGCGGAAGGCTCGATGGTATAATAAGGTAGTCGAGCGAGTTCTCGCTCTTTCCTTGTTTGCTTGCTTATCGGCACGGCGTTGGGACGGGGATCGGCGGCGGGAATTGAGATTGGCCTAGTTTCATTCTGTCATGTCATGATTCCACTCATGAACGAACGACATTCCTTCCTTCCCGTCTTCTCGCGTTGTACGGTGAGGCCCTCATCCTCGACATCCTTCGACGCCTCACTCGGCGGCTGTTGTGAGGAGAATAGCCACATCGCTCTCCCGGCGCTCTCGCCTCCACCCCGAACGCACCCGACCACCTACTCTCCAGCGGCCAGCGGCGAGCGGCAAGCGGCAAGCGGCAAGCGGCAAGCGGCAAGCGGCAAGCGGCAAGCCCGCTCCACACTGAGCCTTGACCGGCCTGTCATCTCATCTCATCTCCTTCGTGCGCTGCGCAGGTCGCGGCTTCATCCCACGTAGCACTTGCCCTACCACGGCCAATCCAGGACCGCCTTACACCTCACCTCCTACCTGCCCTCGGAGACTTACCTCCCTGTGCGCTGTCCGCTTTCCGCTGTCCGCCTTCCGCCTTCCGAAATATCTCACCTGTCTGCCTGCCTGCCCGCCCGCCCGCCGATTCCGAGGAAGGCGCCATTCACAATTGCCCGCCGAACCGCAAACTGCCATCTCTCCGTCCAACCTCAATGCTGTCCGCCTGCCAACAACCCTCCCTGTTCCCACCCAGCAACCCCATATGCAAAGCATGCATTTCGATCACAAGATAATATACGCCAGACATTGACCCCAGATGAACTCGTCACCCCGTCCACTGCCGCCCCTGTAACCGATCCCATACGGCACCCTTACCTTCTTGGCCATGGCACTTCATCGCGGCATTCAATCCGCTATATTCTACTACCTGGCCTGCACGCCGTGTGCAGAGATCCGCTACAAGAAGAGGCGAAAGCAGGAGGCTAAACAGAGTCGGCGGGAACGACAGCTGCTGGAAGAGGAGAATCCGAACCACTACCGCCATCCCTCCCCCTCGTCTACGAACCCGCACTGGCAGGTGGATATTGCACTGGGGCCGACGTTGACGGTTCGTGGGAAGAGAAGGACCAATGGCGGGGACGGCAGTCGTGGACGCAAGGCCAGCCGATACACCAACAACGACAGCGCGGAGCCGAGCTCGGTCGACTTGGCGGGGCAGAATTCCGTGGACGGTAGGAACGATAGCAATTGGAATACTCGTCCTTATCAGCGAGAAGACGAAGAATTATGGGGTTCAACGACCAACTTCGCAGGCTCGATTTATGGAGACAGCCTGAGGAGACCACCCAAGGCGTACACCAAAGGATCACATCAGTTCCGAAACCCCGAAGTCAATGCGATGCATCCGGCAACGGTCACGACGGTCAGTTCGAGGGAAGAGGCGATGTGGATGATGCAACCGCCTCCGGTGGCAGAAGTCATGAGTGGAAAGAAGCGAGCTCCGAGGAGCCGCAGTGATAGTGGAGCTAGTCGGTTGAACTCTTCCAGTGTGCCATCATCACGACAGCTTAGCAGTCGCTTAACGCAGCATAGGGCACCTTCAACACCCATGTCGCGCGAATGCTCCAGTCAGGCTTCAAACGGATCCACTGGACAGCGCCACGATAGAAGCGCAACCACCAGCGAACGAGACTTTGCCATAAGTCCGATCCAAACTGAGCCGAGAGTGAGGAGAAAGCCACCGCCGATACAGATCGTACACGACGATTCCAAGGAGTCACTTGTGACTGCTGTGCGCCTGCCATCGATTGCTCCGTCGGAAGCAGCCGGAAATCCTCAACAAGCTACAAGGACTGCGCCTCGTCCTCAACTCTCGACGATTGCATCTGACAACAGCGTTCCGGATGGCCTGAGACCCGGGTCCCGAACCCCTCCGCGATCGAGCAAGGAGAATAGCCATCCGGGTAGCGCCGATGATTTCTTGCGAGACAAAGATGGATCTCTACCGCCTCGCGCCGCTGTTGTGTCGAGCGGGGCGCCCATCAAATTCGAACTCGCGCCTCGATCCATCAATGGCAAGGTCATCCGGACGACAACAGCGCCTGATGTTAGGGAGGGCGTGGGGATCCGATACGGAGGCCACCATAAGTACCACGACAGCGAGGATGATTTCCTGAGCATACGACCGGAGTTGATTGATAGCTGGTACACGCCGGACTTTGAATTGCCCAAGTGGGTTCATGAACACACGAAGCGGGAAGTGAAGCAGCGATGGTCGATGGATCTTTGAGCGAGGATCTCTTTCTCCTTGTTGTGACGGCTGCAGTCTTGTCTGTTTACTTTGGATATTGCGACTGGGATTAATGAGCGTTTTTTCTAAGCATGGCGTGGCGTTGTTGGAGCTCGGTTGGAAGGAAGAAGTTTATGGATTTCCAAGTATGCTGCGAAAGGGGGAGGGATAGGTACAATGGTCTAGACTGTGCACAGGGTCCCGCAGTGAAACGAGGACAGAAGGGGCTGAGATAGGGAGTAGAAGGACCGAGGCCTTTTCTCTTTTGCGAAAGTAGAATGGGTATGTCTTGGATTGGAATAAGAGAGACACCCTACGCTGAGAGCAACACATCTGCACGTTCCTTGTGAACCCAACAAGTCACGCTAGTGAGCTCGAGAAGATCACCACAGGGAGCACAGCATCATCGTGCCAAGGCATTGAGCACGTGCATTGATTCACACCACCACCATACATAGTCGTGCTTAGCCCCGCAAGAAGTCCAGCTCAAGCATAATGCGGCTGTTGGGCCCGATCGGCCTGCGCGCCATTCGCACCATTAACTACCGTGTCCCTCGTCGTCGTCGTCGTCGTCGTCGTCGTCGGTCGCCTGAAATGCGGCTTCAACGGCTCCCAACTCTCCGCATTATAATCCGGCTGCACCTTGTCACACTGCTTCAGCCCCCACTCGGTCACGCCAACCATGAGACACGACTCGAACATGAAAGCCATACTGCCCTCGCCGACCTTTGCGGGCGTGAGCGGGGCATGGGTGGCTTTGTGGTGCGTGGCGGCGTCCGGGCCGTGCGCGGACATGACATTATGCAGCGAGGCGCCGGCGGGCTGGAAGCCGCCGCCGGTCTTGGCGTCGTACTGGCCGTGGATGAGGCCCATGAATTCGGACATGGTGTTGCGGTGGTACCAGGGCGGGCGGAAGGTGGCTTCGGCGACGAGCCAGCGCGGCGGGAAGACGACGAAGTCGGCGATGGCGGTGCCCGGGTGGTCCGAGGGGGCGGTGAGGACGGTGAAGAGGGAGGGGTCCGGGTGGTCGTAGGAGATGGAGCCGAGGGTGTTGAAGCGGCCGAGGTCGTACTTGTAGGGGTAGTAGGTGCCGTGCCAGGCGACGACGTCGAAGGGGGTGTGCGTTTGGCGCGCGGCGAAGAGGGTGCCGGCGAATTTGGCGAAGAGGGTGTGCTCCGAGTCGGTGTCTTCGTCGAAGCAGGCGGTGGGCGCTTGGAAGTCGCGGGCGTTGGCGAGGCCGTTGGAGCCGATGGGGCCCAGCTCGGGCAGGGTGAAGTGGCCCTGGTAGAGCTCGAGGACGAAGCCGCGGACGGGGCCTTCGGGGAGGGTGACGCGGTGTCGGATGCCGCGAGGGATGACGCAGATTTCATTCGGGCGCACGAGCAGCTTGCCCAGCTCCGTCTGGATGTCCAGAGCGCCGTGCTGCGGCACGATCAGGAGGTCGCCGTCGGCGCTGTAGAAGGCGGACTTGGCGTCCATGTCCCTCCCCGCGGCATAGATGAGGATGCCCAGGCCGGACTTCATCGTGGGGTCGCCCGCGCCGGCCACCAGCCGTAGGCTGTGAATCCAATCGACCGTCTCGTCCATATCAAAGGGATCCCACCGCAGCTGGTTGGGGATCTGGTGCCATTTGGCGTCTCGCAGGCCGCCTGGGTTGAGGTCGTACGAGCTGCTCTCTCGCGGCTCGAAGGGCGAGTGGGCGCTGGCGGGGAGGATGCGGTACAGCCATGATTGCTGATTCTCGTGGCGAGGTGCTGTGAAGGCGGTGCCGGAGAGCTTCTCGTTGTAGAGGCCGTAGGCGGGCTTCTGAGGATTGTTGGCTCCGATGGGCAGGGCGCCGTCGACGGCTTCGCTTTCGTGGTAGCTGCCGAAGCCATTCTGGTATTTGTACTTCTCGGGAAGGTGGAACGCTGTCACAGGCATGATGGAGAGAGGTTTTGGTGGGACGGAAGGGAGAGATGATGAAAGGGGATGGAGTACTGTACGGTCTTTTTGTCCCGGGTTGCTCGAGCTATGGACACCCAGTTCGGTTTCTGGTCAGCTTCGTGATTCCGCCCTTTCAGCAGCAGATGACAGGCGGCGGAAAGCTAGAAGACGGGGTCCCAGATGCACCAGACGTGCTAAGCGCTGCGATATCAAGAGTTGAGAGGTGAGGATCCTGGCGCGGAAGCGGAATTGCTTCCGCCAAGATGGATCCCTCCGCGATACATCCAGGATGCAACTCAATGAATGACACGGCGTCACGACGGATGCGGCGGACTTCACGTCTCCACACAGGCCAGGCCGTACGATAGTCCTGATTCTTGTAATTTGACCATCTTGCACAATCTCACCCGAGCTCTGCTGCTGACCCCCAAGCGCTCAATCGGGATCTACGACGGGACCTCCTATCGTTAACTCAACCAACATCTCTGCGCCCTGTACAATCCAGTCGCCGCCAGAGTTATTCGTACATCCATCATGGCCCCGTTGAAGACCTGGCTGCAGCTTGATCCACGCTCCCATTTCTCCATCCACAATCTTCCTTGCGGCATCATCTCAACCGTTGCTTCCCCAGAGCCTCGACCAGCCACGGCTATTGGGAATTACGCATTGGACTTGCGTGCGTTTGCTCAGGGCAATGGATTCGCCAGGCTGTCCACTATCCAGCCACATCAAGCCGTCTTCTCGCAACCTACTCTCAATGCCTTTGCCACTCTAGGTCGACCGGTCCATCGCGTGGTCAGAGAGTACCTCCAGAGCATCTTGCTTGAGAATGGACCATTTCCGGAAATATTGGAGCGGAATGAGGCGTTGCAAAAAGAGGCGTTACTTCCTCTGAATGAGTGCAAGATGCACTTGCCCATGCAGATAGGTGACTACACCGTAAGTCGGCTTCGCAATCGGTACGAGACGGTGTTACTGTACACATGCCTAACATATGACAGGATTTCTACGCTGGCCTCAATCACGCCTACAACGTTGGTGTTCTGTTCCGTGGGCCTCAGAATGCCCTTCAGCCGAATTACAAGCACCTGCCTGTAGGTTATCACGGGCGTGCAAGTTCTGTCGTCGTTTCCGGAACCCCTATTCGGCGACCAACTGGCCAAATACTAGCAGATCCTGCAGCTGAGATCAAGAGACCTACCCTCAGCCCTTGCAAGAAGCTAGACGTGGAGCTGGAGCTCGCATGCTTTGTATGTAAGCCGTCGGCGTTGGGAGAGCCCGTCAGCGTGACCAACGCACCGGAACACTTGTTTGGCGTCGTGCTCATGAATGACTGGTCAGCCCGTGACATTCAGGCATGGGAGTACGTTCCTCTAGGACCGTTCAACTCCAAGAATTTCGGAACCACAATCTCACCGTGGGTGGTCTTGATGGACGCTTTGGAGCCTTTTGCCACGACGGGTCTGGATAACGACACCCAGCTACTTCCGTACTTGGATGAACAGGGGCGCAAGTCGCACTATGCGATCGATCTTACCTTCTCCTTGGCGACTCGGAGCGGAAAGACTACGACTCTCACAAGGACGTCAGCAACAGAATTGCTCTTCTCCTTCCCTCAAATGCTGGCTCATCACACCATAGGAGGGTGTCCGTTCAACGTCGGCGACCTGATGGGTTCGGGCACAATCAGCGGCAAGTCGAAGGAGGAGAAGGGAGCTCTGTTGGAACAGACCGAGAATGGCAAAGTGAAGTTGCAGCTTGAAGGCGGGGAGACGCGTACGTTTCTTGAAGACGGCGATACTGCGATCCTCTCTGGGGTGTGTGGGCAAGAAGAATACGCATTCGTAGGCTTTGGAGAGTGCGTCGGGCGCATTGAGCCTGCTTTGGATTTAGCAGGCTGAGTACAAGCCGGGATGATTGCGGAGGCTCAGGTGAAGTTGATGATGAGCTCCCATGGCTATTGCACCGACAATCGACCGATGACAACCGGTGAAGTTGTCCGCTGCGTCTCCAAGAGCTGTCGTGAAGCTGTCTCCGATCCGCAAACCAAATCAAATGCTCAGACTCCAACGGCGCATCCAATTCCGTCAGCGGCATCAATTCCGCGACTCCTCCAAAGCTAATGCACCACAAAGTCCGAAAGGGGAACCTCGAGGGTGCATGTGGGGTTAGAGATCCAGCGAGATCCTCGTGGACCTGCACGGGAGCCACCAATGACGAGGTCTGCTTGACTTCGCGCGGAAGGAAATCACTGGTCGAAAGTGAGCTGGGATGAGGTACAAGGTGGAGGGGTGTCGGACAACTACACTGAGGCCTTGAGCTATATATCGACATTGCTCTCTCGACTTGATCACACTCGCCCTCTCCACGCAGCAACCACAAACACTTCCTTCACTTGGACGGCAATGGCACAGACTGCGGAGCCTCAGGGCATCATTGCCTTCCTGCTGCAACCCCAGATCGTCCCCTTCTTCATCGCAGCAATTGTTCTCGCTGCCATCAAGATCATTGACCGTACCGACATTCCCAAGATCAAGGGAATACCTGAAGTTCCCGGCGTACCACTTCTGGGGAACCTCGCACAGCTAGGCGACAATCACGCCATCAACGCACAGAAGCTCGCTGAGAAGCATGGACCTGTCTTCCAAGTCCGCCTGGGCAATCGAAGGATCGTCTTCGCAAACACCTTTGATAGCGTCAAGCACTTCTGGATCACGAATCAGTCTGCCTTGATCAGCAGACCTACCCTTCACACCTTCCATACGGTCGTAAGCTCCAGCGAAGGATTCACGATCGGAACGAGCCCGTGGGACGAGAGCTGCAAAAAGCGAAGGAAAGCTGCTGCTACGGCTCTGAATCGTCCTGCTGTACAGAGCTACATGCCAACTATCGATTACGAGGTGACCAAGTCCATCAAGGAACTCCTCAAAGACAGTGATTTCGGCAAGAAAGACATCGACCCTAATCCATACTTCCAACGCTACGCACTGTCCACCTCCTTGACTCTGAACTACGGAATCCGAATCGAAGGAAACATCAACGACGACATGCTTCAAGAGATCGTCCACGTTGAACGAGAAATCTCCAACTTTCGGAGCACCGCCACCAACTGGGCAGACTACATCCCTCTGCTGCGTCTCCTTCCTGGGGGAAACGACAAGCCTTTGGAGTACAAGAAGCGCCGAGCGAACTACATGAACAAGCTCCTCGGCATGCTGAAAGAACGCATCGCAAACGGAACAGACAAACCTTGTATCTCCGGCAACGTCCTCAAAGACCCAGAAGCCAAGCTCAACGACGCAGAAGTCATGTCCATCGGCCTCACCATGGTCAGCGCAGGTCTCGACACCGTCCCAGGAAACCTCATCATGTGCATCGCCTACCTCTCGTCCCCCCGCGGCCAAGAAATCCAATCCCGCGCCCTCCAGGAAATCAACACCCTATACCCCGACAACGATTCCTGGGAGAAATGCCTCCACGAGGAAAAAGCAGAATACATCACCGCGCTCGTGAAGGAAACCCTCCGATACTGGAGCGTCATCCCCATCTGCCTGCCCCGCAAATCCATCAAGGACATCACGTACAACGGCGCCGTCATCCCCGCCGGCACCTCCTTCTACATGAACGCCTACGCCGCCCACTATGATTCCACGCACTTCAAAGACCCCTACACCTTCCACCCGGACCGCTACCTCGCCGACACCTCCATCGACGACGCCGCCGCCACGCGCGGCACGCCGCACTACGGCTACGGCGCCGGCAGCCGCATGTGCATCGGCTCGCACCTCGCCAACCGCGAACTGTACACCGCTTTCCTGCGCCTCATCACGGCTTTTGAAATCTTGCCGCCGAGGAATCAGGCGGATGAGCCCTGGTTGGATTGCATGAATTGTAATGTCTTGCCGAATGGCTTGACGATGGATCCCAAGGCTTTCAAGGTCGGCGTGAGGGTGCGGAATCGGGAAGTTTTGGAGAAGTGGTTGGCGGAGGCGGAGGCGAGGACGAGGGATCTCTGAGTGGATGAGGCATGATGAATGAGGAATGGGTTGGGATGGAAGACTGTTCTTCCCTGGTAAGGGGGAAATTTGAGGGGAAGGGGCTTGCTTTGGGATGAGGAGTGTTACGGAAATAAACAAGTTGAAAGGAAAGAACTCATGAGCTCTGCAGACACTTCATGGAGTGCTATAACTTTCTTCACTTCTCTCGGAGAGCTGCTATGCTACTGATACAAGCCATGCGACCACTGCACTGCTGCATCGCCAGGAACGCCTCGCTAAGGCACCGAAGACACAAATCTCCCCCACACAACACAAAGCAATCACTCATCCTCATCGTCCTCGTCGACGACCCGGCGCCGCTTCTGCCGTGACACCTGGGGCACATCCTCGTCGGGCTCGCCCTCGGCATCAGCCTCATCATCACCAGCAGGTTCAGGCCGCGAACGCTTAGGCGTCCTCTCTCGGACATCCTCAATGATTCCATCATCGTCATCCTCATCGTCTTCCACAATCTCCGGCTCTTCATCGCTGCCGGTGACGAAATCATCCATCTCATAGCTGTCTTCCTTGGTGAAGTGTCTCCGTCCGTTGTCTTCGTCCTCGCTGTACTCGCTGTTGCGTCGTCGCCTGGGCTTAGCACGCTGCCGACCGGGCATGCGTCCACGCCCACCTCCTTCGAGTTCGTCGTCTTCCAGCATGCCGACGTTGAGGCCACCGTAGCGGCCCGATGATAGCCCCGATCGACCCAATGCGCGATCCGCTCGCAGTCTCTCACGCTCCTGCGCGTTTTCGAGCTTCTTCCTGTTGCGCATCTGTTGTCTCTCGGCCTCTTCCGCCTTCTTGCGCGCCAGTTCAGGGTCAACTTCGGTGATTTCGAGCTGGCCGCTCGCGCCGGCAACTCTTGTCGCGTTCGCCGCGTTCGCCAGAGCGTTTTGTAGCTTCACGATGGCCTCGTCATCTCCTTGCTCATTTTGTTCAACCGTCAGCCCCGCGGTAAGCTTGTGGGACACCCGTAGCGCTTCAGCCTGCTCCACCGGCATGATGAGGTATGTGAAGGCGTCCTGCTGAGGGTTGTACTTCTCATTCTCGAGATCACCTTGTCTTCCGCCCTTGTGACCCGCGTTGTTGATACTCGTAGGCGTCGGCTTGAGGGGATTGCGTTGCGGGGGCGCGAGGGGGTTGCCGGCGATCTCGTATTGCGTGCCTGGATCTGAGGCCATTTGTAAAGTGAGAGACCCGTCCGACCAGCGGTTGATTCGTGCGTTGGACTGAAGCTCGGACGGGTTTGAAGGAGAATGCCTCCAACGGACGGTGGTCATGGCAGTGTTGAAGGCAGAGAATGCCGAAGACGGCGGTGCTTTGGAATGGTGATCTGTGGTCGGCGGTTGAAATGTCGTGGTTTGCCAGGCTTGGGGTTCGATCGACATGAAGCCTGGCACCTTGAGAAGGTACATCTATCCCGGGATTAGTTTTGATGGTTTCCAATGACCAGGAGTGTCACATACCTCGCCATCACTCGGCTCTGGCGCTGCCTGACGCGGTATCTCTAGATCCATCTGCAACCACTCGCGGTCTTCAAACTGCTGTGCTTCTTCCTCCTCGCGAAGCCGGTCCGTTCGGCCTTCATCGTCGCCGGAGTCGAGCTCTGCATCGTCCAACTGTCTTCTAGCAGGCGTCTCTGCCTCTACTGCCGCCTCATCTTCCTCATCGCCAAATAGGTCATCTCCTCCTTCATCTTCGTCATTCGCTGCAGTCCCGTTCACCGTGTCGTCCGCGTGCGCGTTGTTAGGCGACGTCGCATCCTGAAGGTCTTCCACAGGCGATTGCTCAGAAGACATGATGCCAGCGGAAGGAGGCAACGCGCCCTCTGGATTTGGCGGCAGTCTAGCTCGAGATGCAGCGTGTAGAATGTTTGCGCGAGGTCGATGTTGCGCGTACTCGAAGGTGTCACGGGCTTGATGAGTCGGGGGATCTTTTTGAGGGTAGAGCAGTGCGCGACACGCTTCGCCAAAGAGCCGCGATGCAAAGAAGAGGATGTTATCAGTGGAGAAGTGCGGTTATTGTCCAACTAAAGCTACGTTCATTCACAAGCAAAGATCCATGGGTGAGGTGCCTTTTGTGGCCCGTGCGAACGTCTCCGAAACGCGCAGTGTGCAGCTTCCATAGGAAAAAGGGGGAAACTCAACCACACTTCACGTCCCAGGCTGAGTCCTGCCTCCGTCTCTTCCGATCTTTCCTTCGAACAAACGGCCCTACAACAGATCGGTGGAAACATGTCGTCCTGGATGAACAATCTGTGAGTAAATAAGCTTTTCCTTTTGTCAAGTCGGTCAAAGTTGGGCGAAGTTTGGGGATGCATGGTGCCCGCGTCCGACTCTTCCGCTTCTGTTTCCGACTTCACCGACGACCATAATTGGTCCGGAATCCATCCATAGCAGAAGTCGACACGAGCAGCAGGAGTCGTCTGTGAACAAGCGAAGGTACGGTTCAACAATCTCTTAAGGTGGCTTTCCGGGATCTGAAGAATTCCACTCGGGACACATCCAGGAAGACTTGGAACCACGGGGAATTAAAAAATTCGAACAAATGACCGGAACGCAGCAGCGCTGGCGAACCGTCCAGAATGTGAGATTGGCCGAGCTTCTCAGCAAGGCTTCATTCAGAACCAAGCCGAGCGATTTCACAACACCAGCTATCGCCTGGAGTGCGGTGGATAGGTCTGCCTGCGCGGTCGACCTCTATAGACGCTGTCACGGCCAGATTATGCAATGCTCCATGCAGACCATCAGGACACGATGCGCCGCACAACAAGGGAAACTGTTGCGTTGATGTGGAAACGTGCGGCTGGGGCAACAAGCTGTTATCCTGCCTTCGCCATATGTTGACCAAGACGCTCTCGACAACTGTACATCAACTAAGGCGCGATTGTACACATTGGATGCCTGAAAAACCTCACATACGCTCGTTGCGGCAGCCTGTCCCCTGTCCACGTGCGCACAATAGCGTGAGGTGAGGTTGTGAAAGCTGCGTCATATTTCAATGCTGAAGTTCGCGCTCTCTTACACCGAACACAACCGAACGACAACACCTTCGCACCACCATCCGCAACGCAAGTTCATCAACAACAACTTCCGCTTCGCTGCACCGCTCGGCGGCCATTGTTGTCGGCGTCAACTACCATTCGCAAATCATCCAGCATCAGTTGCGGCCGGCGCTCGACTTGCGCGCTGCCAGCAGCTCAGTCGCCCTCATGGCGCCGTTTCCAGCATACATGGAGCCGTTTCCAGCATACGTAGATCCGTTTTTATCGGACGTGAAGCCTGCGCTCTTGCCGCCATTCGAGCCAGAGGGACCAAAGGCAGACAAAACCCCAAACCAGCCCAGTGAGCACGCGGGTACCAAGAAGAAGGAAACGGACACGAACAAGAAGAACAAAACGGTCGAGACCCCACAAGGGCCGACTGACCCCGAGGATGCTCTTCTCAACGAGTCTGCCAAACTCACCCTTCAGGATCCGGAGGCCAAGGAAGTGAATGCCAAGCCGATACTGCCAAAGCCATTGCAGAAACCACTGCCACTCAGACTGCAGCGTGAACCGCCCTCGCAAAGAGGCGCACGTTACGCACGTGACAATGCTACATGGCGCCTCGCTGATTCCATGACGAACGAGGAAAAGCTGAGGGATTTCTTTGCTTTCGCCGTTTTGTTGAATGGGGCGGTAGCAACAAAGGCTGACTATATTTACCATAGTCGCAACTTCGCTCGGCAGCAACAGACTCGTCCGAACCCGAATCAGAATCAGAACCAGAACCAGTCACCAAGCCGCACGAACACCTCGTCGCCGTCCGCGTACAGCTCCTCCGGCCTTGCCCCGCCAAGCATCCCCGCAGTCCCCGGCCCGCCGTCCATGACCACCAACAATATGCAAGCCAACGAGCAAGCTCAACAGAGCAAGCAAGGCGAGAAGAGGATTCCGCTCTTCTTCCGTGAGAAGTACACAACCCTTATTGTTAAGGGCAACTTCATGACCCTTGCCGCGAAGCCTGTCTTGGTCGAGGAGGGCGAGTGGATGTCGCATCAGAGTATGTCCAATCGCGACGTTGACGTTGAGGCGCGGATACCATGACACTAATCTTTCGTACAGTCGTTGAGCAGAATCGCCTCCTGAGTGGCATGGTCAAGTGCGTGCTGGGTACTCCGGACCCTTCCACTGCCCGTTCGCTCTGCAATGAACACAGCTGCCCAACCATGGCTGCAGGCTCGTAAGTTGTGACACATGTTCAATTATACGTGATTCACGAACGCTAACATGACATGTCAGCGTCAACTACACCTGGATCGACACCAATCGCCAGCCCATCAACATCCCAGCACCAGCCTACATCAAGAACATCCTGACCTGGGTCAACGGCAAGATTCAAGACGAGAGCCTCTTTCCAACCATCAACTTCAACACTGCACCAGCCTTGCCGACCGCGCAGCAAGTCGCCAATGACGCTAGCCACTGGCTGGGCAAGACATCTGGCTTTCCGCAGCGCTTTGAGTCGGAAATCAAGCACATGTACAAGCAGATGTTTCGCTGCTATGCACACCTCTACTGGCAGCACTGGCTCCAGTTCTGGGAGCTGGGAGTGAGCCGCGAGCTCAACACCTGCTTCATCCACTTTATCAACGTCGGCCGTCTCTTCGGCCTCTTGTCTGACAAAGACACTGAGCCAATGCAGCCGCTCATCGACCTGTGGGTTCGTCGTGGCGACCTTCCGAAGCTCAAGGAAGATGAAAACGAAGCCGGCTCGTCATCGACGGCTAGGGCCACAACTTCGACTCCTGCGCCGAGCACCTCCGCGTCGACTGCTCCAGCTTCGAGTTCGGCAGCTGCTTCTGCCGCGCCAGGAACTGCGGCTTGAACACAATTCGCATGACAGAGACATTGGGAGGGCGTTAGTCGGCGTTTGAGTCATGACAGCATTTGCAAGTCGGGCCGCCTGGAGCTTGAATGCATATGAAGCGATGAATTCGTTGCTGCAGCGCAGCAGCGAGAATGAGAAGATGCTCTTGGACTGAACTTGGCGTTAAGTGGCACCATTCAGGTGGATGAATTGTAGAGATTCACCGCAGGAATCTTCAATGTCATGATATGCGTGCGTTTCCCGTGCAATTCCTTTTCATTTTCTGTTCGGCATCCGAAGTAAGCTTTCTCGTCACGGGAACGAGGGAGAGGTGAGGTCGGGATCGGCTCTCTATGCCGGACCGAGACATCCTGCCCGCTCCTTCGCCCGTCCACAGCCTTGTCACGAGCATTATTCCCTCGGCTCCGGCGTCCCTCTCCAAAGTCTTTAACTTTTTTTTCATTCGCGGTCTCCGCAAGCGTCGGGCGGACTACCTCAAAACAACATTAACCACAACTAATAATGGCAGTCCCCCGCCCCGTTGTCCAAAGCCTTCTCGCCTCGCCTCCAGCGCTCCGCACGGTGATAGCTCGGGATATATTTGGCGTCGGCGTGACCAGACCTTTGACGGCGATAACAGCACGCGAGAATCTCACGCTTATTGTTAGAAAGAGAAGGAGCAGGATTCGATCGTACGCTGCAGAATCCCTACCCGGCGGTTTTCCAAGGGGAACGAGATTTCTGTCATCTTCCACTGCGACTGCGACCCCCGAATCTTCACGTCCATCACCGTCTGCCCCGAATCTCGATCAAACGTCTGCTCCTCCGCCCCGAAGGTCGATATTGCGACGTCTCCTCACCACTACTGGACTTTTCGTTGTCTTCTTCACAGCTGGCTTTGCGATGGCTGCAACACCTGCCGCCGAGGCCGTCAATGGCTTCGTCAATCCTCCCACCGACGCCGAAACCCTCGACCTCTTCGAACCGGCAACACCCACCGTCGCCGAGATCAACGAATACATTGTAAACCATCCACTGTCAAAGAAGTTGCGGGCACAAGAAGGCATGACGGAGGCCAGACCTCATCTCAAGATCCCACCTGCGATGCGTGAACACAATCTTACTGGCGGAACTTTGTTGGGTCCCAACAAGATTGAAGTTCCCCCTCTTACTTTCAATGAGAAGAGTGCGGAGCTACCGAAGCTTGTACAGATTTCACGATTGGGTCCGGGCCTTTGTGGACATCCGGGTATCGTTCATGGTGGGTTGCTGGCTACGATGCTGGATGAGGGTTTGGCACGTGCTTGTTTCCCTGCTCTGCCGAATAAGGTCGGCGTGACGGCGAGCCTCAAGATCGATTACCGATCTCCTTGCCCTGAGAACAGCTATGTGGTTCTCAAAGCTGAGACAACCAAAGTGGAAGGCCGGAAGGCCTGGGTCAAGGGGCGGATTGAAACGTTGGGAGACGACGACACTACGGGCACCCTTCTGGTTGAGGCAGAGGCGCTCTTCATTGAGCCAAAGCAGGCCGCGAACATGGCGAGGGTTTACAGCAGCCAGTAAGAGAGGAGTGCAATGTGGGAAAGAGTCGAGGTTGCGTGAGATACCCATGTCTTGGACGCCGTTTGGCAAATAGATTTATAGAGCTCAGTCAAAGCATTGGCCGTGGCCAAAGTGACAGCTTCTATCGTAACGATGTGTCTCGTCGCCCTTATTTGAAGAATCATGATCGTTTTGCACCGTAACGCCGCGCCTGGCTATGCTGAAATCGCGAATGACACACAGCGTCCCACAGACTTATACTGCTCTTCTTCCGAAACAACTCTTAGAAGTTCGTGCCCTCTGGAGGCTGGGGCAGCTTCTTGTTTGCCGGTGCTGCCATGAAGCGCCGGATCTCAATCAAGATTGTCTCCATCGTGAAGTCCCGCTTCCAGGTGCTCAAACTTGGGAGTTTCGTCAAGTCGACCTTTATCCATCTGTCAGCTATCCCCTCTCCTCCAGCATACAACTCTCGTCCGTCACATCTCACCTTTCCACTCTTCTGATCCACACAAGGCAGATTGACCTTGCTGATGAATGTAACCTCTGGCGGCGAATCGGGATAGTTGGGCCCGCAAATGATTTTGAGTGAGTATATGCGGTTCTCATGTACGCTCTGTGTATGCAAGCAATGTCTTTAGCTCTGGGTTGTTCGGTAGAAGATGATCGGAGGTAGAAACGCACGTGAGGAGGTCCGAGGATGGTACCGTTCCAGTTGGTCATGAGGAGGTCATCGCCCTCGTCGAGCCCGTACGAACATGCCTCTGGAGACGCAGTCAGTCAGAATCTGTTTACCAAGAGAGCGTTGTCTGTATGCTTGCCTGCTCCTAACCCCTTCTCGCCTTTCTCTAGCTCTTCCAACAGGCGAAAGTTGCGTGGGACTTTCGAGCCCATGGTTGCTGTTGGGGTATTGGCGCTTCGTGTGGATTCAAATTGGATGTGATCTGAGTGGCTGAGTATCTGGCACACAAAGTTCGGAAGAAACGCGAGATCTCCAGGTCGAATGAATGTTTGCGAGTGCTCATGCGCATGACGGAGAAGTGGGAAACCACGGCCCCGCTGATGCCTGAGGCACTGAACTGATGCTCTTCTGACATCTGATCAAGCTCAGCGACATG